AAGAATGCCGACTTCAGGGTGATCTGGTCACTGAATGGGCCGTGCTGGCCTTCCCTCTTTCGGGTCAGCGGAGGCAACTCCTGTGGCTGGGTGGCCATGCGCATCTCCCCCTGCCTGATGATGTTGCCGTCCTCCAAAAACTTCTTGAGGTTCGCCCCCTACATCCCACGGGTGTGGTGCTCTGCCTGTATGCGGTACCATTGGCTTCATTCTCGATGAGACCTTTTGTAGGTACAACCATGAATTCTTTTCTCCACATGAATTCTGGGTGAATGGCGTAGCCTAAAAATAGTCCGGGACTTGAAGTTGGGTCGAATCGAAGACCGTCCTTGTTCTTCTTACGTGGTCCATTCCAGCAATCAACAAGGCATCCGAATGGGACAAGAGGTCCTTCGAATTTTGATCCGGGTGAGGCTGCCCCCCGTTGCAAGTACATTCTGCATGAAGCACCAATGTCGAGCATGAGGCCAATGCCAGTGGTTTGGAGCAAGTTGACACGAGTTCCTTCTAGCACTGATCGGACTGCTCTTTCAGCTTGGGCATTGGGCTTGGACAATGTAGTCTCTACTTAAGACGTGACGGCACTGAAGTATCTTCCTTGCTGAAATTAATTCTGGCGCGTTGTCACTGTAAAAGACTCCAATTTCCTCGGTGTGTCCAACAAAGTGTTTGATTGCTGCTGTTCTAGCAGCATTGGTGGTTCTTCTTGCATTGGGGTAGACGTACATGAATCCCGTGGCTATGTCTTTCACAACTAGTGCACTTTTCTCATCATCAATTCCCAGTTCATCCTCATCTCGGGTTACTATGAAGTCTGCTGTGATGTGGTCCCCGAATTTCTCAGCCTCAACTTTGGTTGATCCGCCTACAGCTCTTGAGGGTGGCTTAAACATCTTTGCTTTCTGGCAAATGTCGCTGTAGGGACTCTTTGGCACATGGGTTGGCATATGACGGATCGTCTTAGCTTCTCCCCTCAAAGCCTTCTCCCCAAGTGATCTCTTTAAATCATCTTTGTCATCATGGACACTACTGCTGCTACCCTTAGACTTGTGCTCCAAAGGCGGCTCAACCTTCCGGTCTAAATCAGGATCCTCAACCGCCCCAGACAAAAGCGGATGGGGCTCTGGAACATCGATGGGTTCGTCACAATGATTTCTATTTCCCCATCTGGTTCCGGAAATTGTTGGGCTTCATCTGATGCCGGGGTTGCTATACTCGGTCTTGGCTGAGTGGATGGAGTGGAAACTGTTCTCGAATTGTTTGCTCAGTAGGGTACGTAGTCTCGGATAACTAACTCAACGCGTTCCCCACTTGGTTTCACCATGTATGGAGATTCACCTTTGGATCCTCTCCAGACAAAGTCATAGCCATCTTCGACACATCTCATTTCAACTGAAATCACAGGTGGCGAGCTTCTTACCAGATATGGGTCAATAGTTTTCCCCAACTTTGGAGCGAACACTCTTCCTTGTTTCGATGATGAACTCTCGCCATTGGCGGTGATCATACGAATTGGATTGTCGGAGTAGTATCCATAGTCATCGGGTAACTCCCTATCATTCACCAAATCTTGAGCGCTCCCAGTATCTGCAATCCAATCGAGATTGAGGTTGATCGCTCCCTTCACATCATCTTTACACTCCGCAGGGGTGGCTGTGATTCCCTTAGGGGTATATACATTCATTGCAACCAAAATCGGTGTCACACAAATAGGCACATTTGCTTTGAATCCCCTGAAGACAATTGGAAACTGAACCGGCCAACATGGTGCCTGCCAAAGCGGCATCACTAGCGGCGGTTTCATCAACTTCAAACTGATGTCCCCATGGGAAGGTTTCCTTACCCGTGGTGACTTGGTTTCCAAGTGGCCTCAAGTTCCCTCGGGCTTTGACAAGTGTCACGTCCGGAGACTCATCAAAATGAATCGATGGACAAAAGACTCTTGGCTGAGGGACGCACATGGCCTGGGACACGGATGCAAGCATGGATGCAACAAGGCAAACAGCGGCAGGTGACGGCTTAGAGGAGCTGGCCCCCGATCCTTTGGATTTCGGTGACCTAGGGCTCTTTGGGCTCTTCGGGCGACTTGAGCTACGGGATCCCTTCCTTTTTGGGTTCTGACCAGTCTTCTTTTATTTTTAATCACCACTGGCCGAACGGGCAGGAGTGGCTTGTCCTGGTTTGCCGGCTGAACCCTCATGAAGGAAATTGCAACCTGCTCCGCGGTCACATCGACCCTGTTTCCAAAACTTACAAATTCTTTTGCCTTTCCCCTTTGGTTTGGGAGAACCTGAACGATCAGTAGAGCGACGCCTTGTCTTACTGGGCTTTCGACCTTTGTCTCTTGGCTTCGGGGTTTCATGCTTGTAAGTACAGTTGTCTTTGCTACAGATGCCACACAGTACCCCTTGGGGATAAAGCCCGTCTTGCCCTCGACTGCAGGAGCGGAGGGTCGACCGGCACCAGAAAAACTTTTGGCAACTCGATCACGATTCGCTTCCAGCCTCTCACGGTCAAGGTGGCGTCTGACGGCAGAAACAAGGAAACTGTAGGTTCTTTTGTCAGTTCCTTCATCGGCTCTGTGATACACATTCATATCATGTTGGATGGCCTTGCAATTCTTCACTTGTTTGTAGAATAGTGTCTCGAGTACACTTTCATCTGGAGTCTGAACAATACCAGCCAATACTTGATCCCAGTTCGAGATGAATGCCTTCAGATTCTCCCCGCGCAACTGAACGCTGAACAAATCTTGGAGAGCGTAAGTAGCCCCATGATTAATGTTGGCACTGAAATGGTCATGGAGCATAAACAACATTGACGTCCCCTCACAATCCGTCCAGCAGTGGCTTCCGTCTCTTTGAAAGTGTCAACCTTACGAGCGAAGTCACCTGTGATAATGTTGGTAAGGGCAGATAGCAGCTTGGCATCTAATGTTGCAAACGGCGCAACCTTCCGGAGCGCTTCAAGTGTCTGATCTTCCTTCCAAGATTCAGTGATTCACTAACCCACTTGAAAGCACTATCCGGGTCTGTTGCTGCAGCCACTACAGCCTCACGAGTTTTGATTCTCCAATTGCGATAGGTTTCGGCCAAAGGAAACGCAGGGACCTTGATAGTATCAGCTTCCTTGACTTTGGGCTTGTCACCACCTTTCTGGTCAACAAAACCGCCTAAGAACTTGATCATTCTGCGTCGGAATTTCTCATCATCGTCTTCGTCATCTTTGTCCGGGTCATGCCCACCGTCATCACCATCAGGGGACCAGAACCGCCCTTGGGCTTATTTCCCTTTGGCACCTTCCGTCCCTTATCCCCTGAATTTCCATCATTTGGGTCTGGTGGTGTTGGTGGTCTACCGCCCCCTCCTCCATTGCCGTTCCCCCCGTCCCCAGGATCATTGCCGTGCGGAGCATCATCATCTCCAGGATCATAGAAGTTGTTCTCATCTGGTCCTGAGCCAGATGGAGAGTAACGTTGATTTGGGACGGGCGAATTGCCTCTCTGGTTGAAGTTGACCCCATCAAACAGATTAGAGGCCACTCCTCCCGGAGGGCGTGTCGAATTCGAAGACCTGGTGATGCCTGGCTCTTTCTTCACTGGTACTGGACCTTTGGAGTACTTTGGATCAAGGTATGTGATTTCAACTTCCTCTTCCTCGTCCAGTGTTCTACCCATTGAAAGACCAAACGCAACAGGCACCGTAGGAGCTGGGGGGAAATTCATCTTCGGAGGTGGTGCAGCAGGAGTTGCCTTTGATGTTGGTCGGACATACTCAGACCCGGTTGCCGATGATGTGAAAGCTTCTGCAGTCGCAGTCATCGCGGCAGTCTCGACAACCGGTGGTGGACGTGCCTGGGCAAACTGGGAGTCAAGCATACTCTGCAATTTGAGGTTGTGCTGCATCTGAGATTGAACCATTTGTTCCAATTGAGTGATGCGATCATTCTGAATACGTCTTTCCTCCTCAGCTTGTCTTTTCAATTCAAGATTCTCTTGTTCCTTACTCGAAAGCGACTGACGATGATTGGCATCAATGACACGTTGATAGGCCTGATTTTTCTCATTCATCTGAGCGTCTTGTAACTTCACATGTTGGTGTGCCTCATGCTTTAAACTCTCTCGGTATTGGATTCCCATTCTATTCATTTCATGTTCTTTGGACATCATTGCATCTTGGGCCCTCTGACTTTCAATGCCCTCACGGACTCGCAATGCTTCCAAAAGTTCCTCAGTCCTGGCCATATGGACGGCTTCGGCACGAGCTTCGGCCTTAGCTAAGACCTCACGATGACGGAGCTCGGCCGTTGTTTCCACAACGGTTGTCAGAGCAGGGTCATGCGAGTGCAAGTGAGCACTTTGCTCGACAAAATTGACTTGAGGATTGTCAACATGTACATTCTGTTGGTACGAATTGTGAACATTCATTGGGTTCATTTGGCGAGTCGGTGGCCCACCCTCCCAAGGGGCTTGGGGTACGTAACCACGGTGAGTAAATCCAACATGAGAAGGCACAACTGCGTTCCGCGGTGGCAAGTGGCGTCGTTCCCTCAAGCTTCTTGACTTGTCGGAGCCGGGTGGCGTGCTGATGTCGACAGTGAATGGAGAATCAGCGATAGGAAGTGTCGCGGGATTTGCCATGGCTGCGTCAGAGGATTCACGCGTCCCGTTGCCCTCGGTGGAAGAACCCGAGGGGGCAGACATTCCTACAGCGAGAGAAAAGGCGTTACGACTGATAACCTGTTTTACGGCAATCTAGCCAAAACCCTGCAGCAATAACACACTGTTTTTCTTGAGGCAAAGCAACACGGTTGTATGGGATAATGAGTATGTACAGTGATACATATTTACAAGAAACATATACGTATATATATATATATATATTCATTCATCCATCAAATCCCCAAATCACCATAAATGGGTGGCATACAGCATCAACATTAGGGTGGTTTATGGCATTGTTTTACCACGTTTTACCCTCATATTCATCAAACATCCGACATCTCACCTGAAGGCGTGTAGATATTGGATCAACGGCAAACTTTGCGCCGTGCCCTGCACTTCGATCCAGCTGTTCGCCAACTCGGAATGGGCCAGGCCAAACCAAACGCAGGACCTGGATGAATGATGCTGAGTCATGGGGAACAAAATGGCTGTTGTTTGGAAAATGATGGAACCAAAGTGGACTTAGTTGAGTTCTATCTATCTATCTATCTATCTAATTAATCCAATCCAATCCAAATCCAATCTAATCTAATCTAATCTATCTATATACATATGTATATACATATGTATATACATATGTATATATATATATGTATATATATATGTACATCTATCTATCTATCTAATCTAATCTAATCTTATCTTGTCTTATCTTATCTTATCTTATCTATCTATCTATCTATCTAATCTATCTAATCTATCTAATCTATCTATCTATCTAATCTAATCTTATCTAATCCTATCTATCTAATCCTATCTATCTATCTATCTACCTATCTATCTATCTATCTAATCTATCTAATCTATCTATCTAATCTATCTATCTAATCTATCTATCTAATCTATCTATCTAATCTATCTATCTAATCTATCTATCTAATCTATGTATCTAATCTATGTATCTAATCTATCTATCTAATCTATCTATCTAATCTATCTATCTAATCTATCTATCTAATCTACTAATCTACTAATCTACTAATCTACTAATCTATCTATCTATCTATCTATCTATCTATATATCTCTTTTTCTCTTTCTCTCTTTATCGCCCCTCCAAGAGTTCAGGCTGAGGCTAAAGGCGAGCTGGACCACCTAATTGAGTTGGAGTGACTCTTTGTCGTCATTTAGATGGTTCAGAATCATGTAAAATCATAGGTGGCATCACCTGCATACTAGTATCAGGAAACAATCTTCAAAGGGGTGGTGAAATATCTAAAAGATTTGCTTAAAATCCACAGGGGTCCTTTACCCATGCCTGATCGAATCGAGAGATGGGTTTAACAAATATTAACAAATGATAAGCAACGATTGTGATCTGAACATGAACCATGGAGATTTCAGAACCCCAAATCTGCAAACCTTGGTTTAGTTTAGTCTCTAGCATTGCACTCACAACTTGTGAAAAATATGGATCTTCACCCACGAATCAACCCGGAATTGGGGCCCATGGTCCTGATCATCCCTGGTCTATATCTGATATGGTTCCTGCATGGATTTACTGTGGGAAAACCACCCAATGCCAAAAACCATCCCCAAAATAAATCAAAATAATGCATGATTCTGAATGGGTTGTAAAAACCGTCCCAAATGGCAGGTTTATCCCATTGAGTTTGCCAAAGAAGAGAGTCTTTACCCAAATGTCTGCATGTTGTCCTGAACTTCTGAGCCCAACTTTCAGCTCTGATTGTGGTGCGTGTCAAAATTTCATATAAAGCCCAACAACTGATGCCCCTCCACACAATGCGGCTGATCTGCGCAATGTGCTCAAACAACAACATGAAGGTGGACGTGTTGAAAAACGTCACCACGAGCATCACCCTTGGCAGTTGGTGATTGTGCCAGCAACTTCCGATTCTGACGTGAGCACAAAGGCTCCCTTGGGATCCCCGGAACTAAAGGCAAACAACTTTGAGCACAGGCCTGCTGGCTGGCAATGATGATATTCTTGGCGGAGGAAAAAACCAAAGCCAATTCGCAAGTGCCAAAATGACGCACTCTTCTCGCACACATTGGTTGCTAGAAAGGTACTGCTGATCATAAGAAAGAACAATAAGAACATGAGTTCAATTAGTATCATATAGAGATACTTTTTTTTGGGGGGGAGGTGGGGTAGTCAATATAAACATGTTGATGACATATGACATATGTATATAATTAAATATATATATATACACATGATTACACATGCATGTTACATTTGTATGTCGACAATTGTCCACATACAGTATGGAGTCTTAGAATTGATGTCCATCAGGGCAGGGGAGGCGCTCACTTCCCCTGTTAGTTCACCCGCTATTCATTGGAACTGCCGTGAAGCCCATTTTGGCTGGGTCTATGATTTACTTTCCAGTAGATTAACAGTTTGACCCTGAGAATTGCCAACCTTGGGTGGAAAGCAATCTTCCAACCCCCCTATTACGAGGGGTCTATGGTAGTTTGGGGGCCGGCATTGGTAGTTTCTTACAACGTGCACGCTGGAGTTAAGGCCATTGTTCAAAGATTTTTCCAAGGTCATTGTGAGATTGATACGCCTAGATTGTGGTGTCCCAAAATTGGCCCCGAATAGCATCACCTAGCTGTAATGGTAGAAATCCGCACTTGGCAGCTGGCCAAGGCAGGCCGAGTAGCCACTGCCTCCCTGTTGAAGCCGCGAATTCCTGTAGAACTCCCTCAATCTTCGCCATCCTTAGCCATCGGATACACCAGTGGGTCTTGCTGAAAACAATTACATAGTATTACATTGCCTCTCTTTGTCTCTCCTTGTCTCTCCGGGCTGTGCCCGAAGTTTTGTTGGTGAAGGAGACTTGAAGGTAGCACATGGAATAGTTCCAAGAAATCCGCAATCGAAACTACAGTACCAAAAGGCGGAAACCTTGTTGATCCTTGTTGGTATATTCATGCTTTATTTCCCTTCCCCATGCTTGCAGGTGAGACACATTGTTTCCTTGGGATATCGTCTTGAACCATTTGCTTGCGGCCCCGCAAACAATACACACACAGTAGTATATTCCCTCTAATTCCATTCCCCACGTGGTGGCTTCCCCAAAATAACGCATCAGCATCTCAGCGCGCAGGCTTTTTTCTTGATATGGTGGGTCCAAATCATCCATTTTAATGGGATTTTCCATTATAAACCATCCATTTTGGGGCATCCATGGGGATCCCCCATTTCTGGAACCCCCCATATCTACAATCCATCACTTGATGACTCCGCATTTCAGTTCGGCGCAATAGACCAAAGCACTTCACGAGGCGAACGAGGCGGCTGATGCGGAGGATGCGCACCAAGCGCGTGTAGGTCAAATCTGCAAATCTGTCCTGCGCCCCGCGACTCGGCGGCTGTTGAACGGCCAGCGTTATTTTCAGATTTGGGAGATTTCGTTCATCCATAATTCGACTGGCACGCACTTGGCCACCACTTTTTCTCGAAAAAACCAGCCACAGGTTCTATCAGTTTCTGTTTCTACATTATTTTCCTACTTGTAGATGTCTTGACCATGATCGTCACCAGCTCCGGCTCCTCCATCCAGGTGTGAGCCACTGTGAAGTAGTCAAGGACAACCAAGGACGCGTCCAACAAAAACCAGGTGAAGAGGTAGTGTTTGGCAATTTCTCGCTGCGAAGTGATCAAAGAGCCCTTTGCAAAGTAGCTGGTGTTGAAGTTCCTGCAATCTGGAAATGCTAAGTTTGCTGCAACATGCTGCAACTGTTTATGAAAAGTCAGCGTGCCACCTGGCAATCAAATCAGGCAATCTCTCTCTCTCTCTCTCCTCTCTCTCCATCGCCCTGCAATGGAATCCAACATTTAAAAAAAACATTTAGCATCATTTAGCTACAAATTGTACAAATTGCTGATTTAGGCCAGGTTGGAGTACCAAGGATCTATCACAACATTGGGTCCAACAGCTTCAAACTCGTCCGGTGGAGGTCATTGCATGACTGCCCCAAAGGTAAGCTTCCCAATATTTGGAGATTTCCTAAGTCATTGGGGTACCTCCCAGTCATTCAAGTCATGGACCATGACTTGGTATTGGAACAACCATGGTGACGGCCGGAGATCCCCCATGACTTAAGAAATCACCATTGGTGGCTGTCATCAGCTCCGCTCAGCCAAGGTTCAGGAGAATATCCAGGCTCCAGAACACCAAACCCACCATGAAAATCACCAAGAAGACGGTGCTGCTTGTGGTGGTGGTATCCTCGGATATTCCCCATGGATCCCCATGGTGGATTGCCAGTCATGGTGGATTGGGACTTGCCCTTGGGGCAAAAAAAATCACCAAACCATCCATCATCTCAGATCTCAGATCTCAGCCAGGAGTCTTTCTCCCATTCCCATGCAAAAGACACGGGTAGAAGGCATGCGTCCAGGAACAGCAAGAACATGGCCACGGAGTCCTCAGACATAGTCTACGTAGTCTGACCGTGCGACCCCACACTGGGATGATTGCAGTTGGAACCAGATCGAGAACCCCCAGGTTTCTTAACGAGAAATCGTTGCTTCCCTGCGAAGGATTGAAGTTATACCGACTTCAGAGATTATCCCAACACACCGATAGATTGATTCAAGAAACATCTGGCTTCTGAGGACACAAAACACGAATAGGTATGATGTGACGAACATGTATAGGCCTTGTCTTTCCAACAGCCTGTCTCAAAGATCAACATCCCAAATCAGGAGGGGAGGTAAGACATAATATAATGCCGACCCTGGAGTAATAAACCCCTTGGCTGTTTAATTGGGAGATACCGTTTCAGTATCAGATTCTCACTATTTGGGGAGTGCCCCCTAATTAATACACCGTGGTGATTATGATCCAGAGTTGACACTATATAGACACACACACACATATATATATATACATATTATATACACAAATAATTTATTTTATTATATATATTAATATATTAATACATATATAAATATATATGACATATCGCCTTTTCTACTCATCCCGCAAAAATGGCGAATTGAGATCACTGTCCAAGGTATGATAAAACATAAACGAAGGATTGAAGCAGCACCAGCCAAGTAACGATCCATAACACCTATTTTTCAGCACCGCGAAGATCCATTAAGATTGTGAGAAGATGGGAGAAGTACCAAACAATAAACAAATCTCTAAAACTCCGAAAAATTAAAGTCCTAACAAAAACAATATACCCTCTGGTAAACTAACATAGCGAACTGGAAAATCACCATCGTTAACTTCGGTAAATCAACTAATTATGTCTATGGGCCATGGCGTCAATAGCATACTGTTAGTCATTACCAGAGGGTGATCCCAGTATATCCGATATCCATTTATATCCATTTATATCCATTTATATCCATTTATATCCATTTATATCCCACTAAATCACCCAGTATATCCCAAGAAGCTTGGATATTCCGATGGCTATTCACCTGGTGTAACGGTTCAAATAACGCATCCAAAACGGCGCGTTAAGGCCACAAACGGTGACTTTTTTAATTAAGCCGGGCTTCCCAGGCCACTCGCAAGCGACCGCCAGGATGAAGGGATTGGAGGAAGAGGTGTTGCCTGATGTTTTTTTGGACGTGGTAACTGGATAGAACAATGATATGTATATGATATCTATATACTGTAGTATGGTGATTTTCCAATACATCATCTGAAAAACTGGATAGAATCAACTGTATATATAGTACAGTATATAGTATAGTATATGGTGAAGATATAGTGATGTAGATATAGTATATGGATGTATTACATTGTATTACTGGATGTATATGGAGTATAGTTATAGTATATAGCAACTGGAGTGTAGATATAGCTATAGTATATGATAGGATATGGAGATAGGTGTAGCTTTAAGCTTTTTGAAGCAAATTAAAAAATGAACATTTCAAAACAAATATTGCCAACATGCAAACCGTATTGGAAAAAACATGTTCTATCTACTTCAGCATGACAAAAATATGACATAGATACTTGGATATATAGTTAGTGTGCCCTCCGGTAATCGAACATGGCAACGGAAAATCCAGCATTCGTAGTTGATGTTCCCATCAAACCTGCAAGTCATACAGGATTTTCAATTGGCATGTTTGAGGACACCGGAGAGCAACTGGGGGGGTACTTTTCTTCGAATATCCCACTTGTGACACTTACTTCTAGCCCACAATGAAGCTTGAAGACGGACATCCTGCAGCTATTGCTTCTCCTCTGGTAATTTGTTGCAATGGAAAATGCATGAACAAGGCCCATTGATAGATGATTGACCTATTGAAACTTGTGATTTTCCATAGCGAACAATCGTCATTTGAGATCATCATTGCAGCTTCCATGCCATGTCTGGTTGTCGGGTCTCAGCCCCAAGAATATTAACCTCCCAGTTCTGGTTGAAAGAAGCAGCATCATATTGAACCACTCAGTGAGGATTCACTTCGACTTTACCTCTTACCGTCTGGTAAACTAACATAACTATAGAAGATCACCATTTTGAATAAGTAAATCAACTATAAATGGGGTACTTTCAATAGCTATTTTGACATAACCAGAGGCTATTTTTCGTTCTGGTGAACTCCCCAGAGCTTGGTGAACTCCCCAACTGCCCGACATATCGTTTCGCGAGGAGGTTTTCTTCGAAGGTCGGGGCTTGGAGGATTTTCGAGCAGCATTCCTGGCGCCACGCCACGCTCCTAAAAGAAATGCAAAGTGGGATGATCCTCTCAGCATTTTGAGCAAATTCTCTCAAAGAATTCTCATTCACTACAATGAACTGCCCACCATGCCGCATGTTGGTTGCCTTATTTTCATCCAACTAACTATAAATATCGCCATAAACCTTAGATATATGAGCATACACCTTAATTCAACTATATACTTATTGCCACCACCGCCTTTTAGAGAGCCCCGTGCATGGTTTCCATGGGATAGTCATGTGCCAGTTTTCCATCTTTTTGGGCCACTACATGTTAGTCTAATGGAGGCATGATCATCCCCCTCTTGTGAAACTAGCCTCCAGTATATAAACTCACATGGCTATCGAAAACTGTCATTTTTTAATAGCTAAATCAATGTAAATCATCTCTCAGCTATTTTCGTCCATCTTCCATTCGCAGCAAGAGCTTGTCCGAGGATATCCCATGAAATCCCCATGATATCAGCGTGTTCGGTAAACCCCGAGCCACGCACCCTGCAGGCCCTGCGTTTCACATCGGCGCCTGAACTCCGCCACCGCTGCGTTGGCATCGCATTGCATGGAGAGCTGAAGCCAACGGTTGTGCAAGCGGAAGTCGCTCCCGAGCTCGTTGCGCACGGAATGGAGGGGTCCTCGAAACGAGAAATCGCGGGAGATTTGCCAGCTAAAAGTCAGTACAGTCAGTTGTAGAGCTAGATTGTATAAGGATAAGAATATATCATTCAAATAATATAGAACAGTCATTATATAATTCTTATCATTATGAAATCCTTTCATATCCTTTCCCGCTAATGTTGAGAATTCCCAGCACGAAACCCGGGTTTAGTATTGCTCCTATTTATTTTGGAAACCTCCTGGGCACAGCTGGATGAGGGTCTGAAATTTTGGAGAATCAACCAGTAGAATATATGTATATAGAACATACCATATTATAGAACATACTAACCATGTGTATACCATATGCTGAGGACATCATTATTGAAGCTGACGAGGCATGGGCGATTCCCATGTCACTTTGTGAGGGCATTTTTTCTTGCGGTGAAGCCGCCAGACTCAAGGTGTGATTCCCAGTGGGCATGGGCTATTGTTGTATGGCATCATCATAATCATAAACATAATAGCAACAACAATAGCAACAGTAACTGTGACAATAATACTACCAAACCCTGCTTGGTCGTTCATTTGCAATTGCAGGTTGTCACAAAACAACTATATATATATATATATGTATAGATGGGTAGCAACACATGAGGGTTGAAGATATAACATGAGTGATTATCATTCTACTTGGTGGTTCACCCCAATCAGGAAGGACAGGTTGGTTCACCCCAGTTGGTTCACTGGACATGGCCATGGCTCCCGTACCCCTGATGAACTGGGGTGAACGAAGCCACTATTAGTGACACCAGTCAGGGGGCATTTTTTACCAGGGTTAGCGCCTACAAAAAGTAGGATGATCCTCCAAGTTGACTGCATCGTCAGATGAGACTTGTCGTTGTGGATGATGTTTCTTTGTTCCATGTCAATTTTAATCTCACTTTAATCTATCATAATCTATCTATCTATCAGTGTCATTCATTATCTATCTCACTAGTTGAGTTCATTCCTAACGCGCCATAGTTCTCAAGCAGAATATGCCCACCAGGTCGCTGGTCGAAACTTGATCCCCTGTGAAATATTTATGTTTTATTACCAAGTAATGGATAGATATGTGGTATTTTACACATAATATAATATAATATAATATAATATATATGTATATATATATACACACTTATAATCACTTATATACATATACGTAGATGATTGTGATATGTTTTTATAACTGTTATCATTATCACTATTCTCACTAGGATTATGAAAAACAACTAATCATCAAGTGGGATGATCCTCCAAGTGGGGACTTGCTAGAATTAAATCCCATCAAAGCTCATTAAACCTTATGGAAAATCACCATTTTGGTGAGCTAAATAAATCCATTTAAATCCCTATTTTTGTCAGAACAGGAACTGTGGGAGTGCAACTTCCTGCATATGCCTTAGTCTTAAAAGCCTCAAACTTTTCTGGTTACAAACCACGCATGAATTAGCATGTCAAACTTTAACCTACGTATATTTAACCCAATGCATTGTCTTGAAGGCAAAGTGCAGCTTATGAATGAAAGGTATATTATGAAATGAAGACATCGCTTCTGCCAAGGGAACACTATATCTTTGTATACCTTTGACATTCTTTTACGTGAATGCCTCATAATTTTCATGGGTGATCAAAAGATTCAAAAGGGTTGCATTTGCAGCTGTTTCAAAATAGTTTAGCTTACTAGGGTGTAGCAATCTCTCATACTGTTTCCCTTCCACCGTGATTTGTAATTTTTAACGCTTTTTTTGGCTGGCGACATCTTCATTCGGAGGAACATTTTGGCAGGGACATTACATTACAGCAGGCATGATGATGTTTATGAAGAATTAGCACCATTTTTTTAAAATATGACCAAAAAAAAAGGCACTCCCACAGTCCCCCGCTCTCATTTTGTTGGGGAGATACCCCCCATGCCATGGATCCAGACTCCCCAAGTCATCCAAGGCACCAAAGGATGTGTAACGTCGCTTCGGCGTCATCGCCATCGCCTCGACACGCCTGGATGTCGCCGAGCAAAACCCATAGGAAAATGGTGGATTTCACCCACAAATTCCATGGGATTTTCAACAACCAAAGCAACAAAAATCAGATTTTCGAGTGGATTTTAAAGATACATAATATTGGACGCTGATTAGTGTAGGGCCCCCCAAAGAATTTTGATCTACTCATTAGCTCGCGATTTTTTGGCGACCAGGTCTGGGGGACTCAGGATGATCAACTCAAGTAAGTGTTTCAAGTGAAATCAGCTTACTTTCAATTCATTTGAATCTACTTTCAATTGATTTTCCTTTTGAACCTCAAAGAGATCTATTGATAAGAAAGGATTTCAATTGAAATCAACTTACTTTCAATTCATTTGAATCTACTTTCAATTGATTTTCCTTTTGAACCTCAAAGAGATCTATTGATAAGAAAGGATTTCAATTGAAATCAACTTACTTTCAATTCATTTGAATCTACTTTCAATTGAAATCAACTTACTTTCAATTCATTTGAATCTACTTTCAATTGATTTTCCTTTTGAACCTCAAAGAGATCTATTGATAAGAAAGGATTTCAATTGAAATCAACTAACTTTCAATTCATTTGAATCTACTTTCAATTGACTTTCAATTGATTTTCCTCTTGAACCTCAAAGAGATCTATTGATAAGAAAGGATTTCAATTGAAATCAACTTACTTTCAATTCATTTGAATCTACTTTCAATTGAAATCAACTTACACTTCAATTCATTTGAATCTAATTTCAATCGATTTTCCTTTTGAACCTCAAAGGAGATCTATTGATAAGAAGGATTTCAATTGAAATCAACTACTATTTTCCAATTTCATTTGAATCTACTTTTCAATTGAAATCAAACTTACTGTCAAATTCATTGCAATCACTTTCAATTGATTTTCCTTTTGAAACCTCAAAAGAGCTCTTGATAAGAAAGGATTTCAATGAAATCAACTAACTGTCAATTCATTTGGATCTAATTTCAATGATTTTCCTTTTGACCCTCAAAGAGATCTATTGATAAGAAAGGATTCAATTGAAATCAACTTACTTTCCAATGCATGTGAATATACTGTCAATTGAAATCAAATTACTTTCAATTCATTGGAATCTACTTTCAATTGATTTTCCTTTTGAACCTCAAAGAGATCTATTGATAAGAAAGGATTTCAATTGAAATCAACTTACTTTCAATTCATTTGAATCTACTTTCAATTGAAATCAACTTACTTTCAATTCATTTGAATCTACTTTCAATTGATTTTCCTCTTGAACCTCAAAGAGATCTATTGATAAGAAAGGATTTCAATTGAAATCAACTTACTTTCAATTCATTTGAATCTACTTTCAATTGAAATCAACTTACTTTCAATTCATTTGAATCTACTTTCAATTGATTTTCCTTTTGAACCTCAAAGAGATCTATTGATAAGAAAGGATTTCAATTGAAATCAACTTACTTTCAATTCATTTGAATCTACTTTCAATTGAAATCATCTTACTTTCAATTCATTTGAATCTACTTTCAATTGATTTTCCTTTTGAACCTCAAAGAGATCTATTGATAAGAAAGGATTTCAATTGAAATCAACTTACTTTCAATTCAGTTGAATCTCCTTTCATTGAAATCATCTACTCACTTTCATTTTCATGTGAATCTACTTTCAATTGATTCCTTTTGAACCTCAAAGAGATCTATTGATAAAAGGATTTCAATTGAAATAAACACTGTTCAATTCATTTGAATATACTTCACAAATTGATTTTTACTTTTGAACCTCAAAGAGGATCTATGATAAGAAAGGATTTCAATTGAAATCAACTTACTGTCAATGCATGGGAATCTACTTCAATTGAAATCAATGACTTCAATTTCATTTGATCTACTTTCAATTGATCTTCCTTTTAAACCTCAAAGAAATCTGTTGATAAGAAAGGATATTAAAATCAATTTACTTTCAATTCATTTGAATCTACTTTCAATTGATTTTCCTTTTCGACCTCAAAGAAATCTATTGATAAGAAAGGATATTAAAATCAATTTACTTTCAATTCATTTGAATCTACTTTCAATTGATTTTCCTTTTCGACCTCAAAGAAATCTATTGATAAGAAAGGATATCAATTGAAATCAATTTACTTTCAATTCAATTGAATCTACTTTCAATGAAAATTACAACTCTTACGTTCAATCATTGAATCTACTTTCACTTGATTTCCGTTTGGAACCTCAAAGGAGGACTATTGATAAGAAAGGATTTCAATTGAAATCAACTAACTTTCAATTTTTTTTCATCTGAATCTACTTTCAATTGATGTTCCTTTGAACCTCAAAGAGATCTATTGAATAAGAAAGGATTTCAATTGAAAATCAACTTACGTTCCAATTTCATTTGCATCTACATTCAATTGATTTTCCTTTTGAACCTCAAAGAAATCTATTGATAAGAAAGGATTTCGATTGAAATCAATTTACTTTCAATTAAATTGAATCTACTTTCACTTGAATTTCCTTTTGAACCTCAAAGAAATCTATTGATAAGAAAGGATTTCAATTGAAATCAATTTACTTTCAATTAAATTGAATCTACTTTCACTTGAATTTCCTTTTGAACCTCAAAGAAATCTATTGATAAGAAAGGATCTCAGTTGAAATCAACTTACTTTCAATTCATTTGAATCTAGTTTCAATTGATTTACCTTTTAAACATCAAAGAGATCTATTGATAAGAAAGGATTTCAATTGAAATCAACTTACTTTCAATTCATTTGAATCTACTTTCAATTGAAATCAACTTACTTTCAATTCATTTGAATCTACTTTCAATTGATTTTCCTTTTGAACCTCAAAGAGATCTATTGATAAGAAAGGATGTCAATTGAAATCAACTTACTTTCAATTCATTTGAATCTACTTTCAATTGATTTTCCTTTTGAACCTCAAAGAGATCTATTGATAAGAAAGGATTTCAATTGAAATCAACTTACTTTCAATTCATTTGAATCTACTTTCAATTGATTTTCCTTTTGAACCTCAAAGAGATCTATTATATCTATTGATAAGAAAGGATTTCAATTGAAATCAACTTACTTTCAATTCATTTGAATCTACTTTCAATTGATTTTCCTTTTGAACCTCAAAGAGATCTATTGATAAGAAGGGATTTCAATTGAAATCAACTTACTTTCAATTCATTTGAATCTACTTTCAATTGATTTTCCTTTTGAACCTCAAAGAGATCTATTGATAAGAAAGGATTTCAATTGAAATCAACTTACTTTCAATTCATTTGAATCTACTTTCAATTGATTTTCCTTTTGAACCTCAAAGAGATCTATTGATAAGAAAGGATTTCAATTGAACTCAATTTACTTTCAATTCGTGTGAATCTACTTTCAACTGATTTTCCTGTTAAACCTCAAAGAAATCTTTTGATAAGAAGGAATTTCAATTGAACTCAAATTACTTTCAATTCGTGTGAATCTACTTTCAACTGATTTTCCTGTTAAACCTCAAAGAAATCTTTTGATAAGAAGGGATTTCAATTGAAATCAATTTACTTTCAATTCATTTGAATCTACTTTGAATTGATTTTCCTTTTGAACCTCAAAGAAATCTATTGATAAGAAAGAATTTCAATTGAAATCAACTTATTTTCAATTCATTTGAATCTACTTTCAATTGATTTTCCTTTTGAACCTCAAAGAGATCTATTGATAAGAAAGGATTTCAATTGAACTCAACTTACTTTCAATTAATGTGAATCTACTTTCAATTGATTTTCCTTTCAAATCTAAAAAAACAACACCCCAAAAGGTTTTGTGCACAATAGGGTGCCATCCAAACAATTACATTATTGAGGATCTCGGTCACTATGGGGTACCCTCTCGAAAAATTGTTTGGGTGCTGTTTTTAGATAAGGGTTTAATAAGGCATCTAATTATTTGCGGAACCTTGCATTTTCAAGGCTTTAACATGGATATGGTTTTCTAAAGTAAATGGATCAGCTTTACCCAAAGAAAGGTGGATAAAGGTTTTGTGTTTTTTCACCCCAAAAGGCTTTGTGCACAATAGGGTACCATCCAAACAATTGCATTATTGAGGATCTCGGTCACTATGGGGTACCCTCTCGAAAAATTGTTTGGGTGCTGTTTTCAAACAAAGGTTTAATAATGCATCTAATTATTTGGGGAACCTTGCATTTTCAGGGCTTTAACATGGATATGGTTTTCTGCAGTAAATGGATCAGCTTTACCCAAAGAAAGGTGGATAAAGGTTTTGTGTTTTTTCACCCCAAAAGGTTCTGTGCACAATAGGGTACCATCCAAACAATTGCATTATTGAGGATCTCGGTCACTCATGGGGTACCCTCTCGAAAAATTGTTTGGGTGCTGTTTTTAGATAAGGGTTTAATAAGGCATCTAATTATTTGCGGAACCTTGCATTTTCAAGGCTTTAACATGGATATGGTTTTCTAAAGTAAATGGATCAGCTTTACCCAAAGAAAGGTGGATATATAAAGGTGGATAAAGTTCATCCTGAACAAAAATTGGATCTGAGAAAAAACTTCTCACAAAAGAGCCAAACCCCCGACAAACGGCAAGATACTCAATTGGTCAGGGAAAAAAACCTCACAATAGAGAGCCAGGACACTAATCGGTGTACTACACTAAGTTGGTTTTCTTACTATAGAAGCTAACTACCATTAATGGTGGATATCCCTGCAGTACCCCAGAGAATTCTACAGTTGGATTGGTTCAAAGACAAATTTCTAGCTGGGATGACCCATAGGTCAGTCCCGACCCGCAGATGTTCATCATGCATAGTGAGTACCCATAGGTCAAGTCGATGACATGAGACATAGAGATACGCAAAATTACCAAAGTTCTTGACCATGATTATATATAATATATAATATATTTAATATAATATATATATACAATATATAAAATAAATTGAATATATAATATATTTAATATATAATATAAATATAATATATAATATATTTAATATATAGCATATAATATATATAAAATATATTTAATATATAAAAAATATAATATATATAATATACAATATATTATATAATATATACAGTGTATTTTATACATATAATATTATATATAATATAAAACATAAGATATATAATATATAGTATATAATATATATATAGTATATTATATTTATAATATATTATATATAATATATATTATATATAATATATTATAAATATATTATATATAATATATATTATATATAATATATAATATTTATAATATATAATAAACTATAATATAAAATATATGATATTTATAATATATACAATATATATAATATATACAATATATATAATATATACATTATATATATAATATATAATATATAAAATATATTATATATAATATATATAATATGTATATAATATAATATATATATATATATATCATACACTGACTAATTTAAAGATCCTTTAAAGTGAGATTGTCGTGTCGTGCCACTGTTTCTTCCTCATACAAATCTTTCTTTACAAAATCTGCATCGAATGCCTTCTGGGATTATTCATATGTCTGAAAACGGGCTACCTCCAAAAAATCTAGCAGTTTATAATCAAATATAATCATGTTCCCCCAAAAAGCATAGCAGAACATAGCATAACATGGCGCCAATTGGAGCTATGCCAACAATTTTCGACACGAAACATCGACTTGTCGCGCCTCAATCGATGCTCTTCCAAGGCTGGAGGTTCTTGCACCCAGACCTCGGGATGGCCCATATTTGAAACCCAGTGATATGTGGAACGCGAAAAAACCAGGGGACTTACAATTCATCAATTCACTATAGGTCTTGTGACACACCACTTATATACGATTTGTGGGACCAAGGAGGGATATGACTAATATGGAAACAAGATAGTCATGGGGATATCTCGGCACATTTTTGTGGATTCAAATGGATTCAACAAATCCGGCCGGAGGAGGAGGTGAAGAAACGAGGTTTTCCCAGCAGCCTTTTGCGGTAGCAAAGAGAAACAGGTGAGGTCAGAAACAGACCATGAGACATGAGATGCCAACCTAAAACCATGAAGATCCATACAGTCCTGAAGAAACTATATAATAAACTCAGATATATCCTAAACTTAATACTAGTAGTAGCACTATATGATCGTAATTTTTACTTGCTGAGGATATGTCATGGGAATATTATGCTAGCCAGTTCATGGGGATATAGTGGGGATATGATGGGATATGAATGGATGTGATATTTGGATATGTCTGAAAATAGGGGTTACATCGAAAAAACATGCTTTGATGGAACACTTGTGATAAACCAATATTAACCATCAGTTGTCTTTCTTGTTTTTTTTTTTTTCGGTGCACTCATGGTACACATTTTTCATTACATCTTAAATAGGAGGTCAGCTGGGATCAGATCCAAAGGTGGCAAGGGAGGTGGCCCGTGATCGAAAAATCGCAGCTGCTAAACTCGTCAGAATTTTACCAGAAATGGTTTGTAAAACGGAAAATAGCCACTGCCAATTTATGGAATGGGTTCTTTTTCTTCCCAAATATAAAAAATATGTGGGTTCTCCGCACTTTTCTGTATACCGTATACCCCATTGATATTTATGATGCTCACATCTTTTCGCGTCTGTTTTACTAGAAAGGTTGGGTGTAAACCTGTGGAAAACCATCCTTAACGGGTCCTGAAGACAACCACTAGGATTTATGCTAGTATCTATAGGTAATAATTACCAAGCAACAACCATAAAAAGGGGGAGGACTTTTTTGATCCAGAAAGTCATCATCCAAAATCGCACAACATCTCTGAGATTGCATCATAATTGCGATAAGCACTCAACTAGACGCCCAAGAGAAACTGGTGTAGCTGACCAGCTTAGTGGAGCTTTCTTCCAAACTTGAATGCATATGAACAGCCCAAAATGATATCGTGGCTTTGCAGCACTTCCTATTACTATACATGAACTTACTGTAATTCCTTGAAATTACTTGTCGCAGCAAAACATGAAACGTGCATGCCAGTGAGCCAGTACCTGTGGGTCTTTCTGTGGTATTTGCTCTTGCCTTTGTGGAGGTCATCCACTTTCTCCAACTATCAGGGTACCCGAGCAAAAAAACAACAAGCTCCAGCACTTTTTGCTGCGTGACTTGTCAATGTTACGTATGTCTTCATCCGTCCTGGCTCAAATGGCTGGTGTTTTTTTTGGCAACTTATGTGGTAAACCCAATGTGAAAGTACGTAAGCCCCACTGCGAGAAGGGTCCAATCTAATAATAGGTGTGTCCTGAAAATTGTACCCGCCATTTTCGTCGCAAAAAAAGAGGTTCTAATCCATTGGGTTCCGGGCTGCAGCCCAAGGACCCCAGAGCTCTCCACGCTCTTGCGATAGGGAGTGAAATCTTTGAAGGCCTGGGCTCCAGACTGGAAAGGATGGAACAGGCCATGATTCAGATGTTGGTTAGGGGAGGTAGCCTCTGGTAATTCAACAGTTTGCTGTGAAAAATCATTTTCTTTCTTCAAAAGTAAATCATCTATCAATGGGCAATTTTTATTCATTTTCTATAGCAAACTGCAACAAATTACTGGAGGGTAAAGAGCTGCACTGAAACTTGGAACCAATCATGATGTCCATTGGTGAACCCACCTGACAAGTTCGAATGATCAAATTTTGGGTCAAGTAAACCAGCAGCATCTTGGAGCTCAGCTCATGGCTTCCTACATGTCCAGTCATTGTGAGATCTTCAACCACGCCTGTTCCTGCTTGGCGGTTTCCATCGCAAAAATATTCTAGGTCTATATATTGGTCATCATCTCATACACGATGAAAGAGAAACACACACACAAACAATCACAGACACAGACACACACACACATACACACATAGAAACAAGGATGACTGAAACCACCAGATTTTTGGATGTTTCTCTGACAGTTCAGCCAAGATTCACATGGGTCCAGCGATCTCGATCCCTGAGACGGGGGGCACTGCCAACCAGCCAGGAGAAATCTGGAAGTCCATGCTGTCAATGCTACCCACAGCACGCCCGAAACAACTAGAGCACACACACACACATATATAAATCTGTGTGTGTACAACTACATAGACTATAAACAATACAGCATGGCCCACACAACGGGCAGGATTTGTCGGCTTTTGCTTCTCAGCCCTTTGGGCTGACCCATAGAACTTCCATGCAACTTGCAATCCAGGTCCATCCCTGTAGCAGACTCCTCAGATCTATTTTGGGCACGCCTATAAATACAGAATATGAATATATATATATATAAATATATACATATGGAATAAACAAATAACTATATAAATATATATAATTATATATAATTAAATATATATCAATATTTCACAAACCATAAATCATCAAATTTTTGGGATGATCCCCCTACTAACCATCATGGTGAGGTCATTCCAAGGTCGGGGTCGCTAGATCCATCCCCTCTGATCCCTCTGGAAGGAGAATGGCAAGAGGCCCCGGTGGCATCTGTGAAGGATGTACTGGACCTGGCAGCCTTGGTCGTGCGTCATGACGTACCCTAGGTATGTCATGGGTATCATGATGACGGTCCCGTCTCACAGCTGCATTGAAGAACTTGGGGGTGAGCGGTTCTACAAAATCACATCTCGTTTAGGAAATGAGGATGTATTCTCTCGGCAACATTTTGCCACATGTTGCACCAACATTGTTTGCTTGGCCGGATCCTTCCGGATACATAAGCTTGAAGCGCCGACGTCTGGCCGCGTTTGTTTCGCCAAGTGGCATCATTCCAGATCTTTGGGTTCACTGAGATGGAGCCACCTCCCTGATGGCTGGTGGCGGCCATGGAACTTCATCCTGGGGAATTTTTCATTCCTGATTTGGTGAGAACAAAAGAGACACATATGACAAAACACCAGAGATTCTCGAACTGTTTGATCTGTTTTCAAGATCTGACCTGGCTGAAACATGCTGATGCTGAAGGACCTAGGAATGACCTAGGCCACACATGTCATTGTAAAATAAAACCATGGATCTGACCTTTCTGGATTTGCGGGTCTTTCAAAACTTGGAGTTTTTTGTTTCTTCAAAAATATGAAACATGTTGTTCCTTGTTGTTTGTCCGAAAAAAACAACAGGCAAATCAAACGACGTTTGCTACCTTACCTCATATTGAAAACCAAAGAAGGGATACCACTGCATCATCCATCACAAGTCCGAAGTTGTGACCCTCTTTCACAAGTCCAATCATACGCGAATTGTCGGGCTCTATGGTCGTGATTTTACCACCGTTCATCTTGTTGCTCAGTTTCCGTCCATTAATTTCCTGAGGGAATTATCGAACTAAGTGCTGGATTTCCAAATGCCACGTCTAAATCCCATTCATTCATCAATGGCTGGTATAGATGGAAACTCCCTTGGTTCGGTGATTTTCCCAGCTGTAAACCTTCATTTGGTTCGTGGATTTCCATCAAATGATTCTCCCATCAAACCCCTAAACCATCCTAAACCCAGGTTTATGTGAGTTAAATCCCCATGCGAAATCCCAATGGTAAATCCCATTGTTGGTTTCCACCATACCCTCTTGTAAACTAACACAACTATTAAAATGGTCCTTTTATAGTGATTTGCTATGAAAAATAGCAAACGGTTAGTTTACCAGAGGGTAAATCCTATGGTATTGCATTATATTATATCCCTATAAATCAGGCTAATCCCATTGTTCGTTTCCCAGACATAGGTGGAACACTCACATCACCATCCCATGCCACGTTCAACGTCCGTCCCGAGCGGCATCGGCGTGGAGCTCATGAAGCGTTCCCGGCGAGGTGCGAGCGGTTTGATGGAGACCATGGTTGAGCCCATGGCCGGCCTCGCGGACAGTTGTGGTAAATACTTCGGGTTTAAATCATATGTATTGCATATATATAGTGTATACATGGGATATGCATAGGAAATACATAGGTCCGGTACATATATATGTATATATATTTATACATGTATAACTGTATAATATAATATAATATAACAATATAATATAATATAATATATATATGGGAAACTGATAGGGTGTAGCAACAGGGAAGGGCCATCAATTTTGGGCCCAATATGGTCCAATATTACATTTAATTATTGATTAGTATCCCGCAAAATTCCTCATATTCAAACCCATTGATTCATATTATTGGTTACTGTAATGTACCAAAATATACATTCCCAAATTCATAGCCATTGGTTCATATTATTGGTTAATATCCAATAATATCACCCATATTCATACCCAGTATTGGTTAATATCCCATATTTTTGGTTAATGTCCCATTGGTTAATATTCATGATTGAATTACTGGTGAATATCCCATAACATTCCCCGTATTATCCCGTAGTAATACATCTTCATAGCAAGAGACAAAAGAACCAAAGTACCCAAGGTTGATGCACAACCCACCAGGTTGGTGATAGTTGATGGCTTCAACGGTTCATACCCATTGATTGCCACTTGAAGTAGCCAGGCCTTGCCCAGATTTCGCTCCACATTCACAATTTTTTCGCGCAGCCGCGCAGCAAAAATGTCCTGAGGGCGCCCATCAGCCCCGCCGATCACAGAAGGGAAAAACATTTGAGCAGAAGGGTGATGGGGAGAAGAGCGAAGAAAACAATGGACATGCTCCATGATCGTATGCACGAGTCTATCCGCACGTTCTGGGACCTAAAGAAGCCAGAACAACGAGACAAAAAGGATGGCAACCACAAAAGCGCGAGTCAATCCGCGCGCTCCAGTGGGGATACCGGAGCCACTGGCTACTAGAGGGAATTAGAATGGGCAGCGGAGCTTTTCAGAGCCCACAATTAGTATATATAGAATACTTAGAATACATACTGGTAGATAGATTTAAGGGCCCCCAAAATGGCGATTGTAGTACGTAGAGGAATTGATGGTCATCGGATGGATTTTGTTGTACCATTTTTAGACAAAACAACTTATATATATATATCTCAATATGTATATGCATCAATATTATATGCATATGTAAATGCACATGTGTATGCGTATGTATATCCATAGGTGATCATACGTGTATGCATATGATCCGCTTGTAGATCATTTCGGATCCACACATTGGGTGGTTATAAGCCGCAAAAAAAAACCATATTTTTTCACAACAATGGTGATACTCAGCCACAACAAAAGGCTATCTTGAAGCAAATTTCCCCAGCCTTCCAAAGGGTGACCCCAATGACAGCCCACGAGAAATCTTTCTCAGCAGGGCTCGGCTTTCCAAAGTAAGGACCTATGCATCGCAAAAACATCATTGAAACCAACAAGATTGTGCACATCACCACACCACTCGGCTATGCCAAGCAGCAAACTCTGCCCTCAGAGTCTGTACTGCCTGAAGGGGAGGAACTTGAGGCTGTTCCTGTCAGTTGCAGCACCCATTTTTTGCGCACACTCAGGCACTCAGCGTGGGCCTCATAGACTGCTGGATATCTAAACTTTGCGGAAAAACATCAATGACACCTTTGCAAATGATCTTCTAGATCTCTCATCGCCCAGCTTAGTTTACTAGAGAGTTGTGGGCATCCTCCCTCTCCTCCTCCTTCGGAATTATCATCATGGTGTCATTGTCATCACATCATGCATCATGCTTACATATTGTGATAACTTGCGAAAACTCCTACAATGGATTTTTCCGAGATCTTCGCACAACTATCCAAACATGTTCCAAGATCACTGGAATCACCTTTTTCCGCACTCCAATAAACAACGCATGGATTTTTCCGGCCATGCAACCGCCAGTTTTAAGCATAACGGCAGCCTCGTCCCCACACTCAGAAGATTCAGAAGCCATGGCGAGGTGCCCTGCAGGTGCCCCGTTCAATCTGCTGTAGAGCCAAGGTCAAGTGGGCGTTGTTGGTTCAGGACCACATATACATATGCAGAACGGAATATGAGAACATTCCCATGGCAAGAATCCATTGGAGTTTGGAAAGAATCACATATCACCACACATGTCTACAGATATAGATTTTACATCTGCAAAATTAAGCGCATTTGCACAACTGTCATGGGCTGCATCGCGGATCCCCGCTGCAGTTTTATTGGCAGTGGAAATGGGCCAAATCTGACACCCAAACAACCACAAAGTTTGGTGTATGTTTTTCACATCTTACTGCAAAGCTTCCAGTATTGTCTAATTTGGACTACACAAAGCCTTGATACGTGGTCAGGCTATGGATCAAGGGTATGGATAATAAATGATAATACTATCCCTTAGAGATGTATGGATCATGGGTATGGATCGGGCCTATGGATCACCATCATTGTCTCCCGGTATTACTTTTACTTCATGTAATCCCTGCCTTGCAAGAAGTATGTTGAGAAATCTCCTGACAAACATCCTGACGCATCACTCTGGCTTCTTCTGAGATGAGCAGCTGTTGTGCAGCCAACGGTTTTACCCACTGCTATCATTCTGTGGGCGAAATTCCGTGGTAAAATCCATAGTGAAATAGACTAGCATTTAAGACCTATGGCTAGATCCCTTGGCTGGTCTCTCAATCAAATTGGTCCTGTCAAAAAATCGGCTACATGACACCCAATTTGACCAATTCCCATGTCATATTGGCATGCAGTCAGGCATAGTTACCCACATGTTTGTTCACAAATCCATGGTTTTCTGGTTACAATCCCCTATGTTCGCTCATTCACTTCCCATTTCACCCATTTTCGCCCCATAAACGTGGCATTTCCCCATGGTCCCTGCGTCAATATGCCAGCCCCGGTTTTTTGACGTCTTCCCGCTGGCAACTCAGCGAATTGTGCTCCGTCTCAGGGCCTCGGCACGAAGGAATATTATGAGCTATGGCTGATTCATATGGTAGAACTATACAAACATGTATATATATATGGTATTAATATATATATATATATATATTAATTAGTCATATTATACTGTATGATATACATCTATATACATATATACATATATATATATATACATATATATACATACATATACGTACATATACATATATATATATATATATATCATACCCAAAAAAGTATATACATATTATAACATACATATACCGATATACATATACATATGTATATTGCATAAGATAGAAGTATATGTAAAAGTCTTTCGCATGTGTATATTTGCAGTGTATATATATTGTATATTGTATATATATATATATATGTATTGTAAATTGTGTATTGCAAATGTACATGTAAGCAAAAGTATACCATGTGCATGTATGTGTGTATGTATTTAAATCTGAAGATCTGTTAAGGATACAAATGGATGCAGCAATATAGTGGTGTCATGCGAGCTTGTATGGGGTGTGGCCATCCAACCTTCAAGATTCAGTATATCGGCATATCAACCCCCATGTCCAGGGTTGCAATCATCACATAAGGTCCTAACGTATCCTAAAATAGTTGAGATAGGTAGATGATAATCTTAGTGTTGGCCGTAGAACATATGATGACCAAAACCTCGTGAAAGGTAACATGGAACGCTGATAAAGTGGCTTTAAACACATGGCGCAGGGTCTTGTCAACACGCACTGAAGAGAAAGGTAGTGGATGCTGTTGGCGTAACACAAAAGAGACAAAAGCATGGTTGCTAATCAGGGTCACCAGCCAGCTTGATGTCAATCCGGGATGATTTTCAATGGTTTAGTATACCATCTATCATCATTTACCTGTTGTTAAAGGGGTTTCTTCAAACCCCTCTATTAATCAACCAGCCAATGGGAATTTGGGACATCACTGCAGGAAATCCGTGCTAGAAATCCGTGCCCTGCAGGAAATTGCCGGTTGCAACCCATCCCAAAACCATCACTGGGATCGAAATGCCATGCTTGGAGATAAATATATAATCGATTGTATAATTATATATATATACGTATATATATATATATATATTGCAATTCTTTCAATCCACCAAGCAGAATTAGTTCATGAGTGGCTTAGCCCCGTCATCACTGGGAGTCATGATGTCATGGCTTGTATGTGCCGGGTGCTGGACATCCCAAATTATCCGAACTCCCAAAGCCTTTTTGGATCTTCCTCACTCCGGGCCAGCCAGAAGTCTTTTGGCATGTCTTGGACCCTAAGTTTCTCTATGTACAGCTTGCATCTTTGCCAGCGGCGAGCCAAGAATCAGGGTGGTCAGTAGGGATATTCATCAGTCTAGCGGATTCATCAATGCCTTGAAACTGGAGGAAAAGGACCCATCAACTTGGCATGACCTCAGTGGTATCAGATCACCGGCTGGGCCAGCTGGCCACTTCCCGCCTCAAAATTGGATCCCCGCATCTGCAAAGAGTCGGATGAGAACCCGATCGAAGTTCACATCCACCTTTTGAACGTTGGCTCCGGCCTGGCTGGCTGTTCGAGACCTCCTCTGTCGTTTGGGGCCCGGCCCGGTGGTCGTTTGGTAGCTAGGCTCCCTTTGCAGTCCACATGTTTGGAATGGATGGTAACGGTGACATTGTGTTAGTCAAGTCAGCTGCTTTCGGCTCAGAGGGAGAGAGAGAGTCCACACTTGGTCGCGGTAATTTGCCATCCCCGTATGAATGGGACCTTATCGCCGTTTCGGGAACTTGGGGACGAAGACTAGATATCACCATCATCAGGCATTACTTGGAGGATCATCCCACTTAGTAACTGGTTACTAACTGGGAAATTATAACCCCAGGGGGACTTACCAACCAGGGCATTTAAGCCGTTTTGATGTTGGTAAAGGGTTGGCCAAACGCCCAGATTATCACTTACACTTACCAGGGGCTGAAGGATGGCAACGTGGGTCCGCCAAATGCTGTCTTACAGTAATGGTTCTGGGTAGCTTTCGATCCTAGGAATTTCAGTAAGCACATCTAAGGTGATTACCATGAATTCCTATGGTCTACGGTCCATGCTGATATCGTAATAACAGGTTCCCCCATGTTCCCCCTGATTTTGGAACACATTCAACATTTTTTTCATCGCTGCTCAGGCACTGAGTGCATCGTTGGCTTTTATTTTGCTTGGTTTAGGTGCGGCTCAGCAGCACAAGACAAACACATACGAAAACACATTAATTGATGCGTTGGAAGGCAATCAACAATATAAGAGTAGATCAATGAATGACCATAGGCCTTGTCAATGTATGTCAATGTATGCCAATGTCACCATCACGTGCCCAAATCGACTCACTAAAATGTTCCATAGACTTGTTCTAGATTTCCTTGTATATCCCAGTTATAAAGCATATATGATCATACATGTATATAATGTACACACAGATTTCCGTCCAGTATTTCTGGTATTTTCTCATATATGAACTACTGTATATAATGCTACTGTAAATTGAAGTAGTCTATGTGATTGACATAGTGTCACTTTCTCAGATCATCCATTCACGGGAATCATCCCACCTGAATGACATCACTATACTCCGTCATCGCCAAGTCCACCGCCAAGCGCTCTTTCCTAAGCGGTTTATGATGCAAGGCTGAGGCCCGGCAGTGGTTTGACTGCTTGGAAAGGAATCTCCATAGGAACATCCATAGAAAAGCATGCTTGCTGCAATGAACCCCCATCATTTTCGGTAGATTTTTCGTAGAACCAATTTCAAATTATACCGCGTATATATACATAAATAAATAAATAAATATATATATATATATCAGCCAGTCTCACAAGAAAACGCAGCCATGATTTCACCAACGACAGGAGCTGACTTCGAGGGATGGCTGTGGTGAAGCTTTGCTGGTCTGCTTGGCTGAATGATCTTGACCCTGAAATGAACCCTTGGAAGTTGGTAAAGTTAAAATCGGAAAACATATGAGAATGTATCAAGTAAAATGCCAAGGGTAAACTACAAATACATGAATAAATAAATACACAAATACATAGTTTATCGTGAGCGCAAATTCGTCATGCTGAAATACAACTACCATTGGGGTGGGTCCTGGCGGCATGACACCTTGGCGCCCCAGGGTTTGTCCAGGCATCTCTGAGGTGGTCATGGATGCAAGTGCTTGGATCTTGCCGATCAACTTTCCTCATCTGCGGAAGAAAACATGGATCTACCTGCATTTGGGCCATCTGGCGGCCAATTCCGATACTCGATACTTTATATATACACATATATATATATATGTATATATAAATATATACGATGCACATTGAACATGTGGGAACAGCAAGAGGCAAAAACTTTGGCAATATATGGCAGTGTCTACCCCTTGATCAACTACACACAAATTGGGCCAGCAGTGCACCAACCTATAAGTTAGTTGGGACTGCAGCCACCAACACAGAGCAATAATTACTAATAATTACAACCACTGTGACAATTTCTTGCACCCCAAATATTTTTTCTTACCTTGGGCTTGCGCTTAGGCTTTGGTACATACAATATCATAAAATGTTAGTTTGCTAAAGGGGAGACCCCTTTTCAACAACAAAACTTGCACAACAACTGGCGATTACATAAACATTCATTTTTACCGCTTAAATCACCGTTCTTGTTGGTTACAGTAAATCATCATTCAATCAGCATTTTTCTTGGGTAAATTACTATTTTGGCAACTTTTTTGTGGGGTAAATGAGGTAAATCACCATCTATGCACATTTTTTTTTGGCTATATAAATCCCCCAACCCCTCCACCCCCGGCACAACTGACCTCCCATGACATTTTGATCCAAAACTCTGCGTCCCTGAAAGGTCAACCAAACCGGCATGGTGATGGGCATGGCCGCTGCTGCGTCCGATTTCGGCTCCGACTTGGCTTTGAAGACCTCCAGATGCAGAAAGTCAATGACTTGCTGGTGCTTGGCAGGGAGGGAATGATCCATAATCACTAGTAATAATCATCCCAGCAACCCCCATGGCCATCCATATTCATCTATTCCCTACTAAGCACCAGTAAGATGAATATGTAGGGGCTGTAAATATGAATATATACACGCATTAATAGACGAATAGAGTATATAGTGAGAACGTGAATGATATGCGACCGGAACACGCCGGGAACATGAAAATCAGGGATCCAGTGAACACGAAACATGATCGGAACAGGGGGACAGCAGCTTAGTGATCAATACCAATCATTACAGTAGCTTTTGTGAAGATGTTTCGTTCCAACCCCTTACTATATCTGACTAAAGTCATCCTGGAGTAGATATGATGAATATTAAATTGCCAAAAATATTTTCATTTTTTCATTGCAGATTCTTTGACATGTTCATATTCTATCTACTTCCTGATGATTGTTTACATACATAGTTGTACATACATAAACAAGAAACACACACACACACATATATATATATCACACGTACACACACACATATATATATATACACATAAACACACACACACCCTTGGATGCATATATATATATAAACAAAATTGTATATATATATACATACATTGCCAATATATTGCCAATCCTGGATGCCCTGCAGATTTTTGTCTGGTAGATATTCACATTCATAGCATACGATTTTCACGTATCAAACTGCCCAACTATCCCAACTCACCAGCTGTACCAAACTGCGCCGCGCCTGCGAGAGTTGCAAGGAAGTGGCGTAATCCACCACTGTGAAGCCCTTCCGCGCCAGAGCTGCCCTGGCGTCCGAGGGCGTCATAGATCATCATCGGAGATTCTTCCACTCTTTGGTGCGCTGAAGTTATTCATGACATATCACATGACATGGGTTTCCTGTCCTTTTTCATGTGAACCGAAGCAATTCCTGGATGTTCTCTGGGATGTCTTGGGCAACATCCTTCCGTTTGTGCAATGATCTTGTCAATCTTCCAATCACATTGCTGAAGGGAGGTCATGAGATATGTCATGACAATCAAGTCATATCAAGTCTATAGGATGACAAAGGACTGCAAAATAGTTATGAATCAACGAAGAGACCAACTTAATAATGTAAAGGGAACAAACAATGATCAGTGGGAATTTCACAACCCTAAAATGGAGGTACTATACCATATAAGGCCACATTGTGTGGGGATATTCCCTTGCATGGCCCGTACGTATGCCTTGTATATGCCGGGGGACCGAAAACCGAACGTGTAGTGACGCATATTGTCGCCAGCGGACCCAAAACCGCGCTTGTAATACTAACTTCTCTAACCACGTTCATGGGGTAGGGTGGGGTGGGGTGGGTTGGGGTGGGTTGGGGTGGGTTGGGGTGGGTTGGGGTATTAACGTTCTGTCCGCGAAGAACTTCCAAGTACGTTACTAGCTTGCAACTACGTTGCTGCCTCTTCTAACATCACTTGCAACTACGTTGTTATCTGTTATCTTTCAAATTGCAACTACGTTGTTGGCTCTTCAAACATCACTTGCATAGGTTGTTATCTGTTATCTTTCAAAGTGCAACTGCGTTGTTGCCTCTTCTAATATAACTTGCAACTACGTTGTTATCTTCTTCGTCAAATTGCAATTACGCTACTGGCAGTGGCGTTACATCAATATGTGCAAAGACATGTTGAAGACTACAGCAAAAGCTGTACAGTTACAGCAAGTGTTTCTTGGCTGAACCGTCCCAATTTCGACTGGCAGGCGTGGGAAAATGACCCACAGGCACTCGTTGCAGCCTATGTTTTTTGGACTTGCAAAACAGAAAAAACTTCATTTCCACAGCACGAAATGATAAAAAAATGAACGCCATGGAATTGCCACGAAAAAAAAAGATTTAAGTGTGCCGAAACCTCACGTTTGATGCACTTTGCACGCGGTTTCCGGTCGGGCGGGTTGTATATGGTAGGATATGGTAGGCACCTGCAATTTAGGTTCCTGAAATGATCATTGAAGCGAGTCAAAATCTGTAGAAAAGGGGTCCAAATGGTCAAGGAATGGTCAAGGAATCTGGTCATCAGGAAGTCTCAAGTGCATGAGATTGGCAGTCAAGCAGTCAAACATGAATCATTATCAATGGATTGGTTCAAGGGAAAATCTACAGGAAACCATGGTTTTTACCATCAAATATAGGGCTTTCCTGTAAAATTTCCCATCATCCAGTTCTATGACATTATCAATTAAACCATCGTGAGAACAACTCTAGCCGCTAGCCCTGCCTTCTGTCTCCTTGCCCGTACCTTGGGCGTCAAAATGCGTCAACTGACCGAGGTGATCGACTGCTATGATACGGTAGCGTGCGAGTATCGCAAAGCCCACCTATATAGTTTCCGGTGGTTAAGCCAAACATTTAAATTCATGTTCTTGTGGTTATTGCTTTTCCATTACAATATTAAAAAATGTTTGACACCACCAGCCAGTTACTTCTCAGTATATACCCGTATACCTGTGATTTCCTTTGTTTGTTGGCTGCATGCCATTCTTTCGCATCCAAACGCGGCAAACTGCCAGTCACAACATGGTGTCAACCTTTCGAGGCCCTTCCACCAACTGAGGTGCTGCTCTTCCACCAACTGCGCGTTCAAGGCGTTCACTTCGAACTGCTCTTGCCGCGCCAGGGTGGTTTCGCTCTCCAGGTAGCGGTCAGGCACCCACACTGAGTAGCCTGAAGTCGGCAGACTGTTGTCGGGAAAACCATTGCACAATGAGTCTTTGTGCCAGTCTTGATTGCTGAAATCATTGAACACCTTCTTCTGTTGCTGGCTTCAACCTGCAAAATATGCTCGCGTACTGGTATGAACATCCCATGTCTCTGGTTGAAAAGAAAGACTTTGTGAAACCAGCAGCCAAAGGAGTTAGTACGTATATATATATATATTATACACTGTATATATCCCATTTGATATATCCCATGTATATCCCATGTATATGTCTATGTATAGGTTCATATTTGCCCCGGAAATAAACCATATTTGAAGGTACCAAGCGGTTCTGCATCGAAGTTGCCAGAAGCTTCTTTCCCCTTGCCACCTGAGCCCGATCATCCCAAGGCTTGATCAAGCAATGGGAAGTGAATTCCGGTATGTTCAACAGGAACAGTAACATCATCAGCAGCATCACCAACATCAACGTCATCCTCAAGGTCCCAGTTCAGTTTCCCCCCTCCAGTCATTTCCAAACGTGCCAAGGGGCCATCTTTGCGCTTGCCTTTGCCTTTGCCACCTTTACCACCTTTGCCTTTGCCCTTCTCAGGCTGATCCATGGAGGGAGGCAGCATGGAACATACGAACAGGTCTTGGCCTCGTTCGTATGACCCCAGGAAAAGCTACTGCAACTAGCGGTTTCCTCTGCAAACAGCCAATCTATTGGATATTGATGGGTTATTCATGGGTAATGGGATACCTAAACCCAAGATCGACATATTTGGGCATGTCGAAAACTCGAGTATATCCGCCAACATATGGCAATTCGATAGGGATGATGATGATTGACCAGTGGTAGAACTAGTGGGGCAATTTTGAGAGAATCCCACCTCAAAGCAGGGGTTTCCTGCAACTATTCCCGTGAACCAGTTCCGGCAAAATTGGATGGCGATGTTTTCGGGCTCCCAAGTTTTGACAAGCCTAGGTTATTAGGAGTAAGACATTGAATATGACCCGTTCTTTCATGTAGGGATTGCTACTTAGCATAGTACCAGCAGTTAAAACACAGTACAGAAGTGGTGTGCATGGGACTTTAGCTTACACCACCAACACAAAACAACACATGAACACAGTAGTGTCAAGCGGGACATTTCAAAAACATGCACACGTATATATATATACATATATATATATAATTTTATAATGCTTCAAGATGGTGCCCCATAGTTAGCTAAGTTGGTTTGTAACTCCAACAACTATGGTTTATGGTAGATATATCTATACTTACTATGGTTTATAAACCAACTGAAAACTGGGGGGCACCACTTTGTTGGTATTCATTGGGATTTCCATTTAGTGGGTTATGATAAACCCAATATCAAAGGTTCTATAGCCCTAGAAGTAGTCATCAACCAACCATCATTTATCAATTATATATACCCATTGCACCCATATGTTCCCTCCAAACCCCACGCACGCCCACACCCAAATAACACACCCAACCAATACCATATACTTGTCACCAGAGGATGAATGAAAACACTGGCTATACGTAGCGATTTTGACTTTAGGTCTTTAGGATTTACGGTTTTAATTCAGGGTTTTGGCTTTTAGGTTTTTAGGATTTTAGGGATTTAGGGTTTGAGGTTTTGGAAAGTAAAAAATGATAGCCCTACGCAGGGAATGAAGTATGTCAAAGGATATATGCGGGATCCGATGCGGACCATCAAAATGAGTGAAATTCCGCATGATATCAGCCACCACAAAGATAACAAATAATAACAGTATGTGATAGCAATCCCACTAAATAGTCATAAGTATTCATAAGTGGTGACCAAGTGCACCTTCTTGGACTTCCTTAAGGAACCTCCCCCCCAAAAAAAACGATTCCCAGTCGTAGTGTAGTTCCCATTGTGGGAAAAATATCAACACCTTTTCAGCAAATCAAGGCCTTTCCATGCCTTTCCTACACGGTGGTGCCCCCCAGATATAAGTTGCCTTACAACCCCCATGAAGTATAGATAATTACATCTAATTATGTACTATAAACCCAAGTGAAATTGGAGTTATTTGCACAAACTTAGCGATTTTGAATCGGGTCACCACCTAAAGTCCACATTGTTGATCATCCCATATGTTATCCCATATTGTTAGCGAAATATGTCCCATTCTCTTTCCATTCTATCCCCATTGAACCAACTAGAAATTCATATAAATGGCTCATAGTAGTAGTTATGAAGTAGTACTATTAAATAACCACTAACTAGCATATGGATCCCCATGAAACATCATAAACCACGGTTAAGCCAACGACTTCCCCAGGGACGTCCCCCATTTCCTCCGTCAGTGACCCTTCCGATCTTTGCCGCGATATCCGCAGACCCGAAGCCTTGGTCGCCGGAAGGAGTTCCTGATGAGAAAAATGGAGAGTTTTCATGGGGGAAAAATGGTGATTTCATTGGTTTTAACTATGAAAAATGGTGATTTAAGGAAATTTGAAAGGAAACATACTATGAATAGAAGTTTTTTTGGGGAAACCATCGAGCTTTTGACAGGGAGAGCTAGGGAAAATTGCCAATTGATAGATGATTATAAGCTATGAACAATGGTGATTTTCCGTTGCAAACTATAAAATTACCAAAGGATGCTGCTCCAAACTGTTGTAAAACTTCTGTTGTGTAGAAAAGGTATGCAAAAAGGTCATCTTGACCCTGCATAATTTACGAATTCCCAATATAATCATGCTACCATAGAGCAGCTCACAAAGATCAACCCCAATGCCTCCAGTTCAAGTTTGAACATCTGCCTCAGGGTCGTTAATTTTGTGGATGTTTGTGGCACTGAGTGGTTCATCCTTTTGTCTTTGTTCCCCTGCAGCCCTTCCTAGTTCCTTACTTGAAATGGCTCCAGAAACCTAAACATCTCAAGTTATGGTACATTTCCTAAAATGACTAGTCATAGGGTTGATGGTGATGAAAAATGACACAGGACTTATTTGCTTTGGGGTTGCGCCCTTAGATTTCCATGGCAATTACCTCCAAAATGTTAGACACTATCTAGACATGAGAGTGGGTAAGGTTGAAAACCATGCCAACTCTGAACTCAGCATCACCAAATCCTGGAAAACTAATCGTGGTGCACCGTGCACCCCACCAAAAAGTGACAACTCTCTGTGAATATGCACCCACCAATCAAAGCGACCAATCCAAAATTGAGACTATAAATCAAGCATCCACTACAACAATCTACAAACATTGGATGGCTAACATGCACTAAAATTAACCCAAATCAGGGGTTCGCAGGACTTACACAAAATTGAGTTGTGGCAACACGTTTTTTGTTGGTTGATTGCACCTATCATATCATTGCCCTATATTTATGTGCCCATGCTTCCACACTGTTTCCTGGTTGAAACCCTATGTTCGTCGGTTAAGATCCTAGAATCATGGCGGATTAGTTCATTACACCCCCCATGTAAAACCAAAAATCTTAAAGTATTACAGCAACCCCAAAACAAATAGAAACGTGTTTCCAGGATGGTAGTTAGGTGATGTTTTGCCAGATATTTTCCGGGCCCCCAACTGTTCTGACTTTTTCTGGGGGTTACTATATTAAACCCTGATTCACCCGGGAAGTCTTACCTGCAAGGTGGTGCCGCATATTCAACTAGGGTTTATTATAGATACATACATACATGCCTATTAAATTATAATCTATTACATAGCGGCCCTGCAGCCAACATGCCAAAAATATGTGGGAACCACTTTTGAGCGCCCTGGCGGCTGAGTGTCCCGGCTCCACTTCATCGCCCTTCTTCACGTCTGGCACTTTGTCCCCTGCGCGAGGACCGCCCGGCAGCCGTTCCACCATTTCCTGGCAGAAGAAGGGGCAATCAGTGGACGTAGCTGACCTGGTTGCCGTACTAAGCGGGTAATATGTTATACAATGTCTTGAATTAATATGAGTTTATGATGTTATGATATAGTTATCACACACACATATGTATATATATATATATATTGCCAAAAACTACGCGCAATAGTTTTTTGGTGGCTTATTAACAGGTAAAGCCTGGCCCGCGCCGGGGCGGAAGTCTCAAACATTTTCAACCAGCTATAAGAAATCAATGGCGTATAGGATAATTTTGGAGATGCAGAAGCAGTGAAGTACTATGAAGTTGTGAGGTGCATCAACGAATGAGCAAATGGTGGTTGAGACGCCACTGAAATGATTGAACCAATGAATCAGTGAATCAACAGTGAATCTGTGAATCAATGAGTGAATGAAATAGTGAGTCGGTGAATCCATGAAGAAGTGAAAAAATGGACCAATGGTTAATGAATCAATAAATCAATGACAGAGTGGGTCAATGAATGGACGAATCATGAACCCATGAAACAGTGAATCAAAAAATCAATAAACCAATTATCCAATGAACCAATAAACCAATGAATCAGTGCATCCATGAATCACGAATGAATGCGTGAACGGATGGATGGATAAATGAATAGATGGATGAGTCGGATGAGTGAGATATTTCTTTGCTGAGCGACCACTTCGCTGGCTGAATCTGGCTGAGGTACCTCTTCTCTCAGCTACTTCTTCTCTGCTCGTAACTCGGAAGTTTTCGAACTAAACTTCCGTTGACAACCAATATTAAAACATCCGATGACCCGGTTACATACAGGATGGACACCAAATAAATCCAAATAAGTATGTGTTTTCAACATTTTTCAACCCCCAAAAAAGGGACGCATCCCTCAACATTTGTCCCACCGTCAAGGGATGGTTTACCGAAAGGTTGGGACTTCTTGAAAGTGATCTGGCACCACTGGCATCAAATAACCAACTCGGCCCTGCTGAAATCAAACAGGTATTATTGAATTATATTATAACATATATATATATATATTGAATTTACGATAATTTACGTGACGTGGACATACCCTCCGATAATTTGGCCCATTTAGAATGGATGCTCTTACGACGGCTATTTTCCCGCGGGCAGCTGGGATGACTTAAACTTCTGCCCTTCAGGCCTTGACGGCCTTGGGGTGCAGTTGGGGGTGCTGTTTCATGGGTATATCACTTATAACCGGAACAGCACCCCCAAGTGCCACATCTTCTGATAGCACATAAAATCATAAAGGATCTAGGATGTGAACTGTAATCCTGAACTTTCTGATGTAACACAATTAACTATTAAAGGTCACCAGTACTAGTATGTTGGAGTACAAGAGGTCATATACAACTACATGCATATAAACAAAAACACATGTCCAACTACCTGAAAATCCATTGCCCATTGCGCCTCTGGGATTGAGTGGATATAGACCAAGACTTGAATGTCCTGGGACAAGCCGTTTCGCGAAGAGCAGGATGGCTTGAACATTAAATAAGTTTGGCCATCTGGTTGGTGGCACAATGCTGTACATGTTTTGGAGCAGGAAGGTTGGGACCGTCGTCCCTCCCGCTGAGGATGCAGCCTCGAAAATGTCAACGAAAATGCCGAAAGGTTTGACTGAAGCAACAGTACCTTGGCTCGATTCCCTCCCTGGGTTGATCTAGCTATATCTAGCTAATCCAAATTCAAGGGTAAATTGGACACATAGAAAAGTAACATCTGGTAAACCTATTGATCCCCACAAAAGGTGGCCATTATTTAGCACCAAAACTCGGTTGGAGCAACCCTGCCCTGAGATCCTGAGGTTCAACGAGCCAAGCGAGCCAAGCTGATGGGGCATTCAAACATTGTCGACTGGTTACCTTGGATCCACTGCTTGGGATCGTAGTTCTGTCGCAGTTTGCTCAGTCGCTCTTCTTTGGTTCTTCCTTTCGGGCTGACATTGGCCTGAGTGACCGCTGGATCCAGACATGCTCCGAAAGAACCATGTGGAACCATTACACAAAGTGCATCATAGTGCACCACACATTCCCCAAGTGCGCTCAAACTGAACCCTGTTGTTGCTTCTTCTCTGTCCCAAGATTCTTATGCGGACCTTCCAACTTGAAGATGCACATTGTCATTCATTGTTCAACCTACTCCACTTTTCCATTGGCATACGCCTGACTATGTGTTTAAGCCGCAGGAACCTTGAAATTTTGACCCTAAACAAAGGTTTCCTAACTAGGGGTTTTGAAGTATTCAATGGAGTTTTGACAGATTTTGATTGGGAAGTCCCTTTGCATTGTCATTTTTCCACGTTAGTTTTGCTTGAGGGGAATCGAACCGAACCTATTCACTGCTATGATATCTCTCTTTCACTGTCTCTGCAAAGCAAAGAACTCAATCGTAGCATATCCATTCGAATTACGTACATCCCACGTAAGTAATGATGAACATCACGTGAACCATTTCGTTGCCGGGGCTTCTTAGAAAGATTGCCCCAACAGCAGGCCCAGATCCCACACAACAATTGGGCCTGGTGCTGGCGATGAACAAATTACGGTGTCCCGGCTAGTAAGCTTGCCAGTTCAAAATTACCGAAAAAATAAACTCCAGCTACTTTGACGTGTGAAACCATGATAAATATCGACAAATATCAAATATTGATAAATGAAATATAAATGATGCTTATTGCGCATTTCTTTCCTATCCAGGTAAATCGCAATGTTCTTGATCCCTCCACTCTTGTCCATCAAGCCATTTTTTACCGTTTACCGCTTCAATCAACCCATGTGTTGGTTTGACACACTTAAATCACTATTTTCGTTGCCTAAATCACCCTATCTTTGGGTCAAGTCAGTCAAGTAACCATTCCAACAATTGTTTTCGATGTTTCTCGGTTAAATCACGTGTTCATATTTCCTTGCCCACCTTACTGGTGCTTAGTAGGAAATGGGGGAGTGACTCATAACAAAATATAAGCTCATATAAGAACTATGAACAATAATCCCTTCCCCCCCATCCATTCCCTACAAAGAACACCAGCCTAAACTTTTTGCTCATCTCATCTGGGTTACAATTCTTCACCTGAATTCAGGCTATTTTGATCTAAATTTTGGGATCGTTATCCCTACCATCATTCTGGGTAAAATACACCAACTCACCACTTCCAAAAAATATTTGGGGATAGTTCACTATCATCATAAATCATTATTAATTCATTGAGTGAAACAGATACAGTAGATATGGTGAGTTTAACTCATCCAAAGCCATTCCCACCACCACCACCACCACCACCACCACCATCCCATTCCGAAAATTCCCTGCGCCTCCGTCTCGGAGCTTTCGGTCTCGTCAGTCTCGTCCCTTCGCCACATGGTGGCCACTGGGAGGCCCGTGTGCAGCGAGGACGTGTCTAGCCAGAGCTTCACCGGTTTGCCTGGGGCATGGACCGTGGTGGGGTGATGTGAGGTGATGGGGCGGTCCTGTACTAACCAGGGATGAATAAAATATATTGGTAATAGTGTATGGTCCCAAGGCCATGGTTGCCATCTCCAATAGAGGTCTATGAAATTGGATAGGCCGCTCGAATGGGATCATGTTTTTAGTGACCCCCAGCCATGGTTGATGAATAGGATGGTTTATGGCAGTTTATGGCAATTCCCTTTAGATCCCCCAGTCATAGTGAAGAAAGCCTAACTGGCCTATGCCAAAATGATCCAAAATGAAAATATTTTAAGTCGATCCTATATACATATATAAATATATATTATAAACATATATTATAAACATATATATATATGTATGTATGTATGTAATGTGATGTGATGTGATGTAATGTAATGCAATGTATTGTTTATTGTTTATTTGTTTATTTGTTTATTTGTTTATTGTTTCTTGTTTCTTGTTTACTGCTTATTATTTGTTGGTTGTTGTATGACTGTATGTATGTATGTATGCATGTATGTATGTATGTATGTGTGTATGTATGTGTGTATGTATGTGTGCATGTGTGTATGTGTGTATGTGTGTATGTGTGTATGTGTGTATGTGTGTATGTCTGTATGTCTGTATGTGTGTATGTCTGTATGTGTGTATGTGTGTATGTCTGTATGTGTGTATGTGTGTGTATGTATGTGTGTGTATGTGTGTATGTAATAGTATGTATGTAATAGTATGTATGTAATAGTATGTAATAGTATGTAATAGTATGTAATAGTATGTAATAGTATGTAATAGTATGTATGTATGTATGTCTGTCCGTATGTATGTATGTATGTTTGTTTATGTTTGTTTATGTATGTTTATGTATGTTTATGTATGTTTATGTATGTTTATGTATGTTTATGTATGTTTATGTGTATGTATATGTTTATGTTTATGTGTATGTATGTGTGTATGTATGTGTGTATGTATGTATGTAATGTAATGCAATGCAATGCAATGTAATGCAATGTAATGTATGTATGATATTCCCAGTAGGTTTAACATATAGTGCTGGGAAATCAACACCATCAGCAAATCTCAGTGATCTTACCTGTCCTCATTGACCTCCTGCCCGGGACCAAGCAATTAATCTCAGGCGTCGAACCAACATGACTCATCCAATCTGGGTGTGCAATTTTCTCATACCTGTGTTGAGGCTTCTTGACATCCTCAAATATAATCACGGTTTCATGTTGCTGATATCAAGTTCTATCATCGCTTGGTCAAGCCGCCAAGCCCTTCCTGATATTGGCCGAGCCGCCAAGTGCTTCAAGAATTTCTTGCTCACTGGGACCCACGAGTGGGCGAATCTGCTCCTGTGGTAGCCAAGCCTGCCGGGGCAGCGGAGCCACGCGATGCATTGGAGCCATGAAAGCTAGGGTCCATTCGTCCATTAGCATGTTATTAAATGATTACTTCCGTTCATCCAGGATTCCATGTAGGTTTCAATTGGATCAACACTTCACCTATAGATCCAACTAGTATACTACAGCTGTTCCACATCATGTAAAATATATATGTATATATAAATGATATGTATTATGTCTAGCAACCCCGCAACAGACTGGATGCTGAAAGGCAAAATCCTATTGAAATAGTGACAGTTAGAACCTGTTCTATATTTTTGGGGCTGCTCAATGTATACAGATATACAGTTTACATCAGTTTACTATATTATCTGGTTGGTGGTTTCAACCCCTCTGAAAAATATTAGTCAGTTGGGATGATTATTCCCAATATATGGAAACATAGAAAATGTTCCAAACCACCAACCAGTCAATTTCAAGTGATATGTTACTATAAACTTTACTATATATAACATATAAATAATCTGGGGAACCCAATAGTAAACCTATCATTTTGGGCCCAATTTGGGGATAATGAAAAACCCCACCCATAAAAACGATCAAAAATGGTGAATTAGGGGATGGTTTGTGGCACTGGGTTTACCACATTCACAGAGATATCGATCTGTAGTTATCTATACTTAGTCGCTTTATAATCAGACTAAGTTGAGTTCTTACTCTACCCCCAAAAATGATTCATATGACGATTGTCATATATAAGTTAAATATAAATATATATATATATGTTAAGTTATATAGATTTATATATCCCATATATATCCCATAGATATTCCACTCATATCCCCATGTTGAATGCCACAGTTGTATCCCCACCTTCTGCCGACGACCTGCCAGCTGCATAATGGCTCCCTGGCCCTGGCGGACCACCACAGCCTTGGCCATGTGCCAGCCACTCACCTGCGCCGGCGATTCAGCCGGGAGGATTCACTGAAGCTTATTCACTTGAAATTGACCTTTGTAATATTTTGTAATTCTGGTGAAGTTTAACAGTTTCAGTGATGAACTGCTGGTGAGTTAGGGCTTGACCAGTGGAACATGTGGGTTTAACAACTGAAAACGGCGAGTTCATCATGTAACATGGTGGATTAATGGTATTTTGAGGTAATATATACTGGATTTAATACGGAAACAACCATTGGAATTTGAAGATAAGGGCGATTATTCATGAGACCTGCCAACCAAACACATTTCTGAGGCTAAAAACCAACCATCTTTTGGGGATATAAGATGATATTAGTGGAATATCTATGGGATATATTACTATATAAGCCATACTATCAAGGGTTTATTAAGGGAATGCCTGAAGCACCAGGATTTTTTTGGGGCGAATCTTAACCACCTTGGGAGAATTTCCCGAATCCGAAGCATCATTCCATATCATTCCAGTCGCAATGAGGTCACTATAATTCACTCTCTCTCTCTCTAGTTGAAAGTAAGAATCAGAGTATATTGAACTATTGAACAGTATATTGAACAGTATATTAAACTATATTCAATCATATGCAAAATACCTTTATACCTTCGACTTACTACGACCCACGCCCCGCCGGGCCTCGACCTGGTCATCACACCTGCGTCGGATTACGAAAAGGGAAGCCCTGGAGTTGCCAAACAGGGGCGGCCATTGCTGCCATACACAAACACACACACACATATATATACATACATACATACATACATACATGTGTGTGTATATTCTGTAGACATAGAAATATATATATATTATATTATATTATATATGTCTATATATGTTTATGTATGTCTATGGTCTATGTATCTATCTAACATGAATGGATGAGTTGGGAAAAAATACCCATGGTTTTCTTCCAAAATTCGATGGGTTGACGGTTTGGGCCCGGCTTTTCATGGGATTTTGAGAATGGACTGCTCTCATCCAAGGTGCTCGGGCTCTACTGCCATCTCAGGCAGCAGCCTGGCCCACCGAATCCGCCATGTCTGATTAGAACTGATGCACTTGCTTCATGGGCTTACGATGGCTTGAGCATTTTCTGTTGTCATTCTGTTGTCTGCACATAAATTCATAATTTTTGGACGCATAGGGGTCCCCAATCCACATTTAAACATGCTTCCCAACTAGTTTGATGTCGACGATGATCCCTAGCATCCCCATAGTTGAAAGAACCGCTTGCACCAATGACCATCCTGCTTTGGCAAGGAGCCCTTCATTGAATTCATCAGCCCCCTGCGAGCCAAAGCGCGCCTCGACGCTATCCTTTCATGGAGGTCACTCATCATGACAGAAACTGCCAGAAAGACTGTATATTATATATATATGTATAACGTACACACACACACACACCCCGGAAACTCACCATTTTTCATGGGTAAATACCTATATAAGTAAACCAACTATAAATGGGCCATTTCCTATATGTTAGTTCAGAGGGTATGCAGTATCATTCAGTATCATATGCATAAACAATGTCAATATACATAAGTTTACACTTCAAAATTTGAGAGCTGAAGTCTCTCTATGACATGTTCGGGAAACCAGTGATGGAGCCCCTTGCGACTCCATAAGAACTGAGCTCCCGACCATGGTGACTGAGCATCTGCCACCAATTCGAAAAAAAAACACGATGGCTGCGAGGTCAAAAGGATCCGGCATAACTTTTCTGATATATGTCTTGTCAGTTTTTGTACAGAATTGGAATATCTCGGATCCACTGGAAGCTCCTGAACTTTGAGAGAGAAATACCTGTATAATTACATGTAGGTATGTAATTGTATGCATATATATATATATACCCCACATGAATGTATATATATATAATATACAGTATATATATACACCTCACATGAATATATATATATATATACTTATGTGTAATTGTATACGTAATCTACTAACACTGGAAATTAAATATGTATATATTGTACAATATGTCAAGCTGCAGCTTTGAAAATCCCAATGGACTGGGAAAACAACATCCATATCCACCAGCTCTCGTCTTGGTGTCAGCCGATGCACCACAGAACGGGCGCGGAAAATAGCGCTGTGTCGGACTTGCTGAAGCTTTGGCGGCTTCGGTTGTCTGCTGGACGGATCATCCGATATGAAAGTCGCTTGGGATCGTCAGAAGAGTTGAAGATTCAGAAAAGTTAAGATAAAAATGTTAAAACCTGAACATCAGGAAGGTCGCTTGGATGGAACATCAGAACTATTTGAACATATTTGAAGTACCAGTCTTGTCTTGCTACTCCTGTGCAAAGGGGACTAAAAAAGAAACTGTTGAAGCCTGAAACACGGTTCATGCACTGCATCTTCAAAAACTTGGAAGCAGAACTGCAGGCCATTGCTTCTTTAAAAAAGAGAAGCTATTCAAGCCGACGAACGTCACAAAGTCAAGGAACGGAACAAGCCAATTGGAGTCATGCACCTTGCCAGGGTTCATTGGGATCAACGTATCAACATGCCAGGTGCAACACCCTGTCAGACCCCCGAGTCTTACCAGTTGTACCCTACTGTGTTGGGCGTTTTGCACTGTTTGAATTGAACACACACACACACACATATATATATATACACATACACTACGTGCAGTTACATGTGTCAATATGAGGTACAACATGGTAACACCAGTAGTTTTATTTTGAAACACCAACCAGGATTAGCCGTCACTCCAAAATCCTGTTGGTAATCCTCATTTTCCCATGAAGGTGACAGTGTTGGCCCCTGGTACCCGGCAGGTGCAGTGCATCGAATTAGCTGCGCATGGAAATACGCGACTCAAGTGCAGCCTTTATCACCTCGGTCATGGGCTCCAAGTCTGGTTTATGACACTATTTCCAACAGAAACAACACAGAGCGTGGTTAAATTGTTGGTCGTCTATCTTAATTTGGGCAAAGCTGTACCAGGTTTTCTATGTTGATTTGGGCAAAGCTGTACCTTCAGTATGAGATATGTGTGGAGTGCGAAGAAAAACTCCATACAATCCCCCTGATATTTTTTGTAACATGGCAACCATTGAACAACTCCAATACTGAGGATCATCACATCCCTTGTTGATCGTCCCTGAAAGTTGGGACTGAACATGTCCCCATTCTCCACAATGCAGTTGACATGTCAACCCCCCAGGAGATGAAGAAGTTACTGAACCATCAGTTCTCACTATGTTTCACCCTCACATTCCCAGAATCTCACCAGTATTCAACCTCAAAAAAGGTGTGTTTCCGTGATCATTTCGTCAAACATTCATCATGGCCCCCAATGAAAATACACGGCAGTGCTGACTTTCCCACTGACTCTTCGGAATCATTGGATCTTCTTTTCGATTAAAGGCTACCCCGCCCTATCAACCCTACAAGGTGGTGCCCCAGTGATAAATGGGTTATAAGCCCACTATAGAACTATAGATATATCATGATGATTATCATGATATATCACCTATAAATCATAGTGAAATTTGAGTTATAAACACACCAAGCCCATCCGACTCAACGACCACGACCTGGCTCGCGCCGTTGCAGCACCACGGATGCGCTCCACGAGGTTCACCAATTTCGCTTCCGCCGCCTCCAGCTGCCGCCGGAATCGGTGGCGTCTTTGGGTTTTTTGACGCCTCAAAGATGGGATTTTTACGAATTATCCAATATATATATATATATATGTATATGGACTTTTTTTTAAGGGATATTCATGGAGACATCACTTTGCTTGACTTCGGGGATTTCCCAGCCCCCAACGAAAATCTCGCGCTTCGGCCCTTTGGACTTGCTGTTGAAGCTGCTCTTGCACCTCCTGCCCCAGAAAAAAGAATGTGGACGACCAAGTGGATGAATAACAAAGTCAAATGTGGTCAACTAACCCAAGAATAAACCATCCCATTCACCAACCATTTGGAAATAACCTTCGAGCTCGAATCAGCCGCAGCACGGTCAACATTGTCGTTTGGCTCCTTGCTTTTGTTCAACGTCTTCATCTTGAATGAGTTTACAGTAGATCTCTGTACATCACCCAAAAACAAGCCGTGGGTCCCCTGATTTAAATGTTTGGCCCATATCTACCCTCTGGTAGACATACAAAAAACTATTTAAAAAAATCACCATTTTTAATGGGTAAATCCACTATTTCAATGGCCATGTTCAATAGCAAACTGTTAGTTTACCAAAGGGTATAGCATATTCCAGGTGTTGTTTGATTCCCAGTTGGACAATGAGGGCTGGAATCCCCCATGGTCTGTGGGCAAATGTTCTGAGTTCCGTGAGTGAATGTTCTGATTTCTGCGGGCTAACATTCCAATTTGTTGTAGACATTGTTTCTCACATTTTTTCAAGTAAAGATTCTGACTATATTTGGACCGTTTTTTCATGTAGGCTGTAGGCATTTGTTCTCTCTCTTGTAGGTAGAACAACCCCCCAAAAATAGATCAAAGCAAACTCCTAGGTGACTTTTCTATCCTTTTCTGGGGGTTCCTGAAATGTAGCCCTGGTAATCAACGTGGCAATTGAACATCCACCATGTATAGATTCCCATTAAAACCTCCGTTTAGTTCGGGGATTTTCAGGCTTGCTACGTTTGAGGACACCTCCTGTCCCTGGAGGGCGTTGGCTAACTCTTCTTCAAGCCTGGCTACCTCAGCAGAAGTGCAGAATGCAGTGTATGTACTATATAATGGTGCCCTCCCCCAGTTATAAATAGGTTATAATCCCATGAAAACTAGGGATATATCACCATATATCACCAATAAACCATAGTTATTGGACTTACAAACCAACTATGGGGCACCACCCTGTATGTACATAGATAATCACCCCTGCCCCCAACAAGAAAGAAAAGTTACCGATCAACTCATCACTATTTCGGATTTTCGTTATTGTGCCAGATTTTGAGTTTTCGAGTTTTCTTTAAGTAAGGGGTGCTATATATATATATATATAAGCGCTCATATGTATATATACAGATTCATTGCTGTCTGTACATTGTGATTTAATGAATAGTAATGTAATGTCATGTCATGCAATGCGATGTGATGCAATGCATGCATGTATGTACAAAACGTATATACAGTACACACACACACATATATACAGTCACCGACAGAATTATGGAAAAAAAAACGTTTCAATTTACAGGCGCCGCCTGTCTATGATAGAAAAGTTACGAACCTTTTTTTTCTTCCATAATTAATGTTTCCATATTTTTTTTCCATAATTCTGTCGGTGACTGTATGTCCATCGATTCGCAATTTGAATGCATTTTAAGGGGGAATATTGAATTATAGAAAATTTGTGTCTAAAGATCTGGTATATGCCCCTAAGTCTTCCATTGATATACATAATATCATGTGATGTTCGCAATTTGAATGCATTTTAAGGAGGAATATTGAATTATAGAAAATATGTGTCTAAAGATCTGGTATATGCCCCTAAAGCCTGCCATTGATATACATAATATCATGTGATGTTCGCAATTTGAATGCATTTTAAGGGGGAATATTGAATTATAGAAAATATGTGTCTAAAGATCTGGTATATGCCCCTAAAGCCAGAATTATGGAAAAAATAATTGTGGAAAAACCGGTCAATCTGCCCTAGCCCCCTGATTTCACAGGAAAAATCAGTTATGGAAATAATGGCCACCTCCAAGAATTATGGAGAAAAAAAAGGTTCGGATCACTTCCGGGATATTTTGAACCCTTATGGGGAAAAATCATGAAAAATCCAATTATGGAAAAATCGGACGCAGGCGCCGCCTGTCTAAGTTCTGTCGGTGACCATATATATATATAAAATATCATATAATTACATAGTACTTCTCAAATCACCAACTATGTACTGGGATCATATCTCTAAACAGACTTCTCGAGTTCCACATATATAATCATGATACAACACAGCGGTGGCATGCTCCGAGGACGTTGAGAGTTGGGTCGTCGTCGTAAACTACATGCTCTCTCCCTCTCTCTAACAAACAAGTGACATTATGCAAATTCTTTTTTTTGATCAACTGTTTTTGGGGCAGAATGCATTCTATGTATGCGCCCTCCACCTGGACCTTCAAATGAAGGAACAATACGTTTGAAACCACCAAGCCCAGATTCAATCCCCATTATCATCCCACTTCTATCCATTGCCATGTTAAAAAATCAAAAAACAATAAAATCCCATTTGAAACTACCAGTAACAAGTGCTGTTGGATGAATAATGTTTTAATATGATTTAATTTTCACATCCCCACTATACCACCATAAATAAATCCCCATTTCAGATGGTTAAGTCCCCATGATTCTTGGTAAAATCTCCATGTTTGTTGAAGATATGTTGAAGATTTATCTTCATCTTTGTTGGATAAATTTCCATCTTGCTTGGTTAAAGCACAATTTTGGGTTGGTTACATCCCCAAGTGTTGGTGAAAAATTCCCACATTCGTTGCTCAATCTGCTTGGATCCAGCAAGCGCCTCAGCTTGCGCCGCTGCGAGGGCCTCGGCGTCGACCTGCTAGGAAATGCCCGAACTAAATGGAAGCCTATCTATTTGTAACCATTATAGTTCATTATCAAATTAGAGAGATAGATAGATAGATAGATAGATAGATAAATAGATAGATAGATAGATAGGTAGATAGATAGATAGATAGATAGATAGATAAGCATCATTATGTATCTATCTATCTGATTCTATCTATCTGTCTGTCTGCATGCATGCATACAAAGGATGAAGGTTTCTCTTGATTCATAATCACCAAAATCATCTTGAGCCCAACGGTTTGGTGTGCTTTGATGCTGTCTTTCTCAAGTTGGTCTTGTGGAAACAATGCAGGGGTGGCTTCAGCTCCATTTGCTATCAATTTGCATATTGGTCATTTTTGGCCTTTCGATGGGTACCCCCTATAAATCCTATAACTTGAATTGACCAAGCAAGCAGTGGAAAACAACATCTGAGATCACCTGAGCATGCTTCATCATGTTTCTACTTGTTTCCACAACAGCACTGCCCAACTTCTCCAAAGGACTCCACCAGCCTCAGCAGTTTGAACCTGCAAATCTTGTTGCGCCTGAGGCCGCTAGCAAGGCACGGTGCCTACGAAATGGATCATCCTACTCTTAATGCGTATTATTTATGACTTGCGGTTGTTCCTCCGTTGTGGGTAGTAGCTCGGTGGACTATTGATTGAAGAGTCATTCACATTTGATGTCATATCCCACTTTGTCGCAGCCACGAAATGCAGTTTCATCCTGTTGGCCACTGAGTTTTTTCTGCTGGTCTTCCCTTAAATTGATTCACCAGATTCTGGTCAAATCGGCAACATAAGAGATCAGGAGCCTCCGTTCGCCGCTGTTGCTCCTCCAAGAAAAGTGGCTTCAGATATGGTCCCACTCAAAAAAAAACTACCAAGGTTTCATCAGTCCCAGGTTTTGAATATTTGGAGAAGACCTGGCTCCTTGATGCTCCTTGATGCTCCTTGGCTACACTTGGCTACATCAACCAGTAGTAGTTTTAACATCGACGCAGGCTTTTAGGGTGCCAGTCCTCACGCAGTTGGCTCTTTGCACTCGAAAGTTCTTCTTCCTACGCGGCGTCGCGGCGTGACCACGAGACGAAACGACGGTGATGGGTTTGGTCACGATTCGCGTGGGAAAGTTGTGATATGTTGTGATCCAATTGGCAACATAAGGCCGGAAAGTGATGTGATCCTCTCAACTTTTGGCCAACTTGATTTGACATTACAACATGGATGGCTATATAATCTTGGATACTCTGCAGAACTGCAATTCGTTTTTTCTTCAGCTGGGCATTATATTTCACCATCTGCAGCTACAGTACAAATCCAGTTTCACCGCCTGTTCCCAAGTCGCTTCACCATTCTAGTTGGCTAGTCCCTCTCTGTGCAGGTTAACCCATGCAGCCAAGCTTGAAAGTAGTTCATGAACGCCCAAAACGATATAGAAAAGAAGTTAGTTCTATTTTTATTTATATACATATATATATATAATATATATATATCATATCTATATAAACTACAATTTTTTGATGGCATTTACATGATTTACCGTGATTAAACCATATCAAACCACCTTTCCGCATCCTTTTATGTGGAGGGCATTGCAACGAACCGCCCCCCAAAAAATAAGACGAGACTTCGCTGACCTTGGCGTCCAAATCCATCTCCAGCTGTTCCACCTCGTTTCTATGGGTTATTTCAGTTATCTCCCATTTTCCTTGGATTTGCTCAACCAGATCATCAGCACATCGAGGTTTTCTACCTGTTGACGCAACATGTTGGGCAACATGTTGGCAGCAAGGAAACACCTAGAGATTCATATGATTTATCCCCGAATGTGCAAAATATATCAAAATATGGTAAACCCACCGAATGATCCTTATCAAGCAAAAACCATCTGTGTATTTGCGCAGACGTGATTTTACATTAAAACCCCGTTAAATCACAATTTTTCACAGGATTTTCCATCCCAGCTAAACCATGTATCCGGTGACATCGGTGTTTGCCGACGGCCGAGATCAAATTGGGCCACCCGAACATACCGCTGGAGTGCCTGCAAACCGGCCACGTGATTCCTTCCTGCCTGGCCAATGGGAAAATCTGCAGGAAAGCACTCTATTTGATGCAAAAAAAAACATGGTAAGAACCATGGTTTCGAGTCTCCGGTTCACACTTTCCCTTAACCAAAAGGGAAAGAATCCGGAAATGAATCCCAACCCGACATATGAAATAAATAACCTCCATTGAATGTGCCACCAAAATGAATGATCCAATACTAAACCAAAGGTTCTCAGGTGCACCATGGTATTTATTTGAGGTTGATTTACCCTAAACCCAAGAAGGCCACAGAAGGCCTACCTTTTTTTTCTTGTGGGGGTGATTCCCCAACATGAATCAGCACAGACATGCGCATACTATATAAATGGTGGCTCTAAGAATGGGTCTGTGCTGCTGGAAAGGATTGAGCGCGGATAGCTGCTTCCCTTCCAAACCTAAGCTCCGAATGATGTGGTCGCCTGAAATTGATTTCTCTCTATATCGCCTTCTCAAGGAGTTCAGCAGAGCTAAAGGTGATTAAGATCTGGAATTTATATACTATATACATTGTTGTTTTTTTCCTTTCTGCTGTTATTTTCAGGTTTCGGGCTAAGCTGATGATCCATGCACAGCCCAATTGACAACAAGGAATCACGTCAATCTTAACTCATGGGCGAACTCGTTGCCGATTTTTTGCGACACTGTCAGACTGTCACTCCATCGTCACTCTGTCCCAATGAGATTCATGGATCGGCGTTGCACCTGCTCCCCTTGTGCGCGGACCAGCATCTTGATCTGTGGCAAACTTGCCACGAACATGTCGTGCCCCAACCTGGCGACAGCGCAATGTGATTCCTGAATTGGTGAACTGTTCAGTGTCAAGGACTTGAGGTTGCAGTGGTTGTAGTTCTCTCCATCATCCTTCATGCAAACTCTTTAAAAGGTCCCAATTACCAGTACCGGCAGTAGGTGTACAGTTTGAGAAGTGCCTTTTTTTCATTCTGCCATCCTCTTCTGCTAGCTGGTTTTTCAAGGAATCGATCGTGGAAAACCAGGCATTTCCTGATTCTTGGTGACCCTCCGGTAGTCCGACTCAACTGACTCTGAAACTGGGCTTTTACTGCTGACCAAACATTGGTGATCTACGTTGATCTACAAATATCAAATGCGGGATCTTTTAGCAACTGGAGCCTCCAAGTACCCAGAACAACTGGCAGTAGTGAAATTATGTGATCAAATACCATTTTGATTTTTCTCATGGGTACTTGGAGACTCCAGCTATCTACCCGTTGGATGGGGCCGGAGGTGCGTAAAAGACAACGCCAAGACACTCTGGTGCTTGTCGAACGCCCCACTGGCGCAGGGCCTCAACCCCCGAACTAAATGGAGATTTCTAGCTAGGAAAATCCTCAAAGCAAATTGGCAGGCTTTCCAGCAAGCCATCTTTGACTACAGGAGGGTATATGGGGGTTTCCCCAAATCATCAACGTTAATAAGATGATTTCCATCAGAACCATTCTTAAACTATCTATTTTGGGATATTTTGGGGTACGGGTACTACGGTACCCCCATTAAAGGAAAGACACATTTTGTTGAAACAACCAGTACGATCAGTCAATGGCAATTCATATTGATTCAACCTGTTGAACATCTCTTTCACGGTAGTCAGCATCACTGGATGCCGATCAAACAAATCATTTGCTGCCCTGCACTATCCTGCACTTGCTCCTTTGCTGTGCTGATTAGTAATAATAATAATGATAATGATAATAATAATATAATATATCAGAGGTACCAGCACTGTACATAGTCGTATATATCTCTGATTATCTATATATATATATATATACCTTCCCAATCCTTCCCATGTGTTTCAAAACAAATCAATGAAACGAAAACCAAAGCATCAAGGTTTCTCCAGTTTTGGATGCCTTCCCGATGAGCAAACAACCCAGGATTTTGGCTGCTAAAGCTCACCATGGCACTGCTAAAAGCCCATCAGCGGGTCGTGGAGGCGCCAGAGGTGCTACCTCCGTCACAGTGGGGTTCTTGGAGACAGGCTGGTTCTGTAAGACTTAGCAATAGAATTGGCTAAGAACTGCAGGGCTGGCCATGGTTCAAGGCTAATCTTAGAATGAATGGACTTCAATGGATTGGTTTCAACGAACATTTACGGAAACCATGGTGAAATTACATGAAATTACCTCTCTGCAAAAACCCGTTTGAACCATATCAGAAGAGAACACAACAAAAAATCTAAACATATCATGAACCATTACTTGAACCATGAGAATCAGGATGCAGCCTCATAAAATCTGATACTATAATATACTATATATAATTATAATATACTATATATAATTATAATATACTATATATAATTATAATATACTATATATAATTATAATATACTATATATAATTATAATATACTATAATATACTATATATAATTATAATATACTATATATAATTATATAATATATTATAATATAATTATATATCTAATTACCATCTTCATCCATCTTCTAGTCATCTCCGCCAGAAGAACCCCTCAACTTCGAGCTCCGTGCCTCACGGGGCCCAGGCCTTCGAACTGTCCAATGGCTTTTTTGTGAGCCGTTGAGGTGGGTCAAAATGAAAACCGTAGTTACCCTCTGGTAATTTAACATAGCTATGGAAAATCACCATCTATAGTAGGTAAATCCACTATAAATGGTCATTTTCAATAGCTATGTTAAATTACCAGAGGGTAAATCATGTTAAATCAACCATGGGTGGAAAAATAATAGGATTATATAGGATTGATAATAAGGACAATACATGACAAGACCATTTTCTTCAACGCACACGAACAAATATGGTGATGCAGTGAGAATAAAATGGCGTGAGATCATACATTCTGCTGCTAGACGTTGCTAGCTAAGTTTGGCTCAACACTAGGTTAAATGGAGGTCGTTTCTTGGATATACCTTTGTTGTTCCAAACCAACAACTATAACCAACTTACTTGTCTGGAGAGGCGCTTCGTCTAGGACCTCGACTTTTCCATTCAATTTCTATCTACTTCGAACCTAGGTGAGACGCCGACGCTTGCGAGTTTCAAAAACATCTGCCAGGCTAGCTCCTGGGTTTGCACGGCAGGCTGAGGCCAACAACTGTCCATCGGGCAAAACCACTCGAAGACTTTGGAGTGGAACCTCCAATTCATGCGCAATGCGCTTGTGAGTTTTCCAAGCAGGATCAGATGGACTTGCATTCAAGCGCAAAATTTCGTCCCCAGTCAAACCCGAGAAAGTCAGCATAGCATCAACTTGACCCGGAAAATCTAGTTGCAAGACGAGGTTTCTACCAACTGACACATCTGCAGCGTACCAAGTCCCTGGATCAAGAGTCGGAATGTCGCATTGTCCAGAATCATTCCGTCCGCAAGTCACAGCATCGCCATCACTTCTGAGAAGTACTGTGTGAAAGGAGCCTGCAGAAACATGGGTGTATGTGATTCCATCAGGTAACCGCGGAATGTCGCATTGTCCAGAATCATTCCGTCCGCAAGTCACAGCATCGCCATCACTTCTGAGAAGTACTGTATACACTTGGCCTGCAGAAATCTGGGTGTATGTGATTCCATCAGGTAACCGCGGAATGTCGCATTGTCCAGAATCATTCCCTCCGCAAGTCACAGCATCGCCATCACTTCTGAGAAGTACTGTATACAATTGGCCTGCAGAAACCTGGGTGTATGTGATTCCATCAGGTAACCGCGGAATGTCGCATTGTCCAAAATCATTCCATCCGCAAGTCACAGCATCGCCATCACTTCTGAGAAGTACTGTATGAAATTGGCCTGCAGAAACCTGGGTGTATGTGATTCCATCAGGTAACCGCGGAATGTCGCATTGTCTAGAACCATTCGTTCCGCAAGTCACAGCATCGCCATCACTTCTTAGAAGTACTGTATGAAATTGGCCTGCAGAAACCTGGGTGTATGTGATTCCATCAGGTAACCGCGGAATGTCGCATTGTCCAGAAGCATTCCGTCCGCAAGTCACAGCATCGCCATCACTTCTGAGAAGTACTGTATACAATTGGCCTGCAGAAACCTGGGTGTATGTGATTCCATCAGGTAACCGCGGAATGTCGCATTGTCCAAAATCATTCCCTCCGCAAGTCACAGCATCGCCATCACTTCTGAGAAGTACTGTGTGAACGGAGCCGGCAGAAACCATTAGGAGGATAGTAAAGACTTGGCACTAGTGGGCCGAATGAATGAGCCAAAACGGCTTGGAAATATGCAGCCTTTAGTGTCTACCTTTGAAGCGAGCCCAGCATGCCCTTGCAGAGGAATCGGTGGGATGAACAAATGGCAGTATAACCACGAATATTGCACACCAACAAACCAAACATCGCGTTTCTCGGATACTTGTGACCTGCAAAAAAAACATTTGATCTGTTAGAATATGGTGAAACAATCTTTGGCAAATTGCTCAGATCCTTCTTTTTATGACTGGAATCCAAGTTTCACGTGGTTGCATTCTATATTTTTTCATGTTTTACTCATGTTTAGCTCTGGTGAAATCACCATTGCTGGTGAATTTCACCAACCAGCTCATGGAGATATGTCTATGTACGGCCCAATTTGTTCCGCGGGAAGACCCGAAAGCCGCAACATTGTTGGATTTTGTTTGGTCTAAAACGTAAAGTGGAACTGAATAAATTTTTTCCATGAACCCATACCGCTACGTAGCCACCCAACAAAAACAACTGAAGAGTCATTTACCATGTTGTGCATTCCAAAGTTGGGTGCGACCTGCTTCATGTAAGGAGCGTTCGGGATCAGACTTGCTTCAAAGCTGTCCCCGGCCATTCTACTTGCCGTGGGTGTTTTATGACCGCATAAGAGTGACACCGATGTTCTTCTTGACTCAATCCACATTCACTCAATATTTGTCAATCGCTCGATATCGCTCGTATCCATTTTAACCAACTTTACTTCTATATGAAAGGAATGCCGACGAAATAGCCTGCCAAAAACACAAACAGACTTTTGCAAAATAGCTGGTTCGTACACACGACGAAGCATCCACCAGGCTCTCCGGCAAGGGCGGTCTCGCTGACCAGTGCCTCTCCTGCCAACGGAACACTTCCCTCACGGAGATTCCAAAGGCAGGTTGGTAAGGACATCGCCACTTGAGTCACTTGAGCTGTTGAAACCACTCAGAATCCAACAGTTTCTTCACCTAAAATTGATGAAACACTCAGAAAATGAAATGGAAAATGGCCTACCGGCTGCTCATGGCAAGCCTGCTATCCCCCATCTACAATCGAGACCAATTATCTAGAGAATGTAAAGGTGAGAAACCACTGCATTATGCTGAGCATCTCGAATGATCCCCACATGTGCCACATGGTTTCACGAGTGTTGGAAAAACGAACCTATTGGCCACCACGCCAACCCATTGTTTATAATTTATACTTTTTTTTGTGGGAAAATAGCTTCAACCTCAGCTACAAACTATGAGATTCAGACATCCTCCATGCAGCACGAGGTCAAGTGGGATCCCAAGTTATTATCCGAGTCAACGGGACCACTTCAGGGAGCTCCATATTGCATGGTGATCTTAGATGCCCTGCAAACATATTATTTTAAAGCTGGCGAGTATATACATATTATCTTTACTGATGCAATAATAAGTATATATAGGGCACATATATATGTTTTGTACACCCCCAAAAAACATCATTCTTATCTTTACTGATAGCAAAACATTTCAGTCAATATAAGTCAACCCTTGATCAACATAGCCTGCTTGACGTATCCCCCAGTGATGTCATCTGACATGGGAACCCCCGCAATGATCAACAGGCCAAGGGTTTGATAATCCGTGGTTGAGATTCATTATTATTATATTATGATTATATTATTACCCCTTGCCCTTAGATCAAATTCAGGGGGATTTCATCAACCCCAAGGTCAACCTCCTCAATGATAGCTGCCTAGTAAACCCTTTAGCCATGTTTAGTCCCAAATAATCAGTGGTTGTTGGTACTGAAAAAGGTGCTTTTCTATGCTTTTCTCAGGCCTGAAACCGGTGGCCGGTGGACCCCTCTTCCCGCGCCTGTGCCGCCTGTGCCGCCTGCTCCTGACGCAACTGCTGGAGCTCTAGGTCGTGCAACCGCTGCTCTTCCAACAGTTCCTGGAGCGACAGCGTAGACGAGAATGCTGGAATCCAACGTGGTGAGTATCATAAGAATTCTTGAAGTCAGTGTATGTCTAAAATATGTCTTTAGAGGTGTACTTACAAAATCTGAGATGTGAACTTTTTCTCCTAACAATTGCAAACCAACGATTTCATGCAAAATCAAGATCTTCAACATATGCACCAACATTGATTGAAAAACACACACTGCTTAGGTTGATTTGATGATGATGAGAGTAGAACTTGCCGTCGCCTGATTTCCTAAGTCACCTTCGATGGGGCACGGTTGCAAACGGTGAAATTCGGGCAATCGATTCTTGCCAAAGGACTCAAAAACAAGGTAATAGAACAGCTTGTGCAAAAGTTCGAACCAACATTGCAGGTACGTCAACCCAGCGTCCCAGGTTGATATCACTGTGACATCAGAAGCGTCTTCGTTGGCTGGAGACTTCTGATTCACACTCCAGCCCCCTGCATGTCTGAATTAAAATTCAGTTCTTATTGTCGCCACATATTGTCTTCCTTGCTTCGTTGTACGAAATTGTAAAATATCCGTATGTTATAACGGGTTTCACACACACACAAGCCCCGTAGGGCGATGACGAAATTACATGAGTAGTTGAAATGGCAAGCTCACACTGTCGCTCAAGTGACAGAATGGCAGTCCTGAAACTTCACAAAACACTAATGGAGGAGCGAAAAGTCTGTGAGAAATGCGGTACTTCATGAGACTAAGCCGCCAACCATTGTTTGTGGTGAATTCAGTTCAATGAGCGAAAGCATGTGAGGTCCGGGCTGATAACTCTCGTCAGGTTGTTATGTCGAATACTCTTATAAAGAAATTAATTAGTTAAAATGACAGACGCACATTGTCACTCAAATAACAGAATCGCTGTCCTGAAATGTTACGAGACACTAACAGAGGAGTGAAAACGCTGTCTGGATTTCGGTATTTCATAAGACTAGGCCGCCGACCATTGATCGTGGTGGATTCAATTCAGTGAACGAAAGCGTCCGAGGTCCGGGCTGATAACTCTGGTCAGGTGATTATGTCGAATATTTTTTTTTTGTCGAAAAATCTTCTGTGTCAAAAATCTTGAGGCATTTAGAACTCTGAAACCTAAAGCATGATTGGGGGTAACTGAGGTCCCGACACCACTCAGAGCACTATACAATCGACGTCTAACATGGAGAAATTGTGACAGCTGTTGTGGACAAGGGCAAAAGAGATCAATTCATGTTAGTAGAACCAGTGTAGAGTAGAGGTAAATCCGATGGTCTGTAAATGGCGACAGACTTGAACCCAACATTGAAAGGTTTGAACTGATGCAGCCATGAATAAGTTACTACACACAAATCACATTCTCATGCGTATCTCTATTTGGCAAAAAACAACAGAGTGCGACAAGTTAAGAATGATTGAGTAAGCTGTTCACTCCTTTTTGTTAAGCGAATCTGAAAACATCACGCGCTTGTAAATGTGGATGGACTTGGTGGATAACAGTCATTATGGTCTTGCGTGCGGAATCTGTGGTCACAAGAGCAGAGTCTCGAGATGATATCAGTCCAATGAGATCTTGAATTTGAGGTAGATGAAGATGTTGTGGATACACGCCCGTGAGAATGAGTCGAATACGAGCAATAAGACCACTGAGGGCGGTACGTGAGACACCACAGCCAGAGCTGTGTCTCAAGGGTTTGTTCCATGGTAACTGCAAAGTAATGGTATGTTGTAGGCAATCAATTTTGTATCCCAGGGCTTCATCACCAGGTACTGGTTCCAAAAGGATGGGATTTGTATAGAAATCCAGTCTCCAAAATAGGTCAAAGTCCAGACTGGCGCGATCGATGTCTGTTGCTAGAATCAAGCGGTTGTCGACATACCGATGATGAAAATTCATGTTTGTGCGAAAGACCTGAAAATAGGAATGAAAAATCCATTCTCTGAGTAATGCAACTGCTGAACAGAAAATGGGTGCCCATTGGGAACCCATACTTGCACCACGACGCTGTTGGAATACTGTGCCTCCAATACTGAAATAACTATGATTCAAAAGGTATTGGCTGAGCGGTTGTATATGGGCAAGACAAATTGGTCGGTATTTGTGGCTATGTGACCGCCAAAATCCACGAAAAATTCGTAAAGTGCGTTCCGTAGTCTCTTGATGAATGTTGAGAAAAGAGTCAAATGTTTGTCCTTGAAGTTCACAAAACCGACACACAGCAAATTGAACAGCCTGTAACATACGAGAGTGATCAACTTGATTGTAAAACCCAGCAATGTCTTCTTGTTCCACAGTGAGTTCACCATAAGCGTAGTCTTGGTGGGAAAACAACTTGGCAATTGCATGTAGCACCGACTTGATATCCGTAACAGATAGGAGATCAGAATATACAACTTGCAAAATTTCATATAACGCTGTTGCTAGTGCACTTCCAATTGGTCGACACCATGCTCGAGAATAATCCACAATTGGTCTTGCTTTTTGAAATAACCTGGATGGTTTTGGGAGAATGTATGCGGTGCTGAGAGTGGATCCAAATTTGAAGCCCCATTTGTAGTGTTGCATAATCCAGTCAGGGATATTTTGTTGAATGTGCTTCAATAACGGAATAGGATACGCTTGGCAGCGAAGAAATACCGAAGTATCCAGGAACGTTCGGTTCATCAAATATTGCCACTGAGCAGGACAGTGTAATGTCAAAGAATGCGGAAAATGATCTGAGGGCGAGACTACAAAAGAACGTAAGCGATGTTGAAGTCGCTGAATCTGTTTCTGGGTCTGTCCGAGAGAATTCTGTTTATAGATCTTCCACTGTGTCAGGATGAAAGCTTGCCAATATTGGATCAATGAATGTGATAGCTTCCATCGATGCAGCCACTGTTCGAATTGATACGTGTTATGGTGAAAGAAGTGTCTCCATGATGGTGAAATCTCTTCAGCCATATGTTGATGGAGAAATGCTTCATCAGGAAAGCATTCTTGTGCAAAAACAGAAATATGTTCGGTTTTTCGTTCACGTTGTCGAATATGCAAAGGAAAGAGGTGGCATGTACACAAAGGTTGCTGTTCAGGTGTCCACCATTTCAACACTTTTCGAAAATTGAAAAATGTTTGTCCCAACGTCCGATTCTTAATGCGCACAAATGGTGCCCGTACTTTGTGAAACGGAGGGAAATTGATGGAATGATGAAAAGTGAAATTCAGAAGCCACTGTTTTATCGCATCGTTCATGTCGTCAGATAGAACTTGAAGTCGCATAGGCACATTGGGTGGCGGAGATTCCGTTCCCTTAAATCTGAGGATCAAACGAAGTTGTGATTGACAGCGTGTACGAAAAGGTTCTCCCAATTGATGGGAAAGTCTCCAAAGCAAGAAAAGATATTGTATGTCTGTTTGTGATGAACGCAGTAATTTGGAAACATGAAACTTTTCGATGGTGTCAGAGCCTAAACGAGTGAGTAATGTGTAGATTCGATCCGCAGAATGAAATCTGAGGCCCAAAACGCACCGCTGATTTGTAGCCGTTCGCTTCAAATATCGACGACAAAACTTTCGAGTCTTTTCAAGAAAGGGTTTGGAGACTGAGGGCCCGAACCGCTGCTTCCCAATATGGAACTTCTGTAAGAAAGGCTTGATCCATGGCCAATTGTATTTAGGCCGGTACGTCGTCTGAAATGCCGTTTCCATGGCATACAATTTGTCAAGGTTTTGCTGTTGTAAAGGAAAACAGCCAAACCTGTAGAAATTGTTCAGGTGGAACCAAACTTTTAGGGCAGGCTCGAAATACGCAAGTTGTTGGTTACCAAGTTGACGAAATTTCCGCATACGGCTCTGTTCTCGGTCAAAAACAGAATGTTCTGTGGCTCCAATGTAAAAATCAGCATCCCAGAGATCCAAACGCATGTAAATAACTGATGTTTGTGTCCACCATGTCCATGAGAATTTAAACGGAAGTCGTGCATGTTGAAGGATAGTCATCAGTCGTCGTCGCTTGTTTGTCCATGAATTCAAACATACTCCAAAAACTGTCCATTGACTAAGAGACCATAACAACATCCGTTGAAGTCGCCAAGTCAGTTGTGGAGTATATTGCAAAAGACATGCAACAAAAAAGATGAAGGATTGAGCAATCTCCCGAAATTGTGCGATCTTACGTCGTGCCTTTCGGGTGTGTGCTTGGTCAAAAGGTTTTATCAAGCCACCGTTAGTAGGTGGGCTTACTTGATCTGTAGCAAATTCAAATTGTCAGTTTCGCAGCAGCTGAACTGCTGCCAACAATCTGATGTGAGCATCAACATTGCATTTCGACAAAAAGGAAGAGGAGAGGCCCCAATCGCTTAAAATTGGTTCCAGGTTGGGTTGATTCGCCTGATCGAATTGTTTCAAATGGTTTTGAAGAGTTTCAACACACTTGTTCAATTCTCCCTGACGTTCCTTGGGAACGTTCTTCTTCACCCAATCACGGACTTTTGCCTCAGTTCCTGTTTGAGGTGCCTGGATTGCATAGAAGGCTTGGGCGTCTTTGCGACGATAGGACATCAAAGGGTCTGCAGGACTGGATGGGCCTCCTGGTGTACTACTGTTGGGGAAAAACGCATTGATTTGGGGTTGGCCTGTTGGGGGCCGCTGCGTCTGTTGGGATGGTGGATTACCACTATCTGGAGCTTGGGATGCTTTCAATGCAGCATTCTCAGCCTTGAGTTTCTCTAGTTCTTCTAGTATGGCTTGCTGTGAATCTTGAGGACAGAGAGTGCGAAAATGATCTAATGTTGACTGGACCAATCCCTTGATACTTGTCAACTTCGTGTCCCATTCTTGCGGATCTTGACCCTGTGGTGTGAAAGCTCCCAACAGTCGATGGAAGTCCAAGGTGTCCTTCTGCTTTGACATTTCTCGAAAAAGTGTAGTGGCAAAAGTAGCTTCCAGTCGATTGCGAAAGAATTCGCATGAAACAAATCTACCGTTGGCCACGAGGCGAAGGCCCCAATTGCTGATTCCACTTTGAACAACATCGATAAGCTTAATTTGGGATATTTCTTGTCCTGCAAGGTTCTGTCGACGACTAAATTGAGTAGATTCAACCCTCTTGGGAAGATTTAGTCCATATTCTGTTTTTGTGTCCCAATGAGTATCACTGCTGTTCCATGATGACGGGATCTCAAGTCGGTCCGTCTGCGATCTTTTGAGCTCAGAACGATGACGTGAATCGTCCCGATTCTTCCGACGAGGAGATCGTTCTCTGGGGCTCTGGCGAGATGATCTACGTCTTCCTGTTTCTCTGTGTGTTCGTCTGGTCGATCGAGATCGAGAATTCCGTCCCATGTCTATATGAGGAGGGGAAGAGTAGGAAAGTCGATAAGTTGATGTCTTGAACCTGCTGAAGTGTCAAAGACAAAATCGCAGAAGAACTTTGTGTGAAAATGAGTGCCACTGACACAGTGACTTAATGGACTGACATGCTGTTAACTCAGTAGAACTGTACAAGGTCAAGGTCAATTCTCATTGTCAAATTCACATTGTGAAAAATCTAAAGTATGAAGTTCCACATGCATCGAACAGAACAGACACCGGTGATGTAAAACTGATCGCATAGATTCTTCATCACCATAACGTTCCTGAAAATATGTCGGCGATTGATGCAATTTTGACGCAACATAGCTCCTATATAAATACGCTGCGGAGCACAAATTACTTAGAAGCAACACAGAGAAGGACACCGCGGGAAGGTAGCATGCAGAAGAAGCAAGGAAAAAGGAAGAAGGAGGCAAGCAAAAGGAAAAGGGGACAAGCAAAAAGAAAAGGGGGACAAGAACACGGCAGAAAAACGATGCACACACGCGAAGCTAACAATCGAAAAATCTGAGTCAGCACTGTTTTTATACTCCAAATAAAGACTCCAAGACATGATTTCTGGAGATGTATACTCCATGGATTAATCATTTTAATTGGCTCTCATGTAGGATCACCGCGACGTACTTGATCTTCGAAAGATGGGATCGGAAAGCCCACCGTTGGTCCGCTCCATGTGCTGAGTCAGCTACCATAGTGATCATGTGGTCAGCCATAACTCCACCCTGTGGTGTACGAATATGTTCCTGCCTCGAAAATGCTTCTCCAAGAATACATACAGGGCGATCACTGAGGGCGCCGCCGTACTTTCCGCACATCTTGACCAAACGTTCCATATCACTTTTGTGAAAATCATCATGGTTAGGTACGACTGCTCGGCAATAAAAGGAAGTAGGTGGCAACCATGATTTGTCAGCGGGATCACAACTAGAAGGACGAATAAATCCTTCCCGAACAATGTCACACAGAGCTAAAGCCTGAGTGTTATGGCCAAAAAGGAAACGATGATTGAATTGGACTTTGGGAGTGCTTCGAAAATATGGTGGTTGCACTGATGCTAGGATGGCCAAGGGTGTCTGTGTGGAAGACATCAATATCTGAAATTCCTCTATCAAAATAGAGTTGGCTGGATATTGCATCAAGGATGCAATCAAAATTTGGATTCCTTCCTCCACATGAGCAGCTCGTGAGTTCATGAAGGCTGATGGAAAGCATGTGCGCAAATCATGTGTGACATATTCATACCAAAAACCACTCATTCGTTTGGCTTCATCGAAGGTTTGATAGCCGCTGGCTCGACAAAAATGATGCATGTCTGGAATCCATTTTTGTTGACGTGGTTCTTCAATAAGTCTGCCCATCTCAAATCCTCCAGCAATTCGATGTGGATTTTGGTATAAACCTGAGTGTAAACGCAATACAGTGCTGTACAGTCCACACCAATCCAACTCCTTCAATGTTCCATGTCGTATTGCATCAAATTGATTGGACGAAAAACGTGCCAGTGGATGCGACACCCACAAATGGTGTCCGAGGTGTTCCAATTGTGGATGCTTAAATTCCATAATCTGTAGTACACTGGAAGAGACAAACTTTTCTGGTTGTCGTCCAATTTTGAAACATACTGATTTTGTTTGAGTCTCTGCAGAAACTTCAGGAGCGACATCGCTTTGGAAGTTCTGAGTTCCCCACTGATGTACGAAAGTGCCGAGCTGAGATGGAATCGTACCAGACTTGTCCAGGGGATCCGGACCACGTTCCGATCTTGGAGGTTCCAATACATTTTCACTGCGAAATCGTTTCGATGGCCGTTCTGAGGTCGTTACCCGATCAGTCAGAGCAGGTGTAACTGATGTCGCGATTTGTCCCGAAGAATTGGGAAAGGTCAAATGTAAGCCAGGTATCCAACCTTTTTGATTTCCTGCATGCGTCAAATTGGCAAATTGAGAGATAATCCCAAGCTGATGAAATTGATTTTGAGCTTGAAGTATTCCCAATTGGCATTGATGTTCCTGAACCTGTAGACTGTGCATCTGAATAGCCTGATCATTCTGAATAACACGTTGTGCCATGAGTGATGCCTCTCCGCGAGGTACTCTGAATTCAAACTCGCCAGTGAATCCCCGATAATGAAAACTGACATCTTCAGTGGTACGTCTGCTAGCTGGTGTGGCCCAAGTAGGAATTGGATCACGAGGTGGGGGACCCATGGACTTCGGAACTACGCCGGTCGGTATCATGGTAATGTTGATAATGTCCATATATGAAAATGTCCATATATGAAAACGAAGGCAAAAGAGAAAAAAGGAAAAACAATAAAATTGAAGCAGACAACAACCACCTGTAACATTGAAGGATGTTGGTTTAAAACAATGACATCTTGCAGCAACTGTCGCTTCAGAGCCAACATATTGGGTACATTGTTCATGACATTCAAAAGCAAACATATAAAGGTCACAAAAATGTCAAACAGCGAGAAAATGTTTTAACAACTGAAAACGGAATTGTGAAAGAATCAGAACGTTTTTTGAACTGCAAACTGTGATTCTGTAAGGATCGGACCTGGGTAAGACAACAGGTGAGACCCCCCGAAGGGTTAATCCATCCCTATAGGGATTAATCCTGGTCCTTCGAAGGGACTAATCCGTCCATCGTTGGGACTAATCCGTTGAAGTATGACAAATTGTCATAATTCGCTCCTAAAGTGGAGTAATCCTGTGATTGACATAACAACCACGTCGAATCCGGATTGTCCCAATTGGACATTCAACTATCCACCGGAGCGGCCGGTGACCAGATCTAGACCCGCACGAAGCAGATCGACGGTGCTCACAAGTCAGTGAGTTCACCCAAACACACTGCTTAGGTTGATTTGATGATGATGAGAGTAGAACTTGCCGTCGCCTGATTTCCTAAGTCACCTTCGATGGGGCACGGTTGCAAACTGTGAAATTCGGGCAATCGATTCTTGCCAAAGGACTCAAAAACAAGGTAATAGAACAGCTTGTGCAAAAGTTCGAACCAACATTGCAGGTACGTCAACCCAGCGTCCCAGGTTGATATCACTGTGACATCACAAGCGTCTTCGTTGGCTGGAGACTTCTGATTCACACTCCAGCCCCCTGCATGTCTGAATTAAAATTCAGTTCTTATTGTCGCCACATATTGTCTTCCTTGCTTCGTTGTACGAAATTGTAAAATATCCGTATGTTATAACGAGTTTCACACACACACACACATTTCGGCATATTTAAATAAGCACATACATAAACAAAGAAACACCACGGTAGTTATTTTTTCTTGCAACGATATTCCTAGTACACATTTATGTAATTGCATGTCGTGCATAGTTCCATGTTCTAAACATATTTTCAGGTATCATTTTTGTTGCCAACTGTGTTTTGATGCCTATCGCCTATCACTATAATTATATGCTCCCTTCGTGACTTCGCCATGTATGCCCGGTTCTCTATATATAATTCTGATGTGTGTGCATACAGAGAGAGAGAGAGAGGGTGGACATATTCAAATAACTTATACATACACATGTATAATACGCCTCTCCCTACCTACCTACTGTATATATATATATATATACATACACCTCCTCATATAATACAAACCCAAAAATACTCCCAATGTACAACCTTGCCCAGCAGACATCATCCACGCAGTTGTCCAGTTGGCCATGGACGCTACAGAAAAGGGTGAGATCTTCCCAGGTTTCGTGTTGATTTCAAGTGGAGCAGTGTTCAAAACCAACGTCATTCCGCTATACTGCTTGGTGAATAGGCATTTCCCATAGTGGATTGTGATATATTGTGATAATCATGAACCAACAGGCGTTTTGAAGACTGCTCATGTCATGAAGGGCTTTGAATCCGCCTGCTTTCTGCGCTCTTGCGCCTTCGGCAGGGGTGGAAAATCCACCGTTAAATTTGAAGGTTTTAATTGGGAAAATCACCGAACTAAACTCCCGATTCCATTGCCATGTTTGATTTCTGGAGGACATAGTAAATTGCGTGTACAACCGTACTCCTTTTACTGAATTTCAATCCAAGGTTGTCCCACTTCAATGTGGCTGTTGACCAGTGGCCAATGCCTTCAGCTGATCTCTCAAACTTTGAGCTGACCTAACGCTTGGCTGCCATGCCGGCAAGTGAACTGTTCCCTTGTTGGATATCATGTATCCCATCCCTGAATAATTTTTAGGCAGCTAACCATCAAAAACGATGGTTTGACATGGTCTTGTCATCCTGAAATGGGGATAGATAGATAGATAGAATAGAATAGAATAGAATAGAATTAGAATAAGACAACGTAATATAATATAAGATAAGATAGATCGATAGATAGCGCGCGAGAGAGAGAGAGAGAGATCGATAGAGAGGCATATATATATAAATACATAGAGAGAGAGAGAGAGATGGAGAGATAGAGAGAGATATCAATTACACCATTCAATGCGCCCCATATGGGCCGCCAAAATGAACAAATCCAACACTTGACCAGGGCGCGGGTACTTAATACAGGAGGGAATGGATTACTCCTAGAAACATCCAGAGACTCGACCAAAATCACGCAAATTTCACATACATGTACACATATGTATATATATATATGTGTGATTTGGATTGATGCGGAAAAGCCACTGTTAGAATTCAATTTATCACCAAGCAATAAGCAAGCCGGGTTGCAATTCATTTAACCAGGGACCCCTCTGAGTCACCAGCATGTAGCCAGCACCCTCAGTGCGAGATGGGACCATGGATGTTTCATGATTTTTCCATGTGATAAACATTGATGAAGCCACAAGGTGAGGCCCCCCAGTTATGTTTGTTGGTTTATAAACCCATTAAGATCCATTGAGTAGTTCCTTATAATGTAGGCTGCCTAATAGTAAACCCCCCCCTAAATAAAGTATTTGTTTTAAAAAAAATAGGGGGGTCAGCATTCCAATAGTAAATTTTTGGAACCTTATAGCTGGGATCATGGAAGTGGGGGCAGAGGTGGTGGAGGCGAAGGAGGAGGACGAGGAGGAGGAGGAGAAGAAGGAGAAGAAGAAGGAGAAGGAGGACAACAAAATTGGAGTTGCGGAAAAAAGTTTCCACTATTGCCATGCCTGGTGCAGGTTTGTTATTGCTATTCTGGGGCTTGCAAAGGGAGTACCCTTTGTGGACCTGTTTTCTTGCTTTTTTAATAAGGGTTTTATAAGGAAATCAGCTGTTTGGTAATTGGATCAGATTTCTGGAATCTAAGATTTTGCTAATCAAAAGTGAAGGCTGCTTTGAAAAGGATTTGCTTTACTTGACTCTTTTGGCAATACTAAAAGTAAATGGAGCTAATTGACTTTTAGTATTGGATAGAAAATTGGAGTTGGGAAAAAAGTTTCCACTATTGCCATGTTGGGTCCACTATTGGCCATGCCCTCTGGACAAGGTCTGAACATGACTCTTTTGGCAATACTAAAAGTAAATGGAGCTAATTGACTTTTAGTATTGGAGAAAAATTGGAGTTGCGGAAACATGTTTCTACTATTGACAAGATATCACTATCCTCCTAATCAAGCGTAGTTCACCACATGAACTAAACCAACTAACCCAAACGTTAATCAAGTTATTTGTGTCAACTTAAAGCTACAGTATCCTTTGGGAACCTCACCTTGCAGCAATGGCACCTCATTTCACCATTTGAGTGATTGACATCAGAAAATTGGAATCGAAGTAATTGCATGGTCTGAAAGCAACCACATGTGCCGCCTAGTACTGGTACTTTGAGAGCCAGCACCCTGGACCTGTTTCAGCTGACCCATCAAGCACCAACGAGCTTCGGACAGCTGAGGGAGCTTTTGGGATGGGAGGAACCTGGCCAACTGCTGCAACTAAAAAAAAAACAGCCAGCAAGCGTCAGGGCGGGGTTGCCAAAACAAGAAGTCTCAAGAAGTCTCCCAATTTAACATATTTAACATTGAACATGGATGGTGTCCTCACTTCAAATTTAAATTTCTACTGCGGTCCAGAAACTTCGAAAGTGACAAGTCGAGCTGAGGAGGATTTTCCAAAACATCCACCAACACTGATATGATTCACTTTGTTTTCAAATAAGATTATAGTCTAGTACCACCCAAAAAAAATCAGACAACAGTAGTTCACTATTTAAGTAGGATTGCGTTTTGCTATCTTTTGGAGGCTTGCCAAAAAAAAATAAAACACAGAACACCTACTTACAGTTGGTGAAACACCTTTGAAGACCAGCCTGTGATGGTATCCCAGGGTGGCCTCATTCAGGGAAGGTCGTGCCAAAATGTGAACATGGTTGGTACGTTTTGTATGTTTTGGGTGATCTCAACAAAAAATCTCCCAAACTTCAACGTCCAACATATATATATATTATTATACATATATATATATAATATAATACATATTATATAATATATATTATATATTATATATATTATATATGATATTATATATATTATATCATATATATTCTATATTATATATATAATATATTACATGTATTATATTATATCTATTATATATATTATATATTATATATATTATATGTTATATATTATATATGATATATTATATATTATAGTTGGTATAAGTTCTCTTGCCTGTGCATCTTGGAGCGTTTGCGCTAAAACCAGCCTGCTGGGTTCACAGGTCGGTTAGTATAAGTTGGCTTTGCGTTCTTTTTTGGAACTTAAATTGACGCCGAACTGAAATTTGGGTCGGGAGTCAGAAAATTCTTTTCCGGATTTCCGGATCTGGAACATGACAGGATGACTTCCCATGTTGGTTTTGGGGGGTATGCACCAACATATCCCAGTGGTCAGTGGTCCAAGGATTACAATCCACTTCCTCAATCATTTACATCCAGTAGGTAACACTGCCATCATAGATCATTGCTCAAAAATATGTCAAGTTCAGAGGATGGCATTCGGACAAACATTAAAAAGAAACAGTTAGTTCAGTTCAGGACGCAAGTAGCATTGGTAGCATAAATATACCTGAGCCCACACCACCAACACGCGCAAGATGATGCTTAAGTGTCTTGCTGGGAGGCTCCGCATAGGGCTCATCTAATCGAAGTTCGTCGAGAATTTCTTGCACCTAGAATCAGGAACGTGGGGCACTTACGGGTGTGTCTGAAAATGGGTAATTACATTACATTACCTTCCATTGCATTATATTACATAACATTACATACATATATTTTATATAATAATGTATATATAATTATATATACTGGGCAAAGTCCCCAAATCTCAAATGGCCATTTGAATGGGGAAATCACGATAATCCATTGGCATTTTTTGGGTGCCATGTTTTCAGTGAAGATTGGCATCTGCGGCAGGTGTCATTTGGGGGTAGCATTGTCGCACATTTTCACGTTGCCCTGGTAACACCGGTCATCCCCCGTAAATTAAACCTCTTGAGTCGCGAATCTCAGGTATGGAAAAGTAGAACACTGGAAGAAGAACATATACTTGAACTTGAGACCTACTATTATATAGTAGATTTGTCATGATTTATCTATGAAACTCTGTAAAATTATGTGCTCTGTCCCTCTCTCTCTATACATTTATCACTGTACATCTATATAAACTACCCTCTGGTTATTTAACATAGCCATGGAAAATGGCCCATTTATAGATGATTTTTCCAGCTATAAACGTCCATTTATGGTTGGGATTTTCCATGGCTATGTTAAATAACCAGAGGGTATATGCATTCAACCATTGAAAACTATGTATGGAGCCGTTCCGTCGAACCATCGCCTCCTTGGCCAAGCTCTCGTCTCCCCAGTCTCCCCCGCGCGCTCTTCTCCCAACGAGGCGGGGCGCGTGCCTCCAAACGTTGGAGGCTTAACATGGGGTTAAACCGGTACAAGGGGATAGCCATGACGCAAATAACCTGGTGAACTGTTAAGTTGACTAGTGGGATATATATATGTATATATAACTATGTTTAATGAGCCTATAAGCCAACTTTAAACTGGGGAGCCCCACCTCGTATGTATGTACATGTAATGTAATGTAGCGTGGTGTTATGTGATGTTATGTTATGTTCATGTTGTGTTTATGTCATCTTATGTTGTCTTATATGCACATCTCAGAAGGACTTTCACAACTATATATGTATCATATTGTAGCATCATATATTTTGCTTACTACTTAGAAGTTTCCATGTAACATCTATGCAAAAGGATGCAAAAGGAATAGTACTGGCTGGCGGTTTTAACCCCACCCCCACTGGGATATAGTAGCCACTAAGACCAGGAGTCATAAAGGATCATCATTCCGGGTTGGGATTAAAAAGATGTTCAACTCCACCAATCAAAAAATATCACAAAATTATGTTTCAATGTTCTTCGAGTATTCGTGACACTATGGCGGTCATTCTATTGCCAAGCTTTCCATGGATCATTCGGAAACAAGGCCAGCAACCGCCAGCAACGCTACCTGTTTGGTCTTGAAGCCCAGTACGTGAACAAGCCTGGAAGCTGAGGCTCAAAGAACTGAAATTCAGACATATTCAGAAACTTTATTTGTAGCATGTTATAGTGGATAATTTAGCATACTTTAGCATCGTTGTAGTAATGGCTAAGATGCAGCATTATTGGTCAGAGTTCCGGTCGGAGATACGCTTCATGCCAATTAAGTGGAATGCTGGTCAGACTTGTGTGGAGCACACTGCAAAACCTCTTTCAAAACATTTCTCAAGACACGATAGGGCATTGATCATCTAGTTTCCTCTTCAAATTGACAATGAAAATGCATGAAAATAGCCCAATTTACAACTTGAATAGGAAACTAGATGATCAATGCCCTATTCCAGACTATGCCATATTGACTCCTGCTGATGCAGGCTGATGCACCCGTGCAGTTTTTTGACACACCCCGGCAGCCATAGGCCGCCATAGACGGCGACCTCCTACATGAACGGTGGCATGCAGAGCGAGCACCAGGACAAGGGATCGCCTGGGCGCATTGGAAACCATAGGTGGAATTTCGCTGATAGAGGATCCTTGTTGAAGGCTTTTGACCCCTGTTCCCTGTCGTCTGATGGCGACGTGTCTGGCTGTTGGTCACAACTTATGACACATTGAAATTGCATATCTGCATCAATTGGAATACTATCCCAAATTTAGTTTATTCTTTCATTTTTCTTTCAAAAAAAGAGAGAACCATAATGAACCATATCAACAACCACCAACTAGCCGTGATCCCAACATCTTCTACCGCCAACATCTTCCAACCTCCAACTGGTCTGCATGGCACTGCGCCACTAGCGGGTCACCGGTGTCTGTGATGGCTGAAGAGCCACAGATTTCCCAAGCAAATTCAAGCGGCAAGGTTCAGAAGGAACGTCCCTTTCCAAAACACACCTTTTACATCCCTCTCTCATGGCTGTCGTTTAATGCTGTTATCCTATGTTTTTAACCAAAGTCTTCAGATTCAAAATCTTAGAGCTATGTGGAGCTTTTTGGGCCCACGAAAGCTGAAATATTTTTTCAGTATAAGCATTACACATCTTGGCGGCGCCGGCCAGGTATGGCCAGCACCTCTCAGCACATTGGCATGGCACTGGCATCTTTCATGACCAAAATCCTGGGCCCCGAAGCATCAGCTGCATCTGTGTAAGTTTCTGAAAATACATCTGGGTCAAGACTTGCATAGTGGCGTACCCAACTTATCCCAAAGTCTTCAGAATTGAATTTCGCATAGATTTAAATATGGATTTATAACGAAGAAAACATCATGCAAAAACATATTAGTATGGAAGTTATGGCTTCAGGAATTTCAGGATTTCTACCACCAACGACACCCCATCTAGCATAAGAAGCGTCGTAAGTTGCTTCCGCTCCCCTCACTTGCTTTCTTGTCGACCCTCAGTCCAGGTTCGATCCGGAAGCTGGAATGCTGGAGGCTCCCAAATGACATGTGGTAATCTACCGTGGACATGAAGTGTCAAACATGGATCTGGGCAAATTATAAATTATTAACTATATAACCTGAAAACTATAGTTACTATAGTTATAGAAAAATAATTCAATATTACAATACATATAATTCAATATAAAGTAGATTACCTGAAATCAGGCTTTATTGAGATAATTCCCCTTACCCATGATTCCAGTGAGGTCACTCTAATTTACCCAGATGGATTAACATTCTGGTAAAAGGAATCTTACGCCAGACAATTGGCCATCCTTTCTGGGTTCCGTGCGCTCGTTTATATAGTCAACATGGCCAGCCCATCTTTGGTTCGTTTGAAGGAAATCCTTTAGATTTGGAGGTAAACCATGTTAAAACCGTACTTTCATTCTCGTTTGGTGCTTTGAAACACCTTCAATGATTCAATTCAAATCATGATCATCATCTCAGCTATGGGCCATGGTTGATGACAAACGATATCCGAAAACAAGTCCGATTATATGATATACATATAATATGTATATGCCCATAACTTCCCTTGTTTGTTGGTAAAAATCCAAGTTTTTGTGGTCATTTCTTCATATGTTGGTTACATAAATAGTATCCTAAATTGAACCTGTGGGTCCGGATCGTTCCTGAGGGACTTAACCCCCCAAAATCAAGCACCGAACGTGAGACTGGATCCGTCTTTGGTGCACTTGAGGTGACAAAATTATGGATCACCAGGGCATTTTAACCCCAGAAGTAAGGATATGGGCCATGATATGGGCCCCCCATGGTGAAATCTCTCCGGCCAACCCCAGCTGCACATTGAGAGCCCCGACGACTCGCACGCGCTCCATGGTGCCAGCTGGGAGCGGCGAAACGCTTCGAGAGGGCCTTGCTGGCGGATGGCAGCAATGGTTCGGTTCATCCCAGGAATCGTCAGTGGCTGAGTTCACCCCATTTGGAGGTTTCCTAAAATGGGGCTAGCCCCAAATCATCTTAGACCATCTTGGTATTGAAACCAATGGTTTTGGGGATCCCCCATTTTGGGAACCCCCCATTTAGAAGTAGAATGAAGTGGGGTAAGTAGGGTGATTCTCCAGTTACAACTGGGGTGAGCCACCGGAGTAGGAAGAACCAATAGATACACCAACGTCTCATTTCATCCAAGAAGGGCCCCCTCAATTGTAGATATCTGTTTAAACACATTCAACTGTAGATACCACTGTAGATCCTAGTTAGAAACCAACTCACCCTCTTTGAGGGGCCCTTTTTGCAAGCGTCTGATTTTAGCTAGGCCATTAGCCAAAACAGAGTTCTCTACTGTTCTCAAACGATAGAACACAACATTGTCATTTCCGAGAAAAAAAAACGCAACATATCTTGCAGGCCAAGTCTTTTTTGGGTGATGTGTAAAAAACATATGATCCAGGGCAATGCTAAGAATCGCCAGTCTTCGAGAAAAGTAGGCTTCCAGCCCCCGACTCATGGCAGTGTCTATGTTAGTTGGAGGGAAGAACTGAGAGCTGAACAGGCAGGGCTGCCCCCCCAACACAGAAAACAACTGCTGCTGAGGAACCGGTGAGCTCCTGTTTCGGCAGGAGCCGCCTTAGCAAGCGCCAGCACCCTGAGATCGTTAAGAAAGTGATGCGCACAACCAGAACTGCACCAAAGCCTCAGAAAAAAAAGGTATACAATAGTTTACATAGGTATACATAGCATTACATAATATTACAGAGCTAAATTTGACAGATAGTGCTCCAACGGCTCAATTCATGTAAAAAAGAGGTCCTGCCAGTGATTGATATGGGTTTGTTTATACACCCATCCAATGGTAGATATATCCACCATAAATCCAATCGGTGGCCTAACCTCTTTAAAAAATATCAAGAACATAAAGTCGCGGTTGGTGAATGGGGATTCCCAAGGTAGATCATGATCATCCCCCAAAAATGATAGTTATATATATATAATTCAATTCATCCCAAAATGTTGTTTTCTCACTATAGTTAGAATTATCATTATATAATTATATATAATTAGTCCTCATAGTATGTTATCACTATAATCCGCATAGCATTGATTGATAGTCATGGCAGCCTTTGGGTGTAAAAAACTGATAATCCCTATTGTAAATATACCAGTTGCATTATCACTAGTATATTGTAAAAACCTAATAAACTCTGAGTTTTTTGAAACCGCTGAGCATTTTGGCCGCCTTTCGAGGTGTCACCGAAGCAGCCTGTCCACAGGCCATGTATAGTGCTCCCCAGTCATGTTTTAACCAGCATTCACTATGGGTAGCTATGGATATATATATATATAAACATAAAGCATAGCTAACCTAGATTCCAACCAAATTAGCTACCTATAGGTCACCACCTTGTATTGCTTAAAATGGGCTACCATTTTCAAGGTGGGGGAGTGTTACCTCTCTCTCTCTTTCTCGGAGTTTGGTTCATCTCGTGAGATGTTTTGAAACGCAAAACGCAATTCAATTTACCCTTTGATTATTTACCTATTAAAGATGTTGATTTTCATGTCTACGTTAAATAACTAAAGGGTATCTGTTCTCGTAGGTTCTCCTATACTATATGAGGACGAGTCAAAACTGAAGCCCGATGGGACCACAGATTTTAGTATATGTTTAATCATTCAGCTATTGAGGTACACAATCTTGACTTATACCCATATAGCAACCCGAAATAGATAGAAAAGTGAGATGGAAAATCTGGAAGTTATGGAGGAAACATCATCGAACTAAGACGCTCGAAACGCTTTTCTATCGTTTTGGGTGCTCCTACAATGTAATTCCACCTATCTATCTATCTATTCTTATCCTATCTATCTATTCTTATCCTATCTATCTATTCTTATCCTATCTATCTATTCTTATCCTATCTATCTATTCTTAACCTGTAATCTATCCACCTATCTATCTTATCCTATCTATCTTCTCCTATCCTATCTTATCCTATCTATCTCCTATCTATCTATCTATCTATTCTTATCTATCTATCTATCTTATACTATCTATCCATTCTTATCCTATCTATCCAGTCTTATCCTATCTATCCATTCTTATCCTATCTATCTATTCTTATCCTATCTATCTATTCTTATCCTATCTATCTAATCTTATCCTATCTATCTAATCTTATCCTATCTATCTATTCTTATCCTATCTATCTATTCTTATCCTATCTATTCTTATCCTACCTCTCTATTCTTATCCTATCTATCTATTCTTATCCTATCTATCCATTCTTATCCTATCTATCCAGTCTTATCCTATCTGCCCATTGATCTCTATCTATCTATCTATCTATCTATCTTATCTATCTATCTATCTATCTATCCTTCTATCCTTCTATCTATCTATCTATCTATCTATTCTATCATTCTATCATTTTATCTAATCTATCTATCTATCTATAGATCTATCGATCTTTCGATCTTTCCATCTATGTATCGATCTATCGATCTATCGATCTATTGATCTATCTATCTATCTATTTATCTATCTATCTATGTTATCCCATCTCATCCCATCCAATCCAATCCAATCCATCCCAATCCAATCCAATCCAATCCAACCTATCAATTCTTTGTATTAATATATATATATATATACTGATCTATCCATCTACCCATGTACGGGTATGTATCAGACCATGCCATGAATCATGCTGGGTTAACAGAATCGTATTACATCATTGTCATAGTCGTTTATTAAATAAGACATCATCAACGCCTACCCTCCAGTAAAACAACATTGATATGAACAGGTTCAAATCACCACTAAGTTTCAGATTTGGGTTGTTCTGGCTCGTTAATTTGCTGGAGGGTACAGGGCGCCCCCCAGTTAAAAATGGTTTTATAAACCCCAATAGCAATAAGATGCTATACGTAGATATATCTAACAAAAACCCTATCTAACCTTAGTTACAGGCCAACCTAGCTAACATAAACAACCCGGCGCCTGGTTTACCGCGCGTGTGTGTTGGCATTTTCTCAAGAGTCTTTATGATGACCTTCATGTCTATTTCTTGGTATTTGCAGGACTTTTGAAGCAATCATCATCATGTTTGGTCACAAAATGTGGCTAGTTCCATTGCGTTTTATTTTTTCATCATTTTTCACTTGTATTTGCACGCTTTTGTGAATGCCAGGAGTAGAAAGAGGCTGTTTCAGGATGCCTTGTTTTTTGATGGATTTGCGTTTCGCCACAGGGAGACAACAAAAAAATCGGACTTTTCGGTTTTTTTCTGGCGCAGCACTTTCACTGCATGTTCGCTCGAAAAGTCTCGGCGTGTGCAAGTGCAAGAGACGAGGTCGGTAGCGTAGCATCACGTATGTGTGCAAGTGCAAGAGAAGAGACCGGTAGCGTAGCATCACGTATGTGCGCTAGTGCCATTGAACGTTATTAGCCCACCCCACCCCACCCCACCCCACCCCAACCCATCTATAGCGTAGCATCAGGTATGTGTGCAAGTGCAAGAGACGAGGTCGGTAGCGTAGCATCAGGTATGTGTGCAAGTGCAAGAGACGAGGTCGGTAGCGTAGCATCAGGTATGTGTGCAAGTGCAAGAGATGAGGTCGGTAGTGTAGCATCACGTATGTGTGCAAGTGCAAGAGAAGAGACCGGTAGCGTAGCATCACGTATGTGTGCTAGTGCCATTGAACGTTATTAGCCCACCCCACCCCACCCCACCCCAACCCATTTGTAGCGTAGCATCAGGTATGTGTGCAAGTGCAAGAGGCGAGGTCGGTAGCGTAGCATCAGGCATGTGTGCAAGTGCAAGAGACGAGGTCGGTAGCGTAGCATCAGGTATGTGTGCAAGTGCAAGAGACGAGGTGGGTAGCGTAGCATCAAGTATGTGTGCTAGTGCCATTGAACGTTATTAGCCCACCCCACCCCACCCCAACCCACCCCACCCCATCGGCCAAAAAAAACACAAAAACGCACGTACGGTAAACCAGCCGCCAGCATAAACAAGCTATATCATTACATCCCTGCTTTTCTTGGTTGACTGTTGACACTCCATGTTTGTCTTAGTGGACGAAACTTCCTGGTCGCCAATGCCTGAGCCGCCATGGGTGGAGCTACTTTGAAGGCCACAGGCACCTCCGGTACAGTTCAAATTGTCAGTCTAGGATCATTATTCTCCTCCTCCTGCTCCTCCTCCTCATCATCATCATGATCATCAGCATCATCATCATTATCATCGGTCTCACAACCGGTGACTTAGTTTTGCATCCGACTTAGCAAGGCATCTGCTTCCAACACGAGGAGAGAACAGCCCGTCACCCTGCCTGTGGGGCGAATGGTCTAACCACCTCTCTCCTCAGAATCCATGACTTGATCCCACTCTTCCTCCCTTGCTATTGAACATTCCCATATGACAAGCCACATAAATAGATGGGGACATTCAATACACACACATATATATATATATACATATATAGATACAAAATAAATATATACAATATATATATATACAATATTTACACCATTTATATAATATACACAAGATATATACTATATACACCATATATAAAATATAAACAATATATATATATATACATACACAATATATATACACCATATAAATATATATATATATATATAAACGATATATATATATATATATACACCACACATATATGATATACAACATATATATATATATAATTATACATAAATATGCAACACATCTACTCATTTTCCCGAAAAGGTCGCTGTGCTGAGTGCGGAACTTTTGCATCATGACAGCACCTCAGCACAACTTTTCCCATCCACGTGGCATGGGGTCCTGGGCCTTGTGACATCTCGCAAGCATTGCGTAAATGTGCGGATAATCACAATGTAGCAACGTAACTATATCATATAATTAATATACATATATAATATAATATATAATATCTATGTAAATAAAAAATATATATATAATATCTATATATCATATACTTGTCATCATTATGTCCATGTATGCATATTTCTACACAATACATAACAACTGAGGTGAGATCAATTCATTCCAAGACCATTCATTTTTCCCAAGGGCTGATGGATCAAAAGAACGAATAAAGATAAGGGGCGCATCATCGCACACACTACTGATCATCAAGGACAAAGATGGCGATACCTGGGCGATACCTGACTTTTGGTCACATCGGCCATGCAACTCATTGGCAACCCAAGTAAGATCCAAGCCATATGAAGCTACTGGCATTGGCTGAGCCTATCGACCCACAAAACACCAGCGAAACGTGCAGAAACTCGGGGTGGATGGTTGATGGTTCCAGGATCCAGAGAAATGTGGTTGAAGACCTAGAAGCAAATCCAGAGAAAATAGAGTTCACACCTGGGTTCTGCCTCTTATTTCTTGTGACAACACAGCTTTTCATGTCCTTAGAGAGCATTGTTTGGTCCGTTTTTAAACTCAGTTCTTCCATCTGATTGTGACAGAACTTCTGTCTCCAAAACGGATTACCAAGTTACAACGCCAAACTGGATGATATGTGTCTCAACCTCAACTGACCAAAACATATATACCAAAACAGGATTTCGGTCGGTAGAAAAATCAACATCTGACCAGGCCTAGCTGCGCTATCAGACTTATCATCGCAAAGATGAATTGGAACACCACTAAGGTAGGCTTTTGCTGGTCAACCCCCCTCTTCTATTGGGTAAAACCCACGGTTTCTGAAAAACTATCATGGGGCAAATGCCAATTCAACGAGGAAAATCCCTAGCTTCATTTGTCATTTCTATTGCTCAAATCCTGTTTATTGGTCCGAGCATCTCACATTTCAAGTGGTGAGAAACTAACACATGGTTGAATTCCGAATTGAATATGCTCAACTTCCCAATAAGTCTCGTTTCTAGCTGCTCAAATCCTCAAATCTAATCTTTATTGACTTTACTGGTTGATGCCTTCAACATCCATTAATAACAACCTTAGTCATTGGAAATGAACATCCCAAGCATGGCTGTGGAAACACATCAAGACATGAAACCACCCATATGATCGGATCATCCTGAGTCTGGAAAAAATGTTGAAGCAAGTTTCATGTGGCCCCAAAAACATACGCGGAAAATAGTGAAATTCAACTACAAGAGTGATACATCACTTTTCTATCTTTTTTAGGATTGCTATATTTGAAACAATCAACTAGAAATTGACCAAAAGTTGTAGGAAAACACCAGGACCAGGAAACTCATCCCTACGCTTTTTGTTTTCACAAACTACCTGAATAATTAACGTCATCATCAGTATTCGTATAGCAATCCTACAAAAATGCAGAAATACCATACAATTCTTAAATAGTTGTAATTATATAAGCGTAATCTTGCGAAAATTGGAGATATATATACGTTGATTTATGAACCCATTTCAACATATATCTATCACCCATCTCTACATATCTCTACTAAACTCCTTACTTCAACCAACTTAGCTATCGTAAAAACGGGCACCACCTTATACAATCTATCCTTTTTGGGTGCTAAGGAATCTACCACTGGACCTTGCCTGCACAAAGGCACCATATCGCATGGGTGTCGCTGCAGTGATGGGCGCAGCAACCGCAGTGACCACCGGTCTGGCCTTGGCGCACTGAATTTTGGTGAACCCCAAAATAGATAGAAAAGTTGAACACCTGGAATGAGGTAAATATAGGTAAATATCATCTATACTTTCCTGGAAACACTTCTCTTTTTTTTGAGGGGGGTTATCATACTTTAAACTATGCTTTACCACGGGATTTAGCCAACAAAAATGCTGATGTCACCATCAAAAATTGGGATTTGACTAGTTACTGGCACAATTCCCAGAATTTCCTACAAATCTTGGTGGGTCCTGGTTCAGCCACAAAATTCAACAAATAGCACAGTCATTGGGGACCACCATCCCAGATCAAGTTTGCATGAAGGATGTGATTGCCCACCAATGAAATAACAAGTTTCATGGGGAAATTCTCACCAGTGAATGGCAATATTGGTGTACCGTATACCTACTACATATGGAGGATTACGTATGGGGCAACTTTAGGGACCCTGCAATATCAGAAGGACAATTAGAATTAGTGGATGGATGTGAAAATGCGAAGATGGGGAAAACATCTTACAGTATTCCACCGGAAAGCTGATGATATGTTTTGGATCAATTTTGCGATGAACTGGGAAGCTGTGGAATATATTTTGCAGGAAAACTGGAACTTCCCTAAAAATGGGCGTCCAACCACCCTGCTCGATGCTCCAAGCTACCATAGGCGACAAACTTCGCGCCTGATAAGCCTCAACGCAGTTGCGGGCTGACCACAGAATGAAAGAAACGTCAGAGCAAATCTTGAATTTGCTTAAGGAACCCCGCCAAAAAAAAATAAATATATATATAGATAGATCTTATAGATTCCCTCAATAGCGGATTTCCCATTGAGAAAAAATACAATCATTTTCAGCAAATCCACGAAATTCATGGGCTGGGTACCAATGTTTTCTCGGTTGTTCTTGTTTTAAAACAAATGGATTGATGACATAACATTGCGGAACGCTAATATGGCCCCAAACATGGTCAGGATCCCCGTTGGTTGGGAAACCCCAAACATCCCCAAACCATTCCGATGGAGTCGTTGCCATCTTTCACCAGGGAAATATGTCAAGGGATCCTTCGATCTTATATCAGATCGATAAACCTCGCGAAATGGCTCATAATAAGATATAACTAATCCATGCATATACCATTTAAACACACACACACACACATATCTCTATATATTTAAACTAATCTGCACCAGATCTATATCTCAGATCTGATAGAAATCACTGGGATCGATCACCTTTCAGGGGGACGAGTGTTGCCTATCGACTCGCCTGTCCCATGGTTGAAGGGAGCATTTTAACCCCCAGATTTGGATCATTTTACATATTTTACATCTAGATAAAAGCATAGAACCACACACATATTCCAATTTACTAGCAATTAGTATCAATAAATGGTATATATATATGTATACGTATATATATATATATATATGTATCATACATACCAGTAGCTCATAAGCCAGGTCCAAATGTGCCTTCCTTTCCCCCCACGACTGTCCACCGCCCACTGGGGGGCCACTGCCATGGGCGAGTCGCTTCTCACCGGATAAGCCTCGAATGCAGTGGAGGTTTGGAGCCTCAAAAAAACAGGGGATATCTGGGATTTCTTAGATTTCTTAGCTGGATGAGATTGAGAAAAAACACTCCCGGAGTTGAGTTGCTCCTGGCATCTTTTGACCCAAAACGTGTTCTTCCAAAGCCCTCTAAACATCTCTAAACTTAACTCAAGTGGGGTGCCAAACCCAGGTCCATGTTGGATTGCATCCTATTTCCATGGCCAATCTTAAATACATGGCTTCTAGTTTTCAAACATTCCAACTTATAGACTCAACTGGCTACACAGGTTGTCACTTTATTTTCATGGATTCCCTTCAAATCACTGAGGAGTTTCCATCTTTTTCACTGGATTCCCCAAGCTCCGCGCGGAGTAGGTGGTCCGAGGAGCGCCGGCCTCGGGCGGGCGTTTCAACTGGTCCCCCTCTGAGTATAGAGCGACTTAAGCACTCTTGTCATCCCAACCCAAATGACATATGTGAAAACACTTCCCCCCCCAGAATTCTCGGTTTGCAGTGGATCTGAGGTGGATTTTCTGGGTGAGGAGATTGGATCACCAAAACAAGCGCTTCATCTGCTAGGGCTTCAAACCATGGCCGTAGCGGCCCCAGCGGCCTGGAACAGGCTCCAAAATCGGAGCTCAAGGATGGCACGGTGCAAATTTGTGACGACCAATTTTCCGAACCAGTTCCCCAACATCATTGGATTGGTCTAAGGGAAAATTAACAGAAAACCATAGATTTTCCCATTAAATATGGGACGTTCCTGTAGATCTTCCCCTAGACCAATCCATTGAACATCACGCACATTTTCTTCAGGCTTTCACACTTTGAACTTCACACGATATTTTTCGCCATTCTCAGTTTCACCTCCCCCAAGCTTAGACTTGAGAGCCCTGCCATTGGCGTGCGGGCCCCAGCCTCAATAGGAAGGGTTCTGTTGTCCACACCCAGTGGTTTTACAAGCCATGTCCCATATCAACTCACATCGAATTCATCAAATCGGAAGGGGAAATCGGATCGCAATTGTGCGTTTGCACCGGCCACCAGCTAAATTTGATCCTCTACTAGTAACCCAAACTCGCTTTGAGGACATGGTTTCAGAGTTGGGGTCCAATTGCTTGGACCATGCCATTTGGGTATATAGGGTGATGAAACTAGTTCTGCAATGCCTGAAATACGGAAATGATTGCCATGTTTTCGGTATAGCACCTCAGCGGGGTTCTGCCACACCAGCATGTTACATGTTCACATCACCCAAAATAGTTGGGCAAGAAAACAACAAGCACCAACAAGCTGCTTCCAATTCATGTGGTAAACACAACAATAAACAATCCTCCAAAATCACCATCACTAGGTGGTACAACCCCTCTCCAGTCATGGTAGGTTTATTGAGTTTACCCGTTCACCAGTGGAGCTCCTAAGGCTCCAAACCATGGGCGTTGCAGCTCCGGGAGCCTGAAAGGCTGAAGGTAAATTCGACTAATTGCACTAAGCTGAAATAAGGCTTTATTGGGATAATATGGGATAACTCTCCTTACTACCCATGATTCCACTGCGGTCACAGTGAGATCACAGCGACAGGCGACTTGCGATTCCGATCATTTGGCTGTTTGGGTTCAATTCCCATGGAACATATGTGAACATATATGCTTGTCATGGGGAATCATCGTTCCAAATAAGAGGGAACGCATCAAATGTTTAAAACATCTTAACACCTCCAAGCAGTCATTTTCCAAAACGTGTACTTTACCTTCCTTCCGGTAATCAAACATGGCCGGACAACCCATCATTTAGATCCATTTAGTTCGATGATTTTCCCAACGAACTAAACCTCCATGCGGCTAGCCATGTCTGATTTCCGTTGTCGGTTCTAACCCTATCGCACGAAAAATATATCATATATCATATATCTATCATAAACATTCATAAACCCCAGTTCCCCCCATTTCCATTATCATAAATCAGCTATAAATTCCTCAAAATCACATTTGTTGTTAACTAAATCCTCATTTTTGTTGCTTAAATCCATGTTTTGGTTGGTGAAATGGTCGGATTTCCATTGCTTCTCTCCTGTCTTGACCCTCTCAGGAGCCGCACCGGCGTCATCGGCGACATCGGTGTCATCGCTCCGGCCTGGTGTCATGGTTTTCACGTCAATAGCTGGGGTTCTCTGGGATTCTCTGGGATCTATGGATGTTCATCCAGTTCATCCCCCTAGAAATGGTGTACTTGTACATTTAGGAAGTGTTCCAGAAACAAGTCCTCTTTTAGCTGTTTCAAAGTTGTTCTCTTTGTCTCACTCTGTCTATCTCTTCAGCATGGGAACCATGAAACATTGCGCAAGGTTTCCAAAAATCGTCTTCAAAAGGCTGTTGAAACATACCGAGCGTAATCTGGGTTTGCTGGCAAGAATCCAACACAAACACAATCACACACACACATCACACAAAGGCGTTCCCGTAGCATTTGGAAGGTTAACATCAATAGATGGTTTCCGGAATAGGATTAGCATGGATTAGCGAGTGCACAATGCTCCTGCAAAACTCTGATTTGCACATGCATTACCCTCTGGTAATTTAACATAGCTATTGAAAATGGCCATTTATAGTGGATTTTCCCATTGAAAATGGTGATTTTCCATAGTTATGTTAGTTTACCAGAGGGTATCCCTGTTCATTCTTCTTTCAAGGGGCATTTCACGGTGACCTGCATGAGATCCAGGCCTGTGGCATGAACGAGGTCATGCCGGCCTCAGGTTCACCCCGGGCGTCTTTCGTAATAAACGCCACTGAAGGATTTCCAGAACCAAACCGAACCAAACCCAAAATGGAGAGATTTCACTTCAAAAATCCCTCAGACCATAAAAATCCATAAAATTCATACAAGCCATTCGAGCTACAAACACTTGAAAAAAAAATGCATGTCCCTTCCTCTGACCTTCCAACCCTGGGTTTTCCGCCGGTGGCACCATGGGAGATGCATGGCCAGGCTGAGCGCCCTAGTGTGGCTGGGTTACACCACGTGCGCCATGTATGGATTTTACATAGAACCCAAAAATTGCCATGGAATAATTCTAATCAATATAGAACATACCAAACCCGTCCAAACTTTATCTTTGGGGTTCCGTATGAAATTGAGGGGGTGGATGAACATTTAGCTTCAAAATGACTGAGGATATGGGGATTATTGATGTGGATTGTGGGGTAAACAATGGGGGTACTTGGATGGATGGCTTAATGTTTAACGTGGCCAACAAAAAACGCTTGATGTGTAGACATGGATGCCAAAATGTTGGTACTCTCAAAAATGGATGGTTTACTATTACACATGGACATACATGGATGAAACTACGGTTTATGGGTCACAATCGGGGGGCTCTACTTCATAAATCATCAAACGCAAATATGGATCAACTATTTGAAATCTCTGGGCAACGAAAACTAAACATTTGGAACCATCTGCATAGGAACCCTGGATTCATGGACCCCCGAATCAATTGACACAGGGAGCGAGATGTCTAGATAGAGATGTCACCATTTGGGGCCCCCTGACCTGTATTGGTGTCGGGGTTGAATGCACAGGGTCAAGATGAATTAATCGAGCCCGCATGTTTGTTGACGTTGTCCCATGTTTGCAAGCTAGATTTTATATACAATAGTGGACATGCGCAAACTCAGAACAACGCGCACCATATAGCACGATAATATATAGATGTATATATATATAAACGATGATGATGAAAAACTGACTATGCGACCAACTGATGCATTATATATGCAAATGAAATTATGAAACTGATAAACTGACTATGTACAAGGCAACCAACATCCATCCGACCTATCCAAAGTACTTATGGCCTCCATGCGTGGGGCTTGGATCGGCGTCCCTGGCATTGAGAAAAGCGTGGCTTTCTGCTGGGACCTGACCCCAGTCTGGTACTCAAAAATGGCAATGTGCATCTATCTATACTGTCTATCTATCTATCTGTCTGTCCTGTCCTGTCCTGTCCTGTCCTGTCCTGTCCTGTCCTGTCCTGTTCTGTCTCTCTCTCTCTCTCCATCGCAACAGGTCCCCGTTGTATGTACAGTAAGCATCTTCACATATCCACACACACGCACATACTATCTTACTATCTTACTATCTTACTATCTATCTATCTATCTATCTATATATATGTAGATTTACCCGCATACATACACGTACATACATTTACACTGGTGATTTCAATGGCCATGTCTGCTTGAAGGTCATACAGTTGGGTGCAAAAAGGCCCAGTGCCTGGTTGTTGGCTTCGCATCGCCCTTCCACCTGGGCCAAGCCAATGGTCATGTAGCACGCTTGCCATCTTTGACATGCAAAAAACCTGAGAAAATGAAGTCAACAAGAATGAACTTTGATGATACATGGCTGGAAATCAGAAACAAGACTCAATTATCGATGTCCGAACATCAAGCTGCATAAGACCAGAAACATGCTACCCATCAACAAAAACAAAACACTGGACAACCAAACATGACATGTACACAATCAAAAACCTGGTTCTTCAAAGTGACCTTTTTGATCACCAATTCGAGGTTAACCCCCATTTCAGGGTCACTTAACCACCTCAAAAGGGTCACTTCTGACGTGTTTCGGCCATGGATTTCTGTCCTGCCAGCCTGGTGGTGATGGGGAACGCACGAATGCCGGAGCACTACCTGCGATGCCCAACAATGGGTAGATTCTTTGCCATGCCAAACATCTTCAAACATTACACCTCCTAAAAACCCTCCCTCTCTCTCTCTCTCAGTCTCTGTATATATATATATATCGTCCCAATCGTCCCAATCTATTCAAATCTCTCAAATCACGTTCCGAAACAATGTCCCCTTCGTCCCTCAGGTCTGGGTCTGAAAATGGTCAGTGATCCCACCCCTGGAGCCTTGAGTGCCCTGCAGTTGTTGTGGCACGTGTCGCTTCAAGTTGTTCAAGTACTGCATCTCCTTCTGCTGGTGCTGCACCTCAGACCCCAAGTGGCCCGACTCAACAGCGAGGAACTTGCCAGATGGGCCGTTGGGGATTTGGGGAGATCCCAAGTCAGAATTTAAAACAAGCCGTAGTGCACCATACAAATCTCCAAACACAACTCCACTTTATGACTTCTGTGATGCAAAATTCCCAAAGCAATATCTGTCAAGGGTATTTGCTAAACGGTCCTATCCGGGCCTTTTAGACCATACATAGACCATGGACTCTTGGGAGTCCCAATTCTGGAAAACATGTTATCTTTGTTCCCTTTGTCGCTATCCTTCATCTTTGGGCTCGCTCATCCAGGTGGCACATGATGGCACATCTTTTTGAGCACGCCAGCTGCATAAATCGCCAGGTTCCGCGGGGAAGACGCCTCGGGCTGAGGGCCGTTTCCTGGTGGGAACAAACATTTTCCCACACAAATTGGAATGGAAGTGACTGCAACAAAAAACATACACAAACATTATTTTTTCAAAAAACGTAGCAACAAAAACATGCAAACACATTTTTCAAAAAACATTTAAAAAACTGTTTTTGCTTCTGGCCACAAGCTAGCCAATGATTAGCCCATGACCCCTACCCAACCCAAGATTTAATCAACTAACACTACGGACCGGTTTGGGAACAGATCTGAACATTAACATGATTCAACTTAGCCCAACCTATACTTGTATTTACTTGTACCCAACCAAGAAACTCAGTACAGCGATCATTGAAAAAATCTTCGACAATTACTATATTAATCATTATTAATCTATATTATAGTGCTATATCACAGTGCACACAATAATGAGTAGCACTGAGTCATCAAACTGCCCAGTTGGTTTTCCCTGTAATCTCTACCCTCGTTGCGACTCGCTGCGCCTTCGGGAACATCCGTGCCAAGGTCGTTGGCTTCTGCGCCTCCTGGGGGCGCAAAGGGACCCACAAGGAGGGTACTTTAAGGGGATTCCAGACACACTTGCACTTGCTCTTTCTCTTTGATCTGCGAGAAGTATTGGGTGGTTCACATGGACATCAAAAGGAGCATGAAAGTGTCGCTTCTTTGAGCTGACTCTTCACATCTTGCAGCATGTTTACTATAGAAAACTATTTTCATAGGTAAACCCATGGATTTCTATTGTCCATGGCCATAGCTATCGTCCCCATTCCCGGTTTCCCGGATGGGGGGATGCCTCCAGGCTGCGCGCCCGATCCAGGTTCACAGCCAACTCTGAAGCTTCGCCCAGCAGAGGCGTTAGCAGCTCCAGTCTCGGGAGGTTGGGGTCCCCAATAGCTGGATGGTTTATTTCATGGAACATCCTATTAACATATGGATGATGACTGGGGGTACCCCTATTTTAGGAAATCTCCATTCGTTTCTTTGGATAGTGTTTTTTGGTGGTTCCCAATGGTTGAGAGAGGGAGATTTCATGGGATTTAGGCAAGTGGGTCACAAGTCATATCTGTTAACTAACCCCGCCTATACCCGGTGGTGCCGGCCAGTGAAATGTTTGTTGGTAATCCAATCCCAATTAAACCGATGAATATATCATGATATATCATAATTAAGCCCAATCGTGAACCTATACTTATGAACCAACGCTGTCTGGGGGGGTATCCTGTTGTTTCGTGGAGTAAGTACGAGGAAGTAGCGTTAGTCCACTTAATAGCTGGAGATATAGGTTATAACCCATTGACTGACTGGGGGTTTTACCATGGATATAATTGGCATACCAGTGGAATATTGCAATTTTGGAGAACATTTGACTCTAAGCATCAAAATTGGGGCATATAGTGGCAATGGTAATAAAATTTGACATTAATGGATGTACAATGGAATTGCATGTGTTCTTCAAGAAAAAACTGCCCATGGTAATTAAATACCAAACCAGGGTTTGTTTGGCTTCGGAAAATACAGGTACTTATTGATTCTTATTGACTTGTGTGTATGTTTGTGTGGTCTGTTTAAAGAAAATGGACTTGCATTTGTTTCACTCATTTCCCGAATTTCGGAAGTGGCATTTTCGCCCATGCCAGTGTAGCCCCATCATCAAATTCGATGTCCAGGAGCCGGGGTCCCCGGGGCCCATACTTTGCAGAACAATGAGCTTTGGAAAAAAAAATGGTAATGTTAGTAAAACAATAGTAAACCACCCATATAAAATTGATATTTTATATACCACCGATAAATAAATATATACATATATATATATATGGTAAATCTGGAAATGGTTTGCTATTGTTCTCCTAACATTACTTTGGCTCACAATGCTCTGGCATGTTGGACATTTTAATGGAATGCTGGATTTTTTTTTTTGCAGGTTACATCTGGCGGTGAAACCAATCAAGAGGAAAACGGTAGATCCAGGAACGAATTGTGGACAAACGAGCAGGCCAACCGCAAAATAGAGCTGGAACAACTTGAACAAAGTGACTTACCCACTCAACACATCTCAAAACAGAGGCAACTGGCCAATTTTCTACATGATTTGATTCAAAACAATATGTTTCACTGTTGCCACGATTTGTGTAGAGGGCCTTGGAATTACTTCACAGCCGTTTGTCACTGCAGTAACTCCATGGCCCATCAAAGTAATCTAATTCTGGCAAGGGAAATCTAATTAAACATTGACTGATGATTTCTGAATATATTCCATTGAATAATCCCATTATATTCCCATTCTCAACCACTACAAACAAACCATAAACGACTGGGTTTCCTTTCAATTTTCACAGCACAAATAAACAAAACTGTATCAATCTGCCAAGATCTTATCGCCTACTTGGTAGGTGGAAAATAATCATAATATACCTCAGTATACTCCTAATTATATATGGAAAATTCCCAGCTATATATGGGTTCTTGAACACTTGGTGGTTCATTATCATGTTCCTTCCTTTTCCGCATGCACCCATAAACATGGGGAAAATTGGAGAATTCCCACTTATATATTTTTTCCATATGGGTTATATATATGGATATGTGTATATATAAATATATATATATATGTATACATATATAAAATGTATAGACATTGCAATATATATATATATGTATACATATATAAAATGTATAGACATTGCAATATATATATATGTATATATATATACTATAATATAATACATATATAATCACATGTATATATATATATAGTATTATCTATGGCACATCCCCGGGCCCACCCGCCCAGGCCTTCGGTAGATGGGCGCCACCTCTGTGCCCCAGCGCTGCGCTTCCGTCAGCTCCTTTTCCGAGGCCGGTGGCAGCTCGCGGAGGTGAAGCACGCGCGCAGCGATGGAGCCGAAGCCTGCGAGGAGGGGGGCATCTTTGATGTGTAGGAAAGTTTCATACAAGGTGGTGCCCCATTGCTAAGTTGGCTTATTATAAGTCCAATATCTAGGGTTTATCGGGGTCATATCTATAGTTGATGGGGATTGTAAACCAACTTATAACTAGGGGGGTACCACCTTGTATGTAAGATGAACAAACTCATAGTATATGACTATAGATGTATCTATTCATATGATTTACAGTAATATTATAGTATAATATATTATATGAATCCATGTGATATAAAAGCCATTTTCACTAGCTATGTTAGTTTACCAGAGGGTAATCCATCCAAGGGGGAAGATTCCAAGCAGGTTATTCCTTTCGAGAGATCCAACCTTCGTATCATGAAGACAGCAAGGGAGCAGCCCAGAAAGCTGGGGTTCATACAAAAAGGCATGGAAACTCTGCGGAATTTTGCTATATTTCGATATATTTCGATATATTCTGATATCCTTTTCCCAACCCATGCCTCCTTTGACATGGGCTCTGGTCACCCCCCTCATGGACGGTGTCAGGGAAGTGCAGCTGGGGGCGAAGGACTCATTGAGCCATCCCTTGATGGCCAAGAGCTGTCGCAAAGAAAGGCGCGTGATGATCTTCTCCTGCGGCTGTTCATGGCTATGGCCCGCAAATGGCTTGCGATTTTGATATTAAAGCCAACTAGCAGCTATTAAAGCCGTACCACTTGGAGGATAAATCGAAAGAATGAGCCATGCCCGCCATACCCACATCTTGGGCTCAGGACATGCTCTTCAAACGTTTACCTATCTTTGCGGAGCCTCAAACACGAAGGAGTTGCCAATTCAAATCCACTCAATCACTCAGCACCTTCAATCTTAAGTAATTTTTTAAATGTGTATATATCGGTCAGATGATCAAGGTTTCCAACCCTCACATTTCCCCACAAAATCACTGGACCGGGATGTACAGGGACTGTGGGACTGTGGGACTGTGCGATTTTTAGGGCACCCTGGTCCTCAGGGACAGCACCGGGCGCCCACAAGTTCGCCATCTTCAGCGCACTGCGCGGCATGGACAGCGCCAGCTCTTGACCCAGCTGGGAGCACGGTGGCCGTGGGAATGGCACCTGGTGGTCCGAAGGCATGTTCTTTTTGGTTGGTGAAGTGGCTCAAATTGACTCAAACCATGTGGCTTGCAATGATTCGATTGGAAGGCCATAATTTTGTGAGCTAAATGTGCCAAATGTGTTTAAATCACTTGCTAAATCATGTCAAATCCCTTCACTTGTGCGTCTAAGACACACTTGGGGGCCCTGACTCAGCAGTTTCCTCCCTGAAACCCAGGCGCAGGTGCCCAGGGTCGCCCCATGATGCAGCAGGAAACCATCAGCAAAGCTGCTTCAGAGGTAGCAACGGCACGGATTAAGTCCTGACTTCTTGCGAGGAGCTGAAAACGGTGATATTTTTGATGTAGATGGCCATGAAGCCGCAGAAATTTCCTCCACATTCATATGTTGGTAATAAATTGTATTTACATGTATCTACCCATGTGACTTGATCAGACCCTTGGCACCCACAAATCATGGCAGTGCAAAGTCTGATTTTTCTGAAAAAATAAAGGAAACTGCCAGGTTAGACTACTAAGATGGGCCATGGACTTAGCGATCTGGTTCGTAAAAGGGTTAGATCCCCTTCTAATCTGGTGAGCAAAAGGGTCATAATTCATAACATGTCATAAGCCTTTAAGCCCTTACCAATGGGGCATAATCTGATACGCCACCATTCATTTGGCACATCAACCAACTCCATCGCCCCCTGGCGTTTTCCATCCTCTCCAAGGCTGCCACAGGGGTGCAAACCCACCACCAGGTCGCTCGGACGCAGCACGTCGCGCAGGGCTCCAGGTCTTTGGATGTCGCACACAGCGAAAGACACCTGCGAGGCAGGAGCAATGTGAGAGGACAGGCAGGTGAACCTACCAGTGGGAGAACCAAAAAACAGAAACATAAAATGGTTTTACCCTCTGGTAAACTAACATAACTATGGAAAATCACCATTTTTAATGGGAAAACTCACTGTAAATGGCAATTTTCAATAGCTATGTTAATTTACCAGAGGGTAGCCCAAAGTGGATGAGCAACTTGAACACCATAGGGTTTTACTAAAAAATATAGGTGATGCTACTGTGAGCAACAACACATTGGACTCGGGCATGGGGTGGGCTGGCCGCTGTTCCCGTGCTGAGTGGAATCACCCTGCTCCCACACAAGGGATCCCAAGCTTAAGTTGATGTGAACCCTGAAGAAATCCTTGACTGGTCTGGACGCTCCATACTTACAACCGGACTGATCCCTCAATGTTGGGGCTGGTCATCAACTGAGATTCTACTAATCTATAAATTGTTTTTCTTGGAATATTCTGACATCCCCACCAACTTCAGTTCAAAATCTACCCAGCCTTCACTTTTGCCAAATTCAACTGGGTGTTCCCCACATTTCCCCAACCTTGGCACCTGGCTGCCCACATTCTCCGCCAAACGTTCCGCACTTCGCACCTTCTCAGGGTCGCGATCCAGGCCTCACACAAAGAGGTGACGAGACGGAGCGATGTTTTAAACACATGGCTTGCCATGTCCCAAAATTGGCCTACAAAATACATTCAACCAACCTTATCTGTTGCTAGATGTCCCAAACATTCCGGACATATTGTTGGACATTTAAAAAGTCACCAGAATCCCCAATCCATTCCACCCTACGGTCCTAGAATTGGATGAAGGGAAAATTTGCAGGAAATACCCATACCATTGAATCATCATACAATACTTGTTGATTCAATCCTACATTCCCACGTTTCCTATTGATTGCAGAGTTAAGTAACCCATAGTAGCCCATTGTTGATCTCATTAAACCCGAAGTTCTACTGGTGCAACCCTCCACTTTTGAGGATTGAATTCATCATCTGGTATTCACTTAGAATATTGGTTGTTTCTTTTACTCTCTTCGGACTGAATCTTCATGCGCAAAAACAATCGGTAAAAGTAAATGTCAAATAATAATTAGTAGATAATTAATAATGAATTAACAACAAAAACATATAGACGAACCATATAGATATAAATTTTTTTCTTAACTCATCTTAATCCACCTTAAACCAATAGTACTATTCTGCAAGCAAACCAAGAAACCCAGGCAGGGCACTCCCAGCGAAATCGCCAATTCCCGGGTCAAGGCACCAAGGCCACAGCCTTTGAGTGGCTGAAGTGGGTAGACTAGAAATGATTAAATGAATGGACATCGATTATATCTATAGGCAGTATAACATAATGGTAGTATAAGATAGCATAAGCATGTATAAACCACTATTATATAGCACTGTCAATATATCTATATACTAATGATTAATGATAAATGATTCTATTAACATACTACAGGTGCTCACCTGTATCCTATGATTTGCTCTGCCCTCAATCGAAAAGCTAAAGCTGTGGACAACCATATCACGTTGAAAATGAGGGCCATTGTCTCAATATAGGACTGGGAACCTGAGAGTTGCATTACGACCAGAACACTTGCAATAAAGAGACCCACATTTTTGATAGGCAAATCAACTTTAAATGGCAATGTTCAATAAGTGACCAAAGGGTAACATCCCAAAACCAAGCATTCTGCATTCATCAGTCTGCACGCGCTCTTGACATCATAAGCTCTCTACCAACATCCACCACGCGCCCGATCTCTGTGGATTGCCGCAAACAGTGCCGCGTAGCACGAAGGAAGCAGTCAACCTCGCTGCCGGGGATGGTGAACGTTGATTTGGGCAATGGGATCTATTCATTTGAAGGAATCATCGTGAATTATCCACACATATTTTTTCTCACATAATTATATATATATATATTATTTGTCCTCCTTATCAGCCCCCTAATGCGGACAGCAAGAAAAATCAAGGAACCAATCAGCGAATGGTTGGTTTTCTCCAGCAAACCACTGGAGTTTGAAAGTTTTTTCCAAGATTTTTGGACCCTTTTGGCCCTTCTTGGGTGCGCAGTTCCATCATAATTCCTCTAAATACATAATGTGTATAATTACATAAGTTGGTGGCCACAACTAAGGGGGTAATATATGGTAATAGTGTGTATGTAGAATATATACATATATATACATATACTGAGTCATATCTACACGTACTGCTGGGAGTATATACGAGGATGGTAAGCATGGTAATCCCAATTTCAAGTCCTTTTATCCCCAGTTACTCGATGAAATCTCCATTAAATCTCCATGTTTTTGATGGTTATCCACAGTTTGATGGGATTTCCCCGCAGTTTTGGACCACCCCAAAGCATCCAAAGCCTGCCCGCATCTGCCCGCCTGTTGCAGCTTGGGCTTCGACATGCCATAGCCACTTGCCGCTGCACTTGGCCGCGCCAGCACCGGAAACTGCGCCTCCAAAGCACTCAGCGTGGTGGCCTGTGGGCGGTGTTTCTGACGTGGCAAAGGGGAGGTAAACGATGGGAGACAGCCAAGTCGTTGTACAAATTTTCCCGGAATTGTGGAAACATCATGGAACATCCAATGTGAATCCTGGGACACGTTCGGATTTTTTTTGCTGGATCTGTTTTGATTTTGGTTGTATTGTGAGGATTCTTGGGAAATTCATGGACATCCAAGTTTCTCTCAGGGCCGGTGATGGCTGTCCCAGTTGAAGATTGCCCTGGGGACAGTAGGACCTTGACACCAAGAACCATCTTGCCAACCCTGAAATGTAACCACACAACAGAAAATCAAACATACATCCTCGAACTACAAATGAATGACTTTACTATAAAACACAGTAATGCTCATAGGATCTGCAATCATTAGATGACTATATGATGACTATATACTGATAACCACTCCCAATTCTACACACCATGACTTGGTGCATAGGTGCATATTTATCTATATTATTGTGTCAAATTAAATATATATATATATATATCTCATACTATATACATTATATTAAATACATGATATACATATATATATATAACTATATATGTATATCTTATATAAATATGTTATTTATATAATATATAATATATAATTTATTAAAAATATATCTTATTTATATTTATTTATTATACATTAATTATCAAATATGATATGTAATATATTAATTATATATAGTATGAAATTGTATATTATATATTTTAAACCTTATATCATATATATATATATTATTTATCATACATTAAAAAAATGCATATAATATTAAATTATATATTATATATTGTACATTATATATTAAATTATAGATTATATAAATCATACATTGTATATTATATTTTATGTTATATACTATATTATATATTATTTATTATACATTATATATTTATATTAAATATATATATATATATATATCAAAAATATATAATATGTATATATATTATATAATTATATATATATATATCTATCTCAAATAGTCTCAAAACATATTATAACATATATCTATATATACACATATATATCTATCACATTGATACTACATATATCACATATTACATATATACAGGATATGAATGGATATGATTCATCTAGGTACAAAGTGCCCCCTGTGGCTGCTCCCTACCGTCTCCCTGAGCGTGGTTGGTGCGTGTTCGTCTGGCAGGAGGAGCTCAGCCAAGCCGTGCTGCTCCGCGTGAAGAAGAGCGTCATCTGGGAGGTTCAGCAAATAGTCCGCCTGGTTCGCCGTGGATTCATCGATGCTGCTGATGCCCTTCGCTTTACTGCCTCCAAAAAGTCCCCAAAATGAACCACATCCAATACCAACAGGGTTTGAAGAGGTATATCGGTATATCTAATGTTAAGGGGAAGGGATGACTAGGACTAGGATGGGGTAAGTCACTTTGGTGCCTCTCAAATGGCTCATCAGTCTGCAAAATCTGAAGCCTTCCGTATGAGGGGTCAAAACATTCGGACGGATATTCAGACGGATATACAAACAGGATAATGTGTTGCTTATGGTTGAATACTACAGGGTACCCTCTGGTAATTTAACATAGCTATTGAAAATGGCCATTTATAGTTGCTTATTTACATTTATTTACCTATGAAAAATGGTGATTTCCCATGGTTATGTTAGTTTACCAAAGGGTACCTTCCAAGTGCACATATTGGGTTCATAGCCTCACTATCATCCACCTTGCCACTGAGACACCCAATGCTTTTCAAGCCACGGTGGAGCGTAAGGCAAATAGCCACCTCTGGCAGGGGGGGCACAATGTTTGGCTACAGCAAGAGTTGGCCTTTTGATTGGAGTAAACCCTCAAAAAAATGCAAACAACATGCACTTGACAAGTAATTTGCAAATTTAATAAGGGTAAATCGGTAATCTAGCTCAATTTTTGTTGCTTTTACCGTCTATTCTATCTTTTGGGGTTGCTACAACACCTCCACCCCTGGAAATTCATGCAAACCTGAAAGGATCTGAAAAGGTCAGGAACCCAATGGAACAAGTCAGACTCCAAGCTAACCATTGTAGGGAGTTCATTTTCGATTTCAGGGTGCCAATTTTGATCCAGAGCCACGGATCGGCACAGATTCATCAACTTTTTGTCGGCAAATCTTAGATACCCTGCAACAAAGTCAATGTTCAGCATTGTTCAGCTGGATGTTAAATAATTCTCTCATTAGGGCCACTCTCCGGCAATCTATATCCTGGCCACGGAAAACCCTCATGTACATCCTTTGATAGATGATTTTCCAATGAACAAATGCTGCTTTTCTGTTGCCAAGAAGGCATTACCATAGGCCAAGAACCAACCCATCAACCAACAAAACAAATACGACAAAAACAAAAGAAAAACATAGTGAGCTGGATGCGTTGATTCTTCCACTATAATTGGAATATTCAAGAACCCAACTATATTGATTGAACTAATCGAGTTTGCAATGAGGATCGTTCCCTTAGTATAGCTGGACTATTCAAACATCTTTTCCCATCCAAAACAGTCCATTCGACTCATCAGCCCATTAACCAAACCTTTTCCCGCCTCAAACCAAGTTACTCATGGGCAAAAACATAGCTTCCGAGCCAAACAAGTCCAGGATTTTCTTCGCCCGCAGGAGCTGCTGGCCACACACGTCCTGCAGCTGCTGTTTTGTGTCAGGGGAACCTGATGCATTTCTGCAGGAATTGAGGGATATTGAGGGCCCAATTAATTTAATTGGCTCTGCGTCCATATTTGCACCAAACTTCTATATCTCAACATGAGCCAATGTGATTGTGTATATGACATTGCAGGCAAGTCTGTCTGCACACGTTTAATTCAAGCACGTCTCAATACCATCGTCCTGCCCGAAACTCAGCACGAAGGTAAAGGGTTGCAGCACACAAAGCATCCCAGCAATGAAGAAATACTTGCCTCGCCCGGCCCATGGGGCTGGGTGCTGGGATGTCCATGAGGTGATGATTCCCATGATCTAATAAATTAGAAATTAGAACCATTGAAGGGGATCTTGTAAGCAAACTTAACCCACAAAAGAAAGGTATAGTAGTATAGAACCAAGACTTTGGAAGACCATGATGATACTCCTACAGTAATAAGTGGTTGCTTAACATGATGAGCTACCCAAGCTGTGATGGCAAGCCGAAAATGCAAATGTCAATTCAGAGGGTAGCGCCATGGGATGTCTGAAACCAGGTGACTAGGATGGCCGAAATCTGGATGGGTTTTCCCAAGGGCCGTCCCTGGCCTTTGGTCGACCATATCTTCGGACAGCCGGAAGCGGGGCGGCACATAGCAACACCAATGGAGAATCTGCTGACTGTTGTGATGCCGCTGCTGCTCTCCGCAAGGATTTCTGGTAAAATCTGGTAAGCCAATCTCCTTCGACGCATTCCACATCAGTTCAACTATACCGGAAGGGATCACTATCAAAAACATAACAATAATCATAACATGAATTGTTCGAGGCCGCAGGTCCACCCTTTTTGGAACTCGTTGTGCTGTCGTCGTGTTCCTCTTCATGATTGCCTTGTGACCCCTGACACGGAACTTGGATGAGCTGGTGAAACCTATTAGCAGGGTACTTTGACCCCGCCAATCTCAGGGCCGAAACACCGCAAGAGTAAAAAGAAAAGTGAGGCCATTTTAAAGTTTTGGTGTTTCTTCAAACCATTTAAAATCATGAAGTTATTATGGAACCAAATGATCCATAAACGGAACGTATTGTGTGAAAACATAGGGTAAGCAGAGTTCCCCCAGATTCCGCAACTTCTGAGATACAACAATGAACATTTCCCGATTTTCCATGATTATTTCATCAGTAAATTTATCCATATATATATACAGTATATATTATACATAGAGATATATATGAGTATACGGTATTTCGGCATTCCCATTTGTATCACCTTACAATTATATCCTTACATCAAGGTTGCGTCCCCTTTGGCAATCGAAAAACATCAACCCATCTTGGCTCCGCACAGCTAAGGTGCCTCAACTACCACGACTACCAAGGCAGGGCCCGTAGAGGTCATCTTTGTTGGTGACTGCATCTGACTAGTTCGATATACCCTCAGCCATCAAACATGGCAATATATAGTGCAATTAAACATCTTCTATGGTAACTTATAGCTGGGAAAATCATTGTATCTATGGTAATCATTGCTGGCTATTTTTCAGCAAGCTACGTTTGATACCCGGAGGGTAGCCCCCATAAAACCTAATTTGCCTAGTTATGAACCAACGGCGGAACGTTCACCCCAGTTGATCCAGGGCAAGTACTGGATCGTCGTCCAGCTCTCACAGGGGAATTCAATCCAAGCGAACAGTCAGCATCTTATAAAATCCGCAAAATCGTTAAGTATCCATTCTGTTTGTACATACTTCCGTGATCGAATTTTACCAAGTATGTAAAACATATCTAAGAAATAATTCATGACAATTCTAAGATATTCTAAATATTCTCATTGATTTTTGCACAGATTCTTGAAAGCGACTCCAGTGCATTTGAGTCTTGGCATATCTTCACTCCGGCACCATGGCTCAGCTCCTGGCTTGGCCGTTGCATGGACCTCAGGGTCAGCTGCATTGACCATCACCTTGACACTATGGTAGTCCAAACGTTAGTCTAGCCTGCAATTTTATTGAAAATGACGCTACTTGCAACAAAAACTATCGTTTTTTGTGAGCAATCAAGGTTGAACAAAAGGACATCAACAAATCTGGGAAGGTCCCATCGCTTGCCATATGACTGTGCAAAAAAAAACAACAAATCACCAAGTCGTCCGACGTTGTCGGCGGTGCGGCAACTGCTGGCGCAGGGGCCGCAGGGGCCGCAGGGGCCGCAGGGGCCGCAGGGGCCGCAGGAGCTGGTGCCGGCGCCATATGGCCCTGAGCGGTGGGAACTATAACAACTTGGCTATGGGAAATTTATCTGCAAAATTGTATTTATGTATGTGTGTATATATATATGTAGATCTATCTATCTATCTATCTATCTATATATATATATATATGTGTGTGTGTGTGTCTGTGTGCATATGTGCATATATAGGAGAGGGGGAAAAAAAACATCTCCCCCGGGAAAAAAACACACCTTCTGTATGACACCAAACATGAGAAATGCACTACCGATATCTACTATTATACAATTAATTAAATGCATTATCAGGTTCTGACAAGAATGCGCTTGTTTGGCGCAGTTTCAGGGTTCTGGCAGGTCCCGGTCAGGTTGTACAGTAACACAAATCATCAACATGGCAGAATTGTCCCGGTCAGGTTTTGTTCTTTTTTCTCTCTCTCCCTCTCTCTGTCTCTATCACCCCCTCCGAGACTGTCCATATCTCCATTCTCTGCTTGATTCAGGGGGGGCCTACAGGTCTGCACATTTTCTGGGAGCTAAGGCTCATGTTTATGTTTACCTTTCAGACTCTTCTTGCTGCACTAAACAGAACACAACAAAACACCTACAACTCAGGGACTCAGGAATTCATGACTCATGACAAAAAATCAACTGTAGTTCATCATGATTGCCCTTATTTAAATAAATAAATAATAGTATTTGTCACCAAAAAATAACAAACACATGACCAACGGATTGACTCGCGTTGTGACTAGGACTGCACCTGGCCATCCCAAGAGTCTGTGGTTCCCAGCAGCTCCAAGGTTGGCCGGCTCAGCAGCACTAGGCGAGCAGAGTCACCCAAGCCATCAGCGAGTGTCAAAGTGGACCAACAAGAACCAAGTCAGCCAAGTCAGCCAAGTCACATCTCGAGTCCCATCATATCTCTTTCTGGTAAACTAACATAGCGATGGAAAATCATGGAAACTCCCCATTTTTTACAGGTAAATCAACTAGAAATGACCATTTTCAATAGTTGTTAGATTACCACACATTACATCCTTCCGGATGGTTTTTTGGGGTATCCCCCGGCCTGCCCGGACCTGTGCTTGGAGGTACCACTGAAACCTGGCGCCCGTGGAGTTGTCCATCCGAAAATCATCGAAATCAATGGATATCAATGGATACCCTCTGGCAATTTAACATAGCTATTGAAAATGGCTATTTATAGTGGATTTTCCCATTAAAAATGGTGATTTTCCATAGTTATGTTAGTTTACCAGAGGATATCAATGGTGGATTTTCCAGCACGCCATGTTTGATTCCCGGAGGCTTCCGTCCGAACTATGACCCCTCTTTATATCAACAAACTTTTTTGGCGTTTCTCACCCATGATGGCGAGCCAATGATCGGTGGAATGCGCCGGCTCCGTGGTCCCAAACAGAGAGGGTCTATCAATACAAAAGGACTTGCGAAAAAGCCACCCCCAAAACCCCCAAAACACTTTCTATAGATTACCCAGATAGTAAACATTAGTAAACCCCAAACCATCCTGAAAATCACCACAAATAATAACCATCATCCCCAAATGGTAATTTATGGCATTGGGTTTCCCACATTGGTGGAACAGTGTTTTTTTTCCTGGTGGCACCTCCAATGATCACCCTAAACCATCCTAAACCCTAAACTAGCATAGCTTTTTCCACATCTCATCGTCGGTTTACCCTATACCTATCCCCGTACCATAAATGGGTGGTATAAACCATCCCCAGCTCTTGGAGGTTTGACCATCGACCCCGCCTGCTTCGTGATAATTTGCCTGGGCAAATCACGGCCGATTTGCCAGTTTGCCTTCTGTAAACTAAGGAAGGATATGGAAATATATGGAACATCCACATATTTGTACATCACTTTCCTAGGAAAACACCGATTTTTCATGGCGTTCCATATCTATACGGTCTATACTATACGTATGTTAATGAGAATTCGATATTCTATATTGAATTATGTGAGTTTACTGGACGGCAATTCACAAACCAGAAGCAAGCCGTGTTTTGGGATGATTCCCCTACAACTATATATATATAATCACCTGTAACGGTAAGATCTTGGTGAGGTCGTTGTAACTGACAGACATGGGAGGATCCATAGACATGCCGCCACAGAATGCAAGGAGCCAACCGCCAAAGAAAAATAACCCATATTCATTCAACTTTGAGGATTATGTATGTTGTCCATTCCAAACAAACCATATCACGGTTAACCTTGCATACTTAAACAACAAACTCACTCTTTGTGAGGCAATCATCATGATATATCATGGCATATCATCTTCATGCACCAAATTTTTGGAAAAAAAACATCTTCATCGTAGAAGCCAACAAGGTTTACCCATTGGGCACCGTTTTAGTTGCTTGGACTCCCCAAACTATTTGTATCTATGTGTCAATTGGGACCACCATCCGCGGGCTGGGTCTGTCCGAACATAAGCAAACTAAGAAAACACCAATACATGATTGTTTATCATTATTTTTCCTAAAAAAATGGACGTCTTTTTGGACAATCCCAGCGGTTCACCCATGGTTCTCCAATCTTTCGATCCCCTCGAAGCCGGCACCTCAGCGGCGACAAATGCCGCGGTGGCGGCATTGCCTGCACTGGTGGTACACCATTCAGCATGGGCCTGCGCCAGCGATGAGACGGCTAAGGTCATCTGGAGGTAGGGCTACTTCCCCAAGGTCCCCCCGGGCCTAAAAAAACTGAGTAAAGGCACATGATGCTTCACACGCCCTTTGAAGGCTTAATTTGTTTGGGAGCACCCTGAGATTTCCGTGATTCAAGGGTGCAGGTGCCCTTTAAAAATGAGAGTTACTACTGTGCACTGAGGAAAGGAATACTTTGAGAGAAAGAACATGAGAAAAGATTTGCTTACATAGGCCTTAAGCATTCACTGACGTAGCTCCAATTTCGATGCAAAGTACCTCCCTGAGATATGCTGAGAAATAGTCCCCCAGTCCTAAAAGGTTATGCCCCCTGCTAAGTTGGTTTTTGTTCAGCAGGGCAACTGCATGTAACTGCTGGGTTTATATGGCTTTTTGGCATCGAACTAGTGAGGTAGATTTATATCTAAACCAATTGTACCAATCTTCATTTCACTGTGGGGCCTTTCAATATCGTATTATCATCCCATCAATCGGGTAAACCATCCCATTCACCGACCATGACTTGGGATAATCTAAAAGCATCCCAATTTCATCCAATGTCTAGGGGTGTGCCCAATTTCATAAACCCCAATTGATAATTGGGGATGATTAATGCATTTTTTTCTGATGGACTCCCAGCATCCCCAAACCTCTCTGGAGATCCTGCCGGCAAGCTATGCACCTGCGGATATGTGGGGTAAACCTGTCCCACACAACATCGGTCTGTCATTCACATTGTGAAATGGGTTGGTCCAGAAATGGGCAAATGGGGTATGGTACATGGCAAAATGCACATGGGGAAAACTAAGCTTTGCATAAACCATATACAATCGTTTGGCATGGCAATCCCTTCACCCTGATATTAAATGCCAGCCTTAGATATCTTAGATTGGCTTTCAACCTGAACAAATCCAGCACTAAACCAGGGTGTCTAGGGGGACAGGATTATATCTCAAAACCAACATGTTAATGTTAATGATGTTCATGGGGAAAATGAGGTTTTGAACAATTCGAATGATTGGGGGCGTCCTATTCTTGGACAAACCCAATTTGATGCAAATCAAAAGGAGTAGCATAGGAAGGGGGTTCATAGTAGGTACAATCAACAGGGGAAAAAACAACAAAGCAGGGAAAGTCGACACACACACACACAATACTAATCTATATAATTGGTCTTTAGGTGGAAAGGCCCACTACAAATACCGTATCTGAGCATCAATTGGTGAAGTCCATTTTGACACGTTTCTGGCTTTGATGGTGTAGAGTGTAGTACTGTATAGCAGCTCGTTCTCAGGTAATGCACTTCTATGATCTATATGTATGGTTCAGCATACCGCATACCTAAGTATAGAAACTATATCTATGGTCCTGTCTAGCAGTCTTATATATATATATATATAGTTATATAAGTATGTCATGAGTCATGTGGCATTCCCCTGGTAATTCGAGCATCCAAACTCAGCAAATAAATGGAAGTTCCCCTTAAACCTGAGCAAATCATAACGCCTGGGTTACCCTCTCGCCATCACGCAGCACTTCCTGGGACTGGCAAAGATGGCCATGGCCCAAAATGGTCCTTTTCCGCCAAAAAAAAACTCAAAGGAGGGGGAGCTACGGGAAACTCAACTCATGTTGGCAGCAAAAAGGAAAAACACATGACATGTTAGGGTCCAAATTCATCCAAATTCTGCAGTGAGCAGTTGATTTCGGCCACTTTTACAGCGCACCATCACCAAGCTTCCTCACGGAAGACCGCTTGCAACCAGTCCCAAACGGTGTCCCAATAGTTGTCTGGAAAACAGGTGGATTCGATCATTAAATGATCCCCATGGATCTATATATTACCTAAGGAGGTACTGGGACTTGGCCACTTAAATTATACCCGAAACACTCCCTTAGGTGTTTTGATAAGGTATGAAGATGTATGAAGAAACTATCAATAGGAAGTGCTCCTTTGTGTTGTCTGCATTGCCAAAGGGACGCATTGGCCACCACTCTGGCTCTGCACCGACTCACGACTCGCTACCATTGCCCACGCATTTCAGCAATCTTCCTGGCATTGAGGCGGAGGCATCGTCACTACCTTAAAACAAAATGATTATGGATGGGTCGTCCACCAAAGGTAGAAACATCTCAGTTTCTGAATGTTTTTGACCTATATGTTTCCTCTTTTCAAACATGCTGATGCATCTTGCTGAATTTGATCATCTGTTTAATCTTTATTATCTTTATTACATGTTTGGGGAATTCTCATCCCTCGCTTGTGGCTGAAAAAAGGGAACCTCTTTTTTCATTATATATATATATCCTTTCACCGTGGCTAGCTGGATTTATGTGCTGGGTTCCTGACAATAGATCACAAACGACATCTTCCAACAGCACATTTTCCGAAATGGATCGAAATGGTGGGTTCACTTTCATGAAGAAAACAACGCAATAATCTTATGCAAACCCTCCACTTTAGTCTTGTCTCAATCTTTAAAGTTGGATAAACCACCATTTTGGTACATGTTCTTTGGTGAGACGCTGAGACCTTGTGGTAAAGCTTCAGAAATCCAAATCATTATTATGATTCTTATGATTGGACTATTTTGATCATAAAGTTGGCTTAGACATGGCCTACAGTATATCACCCATTATTATCCTATATCTCCACGCTTGCGCCGGTCGCATCACCATCCCCAAATCTCCAAATATCTAGATACATCATATATCATATCATATATCACATCTTAGATCATATACACTGTATATATCAAATTAATAAATAATAAATAAATAAACAAATCATATCATAATTATAATTATAACTATTATATATATATATATATGTATATCCATCACCACCATCCAAATCTTCCGCCGGGACTCTGCCAAAGGGACGCCGGCGCTGGCTTCTTGCGACACTTGGCGAAGACCGCCTCGCAGGCCATCCTTAGGCAAGCGGCGCCCCCGGAATGGGAGGAAGCCAACTTCCATAAACAGAAGTCACACTACAAAAAAAAGGGTAATAATGGGTAAGAGTTATTGCTAAAGTCCAAATCCCAGAATTACTCAAGATGCGTGATTTCTATGATGATTTGATAGCTAAAGTATGTTTAAGTTATGTAAGGAACTGGCTGCGCCCATCATGCTCTGTTTGCCCAGTCGCTGACACTCGTCCATCAAGTCCCGAAGTCGATTGCAGCGTTGCGTCTGTTCCCGGCAATCGGCCAAGTAGCTGTCACCTCAAAAATCTCAGGGATCTCCACAGGACATTGTTCCACATGGGGTGCTAGGGGGTGAATGGGACCCTGTTTCAACTCAATAATCCTCGACTTGAAGGGAGAGGTCCCCTATCTTTGCATGCAAGAAACCATATCGGCCTGTCTCAAAATTACTCAACATGGAATTCTCAAGTGGATCAGTTTCTTCTGAGGTTGCAGCGCATGTTCCGGAAGGCTCCTTCGCACCTCATTGGAAGCGGGGGCACTCAGGCCAGGAAGAACCAACAAATACCATCAAATACCATCAAATACCAATAGTTTCAGTTTATCAATGTCATTGAATGTGAGGGAGCAGCATTAAAAAACACATACTATTCATTACTATTCCATACCATCAGAACTATGGGGACATCCCGAATTGATAAACTGGAGCTTTACCAGTCCTGTTGACATTTCGTCAGATGCTTTCTTTGGTGGCACCGGGCATAGGAGATCAGAAATTCACATCACAACAGGCCCATTACGGCCAATTCACGATTGCTCTTGTTTTTTTTTTTCTCGGATCATCACCCACATATGGTTTGTCCGAACATAGGGTGCCCGCAAATTTGATGGTCAATGGTCAGTTTCGTCATCAACATGGTCATCTTATGGGGATACCCAGCTTCCAGCCATACTCATCCATACTCTACCTTGTGACTGCCATGCCCTTTCTTGTACTGCATATATCACCTTTCGCAGCGAAAACATAACAAGCGGCAGCATCTTGGTGTGTTTGCACCGCTCTTCATCTGCTTCATCGGCCTCAAAGGGCTAAGGGATGTGGTGGATGTGGCTGGGACAGCTCGAACATGACTTAGAAAACAACTAATGTGGATTGTGGGTAAAACAATGCCATGCCATTTGCACCACCCATTCGGGAATTGTTTATACATGTTTATACCACCTGTTTGTGGTGATTTGGGGGATATTATTGTTTTACCCATAACTATAATTTCAACCATCTCCTCTACATAAATCTGCAGAAAATTGACCCACATGACCCAGATCTGCAGTTCCCCCCACTTCCCCAGCTGGTGACCCAGGTACCAACGCACCTTGACCAAGCGCCTCGCCGCTTTCCGTGCTTGAAGGCCCTCTGCAAAGACCTCCAGTGGAACACCTGCGCTACTGCTGGACCATCGGCGAGGTTGGCATGGGGAAGTTGGGAGCCAACTGTTGCCAAACCCACATCAATGCAAGATGATGAGTACAAATGTGTGTCTGAAGTCTGCAATCTACCGATGGAATGTGACATAAAAGGATATAAAAAGAGATGATTACTTGATTACACATGGTCTTTTGGATCCCTTTGGTGGTTTACACCAATCTCAAACACACCCAAATGCTGTACGTATAGTACATACACAGGACAGCCAGCTAAAGAGAATAGTCTTCCCAGCTGCGCCGCCTGTGACAACACCCTCCTCTGGCTCAAAATCAGCCATAGCGCAGGATCAGCTGATGAATGGGATGATGTATGGGCAGCTCGCATCAATTCGCATAATTATACTTATAAGATTAAGTTATAACCGTTACTCCTGAAATCAAGGCATACCGGCATATGGTATACACTGGTATACACATACATACCCAAAACTGGCAATGTTTGATGGGAAACAATGATAAATACCTATGGAACCGTCGGAATGAGGGGATAAACATTCATTGTGAGCACCAGCTATTTCATCAGGATGCTTTTTTGCGATTCCCCCTTGCGTCTGTGCATGAGAGTCGTATGATGGGCTCATCTTGTGCTGAATATGAGGGGCATGACTTGCCAAGTGCGGAATCGACCAAGAAGTAGTTGGGAAGATTTGCAGTTGGCATTTCAATCTCAGACCTTGGCCCTGGTGCTTGCCAAAAAATGACACACACACACACATCCCACATCCTGAAGCTACGTCCTCTCCCGCAAACAAAGTGTTAAAACCATAATAAAACACAAGTAATTCTTCATGGTCTCCTTCGGCTTCAAGCAGAGCTGAGAGCCAAAATATGCCCAAAAAAACCCACCACGCATGAAGGATAGCAGGCTTGAAACCAAAGGATTGGCGGCCAAGCTCCGGCCCATGGGCGCTGAGTTCGCAGCTATGGCAGCTGCAATGGGTGACCTGCACATGCAATGATGCAATGGAACCTCTGTTTTAATACGCGTACTCTCCACTTGTGAAAAGTGATGCAAGTAAAACATCCTCAATCTTACGGATCACTTTATATTATTTTCCTTTGATGTCTCCTGAAATGGATGATGTTCCATTGCCAGACTTGATCCTGGTGCCCACCAAAAAACTGCGGCCTGGCACCCTGCAAGGGGCTTACCTCAAACAAGTTACACGACTCAACGATTTCTCCCAGGTATTTTCAGCCCCTCAGTTGGCTCATCAGATTTTAAGCTGTCCACTGGCTTCATGCAGGCCGGAGGTGGTGGGGTGACCTGATGGCCGGGGACAGGTCGGTATGGAAAAACTTGTGGGGGAAGGTGTTTCAGCTCGTCCCCAACAAAAATCAGCCAACTGGAATCATCATCTCAAACAGGGACGGAAATCATTCAATATGGAAAATCACCATTGAGATTTATACATTGTTACTGTAATCATCGAACTAAACCTGAAAAAGGCCATGGCTTCCATGGCAAACTGTTCAGCTACCGGAGGGCAAGGACCCAGAACAACATGATTGATGCAACTGAGGTAGCAACCATGCCAGATGTGTACTGGGCCTGGATTCGAATGCAAAGGTTGTGTATGTTGCGCGGGAACATTTGGAAGTGCAATAGCAATCCTCATGTTAAAGCAAATAAAGCGGTTTCAGAAAACAAACGCGGGGTGACCCAAAAAATGAAAGTTGCTGAGTTTGAAATGAGACACCTGTAGTTTCGGGCCCCAACCATTTGAGAAACATCCCCTATGGTTGCTTCTCACTGCAGTTGCATGCAAAATCTGAAACCATGTGTATCAATATTATTCAATACTCTGATGAAAGTGTACCAGCACATGCAGCGAATGTGCATTTATATGAACCTCTATATATGGACCTGTATTCATCGTTATTGTTATTATGAATATTATGATTATTATGATGATTTTGAATGATTATGATTATTTTTTTTCAACTACTATTACTAGTATTACTATTATATAGTACCCCTCCCCAAACTAACATAGGCTAGCCATGGCCTGTGAGGCCATAGGGCTCAAAACCTGCCCCGAGTGCTGGTGGAGCCATCCCCCCTCTTGTGCTGGCGATTTTCATGGGACATGGGATGAACTACTAGAGATTACTAGATTTCATGGGATTTATATAATGGGATTTTCTGGGCGGAAAAATCAACCACAAAAGGTGGTCATATCTCACCATTGAAAAATAATATCAAAAGCATATACCCTCCTGTAACTTAGCAGAGAGAGCTATGGAAACCATGGTGCACTTTAGTTCAATGATTCACTGTGCCTGTTAAAGCTTGTGATTTTCCGTGGCTATGCTAAATTACCACAGGGCAACCGGATATCAATGGAGAAAGGACGAACAACAATGGAGATGTAGTAACCAATGGAAATCATCAAACATGGGGAAAACCAATTAACATTATCAATATTTCGGCATATCAAACCAACAACACTTGGGGATATCGATGGGGATAATTTCATATGAATGGAATATACAACCGGAAACTTCGATGGCCATGATCATTATCGAAACCGTTTTGTTGATTGGCGACCCCCCTCTGCTGATGGGCGAACCCAAATGTTGCTGTTTGTCGAATCATCATAAAAGCACATGTCACATGATCGATTGTTTAACCACCATTTTTGGGTGGTAAAACTCCGAAGTTTGCTCAGTTCAACACATAACACAAATTCTTGGCCACTTATGATTTTCAGTTCTGCTGCCCGGAATTCTTCCAGAACTCTTTTTTCGGGTTTCCGATACGTTCTCAGGTGGGAATGCCATTCCTTTCATTGACCAACCAAATGGTGTGTATAATATATATATATATATAATATAATGTATAATATATATATATACAAATACGCACCACATAGAGCTGGTTTATCTTGGATGGTGGGCACCTATAGCAAGTCCCCATTTGCCATACACTTATATACGCCCTTTGCATCCTTCGGTGAGCCTCTATATATGGCATTGTCAAAACATGACATGTATATGGCTTATGGTCATCCCACCATCATGACGGATTTCTTATACTGGGTATAAAAAAATCCCGATGAACCTGGATTGGTGCCCATCCCCCAATTAATGGGTAATTAGGGTATATACCCCAAATTATATGTATCATTACTCACATTTAATGCCATATAAATCCATATCATCTATCCAATTTCATCCAATAGCTGATAATAATGGGGGTACTCCCAAATCATCCAAGTCTTTAGACCCTTTTGGTATTCAAACCCATGGTGACCTGGGGATCTCCCATTTTAAAGCATGATCCCATGAAATCCCAATAATCTTCCACTCATATCTCTATCACATTCCTTAATATCCATTATACGCCATTGATATCCCAAGAATATCCCATGAAATCAATCATCAAATACTTTATCACCATGAAACACCAAATATGTTCCCCATCATTAAACACCATATATATATATATACACATATATATATATACATATATATATATATATATACACATATTTCTCATCATTTACCCATCATTTCCCCATTGCAACCCCCTTAAACACATGCCATGCTCACCGGCACCGGCACCCGGCACTCGGCCTTTACCAATTTCCGGCCCGATCCCGGCGGCGTCTGCGCCAGCTGCGCCAGCTGCGCCTGGCTGACCTGGCGGGGAAGGCCCTAGTAGTAGTTATATATGGCTAATAATAATATGATAATTAGTATGTTAGGGTTATGTTAACCATATACTACTTCCTAATTAGTATAGTATGATAATTGACTATTATTAGCCATATTAACCATATACTAATTAGTATGTCATATTAGGGTTATGTTATTAGTAAAAAATAAACTATATGATTGTGATTATAGTTAACAATAGTCAACAGTTAAGTTGATGATTATTTCTCTAGTTATAATATATTATTGTATGTTATGTATGGTTGTATATGGTTATGCATGGTTACATTAATGTGATAAATTACGTCAATTTTAATCACATGCCCTTGTGTTTTCATACCTCCTCCATGTAGATCCAATACCCAACCTTGGTTTCCAACGAGCTATTTAATGCTAGGGGGAAGGGATTAACCATGTGCCGCGGTCAAAGCATGTCAAAGCATGGAATGCCACACTGGAAGTTATCTCTATCAACATATCATGCCCAAAGGTTTCTAAAAAGTCGAAGGAGATCAAAAAGTGAAAGAAAGGACCAACCACCTAACTCAGTCGATTGTGTCACCTGCACTGTCGGGGAAAACTTCCCTTTTTGACTTGGCAACACTGGCAACCCTTCTTCAGGTACTCTGAGCTAAGTACTCTTGTGACATCCACACAAGTTGAACAACAAACATAAAACACAGACAGACAGACAGACAGACAGACAGGCAGGCAGGCAGACAGACAGACAGACAAACAGCCAGCCAGGCAGGCAGACAGGCAGACAGACAGACAGACAAGATTAGATAATAAGATTAGATAAGATTAGATAATAAGATTAGATAATAAGATTAGATAATAAGATTAGATAATAAGATTAGATAATAAGATTAGATAATAAGATTAGGTAAGATTAGATAAGATTAGATAAGATTAGATAAGATTAAATAAGATTAAGATTAGGTTAGATTAGATTAGATGAGATGAGATGAGATTAGATTATATAGATTAGATTAGATTAGTTTAGATTAGATTGGGATGGATTGGATTAGATTAGATGAGATTAGATGAGATTAGATGAGATTAGATAAGATTAGATAAGATTAAGATTAGATTAGATCAGATTAGATTAGATTAAGATTAGATTAGATGAGATGAGATTAGATAGATAGATATCTTAGATAGATAAATAGATAGATAGCTATGTTATCTCTGAGGTTCCCACCATTCTTTAACCCCAACGCTGCTATGTACCTGGATCATGAGGCCACTCAGCAACCTTGGCCTTGTTTCAGCATGACCCATTTAGACATATGAAATGATACAACCCCAGTGGACATTGTACCATCACCATAGCTACCCCATGGCCCCCACAACGAACAAACGGCTGAACAATCGCCAGTTTGTGAATACACTGCCTGCTGCCTCAACAAACTCTATAAACTGTCTATGATCTTGATATATCTTGATCAATAGGATGCCCTGAAATCTCAAAGTTGCTCCTCATGTTGCTTAACACAGCCAGAGCCAGGCCTCGGCCCGAATTTTGGGTCCTTCGGGCTCTCCAGGCTCTCCAGGCTTCGAATCTACGGTGGAAGGAGTTGGGGAACCAAGGGGAAGAACTTGGGGGATTGAATACATATGAACAAATTAGGGGTTTCCCAATGAATGACGATAACATGGATTTCATGGATCGACTGAAAAAGGGTTCAGTTGGTAAATCTGACGGTTGAAACCACGGTTTTTGCTGTTTAAAATACGGAGGTGTCCATTTCTATTTTCCCTGAACTAATTCTGGCAAAGAAATCTGAGGGATATACATTGATAGAGATTAACTGATCAACATAATCCAATGATTGACTATCAATTCCAGGAATGCTTGACATGCTGAATATTGTTGTACCTTCCGGACCGCTGTCGGCGCGCACGGGGGACAGCGTAAAACTGCTTGTCAGGGCGTGTTTATGTTCAGTTCGCTCACTGTAGCCAGTGTTTCGTGATGGTACGTTGAAGTTGTGCCCGTCAGTTGGAAGTTGTGCCCGTCAGTTAGAAGTTGTGCCCGTCAGTTAGCAGTTGTGCCCGTCAGTTAGAAGTTGTGCCCGTCAGTTAGCAGTTGTGCCCCAGTTAGAGAAGTTGTGCCCGCATGACATGTTATTATTTTTGGGGTGGGGGGGGGGCACACTCACACACGCGTGATGTTACGCAGTAAGATCTTCTCCGGCACATGCACACACGCGTGATGTTACGTAGTAAGATCTTCTCTGGCACTTGCACACACGCGTGATGTTACTTAGTAAAATCATCTTTTCGCATGAGCAAGTTGTCGAATGTTGTCGAAAAAACAACAAACATGTTAACTCGGAGTGCATCCATGAAGAAGCCAGCTTGCGTGATGAGCCCAAAGAAAAGAATTGCCAAAATCGTGGGAGGAGATAATTACATGTCGGCGATATCAATAAAAAGTTAGCATATCGGCGCGCGCCCAAAAAGGACCGAAAAGTTGTTGTATGGTGGACTCAAACCATGGTTGCCATTTTGAGTTGAATGTCGGCCCCTTAAAATTGCTGCTGCCCTGCCGGGTTCGATCCGAGCTTGCCCCACCGCGTTCACTGCCCTGCGATGCCGCCGATGCCTCAACCAATGGGCCAGGTCATCCGGAAAGTTGAAAGAAGGTATTTACACACACAATCACACACACACATAAGTGTCACACATATTTATTTATTTAATTCCATATATATATATAAATTATATAGAAAGGGCCCAAAAAATGCCGAAATCATCCGAAATCTCCAAAATTGACCAAGTTTTACTTGGATTTTCACTTTTTGCGAATCTTTCTAGGGGCCTTTTGAGCTTCGGTCTCCGTCACCATCGAGGTCCTGATACGCCGGGTTGATGAATTGGTGGGTTCCACCGAAAAGATCCAAAAAGAATGATAAGTTGCTACCAAAGCCTTTTAACAATCTGGGCTTGACATTCACTAGTGGTACTATACTCTTAAGTCTTGCTGGTTCGGTCACGTGCTTGACTCAGCACTGGAAGCATCGTATGTCGGAGGTCAATTGGATGCCAAAAAGATTTCCTATATGCATCGGATGCAAGATAATCTTTTGTCCTCATGAATTCTTTCATCGTAACATTGGGAAACCATGGGAAACCTTGACTTGAACTTGCTTTCTTGCTTTTGGCAAGAATAAGAACCAAAGTCTATGGGCAACTGAGTCCACATTGTGATGTACACCCCAACAATGAATACGCACTCCCACAAAACTGTCATTTTCGCCGGCAAAATCATATGACAAAATTTCGAAAGCCATCGGTTGCGGATTCCAGGTTAGTTTGCAGCAAAGTAAAACCATTCCTCCCAGTGGGTCCACCTCCCAGGTGGACATGGATAACCCCTGGCTACGCCAAGGCACACCGCGCTGCTCTGCCGCTCTTCCCTCCTCACATAAACATTAGGATTTCATGGAGCAGAATCTGGCTTTCATATGCCTTCAAATATATACTTTATATAATCATCAACACATGGGGATTGTTTAAAGGGATGTGGTCATAGGCCAATGTCACAAACCAGACGCCAATTCCCAAATGATTATTTGAGCTGATTGCTTGGTTTTCTGTATTATTAGCTTGACAATGGAAAAGTTGCAATACAAGCTCGACAATTGATAAGGGGTTGGTTACATAAACGGTTGCCAACTAAATCAAACTGCAGGAATTAAATCAGGATTGTGCAAGAAAAATGTAGTCTTTGCAATACATTATAAATCAACATTGCCTTGCATGTGGATTCATGACGTGCGGCAAATTTGTCAGTGTATTGCACACAAATATATGTTTGCATTCTATATGTACATATATATATATACACATTGATTTATCTCAATATCTAATATATAGTTGAATAAAAATATGTACATATATATATATATATATATGTGTGTGTGTTATATGTATATAAATATTTTATATTGTATGACATCCATCCCTCACCTGCCCATTTCCCAGAAGCCTCTCAGAGCTTGGTTGGCTCGGCACGCTCGCTTGGCTTAGCACACTCTGGCTCGGCAGCTGCGAATGGCACAGGCTGGTTTGGCTCGGCAGCATGGGATAGTCCAGACTCACTTGGCTCACTTGGCTCATTTGGCTCACGCGGCTCTGTTGTTCAAAGGCCACAGCCGGGGCCACGGCAGGAGGCTCCTGGGCACCAGGAGATGCTGGTGCTTTCATGATCTTCCGTGCGGAGAAGGGCACGTTCACATGCACAGAAAAGGTGATCAAGTCACACACACACAGACACAAACACACACACACACACATCAAATGCTAGCGGTATGAATGTGCACCAAAGGAGGGTATGCGATGAAATTGTATTTTAATTTTTAGTGGGAAAAGTGATGATATCCGCCCTCCCATTTCCAGCTCAACCCATTTCCATATCACAATGGTCATGATACTGTGGATGAAAGAAATCCCGCACCGGTTAATAGGTGGTTCATCCAATTATTTTTAGGGTCTCAACCATCCTTTTGGCGCAGGATTTCGCAACCATCCACCGTATCTCCAGGCCTCTTTCTTTGCTTCCTCTTTCGGTTCCACCACGCCTTCCAGGTGATGAAGAACTCGTCCGGCCGATCGCTGGAATGAGTAATTTACAGCCAATGACTGCCCCAGTGGATACCCTGTAAACATGTGACAATGTGATTTTAATGTTTTTCCCCACCTGCCAGGTGAGGTTTGTTAGATTTTATCAGAGCTGTTCCCCTCCTCCGCCTCCGCATCCTCCTTCTCCATCTCCTCCGCCTCCTCCTCCTCGCAGTCCAGATCCCAACCGCGACTTCCAGATCGCAGTGGGCACTGCCGGACCTCAACCGCGACTTCCAGATCCCAGTGGGCACTGCCGGACCTCAACGCACTGCCGGACCGCGACTTCCAGATCCCAGTGGGCACTGCCGGACCTCAACGGCGAATTCCAGATCCCAGTGGGCACTGCCGGACCTCAACCGCGACTTCCAGGTTGCAGTGGGCACTGCCGGACCTCAACCGCGACTTCCAGATCGCAGTGGGCACTGCCGGACCTCAACCGCGACTTCCAGATCGCAGTGGGCACTGCCGGACCTCAACCACGAGCTCCAGATCGCAGTGGGCACTGCCGGACCTCAACCGCGACTTCCAGATCGCAGTGGGCACTGCCGGACCTCAACGGGAAGATAAGATGTCAGATAGAATGTCAGAAGATATGCCAGATAGAATGCCAGAAAGGATGTCAGAAAGAATGTCAGAAGATATGTCAGACAGAATGTCAGAAGATATGCCAGACAGAATGCCAGAAAGAATGTCAGAAAGAATGTCAGAAGATATGTCAGACAGAATGTCAGAAGATATGCCAGAAAGAATGTCAGAAAATATGTCAGATAGACTGTCAGAAGATATGCCAGATAGAATGCGAGAGAAGATGTCAGAAGATATGCCAGATAAAAATGTCAGATAGAATGCCAGAAGATATGCCAGATAGAATGCCAGAAGATTTGCCAGATAGAATGCCAGAAGATATGCTAGAAAGAATGCCAGAAAAAATGTCAGAAGATATGCCAGATAGAATGTCAGAAAGAATGTGAGAAAGAATGTCAGAAGATATGCCATGATATGCCAGACAGAATGTCAGAAGATATGCCAGTAAGAATGCCAGAAGATATGTCAGATAGAATGTCAAATAGAATGCCAGAAGATATGTCAGATAGAATGCCAGAAGATATGTCAGATAGAATGCCAGAAGATATGTCAGATAGAATGCCAGAAGATATGCCAGATAGAATGCCAGAAGATTTGCCAGATAGAATGTCAGAAGATATGCCAGAAGATATGCCAGATAGAATGCCAGATAGAATGCCAGAAGATATGTCAGATAGAATGCCAGAAGATTTGCCAGATAGAATGCCAGAAGATATGCTAGAAGATATGCCAGAACATATGCCAGAACATATGCCAGAAGATATGCCAGATAGAATGCCAGAAGATATGTCAGATAGAATGCCAGAAGATTTGCCAGTAAGAACATGTATAAATGCCATGGTGGGGATCATTCGAAGTGTGAAGTCACTATATGTTTTTTTAGCTGAGCATGATGTAGATTTCCCCACTTGATCCCATTTGTGGAGCCAAAGAATGATGGTTTGAAACAATCAAGGTTTACCCAGTTCTCAGTCAACTTCATTAAGTTGCGCCTGGTTCTTGGAAGCTGGCTGGAAGCCCAAGGGCATTCTGCACCTGCGCTACGTTTTGGGATCAAATAGGCAGGGCATCAATTGGCACATGTGGTGAGCTTGCATGGCCATTGAACTGACGTGTGACTGGCATCGGCATTGTGTGCCTGCACTTCATCCCTCCACAACGTCTTCCAAAGACATCAAGGATGCCATGATTATGGGGGGCGCCATATCCTAACTTATGGGGCTATGGTCCCCATGGCTGTAGCCATAAGAAAATGGCCCCAGGTTGCAGGGACATGTCAGGGGCGCCTTCCCAGTCCCAGACCAATTCTTTTGTAGCTGGCCTTGATGCGTGCAGGCGTGCACATCTGCGCCAAATGTGCTGAGATGCCCAAATGCTTCATGTACGCCAACGCATGCATACTGACTGTGGGTCATGTGGGTGGCTGGTCTCAATAACGCTCATCTCCCATGGATATTACATGCTTCATTGGGGTTGAGCGGCTTCGGGTTGCACAAGCGGTTCCTTTCTGAGCCCTTGGCTGTAAGGGAGCGGATTGCCAGAGTAGGCCTCCTGGCATCCAAGCTGGCAGTGAAAACAGTACTTGTGACTTAGGCACGTACGCAGTACAGTATTATATGCATATATATATGTATAAATTGATGAAATATAATTTTGTGTATGCATGTGTGTAGGTACAAGGACACACATATATATATATAATATAATATAATATAATATAAGATAATATAATATAATATAAAAAATACAATATAATATAATATAATAAAATATATCAGGGTAAAAATGAAGAGGTGAGCTGGTTCTTTCCCGTTCAAGATGGGATTTTCCAACTCAAAATGGGGAAAGAACTGCCATTCTTCAACGTATGAACAGCTTGTTGGAGACATATCCCAGATTATCCCAGCATACAAAGGTATACAAATGTGAGGTTCCTGTGGGTTCGGAAAACATGCTACCCTCCGGTAAACTAATATAGCTATTGAAACTGGCCCATTTCTAGTGGATTTGCCCATCAAAAAATGTGATTTTCCATAGTTATGTTAGTTTACCAGAGGGTAATGATAGTTTCTCCAAATTTTAACCAAGCGTTGCCTGGATGTCCACCATCGTTGGATTCCGATCCATGAGGTTGGTGACTTCTATGATTTTCAGATGGCACTCCATTGATGGGGAATTTTCCAGCCAGGTTATATTAGGTTTATATAGACCCATCATGAATTCCCAGTAGTGATATATATATATATATCCCTCTCTCTCTCTATATATATATATTCATTATAATTACCACCATTATTCTTAGATAAATCCCACTAAATCCCATTCAATCGCGATTTTTGAATGCCAAAGGGTAACCACTGGACTTCTCACGCAAGCAAACTCACCACGTCCTGAGCCAGTCGGGTGAAGGTCAACCACTCGTGGGCCTGGCGGCTATGGTTGTCCCAGCGTCATGAATGGGTGGGTTTTTAGACATCCTCATTGGGCGTTGTTGGATGATCATCCCCGAAATATGAGTATACAATAGTATACAAATGTATACAGTGTAATTATACATAATCCAACTGTTGACCATGGCATATTGGGATATTCTGGTATGCATACTTACAATTTTGCGATCTGTGCACATCAGGGCCATGCAAATCTTCTCCGTACAATGTGATAGGCCCAATCATGAACCAAACCTGTTGCACCCCTTGAAACACTCAGGTATCGGTTTATCAGAGCTTCCCACACTAGGCAAGAACCATGACGTTGAACAGCTTCAGTTTGGCTTGGAAAAATGATAATGGTATGTGACTAAACGTGGGGCCCCTCTCATGTGGTTGTGCACCCCAGACTAGAGTAAATGTTCAAATGTTCACTCACTTGAAATGAAGCAACCTTGGAACCCATCAGCAACAACATGAGCATGCAAGCAAAACACATGCGAATAGGCAGGACAGTCGGACATAGTCTACAAAATTCCGAAGTATGAAGTATACAATATTGGCTACTGTATCAGGACTTGAATGCTTCCCACAAAAAAAGGCCACCCAAAATCACATGAAATCCGTCCCGCAAGGGGGTGCACATTGGTAAACATTATGGACATACAGATTTGTTTTATACGCACATGCAATCCTCAGAAAGATCAAGCACCAACATCCTGCCAAACTCTAGTGTCAGCCGTGGGTCAATACACAGATGCCCAACTGCCACTGCTTGGAGCATCGTCCCAATTCGTGAGCGGTTAATAATAGGATAGCTACCCGTGTACTAACCATAATTTAGAGTGACGTCGCAGTGAGGTCTTTAGAATTTATGTTTTTCATGATTTTTCCAATATCAATGGCTCAAAAATATGGATGAACTTATAATGGATTCTCAAGAAAGCCATTTCAATATATTTCAATTATTTCTGCCATAACATGATCATGGCTATCCATTCTTTAGCAGGCCTTCTCAAGGGCTTCTAACATCTTCTAACAACAACGCAGCATCAGAATTTAAATCGCCTCTTGATGCATATCACTGGAGTATCTCACGGGGCTCAGCAGCACCACGCTGGCGAGACTTTTTGGACCTGGGACCGTGCCCAGGTTCTCGGTGAAGTTTTGGGGGAACAGCCCTGCAAAATCAGCCACCTCTGATTTCTGGGAACCCATAAGAAACATCTATGACCCCAGATCGTTGGATGGGGGTGATGCCTGCCATAACTGGGGTTCATTGGCATTTGCACAGAAAACGTTGGGCCCATCATTCTCCGGATTGGTCCCTTCAACGGTAACGAAACGCGATCTGCTTCCTCCAACTCTCAATGGTTCAGTTGTCCTGCAAGAAACTTGGTGAAATCCATAGGGATGCCTTGCAACCAATGAATTGATGAACAATGTTCGGATAAGAACTCCCTCAAAAATCAAAATTATTATTAGACCTTATTAATCATATGTTATTGCATCAAATGATGACCTAAAGAACAAATAAATCATTTTCAATCCACACTCCTGCCATGACTGAGGCAGCTGGCCAAGCCAAGGTTCTAGCAGCTGCGGCAAGATCTGAGTCTGGTGGCTCGGGATATTTCTCTGTGGAAGATAAATTATATGTTTAATATATATATATAATATATATATACATATTGTTTGCATGGATTGGGAATGGTTTTCCACAATTGCGTTTCTTTTTTAATCAGTTTATTCACTGTATGTTTTTTTCCACCAATTTCCGTCTCTTTTCCCGCAAGTATTTGGGGCAGAACTGTACTCCATTCACTGGGACTTTTCCTCCGATGTCCGCGAGCAAGTTTTTGTCCAGCAATATCCTGCTATTCAGAAATACTGTGGTCTGTGTTCATGGGTTGCAATCATGGTATCCCCAGCACTTTTGCCGTAATCCCATAACAAACTACATGGCAGATTCATGCCAAGATTCTATGCCAAGCTGTGTTCTGGAACAGGGAACAGAATGTGGGACAGTCTGCTACTTCTGATAGACAAACATATGTTTTTTCGTGACGGCTGCCCCGCGATCTTAGTTTCCAAATCATATTCCTATTTTTCTTACTTAGTTCGTGGAGTTCCTCTTTTAAAACCCATTAAATCACAATATGTTTAATCCGTAAATCATCTATAAATAGACCATGGGCTTTACAATATGGAACATTTTTTTTAATCTACATGAATCATCTATTTAGAAAGGCACACTATGGTCTATAAATCAACATGTTTAGTGTACCTTTCTAAAGGAGCCATGGATTTCGCCAAGGCCCCCGGCCGCAGACTCCCAGAACGCTTCACGGCCATCCCGCAGAGCAAGCAAGGTCGCCTTGGCGTTTCACCGAGGTCAACGATAGAACGGGGAGTGCTAAGGGGGGTACCCTCTGGTAAACTCACATAACTATGGGAAAATCACCATTGGTTTAATATAGGTGAATCAACGAAATACACGAATAAATGGCATTTTTTTCAATAGCTATGTCAGCTATGTGATTACCAGGTATTAATGGGTATTAATTACCAACACATGGAGATTAATGACCTTGTCTTATCATGAACAATCATGTGAAACGGATGATATATCTGGACTAATGATGACTGATGAGGATGCAATTGAGATATAACGAGGACATCATCTGCAAAGGCATCCCGCGAAACAAGCCCGGGGCAATATCTGGATAAATTGCAATAATTGGTTTCCCCATTTTAAGGATAGTTACCAAAATTTCACACATACATCACATGACAATGACATAACATTACATTACATTACTGTACATTACATTAGTGGTTTATTATTATTTTGCCCACATTATATGGGATGAAAATCTGGGTTGAATCCAACACAGGGCCCCGCCACGCCTTCAGTGCGTCCAAACTCTGCGCAATGGCGGTGTTCGCTGGATTCCTGGCAGCTTCCAGGGTGTGTTTTTGGTGGCTTCAAGGCCTGAAAAGCATCGGTGACTCGTGATGTTTCTTTCGCCCAACCAAGTTGTTGTTGCGATTTGTTTGGCATATGTCTGACTCAAACTTGAAGAACACCTTATAAAACATCGTTTTTTCCATGATGTTCACGATGTTTCCTAGGTTTTTCCATGTTTTTCACGGATCTTCATAGCTTTTCTCCATGGCTTTCCCACCACGGCATCCGCCTCACCGCGATGGGCGCTGCCAGGTCGACGAAGGCCAAGACGGCGCGTTTCCCGGTGAAGCGCTGGGTGATGTGGAGCAGGTAGAAAACATGGCCTGATCTAATCTACCAGTTTCATAGGGAATTCTTGATTACCTGGCCTGGTTTGATAGGGAATTCTTGGTGTTTTTTTATAGGGATTTCATACTAATTATATAAATCCACCAGCGATCTTCTTTGTCGGCAATATCTCATGGCATAAGTTTTTTTTTCCGGGAATATCGTATGGTGAACAGACATGAACAGGAATATGAAATGGTATATCTCGAATGGTGTATCTGTAAAGATGGATTTTAATTCATGACCATCTCAATGAGGATATATATATATATAGTGTGAACACATGGCCATCTCAATGGTATATGGCTTCAATCATGATGAACATGTGGCAACCAACCATCAATTCTATGCCAAGCAAGCTGTGAAACAGGGATCTTGGGGGCGTGAGCATATGTATATATATATATATGTACATTTATAATCACATATGTATATATATATATCTCTCTCTCTATACATATTAAAAGGGGAATCTAATGGGAATATGATTCAAAATACTGATCATATCAATGGGGGTATTTATAGTGGTATTTAATAAGAGGATTTCAATGGGATTTGTTCATGGACAATTTTGCTGTTTTATAAAAAATGATCATTATTAATACACCTTGACACCATATCAATGTGGATATCATGGTATATCCATGAGAATGTAATGGTATAAAAATGGGATCCTAATGAGGATTTTAACATCTAAAATGGACATCTATGACATGGGAATAGTGCCGAACGGTAGCTCAAGGGGATGGGATCTAAAATGGGGATCTGACATTAACGAAGCAATGCTAACGGATTAACGAATCGTTCTAGGGATATCACTGAGGCTATAATCTATGCTATTGACAAACTGGGGTGAACCACCAATTTCTGGTGATTTTCTAGAAATTACTGGGTGATGTTTGGCCTCGAAGAGCATGAGCAGTCTTGGACTACAGGTAAATTTGACCAAAATCACAAGAATGACAATAACAATGATCATCGTAAATTTATGTGAAATTGATATATATATAATTATATATATAATGATAAAGGAAAAACAGTTGTGATAAATTCGCGTTTGCACATGCACATCTTTTACACCCAAAATCAACTTATCAATGTTCTCTCTCGGAATTATCTCTGTTGGAATTATCCTGTTCCAAATGTTCCAATCTCAAGATATGAAGATTACTCTTGGCGCCCACTCTGATTGCCGTCAAGACCAAGATTGTTCTCTTGCAAAAAAACGGCGGGGCCAGAACTATTTTCCAGTATCTACCTGTTAAATGGAGGGAACCGTCTATCAACCAGTGGGAGACGGACTTCTGCACCTCGTGAGGTTTCAGAGTTCTGTGCGAAGCTCTGAAAATGTCGGTTGGAGTCACCTATCGGATGGGAGGCTCATCCCACCATGGAGTCACAAAACTGGTCGGATGGCGTATAATGCACGTTTTGATCATGGCACCAATATGATGGATTTCAAAGTCATGGAGGCACCCATTCAAAATCATTACACACACACACATATATATATATATACAGTATATGTATAATTACACCATAAATTATCATACAATCATTGACCACCTATTTGAATTGGGCGAAGAGATTCACGTGGGGGCCACCATGGTCCATTTCTCTATCCCAATGCCATGACACGCCTCCACTATGGGAGCATAACCCCATCCATCAACCTGCTGGGCACGAATGGAAAACCACCAGCCTTGGAACAAAAGGTGGTATGCATCACTCTCGGTGGCAACCACCTATGGAGACAGGAAAGGATGAATGGCATATGAATGGATGGATTTAAGGGAAAATCTTGGCTGGAAACCATGTTCTCACCATCAAATGTAGGATGTCCCGCACATCATTTTCCCATCAAATGCATTCAAACACTGGGAGATGCACTCACTAAATTGGAGGCACTGGGAACATCATCGAGCAACATAGGGGATGTTCCATTGTGATGTTTACCGGAGGGTAGCGATTCAAAGAAGGATTCTCTAGGAGGTATCCCCAAGAATTGAAACTTTCGAACCACCAACTAACCATTAGTATCCACTAGTACATTCTGGCAGCTCTTACAAGGGATCTCAAATCAGGTGCATCCTTGTCCACATCAATATCATCAATATCTCGGTGTCGGTGGGAACCTAATTGCCCTGTAAAACGATTCGTCTTGCCCAAAATTCTAGACTAGAAGCCAAAATTTTGAGCATACCTGGTTCACTGGTTGGCCGTTGCACCACTTGAGGAGCCGTAGCCATTCAGAGTTACAGTAATCATATCAACTGGGACTGGGCTGTGAACAAAGTTGCCTAAACCCCAGTTTCAATGGATTGCTTTTGTAAAATCTGGTAACTGTTCACCCGAACTTCCCTGGTTACTCACAAAAATATTGAGTTTACTATGTGATTACTCATGAAAAACACACACATATATATATATATATTTGAAATATGCATTAAATATATTGGTTTTCCCATGTTTTATGTGATGTTTATTGTCCTTCAACTCCACGGAATTCAACATAACCATTCCAACCTGACGCAGCAGCCCTATGAGCTGCGGCCCATTCTCGGTGGCTTTGATGGGCACCTGTGGTGACAAATGTCCGGAAGGTCGACTTGGACTTTCTGTGGGGGAATAACATTGGAATTTACAATATTTCAATGATTTTCTAATGGGGGAACATATGATTTTCTATGATTGTGCCTGTAATTTACCATCTTTCAACATATATTTCATGGGAAACAATGGGGAAACATATGATTTTATATGATTTTACCCATTGCAATTTCCTATTCAATGAAATCTTAGTGGGGGAATATGATGGAATATGTTCTATCTATCTATCTATCTACCTACCTATCTATCTATCTATCTATCTCTAAATAAATATATATATATATGTATAATAACGTCCTATTCAACATTAATGAATATTCATGGGGGAATACGATTTTACATGATTTTAGTATGATTTTACCTATATTAAACATGGTGACGTCCCACAGCTATCCGAAATTACCGGAGGGTACATCTAAGATTATCCAAGTAAATTAGATAGCACTGTAGGTATAGCGTTTGATTGCATCATTGAAGGGCCGCTGGCCGCAGGATGCTGCAGGATGCCTTCCGCCTTCGTTCTGAGAGAAGGTCCACCACTGCGTCCTCGTGGGGGAGCGGAGCTGGGAACACAGTAGGGAGCTGTATGACAATGTGGGGGGTAACCATGAAATGGAAACTTGTCAGAGGGAATGCATATAATTATATATACATATATATATATATGTATGAACATAAATATATGTATATATATATATACATTATTGAATGATGATCATTCTTGGGGACAAAACAACATTTCTGTCGCATTCTCGTGTTTCATTGTTATTATTTGATTTACATTTACTTCCGCAACGACATCGACAACCCTATAACCTCGAAAAGCACCTATTCTATTGCTGTAATCAAACATGAGATCATAGGAAAACAACAACTACCTATTATGTGGTTGGGAAACTCTTTGCTCCAACTGGCTCCCACCAGCTTCTTGGTCGCTCCAATATGGATAGCCATAGCTTCTTAGCCCCCCCCTTGACCACTGGATAGTAAAACCTGACCTCTCACTTCACCCCCGGCACCTTGTATAGCTCATAAAAGGACACAGAGACCTCCACATCTTCTCGTTCAGGCTCCGCAGCCATAGCCTCACTACCAAGGCTATTGGTATAACGGTTTCACCAACAAGAAATTCAACCAATCAACATATGGAGATTTAGACAGAAACAGAAAACACAACTTTTAAACAGAGCACAACCACGATAAACTAGGATTTAGCAAGCAACACATAGGCTTTAACGGTGCTTAACATTCTAACCACTGCAAACAGGCGGATTTCACAAATCAAAACGGTAGATTTTGCCAATCAATGAAGGTGTTGGGGGCAGGTTGCTATACATTTTGTCAGCAGTTAAGCACTATTATTTGTCCCAGGGACATTGCCCTTCTAGTACCCAACCAACCAGTGACAAGAGGACATTTATACTGTGCATATATATATAATCAATATATTATATAATTATATATATATATTATATACAGAGAGAGAGAGAGAATACTTACTGCCGTCCATTGTTCCCTTCTTCGACAACTATCTCTGGCACCTCAAAGAGGGCCGACACGCTGCGAGGAATCAAACCTCTGTCCTGGGGCGCTCAGTGACAGTCATCCGTTGCGGATGGAACCAAGATTTTTGTAGCTCAAATTGCTGAAAATGCTGAAACCACTAGGACAAAAGGAAGGAGTTAGGCCAATGAAGCAAAAGCAACAGATTGATCTGGATGCAACTGCAGCCTTGGGCTGTCCACTTTTTTGTTGCTGCAGTTCAGGCCGAGTCGCCAGTTGAATTGTGCAAATTAAAAAACTGAAGGTGCCGCAAAGAGGGAATGCCAATAGCTCTAAAGATTCAATGGGAAGCGAATGGGACAGGGCCACAAAGCAGCAAGAAACATGCTTTCATCGATCTGGATTAGCCTGGATAATGGATCTTGCAAAGAAATAGAGAGCAACCAATGAGCAACAAATGGAAGTTCAGCTGTCGGCATTCCTTCTGCACTCCGCATTCGTGCAAAGCTGGGGTCCCAGTGATCTGTCCATTTTATGTTTCATGATGTTTTAGTGAACCAACGTCCAAGGACCATACTCAATGACCATCCAATATAGTTTAAGTCATCCAACCGCCAACAGCTGAACGGCTTGAGAAACAGCTTTACTTCGTCGATGTCCAATCCCAAAGCTAGAATTTAAAGCTTGAGTTCCTATAATTGAGGTGTTCCTCAAATATGTTTCCAACAGTTGGATCCAGTTGAACTTCACCCGCAGAAACACGTTTTTTCTTTGGGGGCTTCCAAAGCCAGGACCTGCCTGGTGCAGGTCCTTACATCACAATGGTCGCAAGCTCATGGCATCCTTCCAAGCACCAGCACGAGCGACGCAGATCGGGATCTTGGACTGCCTTGGAGCGGATGGGGTGCTGTGGCCCGAGGAAGTTTCGCGTTTAGATGAGTCATGATGTCATCAAAATTGGAAATGTACTCTCCAGTAAACTAACAGTTTGCGAGTTAGAGATATTTGTTTAATGACCACAGCTACTGGCTGAGCCTGGAATAGGAGCCACCTTAAGCAAACCCAGGCTATAAGCGGTTTTATCCCCATGAGATAGAGATGAAGAACATATATCCCCAATATAGCCCCATAAAATCACATAAACTCCCCATGGTCATTGGTTTCAATCCCGGATTTTTGGACGATCCCAGGTCGCACCATCCGCGATCTCCGCCCTTCGCAAGGCACGGCAGCGCGGGCAGCGGCTGCTCGCTCTCGGGCTGCGAATCGCTCTCCTGCTCCGAAATGGAGCTGTCACTGGGCGAGCGGCTGTCCTGCAAGGAGCTGCCCGGTCGGAATCGCTAAGTTGGTGGCTTGCAAAAACTAGAATTTTCACCAAACATGTTTTTTTTTGGGATTTATCGCTGATTTATGAGAGCTAAGTTGGTAACTCCAATAACTTGGGTCTATGGTAGATATACCACCTTGTGTCGCTGGGAAACCATGTTTTCCGAATGGTCAAAAAATGCGGATGGGGGATACAACAGATATAGAACCAACAATTTTGTTGGGAGGATATATGCCACGCTCAACTTACATGGGATTAAGGGGTCATCCATCCCAGAATTGGAATCCTTGTGCTGGTTATGTTGACCCCTATTAATGAGGGGATGACCATCCCCTTCTATCGACCATGGCACATTTGGAAAAGAAATAAACCAAGCACAACCACACCTGATATGTAGGGTGGGTATCAATTGGTTTACAACATTAATCACAATCTCCAGGGTAATAAAAGACCCAATCCAAGCACCGTAACCAAGCGGCTTGCAGGCGCTCCAACAGGAGGGATTCGTCCTGCAATCACTGAAAGCCAGGGAAACAAAAAAAACGGCTTTGTGATGTGCTTCGTTCTAACTGACAACAACCACGTTTATAATAGGGGTTGATTAGGTCACTTGCCTTTTTTTCGGGTGAATACCCATGACAATTCATGTCAATTTCATCAACTGTATTCAAATCAAGACCAAGTTTCAATGCCAAACATGCCAAAAGGAGAACTGTTTATAGTCACTATGTATCTTTCTTCCTATCTGATAATTCAGGTATTTTTTGTCTTATGCTTTTGTTATTTCTTCATTTTACATATCAACCGTTTGAGGGGCATGCTGGCCACCTTTTTTTTGCTCAAGGAACTGGTGCAGCAAGTGACCCCCTCTTCATGGCTATGGGTCTATGGGTTCAAAAAATGCAACCAACAAGTCCATTAGACAACACATTATCTTAGCATATGTATATAAATTGTATATATATATAGTGATGAATATTAACAGTATATTAATGAACATTTCATGATCTTTACCAGTCTTTCATCCATTTTCTCATCATTGCCATTGGCCATGACGGCCATGATCACCCCCTGGAAAGAGACGGTCACATCGCAAGCCGGTCTTGATCAAAGAAGAGAAGTCGCGTGGTGACCTCGCAGGGTTTCGATAGTGCCCCAGTTCGTTAGCTAAGTTGGTTTATAACTCCAATAACTATGATTTATGGTAGATATATGGTAGAGATATGTATGATATATGGTAGATATATGGTAGATATATAGTAGATATATCTATACTTATATACTCTGGTTATACTCTGGTTTATAAACCAAGGGGCCACCAGCTTGTACAGTTGGGGTTTATATTGTGGCTTAATTCTTTCCGTGGCTTTCCCGTAGACTGGGTTGCTGACTTGGGAGGTACTGCGCAGTAGTCACTTGGGATGGGATGTTTCTTACTGGATCTGACACTTATGGGACGAGCCAGAACATATGATACCATCGGGAGATGCACATCAATTTACCAGCTGTGTGACTTTTTTCACATCGTGCTAGCAGGGTCTTGACCCATAACAATTGGTTCCCCCCTTTTTTGTAACTCAAACTAGTAACTAGTACTCAACTCTGGTTCCTCCTATTGATCAATCATGGTTTAATTCTGGGATGACATTATTGCTACATCCAGAATTAAACCATGATTGGATAAATTGATATAAATTGTAGTAATTATTACTAAATCATGGCTTAATTCATCGCAATAATTGGATCCCAGGAGTCCCAAGAAATCTCACAAAATTCTGAGAATTTCTAGCGTCAATGGATGGAACACTCGCTTGTGACATCCTTTATATAACAGCATTGTCCAATAGATTCCAATGGTCATATAATGGTTAACCCATTGGACATATTGTAGAAACAAGTCCATTGCCTAGCTGACTATTGTCTAACCCATAGGTTGCTGTACTGATCCCATACTCATTACAGTAATAATATTATACCAATATCCAATGAATTTAGTCACCCATTAATGATTCACCCATCATTCGACCCATCCTCCATTGCAATCGCCAAAAGAGAGCGACAAGTTAGACACCAGGAAATGTGAGGTCTAGAGATACAATCTTATCTTTTGGACTTACTATAGTCATATCTTTTTGGGATAGTGACTAACTAAAATAACCAAGTAACAAATTAACATCACCAACCCATGATGAAACCTGCAGGATTTTGAACCCAAGCAACGCCACAGAACTGCGGCAGCTCGACGTGCAGGAACATCAGCAGAGGTCGCAACCGCTGAATGGCCTCGCGGGCCACCTGTGGGGCTGCGCTGGGAAAACTGGGGCGATTTTCCGGGAGTGGGGCGAATTCACGAAGAACAGTGATGAAATATGGATAAATATGGAAGGTTAGCCGGTAAAAGAGCAACTTCATGAGGGATTGAAGCAGCAAAACATGACCACGTTCTCACACGTTGCTCAAACATCGTACCTCTCATCCGTCTTGCTTTCAAGTCCTCCTGGAAAACCTCTACCTTCACCCAGAAAAAATCCAAACTTCCCAACGGTCTCAACGGTTGACTTGACCATGTCACATTTGAACGAATTGGAGTGGCAAAGCGGCCAAGTGCGGCTAGCACATCCAATTTCAAATTAGAAATCCAACCGAAAGCGACCCAATACCAAGGGTAATCCGAGGGTACAATGCCTGGCCTTGGCTGTTGATTCCTGCTCCCTCAAAAATTCCAGCAGATGAAGTGCACGAAATGGAGGACGCCAATCGTGCTGACCTCTGATCCAATAAGGTGGTGCCACCTAGTTTTGAGTTGGTAAGCCCATCCAACTATAGTTATGATATGCTATGATTACCATAAATCTTAGTTGTAAATCGGCTGTAAATCCCCAATTTCAATGTTTGTTGGTTGAAAGCCACTTTCTTGGGTGATAATTAGTTTGTGTGATCATTTTGCAGCCGTCATCCAATTGTGGGTGGCCTTTCTACCGTTGGGTGAAATGCGGCCAGAAGTGGGCCAGAAGGTACCCACATGATGAAGCAGCAACCCCCAAAAAGAGAGGGAACAGTTGGACACCTGGATATAATTAATCCTTTTAACATCCTGGAAAAAGATTCCAGCATCTTTTCGGAGACCCTAATATTGGTACCAGTGGTTGCCGATCCGTTGTGTTACACTTTCTCCTCTTTCTCTTGGACATTTCACCTGACGATCCAAAGGGCCATTCCAACTCGTTTGAAGCTGGTGCTCAACGGCTTGAACCATGACGGAGGGCTTGAAGTCGCAGCATCTGGCCCACCACTCCTGCCAAATGGGAGAATGTGATGCAACTGTGCAAGATTGTCCAAGAATCCAGAATTCAGGAGAGATCATTTGGCAAACAAAAAAGAGTAGAATGTAGAATGACCCAGCACAAATCTAATTATCCTATGTTTTCACGAGCAAACTGTAGATTTCAGAGTGCAACAAGTGTCAGTGTCCATACCACACTTGGTTGATTTCAGCACCCCTCCCCGCAGCCTCTAGCTCTTTATCGCTGGGCTCCACTGCATTGTCCCGATACCTCTGACAGAGCTGCCATACCTCAAGGCTGTCTCACCAGGAATGATGTGTTGTGTCTGAAAACGGGGGATACCCCACAGCTTTAATGGGAAAGTGGTGATTTATCTGATAAACATTGATAAACCATCCAACTTGGGGGTACTCTAATTTCAAACAAACTCATTTCTAAAGGCATTGGCAGTATGGTATTATTGACTACACTGACTAGATTAATCTTATGACAAAGGGAGACCTGAAAAAATCAAGGGACCCCTGTCCATACCATCAAGAAAACAAGGGAATTGAATTTGAGAGGGAGAGGAAAACACATCCACCCCGCACAGTTGTTTGTAGCGCGCGCGGGTCACTTAAAACCAATAACATGATAAACAACTGCTTGGTTTTGTTAGCCTATATAAGGTAAACAATCGATGTGGAAAGCCAATGGTTTGCCGTTCGGAATATGATTTACTTTCATGGTGGGTGCTCCACATCTATTTTCAGGAGGCTAATCCAACGCGCCAAGAGGCGAACCAACGAGCCTCACTCTGCTGGTTGTCCGCCAAGCGTGGCCAGGGCGCGCCAAGTTGGCGCGTAAAGGCCTGGATCTAATGCATCTGACACTATCGATTGTGGATATTGATGTGTAAATCATTGTAAATCTATAAATATCAATATATATATATATATCATATATATGTATGATAGTCATGAGGGATAAATATCAATCTATGTACCACTATACATCTATCTATACATTCGTCATGTATGTAGTCCTTCCGGCTGTGAGATCGCAGCCACCAGCTACCTTTGGACGACTGGCTGGTAGCTGGTGGTTTCAACCTATCTGAAACATGTGAGTCAGTTGGGCTTCCCCCCAACCCAAATCCGGTTTTATGAACAATCTTTGAAACCCTGAAACCCCCAACCAAATGATATTTTGGAGCCCCCCATTTTAGGAACCTGCTAGATCTGTTTTAGCCTCCAAACAGTCTTGCCTGCGGCGCTAGCGTTCTAGCGGCAGATTGTGCCATTGCAATCAGGAGATCGGAATTGGAACGCTGCAGCGTTTGAGCCATGCAAAACATGCATGATTCCTAAATACATGGCCAATCCTAGATACCATGCACTGTTTATTTTTGTTGATTCCCGCGTATTACCATGTATATTCATGGCAAGAGATTAGAGTCTTTAAGACTCAAATCCAAGATCTACCCTCCACAAAACTCACTAAACTAACATAGCTATGGAAACCATAGTCCATTTATATATACAAGAAATGATAAACATTATGATTTACCTATGAAACATGGTGATTTTCCAGTTCGCAAGCTGTTAGTTGACCAGCAAATCATCCAATCCTCAAAAACCCTGGGGATCCCTGCGGAAAAGCGTTGTGCTCCCCCGGTGACGGCAAAGGTCTTCCCGCTGCCTCCATCTCCATGAAGTGTACATATGGAGTCCCCCCCAAAATAGTAGTAACTAATAACCGTAGCACTAACCATTAGTACAACAAAAAATCATATTGAATATATATATATATAACATCATGTAACTAAATAATTAAATTATATATGATTTTATGAGTTGGCTGCCAAACGCATTGCTATTACCATATTATACCATATTATTTAATATGATTCAAACAAACCATATTATTGTAATTATGGTAATTAGAGCAATAATATGGTAAACATATGTAAACATAATTATTAGCACTATTATGTTTCAATCATGTACCCTCTGGTAAACTAACATAACTATGGAACATCACCATTTTGAATAGGTAAATCCACTATAAATGGCCATTTTCAATAGCTATGTTAGTTTACCAGAGGGTAATTATAGTGCTAATCATCTCAATAGTGGCGCGCCTGTGGCCCCCGAGGCGATGAAGATGGCCTCGTTTACGCAGAGCCAGCGGGGGACGCACCGATACCTTCCATAGATCTGCAGAGTAAAAACAATTACTATCTGGATATATGGGTAAATACTCCATAAAACATATACTAATATAATATATACATTTTTATAATATATGCATTTATGGGTGATGTATTACTATATGGATAATGGATAATACTGGATATTACTACATGAATATATATATATATATGCTCCAGGTATATATATATAGTTACTATTATAACCTATTATATACTATATAGATCTATATGCTCCCAGGTATATGTATATATAGTTACCATCATATTTACTATTATACATCTATATGATGGTTTCCATAAGTTTATGATGGAAAATCCTCAAAGAAATGGATGATTTAGGGCTACCCCCAATTATGGAAACCCTCATATACATGGAGTGGTTGTCATGTGTCCACATTGCTGGTTTTGGAAATTGGTGACTTTCAAACTTTCAAGGTGTTCTTTACTAAGGACAAGAGTCTGTTGGTCGGAAGTTGCCAAGCAGTGCCCATACTTATAGATGTATAAGTGATCAAAAAACAACTATAGCTCCTTGCCTGCGAATCGGCATACAAATTTGCTCGCACGTCATGTGCTGAAGCTGACTTGAAAATTGAGCCATGTGGGCATGGGTCAAACATGGGCACTCGGAACAAAATGCATGTTCATCGTTTACATTTGTTTACCATAAATGCCATAAATGAACAAATACATGAATAAGAACAAATGAAAAGTAATCATGTATAATGCAATATTAGAATAAACATCAACAATAATATCTACATATACACATAATTATGTATATATATATACACAAATATATACACCAACAAAGTGCCTTTGAAAAAAATCATGACTCAACGGACAGTGCGGTTCCAAGTGGCACTCTGAAAGCTGTGCAGGGCGCTTCGCACATGGCCTCGCGCCTCGGTGATGGGCAGAGGAATAGACGATGTCACCGGGAAAGTCGTTACAAAATCGGTACAAATATATGAGTTCATTACTTATGGCATACTATATATACACATTAAACTAAACATTCTAAGGCATTATGAAACAGTAACTTAAGGATTACAATGGTAAAACATTCGGTAATATATAATAATACATATATATATATGAATATATATCTAGTGCCTCCATTACCTTCTTTTCTTTGGGGTATAAGAAAAAAACTTAGGTTTTTTCAAAAAGAAAGCTAGGTTTCTACTTTTTGCTAAAACTACGCCATGGGGCCGTACCTTAAAAAAAAAGGTCATTGGGTGTCTTGATGTAGCATAACCTCATGCATTGTCACTTGTCTCATGCATGACACATAGTTCACACTCATACGCATATACAAACACGTCACAGGATCTCTACTCCACCATGTTGCAGCACAAGGTGGCACAAATTTGCACTCTTGTCCCAAGCTTTCAGGTTAACACACCCCTCTTGAGGAACACCATGTAAGCGAATACAAAGTAAGGATCCAAGATTAGCTTTTGTCCGACCCCCAAAAGGTCCCGGGGCCCTGCGCGAAGAGCTCCAAGTTGTTCTGAATTTGCAACAGCGTATACCAGCACCAACTAAAAGTATGTTGTCAAAAGTTTGGTTCTTATGGGTGATCATACCGACCTGACTAAATCCATATCAATTCCAACAAAACATCAACAAAACACAACATCAAAATTAATGAAAAAAACCTAGGTTTTTCAAAAAATATATCCAATTATGTGTATTTTACGGGAATTATGGGTGTGATTATGGGTATGTTTAAATTTGGTTGCGGTTTTTCTCCATAGATTACGGGTGGTTACGGATTACGGGGCAATTCTGGGTAGAAAAGGTTTCAATGGCCTATGAAGCTAAGTTCCCAAAACTTAGACTCTATAAAATGTGATGTGTTTACCTTGGGGTCAGAACAACAACGTAATAATGTTGTTTTTGGGGTCAACGCCCCGAGGCGGGCGTGGTTTTTTCCACGTTTGTGCTCTTTGGCAGTATACGTGTTTAACGCTCTTGCCGACTGTAAGATGACGCTACCGAAGACACGTTGCCCAACTTTGTTGCTGACGTCTTGCTACCTTGACCGGGAGGGGGGGTGGGGGGGGATGATAACGTTCCTTTCGACTGTAAGATGACGCTACCGAAGACACGTTGCCCAACTTTGTTGCTGACGTCTTGCTACCTTGACCGGGAGGGGGGGTTTTGGGGGGGGGGATGATAACGTTCCTTTCGACCGTAAAGATGACGCCTCAATAAAAAGCTACTGATCTATGTGAGATCATGGCAATTTAGATTTGCACACCAGCATCAATACATCCAGACTTTGGGCAAGCTCTTCAAAACGAAGAATGCCGACTGAAAGAGCACTGAGGAAAAAAAGAATGCATTGAACCTCAAGCAGATGTTGCGGAATTGCAAAAGTTTTTTTTGGCATTTTGACCTCTTGCAGCAAACGTCAAAACATCATAGATCACAACCATAAAATACTGTAAATTACAGTGTAAAAAGGTGATTTTTGATTCAATCACCAAGTACACAATTGTAGAAAACCCACACCCGCCTCAAGGCGGTGTTCCCTTGTTTTTACACCCTTATCAGCCCCTGTAGTTGGTTTGATACCATCTTTGGGGTATTTCATTTGGTTTATATTGCAATCACCCTTTTCATGATTTCTATTCCCATCCAAGGTGACCTTTATTGGTACTCTAATGTTGCGGTTGTAGATCTTGTTAGGTGGAATTCAGCCATATTCTGCCTATTGAAAGTCGCCTAATCCCTACTCATCTGATCTCAGCATCCTTTAGTTTTGTGATCGGAAAAGCCCTGAGCCACTTGGCTTCAAGCGAAACTCCAGCTTGCTTGGATGAACCAACCCATGAATGGATACCTACTGAACCAATTCCTACTCCAGCTTATATAAAATCTGGAAGTTGGGGTTTGGAAAAAAAAAATGTTTATTTTTAAAAAACTTGTTTTTTTGTTGTCAATCAGAAAAAAACTACGTTTTCTATGTTCAACGCCCAAAAAAAGTAGTTAAAAGGTTCCGTAGGTGTGTATATATATATATATATATAATAAGTTATATATAAATAATCATATATATATAATATTATATATATGAAACTGGGTTGGAACATTTGATTACAAGCCACCCCGCTGGGTTGCACATCTGATTCTAACATCTGCACAGCCAGAAAACGATGTTTCGATGATGAATGTCCTGCTGGAAGTTGCATGTTTATTCTTTTCGCCTTTTCCAGATGTTAAAATGCGAGTTTTTTTGCATTGACTCAATGACTCAAATTGACTCCGTGACTGAATTTGCCCCTTACCACCCTTTAGACAAACTTGGGCAGTAACTGGCAGTAACTGTATCATTCCACACGGGTTCACGTATTTGCTCTCATTGCTGTTCGAGATTGAACAACTGTACTGCTGTATTACATTTGCCAATCTGGACCGAGAACACGGGTCCTCACCAATTGCAAAAAGTCCGATGGTAACCTACTTTCAATACACTTTTCTGGTGCATATGTCAGGATGGGTTGAACACCATGAGATTTGAAATGAACTGAATACCATCTACCCATTGTTCGGCTGTCCATCTACCCATTGATGGCGCTTAAGCTTTGACCCACATCCAGGTTGCATTATATGGTTGGATCTGAGTTCCATTACTTACCGTCTGTTTCAATACTTTGCTATTGAACATGGCCATTTACTTCGTTGATTTACCTATTCAAAATGGTGATTTTTCATAGCTGTTACAAACTGTTTGTATGTGTACCAGAGGCTAATACGATTGATATAGAACGCTACCTGAGGTCGCAGCGATATCCTGAAAGATCTTCTCCTGGCTGAAAGTGCTGGGTGCAGGAGCCATGGTAAGTGCTTCGTAAGCCACACATCAATGGGGTAAATCCCATGTAAAAAGTGTAGTACAAATATGGGGATTTTCTATAGAGATAATCCATGATAATCCTTTTCATAGAAAACTCCCAGGAATCGAAAGCACCGACCCAAACCACCAGCTAATCACTGGTAGAAATACCTAAGTACAACATAGTACAACTATGAACCAATAGTATGTCCCTTCCCAAGTGACGAATCGGGACGGCCTTTCCGAAAACCAAGCAGTACGGCGCTAAACCATTTCCACTCCCACTCTGGGAAAATGAGATAACATGAGTCTGTGCGCGTCTCGATACTTCAAGCTCCCAAAGTCCCAAAGCCAAAATGTTACCCTCTGGTTATTTAACATAGCCATGGTATAGATGGCCCATAGAAATAGATGCTTTACCTATTAATAGCATGGTGGTTTTCCATGGCAAACTATGAAATAACCAGAGAGTAATCAAATTGCCGGGATTTCTTGGTTCTCATGGCGCTATCTAAGATGCCCCCAAAGAGAGCCTGTGAAGTCTTTGGTGGAAACCTGGGGCAGGTTGATCTCATCCAACGATAAAAAGAGGATTTGCCGCTGCTATTTATAGTAACCCCCAACAAAAAGATAGAAAAAACCGGGAAATGATGGATCATATAGTTATTTTAACAGGATCATATTGCTATATGGATCATTAATGATGATACACCAAATATTCATTAATGTATCATTATTTTCAGTAGGACCTCAGTAGGATCTTTGGCTTTTCCACGGGGAAGGAATGGTGTGTACTTTGGCCCTCAAGCATCTCCAACCTATGTGGGACCATCTTCAGCCAATGTTTGAACCCCCAAAGGGAAAACATCCTTAGTGGGACCAGCAGTTGATTTTGAGATCTGACCCTCGTTTGGAGCCTCCCAAATTTTCGAAAAAATATGTGTTACCCTCTGGTAAACTAACATAACTATGGAACATCACCATTTTGAATAGGTAAATCCACTATAAATGGCCATTTTCAATAGCTATGTTAAATTACCAGAGGGTATTGCCAACTTGGAATCCCGGGCCCGCACCATCATGTGAAAAACCGTCACGCTTTTACAGGATTTTCCTCCAAAAACAACCATGACAATTTTCCTGTAACTTTTCCTGAATTGCGTCTTTTTTCCCGACTGTCAGCGTACTGATAGGTCTATGCTGGGTGCATTTAAATATCTAGGTGTAATTTGTCCGAAATATCCCCATTGTCTACCAATTACCGCCATCCCAAATATATTCGTACCACTTAACTAACAACTAACTACTATTTGAAACAATTCTTTAACCCCCCCACCTATAGAGTGATCCTGCTACTAATGTAATACACACACATACTGTTATAAGTAGTAATGTATCGATATTTGCATGTTCTTTCCCCACTAATACCCATTACTGTTGTATGAATTTGGGGTTTACTTCATGATTTTCCACTGCCAAATTTGATGGCTCCAAAAAGAATCGGCCACGTGGCACGTAGTCGAAAGCGATCACGTCCTCCTCACCCGTGCCTTGGATGCGGGGTGTCTATTAGGTTATTTTGATGAACGTTTGTGAGTAATTTGGGGGGATGGATATACCACACACACACACACACTGTTGATTTTTTGGAAGTGAACTGCAATGACGATGTGGTTGTACACGCCTGGTAGAATTCCTGAGTCCATCATCCTTGATAAACAGGTGAAAGCAGGTCCAAATCATTAATCAGCAAGGTGGTTCTTGGGTTAGCCACATCCCATCGCGGAAAAGGAAAGACATGATTAGGCAGGTACGTCGATCCAGCGTCCCGGATCGATATCACAGAATGTCATAGCCGTCTTCGTTGGCTGCAGAACTATGACATTCCCTGCAGCCCCCTGCTGTTAAGTAGTCTTTGGTGCATGAATTCGGAGAACATAACGTGCATAGTCTTTGGCGCATGAATTCGGAAAACATAACGTGCATAGTCATCAAATGTCCAGTTGTAGTTTTCTGCATGTGAATAGCAGTGTACACACACACAAAGGCCTTCACATGGAAGGCAAATTCTGAAAGACTGCCTAATGAAGCAAGCAGATCACGTCAATATAAGCAACGTTGAACTCATTCGAAAATGAAATTCATGCTTGGGATTAGGTGTATACGCACCTGCATCTTCATGGACAGGTCTTTCCAAAGAAGGCACTCTGAGGTAGCGGCGTGTAGAGCAAGTAGACCACGTAGATCAAAGAAATCGCGATAAATAAAGTCGAAATGGAAAGGACATGGTTGGATTAAAAGGTGTTAATTGTTATTGGCGAAATGATTGAATATGATGCAATCCAAAGTTTGTATTAGCGAAATAATTGAATATGATGCAATCCAAAGTTATCGTGCCCTTGTCCCTCACGAACATCAATTGTTTGTTGCAGATTGCGCAACACTTTGCGTGTGGAGAGCGGTATACACATATATACATATGTCTTCATAAGGAAGGTGACACTTCTGGGTTGCCGACGCGTGGAACAAATAGAGCAAGGACAGTATGACTTTGGAGTGTTAAAAAGTGAAGAGAACTGCACTTCAATTGAAACATGGATACCACGAAATGAAATGGACACAAATCGATTGTATTCTTGTTCTTCCACAAATCCGTTTAAAATGAACGTTTATTAGTTGTCTATGGACGAAGGGCAGAATGCGCCAAAAACTGAGATTCCGACGCGTAGAACACGTAGGTCAGGTGGTTGAGATAGAACGCAGTGATGAAAAACAGTAAATGGATTGATTAAATCACAGTTATATAACACTTAAGCCAGTGTGTTGCAGTACCGTGAACCATATAGAGTAGAACAACGGACGTAAACTAAGCCGGAGAACTGAATATAATCAATTACGGAAAAACAAATATCACACTGCGAGCCAGGCGTTTTGGGTGGGATGTTGCAGAAAAACGTTTGAACAGTTGCAACAGTTGCAAGGTTGCAATTGGAATGAAAAGCACAAAACCAAAATGCAGCTACAACGGCTTCTTTTCAGTCAAACGGTGTCAATTGTTGTCTGGTCCATTTGTGTCCAAAACTGCGGGCAATCGAAATGATCTGAGGAATGCATTCGCGGTATCTAGGTGCCTGAAGGGTATGAAGGGCGAGCAGGTCTTGAACTTGAGGAAGTTGAAGTTCACGAGGAAAAGTATTTTGTAAAATTAGACGTGTTCGAGCAATGAGACCTGTATACATGGAGCTTCTAGGTCCAAAAACCAGCGGAAGTGCGTATCACTGTGTCCCAAGGCAATACCGATGTAATGGTACGTTGATGTGGATTGATGTTGAATCCAAGTGCATCAAAACCCTGTACTTCTTCCAAAAGAATGGGCGAGGTGTAGAAGTCCAAATTCCAAAAGCAAGTTTGTCGAAGGCGATCAGTGAGTTGTTGTGGACCCAAAAGCAGACGGTTGTCAACATAACGAAAGGAACTAAAAAGTTTTCCAGAAAAAATGGCTTGTCCAAAAGGCATGCTGTAGGTGTGCTCTCGATGTAGGGCAACTAGTGAACATACAACCGGGGCCCACTGTGAGCCCATAGATGCGCCTTGTATCTGTCGGTAGCTAACACATCCCAGTGAAAATAAGCTATGGCGAAGGAGGTACTTCACAAGACTATGGTCTCAATTATTGGATTGGTTTGAAGTGTTCGCTCAGTAGAAAACCTCGAAAACATGAATCAAGATCGTACACACATCTGCAGCGATAAGGCCCCTACCGTGTTTGACATTCTGCTTGGTTCGAGCATCACAAACTATGTGTGTCCGCACACTTTTGTGATAGGTCTTCCTATATTCTAGATCTCTTCAAATTGATCTCTTGTCCTCACAATTGTAAATTGATTTGAAAGAGAAGGTGGAAACTCATAAAATGACAGTAAGAAGTAGGGTTCCCGGCCAATAAAATCCTTCGGCACATGGCCACCTTCGCCCTATGGGCACCATTCGCCCGTTGGGCACCCCCTTCACATGGAAGGCAAATTCTGAAAGACTGCGTGTAGAGCAAGTAGACCACGTAGATCGAAGAAATCGCGATAAATAAAGTCGAAATGGAAAGGACATGGTTAGATTAAAAGGTGTTAATTGTTATTGGCGAAAAGATTGAATATGATGCAATCCAAAGTTTGTATTAGCGAAATAATTGAATATGTTGCAATCCAAAGTTATCGTGCCCTTGTCCCTCACGAACATCAATTGTTTGTTGCAGATTGCGCAACACTTTGCGTGTGGAGAGCGGTATACACATATATCCATATGTCTTCATAAGGAAGGTGACACTTCTGGGTTGCCGACGCGTGGAACAAATAGAGCAAGGACAGTATAACTTTGGAGTGTTAAAAAGTGAAGATAACTGCACTTCAATTGAAACATGGATACCACGAAATGAAATGGACACAAATCGATTGTATTCTTGTTCTTCCACAAATCCGTTTAAAATGAACGTTGATTAGTTGTCTATGGACGAAGGGCAGAATTCGCCAAAAACTGAGATTCCGACGCGTAGAACACGTAGGTCAGGTGGTTGAGATAGAACGCAGTGATGAAAACAGTAAATGGATTGATTAAATCACAGTTATATAACACTTAAGCCAGTGTGTTGCAGTACCGTGAACCATATAGAGTAGAACAACGGACGTAAACTAAGCTGGAGAACTGAATATAATCAATTACGGAAAACAAATATCACACTGCGAGCCAGGCGTTTTGGGTGGGATGTTGCAGAAAACGTTTGAACAGTTGCAAAGTTGCAATTGGAATGAAAAGCACAAAACCAAATTGCAGCTACGACGGCTTCTTTTCAGTCAAACGGTGTCAATTGTTGTCTGGTCCATTTGTGTCCAAAACTGTTGATCTTGAAGACGTTGTTGTGCCAAATTGGATTCCACTGTCATGATGCGATCCATGAGATACACTATGGGTCCTGCATGATCAATACTCTGAGCTTCCAATCTATATTCTCCTACAATGCCTTTGACAGTCAACGATAATCCGGATGGTGAAGTAGGCGTACGTCTTTCCGCATGTTCAGCTGGCAACGTGATGGGAACCGGTGATACTCCTGATTTTGCTGAGGACTCCGCGATAGGTTATATCTTGGGGGTTGCTTGGTGAGGTCCATGTTCAACTGTACGTGAAGGATGTGAGGGGGGAGGTGAAGGAAGGGGACCGGGCGGAGTCTGTAGAACTGGTGCATGTCCGGGAAATGGGGAAAATGCAGGTGTCGCCCGTGGTACAAATGGAGCTGCTGCACACGGTGAAGACAGTGATACCATCGGTTGTGACGGAAGATACGCAACGGTAGCACTCAACGGCGGTCCATTGGCAGCTTTGCTTCTTGCATGGAGTTCCATATCGCGAAAAAGTCTGCTGAACACGAAAGAAGAAATGAGTTGTTCAAGAATTGTCAGTACATTTAGCGCATGGTGTGTTATGACGAATGACATGTAGAAATGAAAAGCAACAAATTGACTTAACATGTCAAAGAGCTTGCTATGAGCCAAGGGAATGCATTACCCAGATTGAAAACGCATCAAAATCATGTGTCAACTTGCGCATGATCGAAAACATGAATCAAGATCGTACACACATCTGCAGCGATAAGGTCCCTACCGTGTTTGACATTCTGCTTGGTTTGAGCATCACAAACTATGTGTGTCCGCACACTTTTGTGATACTCATAAAATGACAGTAAGAAGTAGGGTTCCCGGCCTTTTAATATCCTTCGGCACATGGCCACCTTCGCCCTATGGGCACCATTCGCCCGTTGGGCACTCCTTCGGCTTATGCCACCCTTCAATTGTCCTTGACCCCCCTTCGGCTATTGCCATCACTTCTAGCAGCCCCTATGGCTACTCGCTCAACTTCTGCCTCCGTAGAGGGCGGATTCGGCACACTATGCCAAGATTGTTCTTCCCCATTAGGGATGATAAGGTCATGGTCTGTATAGGACACATGACTAATGCACACTGTTGATTTTTTGGAAGTGAACTGCAATGACGATGTGGTTGTACACGCCTGGTAGAATTCCTGAGTCCATCATCCTTGATAAACAGGTGAAACCAGGTCCAAATCATTAATCAGCAAGGTGGTTCTTGGGTTAGCCACATCCCATCGCGGAAAAGGAAAGACATGATTAGGCAGGTACGTCGATCCAGCGTCCCGGATCGATATCACAGAATGTCATAGCCGTCTTCGTTGGCTGCAGAACTATGACATTCCCTGCAGCCCCCTGCTGTTAAGTAGTCTTTGGCGCATGAATTCGAAAAACATAACGTGCATAGTCTTTGGCGCATGAATTCGGAAAACATAACGTGCATAGTCATCAAATGTCCAGTTGTAGTTTTCTGCATGTGAATAGCAGTGTACACACACACACACCCCGACACCCACACACACACACACCGACACCGACACCCACACACACACACACACCGACACCCACACACACACACCGACACCCACACACACACACACGACACCCACACACACAAATATATATATATAATATATATTTATATAATTATATGTACGTATATATATATGTATGTGTGTGTGATCATAAGCTAATTGATTTTTTTGCGGGGGGAGTTTGGAGTGAATTGAAGATTTGTTTCCGTTGCAATACACAACGACCTAACTCCTGACCGGACACACCTCCTGTTTCCATCCCTCGGGTGCGGTGCCTGCGGACATGCCGGAGTCATCATATGGATCTCCACTGGAATCACTGCTGGGCACCTGTCAACTGCAGCGTTGGGAATTAGGCATTTTAATCCATTCCCAACGCTGCAGCCATGACCAAAGGATTCAGTGGAGACTGAGATGATGAAACTTCAACATCAACTCAGAACTGGCGGCCAAACCTGTAAAACAACCTATGCACTTTTTTGAGGAAAATCATTCGAAACATCGCAGCCGGAACTGCATTCGAACCAGCTATCCCTGCATCCCAGGACATCCGACCTCTATCTTCACCTGGGTGGAGTCATACTGAAACTTGCTGTCCAGTTGACTTTGAGGATGGATGATGCAATAGCTCTGCATCGGTGCCATCGGCCTGGCTCCGGTCTTCAATTGCTGTTCAATTCCCCTGAAAGTTTTTAGCAGGCATGGCATGAAACATGTGTTTTATGACTCTTGAATAGTCTTGATATGTCTTGAGGTCATTTCTGGGTGTACTTGAATTCCTCCTCCCTTTTTCGTGCTACCAACAGCATCGTGCCTCCCCGAAATCCACCAAACACTTGGACAGTGCGCGACTTTCACGGCTCTGAATTCGTTGAACAAAAACACAACTGTCAACGTCGCCAAAATGTCAGTGCTGAAGCTAAGCCAGCTGGTTGGTCTTAATGGATGCTGGGGTGGTTGGTCACCTGTGATCCAAGCATCCAAGCTCCAACTGCAGTAGACTCGTTTGGAATTGGTCTGATCTGTGACCAGGCCCATCTAGGTCTTATTTGTTGTAACCCGCGTGCTACTATGTTTGACGTGCAGCTAGGAGCCACCACAGCCAAGCGTTGAAAGGTGGATAGATCCACTACAGAAAACTAGGTTTCTGGGATCTTTCTGTATCAGGGGAAATTCGGAAAGGATTGCAATGATTGCATGGTGGAGAACGCACATCGTTTTATAGAAGAAACTTCAATGGGTCTTATCATATAATATCATATATAGATCATATAGGGTTGATCAACAATGCACCATGATCCTTGCAACTGGGCAACTGGGGAACCACAAAAACCATAGGGCAACAAAGAGACAGCCATAAACATGTCTTGCTACCCACAAATATCATCTCCCTCATTGTCATTCCACAACTGTCCTTAGGGGACTCAACTTCCGGGGAAGTTACACATTGACTCATTGACGATCCCAACCACCATTAGTAGCCATGTTTAGAATTATTTATACCATCTGGTTATTTAACATAGCCATCGAGAATCCTGATAAATGGAGGTTTTAATGGGAACATCATCTATAAATGGGCCATGTTCCTTGGCTACGTTAAATAACCAAAGAAATCCAAAGGGTATATGCATTTCTATTTTGGGTTCCTATGCTGGATTACTTCATAATAATATGTCATAATCCCTTTTAAACCAAGCAGGTTTTCCCACAATCTTTCACCACCACCACCAGGCTGAACTGGGCCTTGCAAATCAATCATCCGCTAAAATTGGTGGCATACAACTGGAGATATCCACAGATATCCCAGATACTGGGCAACAGCAATGGTAGTGTTAAGATCCCTACCCCCTTAGGGGGGGAGGGGGCCAAAAAATGTAACTTACATTTATGCGGGTTGCTGTACGCGAAAAAATGTAAGTTACATTTTTTGGGGTTGCCAAAAACAAATCATATTACATTTATTTTTCTTGGAACGCCCATCAATTTAACTTACATTTTTAAGGCTAACTAGTCCAACTTACATTTTCTGCGCTGTCCAACCCCAAAAATCGTAATATTACATTTCTGGAACCCTCAATTATCTTGGGAAACCAGAGGATAGATAGGGGGTAAGGGGGGGGCAAAAAATGTAACATGGTACGCGGCGCGTGCTAACTTACATTTATTTTGAATGGGGGGGAGGTCTAAAAATGTATGTTGTCCACGCGGCGCGTGTCCAACTTACATTTCTGGCCCCCCACCCCCCCGAAAAACCATGTTTTGGACCCACGCGGGGGGGGTACAACTTACATTTTTTTACCCCCCACATCCCCCTACAAAAATGTAAGTTACATTTTTTGGCCCCCCCCGGGTCAACAGGGGGTTAAGGGGGTGGGGATGTGTTAAGCAGTTATAGCCCCAAAAACGAAGAACTTCAATCCACCAATATTTCGTAAACCAGATTAACTCAGTAGGATTTCTTAGATTTCCGCATCTTTTTTTTGTTGGGGTGCTATATCCCTATTCTTGCTGATGGCTTGCCCCTTTTTTCGCGCGGCCGCGCGAGGCCGCGCGGCTAATCCATAGCCTCCAAGGCCTCGGTTGTGGAGGCCTGGGAGCCTCCAAGGCCTCTTCAATGACAGTGACATGTCTGTAACATATGTAACATACACAAATGTCCGAATATATAGTAGAACATACTTACTCATCAGATCTCATCAGTAGTATATTATATATATATATACATATATACTATTATATACTAATCATTACTGATCATGATCATGCACAGTAACAAAATCATGTAATGTGACTAAAACATGGTAAAACGACTTCATAAACCATCCCCAGTCATCACCATAAAAAGCTGGCATAAACTTACCATTCCCAGTGCCCGGCCGTGGGATAACCGGCTTGCGACGGGCTACGCAACTGGACCTGGAAGGGTTCCGACAGCTTCTCCGGCGGAGCGGCGGAGTTTTCATCCACTGTGAATCTCTGGTGAATCTATGGTGAAATAATGGATAAATCCATGGAACATGATCTGGTTGAAACATGATCAAAGAGTATGGCATGTATATATATATATGGGATTTACAAGGATGTAAAAGCATAAACTCTATTATATATGTATATATATATATATATGCAAATTTTAACCATCAAACATATAGATTAAACAATTGTGGGGGAGTTCACTAACATATGGGGATTGAAGAATTGTGGGGGAGTTCACTGATCTAACAAAGCAAGGGATTGGAACCAATTTAACCAGCAACAGAAATCAGGATACCCCAGTTTACGGCCATGAGACTGGAACAATATGGGATCTCGTCTGGTCCGGCTTCTCCGAATTCATTCCTCTAAAAAAAAAGACCTGGAAAAGTAGAGAATCATAGGAACATTCTCTTTGATAGGACCAAGAAGAGTGGTGGATGACCGTGGATGTACATCATCAAAAAGATGCTTGGTGGTTGAACAACCCTCTTCAACAACAATTGTATTGAGATATAGCCCGCTGAGGACCATCAGGAAAGCAACAATATAATGGAAAATCATACCACACAATAAAAGCCAATTAAAAGCCACATATCTGATGGTGCAACAGTGGAAGTTTATCATATGCATCAACCATCACGTGCGTCTGTCTTGCCTGACTCCTCTCACCAGTCGCGTTTCGTGCATTCTGTGCGTTTCAGAAGAAACTGAAGGAAGTTCAGCTTGTTGTTGAATTTCAAGATGCAACTTTTTTCACCCATGACATTCATTGACATTTGGATGTCCCGGCTGAAATCAATTTGAGGTTCCCAAACTCTATCGCCAAGTCTTCATTTTGGATATTCCCTCTGTGCCCATCACCACCTGCACTATCCAGTCCCCTCTGGGTGCATTGACGCTGGCCGCAAGGAATGCCTAAGTGGAGAGACATCAGAAGCCCAAAAAACACGAGGTGCCTTTTCCGCCAGCCCTCAGTGAAACAGTCCCATTTCTTCATGGAAGCTATGGACAGCAAATCCAATGGTTGGAGCCTCCTGGAAAACCACCCATGGAGCTGATACGCTGGTACCTTTCCCTATACAGTATATATATAATATATATATATACATACATAAATATGCATATTATGTTTATATAAATAAAATACACATACATACACAAATTTTAAATACCATCTCATAATCTACCTACAAATTCAGCCAAGTGATCTCAAGGGCGTATGCTGTGAACATATCAGAATCAATCCTTCAACTATATGTAGATGGTGTGGGATAGATTGTGATAGGTCCTCAGCGGGAAGATCTGCGAAGGCATGTCTCTGCGGAACCAACCTGCAGCGCTTTGAAGGCTGCTCGATCTGCGACTTCCCATTCATCGTCGCTCGACAGCTTCTCAAGCCTGGGCACGTTCAGATCTCGAGGTTGTCTACCCACCACTACAAGTGGATTGGTGTAACACTTACCAATTCAATGGAAAAAAACACTTGGTCCATGTTCGTCCCCACGCCTGGGATTCAAACATTAAGCTTCTTTTTCAGATACCTTGTCAGTGGGAATTTCAGAACCCTAAAATGGAGGTCTGTACCACAAAAATGTTGTGTTGATCTCCCAATTATATCGCCGGACTTGCACTTAGAACGTCGTTTGGAAAACACACATAAGCCTTCACAGCGGGGATGTTCTAAGTATGCACTTAAAACATCAGCTGAAAAGCATACCCGGACTGTACACTTAGAACACACTATATATATATGTATATGTGTGTGTGTGTGCTAAGTGTATGTCCGGCCAAGCTTACACTAAACTAAAATAGGGGTGGTCTTCAGCAATCATCAGTCTTATATTAACATATATTGATACATCTTACAATACATATAAGTACACATAATTACACGCATATGTATATATATATATATTAATATTATATATAAACATAGATGTCGAGCGAAAACTAAAAACATTTTTTCACCAAGGTATTAATGGTATTTATATGTATACAGGTAAGCATAAGTATGACTATACATGCACATTTACACAAAATCAAGGGATGTTCTAAGTGTTGATAATCTGGATGTTCTAAATGAGCCCTTAGAACATTAACCAATGTTCTAAGTGTAGGGTCCGTGGATTTCTAAGCGTAGCTTTGAACATTTTGGAAAAATGATCTATGTGATTGTCCATCAATATACGTGAGATATTCCCAAGTTGCCATAGTTCGAGCTCAGGTCCCATTGATAGAGATCCAACTCTAAGTCACCCGCAGTCTTTCGATGCTCTTCGACCTGTGACGTCAGGTCGAAACAGGGTGGGTTGGATATACATTGCCTTCAAGAGCACAAAAATGGGGGTAGAATCTGAAAAGTCAAACCATTTTAATGTGTAGAGTTACCCTTGCAAAAGATTTGCTCGTGGGAATATTTATCGGGGGGTACAACAACTTGGAATCATCTTTCTGGGATACAGTATGGGCCACATGCTAATGCTTCGCTTTAGGCAGCTGAAAATCCATGGAACCTGGTTGCTAATCTCAACTGCATCATGAATTTCAATCAACATACTTGGCGGTGCAGTTGGGATTATGAATCGGTGTGCCATTGGATTTCAACACTCCAATATCATCCAATATCTATAACCATGGTTATTAAGTCGGGCTATGATCCAACATAGGAAAAAACATCGAAGCGTTTTAATCTATCAACCGCGATATGCAAATTTAAGTATGTACCTTGGGGCAAACTAACATAGATGTGGAAAATCACCCTCTTTATATAATAGGTAATGCATCCATAACTGGGCCTTTTGCCACATCCAGAGATTACCTTCCCCTAAGGTAAGTCCCAGTTAAGCCCAAGGTTGGTGGTTGTGAGGTCTTACCTATGTTTTGATATGTGGAAGAGGCCCATGACTGCAGAAACCTTGGTGGAATGTGGTTTGATCATGTGAAAAAAAATGGTTATCCACACTTTCAGTGGGTCGAGGTGTGTTTATCCTTTGGATGACCGGAGGAACAATAATGTTATGTGATGATTAAACTATAGTGACTACAGTTTTCTTAAATCATATTCTCTTCTCTGCAGTCTACCTCTAGATCCATTTGGCATCAAAAATGTGGATTCGACGTTGCTAAGTTGCATAGCCATCTGCTGATATTATGGTATTCACCCAAATTGAATTGACCATTGAATCAATTCCCATGTCTATTATGTTCACATGTCCAATTTCAGATACCTTTCTCTCTCTCTCTATATTATATATAGACGCAACATATTTGTAATTATATATATTTATATATACATGTTTTTGTTGCCAGGGCTTCTCGGTAGGTCAATACCCGAATTTATAGCCAAAAAAATGAGTTAGTACTAAATTACCCATTACCAGTTGGTATTCCATATTTTGATGGCTAAATCCCCATGAGAGATCCCAAACTGCTTGGAATATCGCTCCTAAGACCCCAAGCACTGCGTAGCGCTTTCGCTCATGGGCCACACGTACCAAGGCCTGACGAAATGGGATGAAGTCATAGAGGATGGGCCCCCCCCGTTATAAGTTGGTCTATAAACCATTATAACCCCCATTAACTATAGTTATATCGTGTTATATCTACCATAAACCATAGTTAAGCCACTTACAAGGCAACTTAGCTATCTTGGGGGCCCCATCCTGTAGGTTTTGAATAATTAGTAATGTATATGGTGTATTAATGGTCTGAGAATGGTCCATAAATGAGTCATATATAGTATTTGAAGTATTTGTTTATTATGGTATATGATTGGTCTCATGAATGAATCATCGTATTGTTTTGTTTTCTGAATCACGTTGAAGTCATAGAACCACACGGCGACTATGCTCCATGCATGGTTCGGCCATTTTGGGATAGTCCAATTCTATAAGTATCATTCCAGTGGCCTTCCACGTGAGGCCGTTATCATTTATAACATACATAATTACCATTAATATTACTATTGTCATTGTTACTAAATTCTGATTGCTTTTATTTGTCTAGGTAAATGACTGTGATTCTTATTTTTTTTGAACTAGATGATTTCCGCTAGAAAATCATCATGTGCGATTATGACCTTGTTCTTTTGCGGCCGCTTGAATTTGCCCAGAACAATTTAAACCCCAACATAATGGACTCTGTTGATTGCAATAGGGCGGTGCCCCACAAATGGTGACAATTCCTTGGTACCAACCCTATCAGCAATCTGGGTGTGTATTGGTCCTGGGTTGACATGATTTACAGTAATCCATGGGAAATCATGGAAAATCCCTAAGTTTTTAGGAGACATTTGTTTATATTTGTTTGTTGTAATTGGGTGTGATGGGAACTCCTCTTCTTTAACGTGAAACTTGATTTGACCCCACCTACCGCGCAGTCACATGTTTGTTTTGGAGGCCGCTGCTGTACACTTGGCAGACTTGGAGCCTCATGGATGTGTGCCAGGCTCTATCGATGGCTGTGATGGAAGTCAACCGCTGGAAAATTGATGTCATATCCCTTCCAACCAGAAATGCAACAAACAAAAACCAGCAGAGTTCCCCTCTTGTTTTGCCTGGGTAGCTATGCATTCTATCTTTTTCTTTTCAAGAAGGTAAGCTTGGCACACAGCCATGTGAAAACTGTACAGTGGCACCCCCTTCAGGGCTGGTTTGCGGCCACGAGTGTTTTTCGAACTCAGCTTTCGCCTGGATCTTCGGTGGAGGCCCTTGCGACCTCGGCATCATACTATGGCGCACCCCCAGTTATAAATGGATTATAATCCCATTAATTATAGATACATCACCTATAAACCATAGTTTTTGGATTTAGAAACCAACTTAGCTAACTATTGGTGAAATATATCAATCCGTCAATATCCACTTTTATTCCATCTTGTTGGTCATATCCCCAGTATTTCTCCAAATTGATGGCTGAAAATCCAACTTGTTTAAAATAGAATGTTTGGTTGTTATTCAATGTCTTGGAATATATTGGATAAATCAAGATTCACCAACCTGAAAAGATCCAACCAAGGTAAAGGGATGTTTCCCCTAGACCTAACCATCATTACAGTGACTTCGCAGTGAGGCTGTTATAACTTACAACAAAATAGTTGATATATTTATCATCAAATTCCCATTTGGTTGGGGACGAGGTCGAATCTATCATATTTAATGTTGGCATACTTTGGCTGATACTTCATCCACGAATAATTAATGTTCCCTGGGGGCTAACTACCATTGATATAGGGAACACAATTGGTTTCCCAAGCAAAAAAAATCCAAAGGGTACTCACATCATATTCAGTTACATTAGGTTTACCACAAAAAGCCTGTTCGTACATGTTTTTCCATCGGCATCCCCATTGTATCCCCCTTATATCATCATTATGTTCCCTTTATATCCTCAAAACATGGTTGTTCATTTCATCACATACGGCAATTAATCATACCAAGCTGGAAATTATGGGATTTTTTCATCATCCGCCCTCATACCATCCTGAAAACAATTTTTGGCATCTCTTTGGGGGCTAGTTCTGCCAACTGGTTCGTAGTACTCAATGAATTTTTACTAGCCAAAATAGGGACAAAAAAACATCCTTTTCCCGTAATATGCCATAATATTCTCAACAACTATATTAACTATATGATACTATATGTACTATCATTTGGAAATCCAGCCATATCCCACTGTAGCTATAAGTTGGTGTATACTTCCACGTAGCTCCAGTCAAAATTACCATAGACCCTATAGTTATTGGAGTTATGTGCACCAAGTTACCCATTATATCCCATTAAATTAAATCCCATCGAGTTACCATTTATCCCCTTCATAATGGAACTGAATTACCCTCTTGTTTTTCAACCATAGCTATAGAAAATACAGTAATCATGTTCAAATATTCCCAATAGGTACATCATCATAAATCGTCAATTTCTATGGGTCATGTTCCAGAGCTATGTTAAATAACCAGGGGGTACTCTATCCATTGAATCAGTAACTTTTAAACATATTTTACAATCCCATTACCCTGCCTCGCGGGAGCGCGCCCACCGGCCCTTGCGCTGCCTCTGGCGGGGCTATCGGCGGACCCAAAAAATGTGGTCTAAATGTGGCAATAAATGCTGGCATATAGATAGATCGATACAGATAGATAGATGGATCGATCGATCGATAGATAGATATACACATCGATCTATCTGATCTTGTCTAATCTAATCTTATCTTATCGCATCTTTCCTATCCAAAACTTTATAGTCCTATTATTCATTCATTATTTTGCTATTTTCCTAGTACTTAGTATTCTTCTTATTACTCATGAGTCAGTTTGTTGATTATTGTTTTATTTGTTTATTGATCTACTTATTTGTATAATTACTGTACATCAAGCCGATGGGCTATATTCATTGTCACTACGTACCATTAGAATATATCAGGATCATAAATGATTGGTTTCATACTTTTCTGTTTTGAACTATCTCTGCGAATGTGATTGCCAATAAGACCATAAAATAAGCATCTGGGAATGATGATTGATTTCACATTCCGGTAAACAATATTCCATGCATATTCCATTCACACAAATGGAACTATTTGGTATGACAAATCCCATTGCCTTCTGGTAAACTAACATAACTATGGAACATCACCATTTTTAATGGGAAAATCAACTATTTCAATGGGCCATTTACAATAGCTATTTTGACATAACCAGAGGGTAAACCCCTACGAAAGCCAAGCCTTGGCTCCGTCTCAGGACTCGCGACGGAAATGCGAGCGGCGTCGACGGACGTCGCCGCCTTGGAGGGTGCTGAAAATAAGCCCAGATTTTTTTGAGATGGCTGGGTAAATCGGAACTATATGTTGGGATAATATATGATAATATTACAGAATATTACGGATATTATGGGATAGTTACAGATATTATATTCTGGGATAGTTGGATTGATCAGGTAATATCCAAATAAATCAGGGGATCATGTTCGGCTGGGATAATTCACCGAATCCCAATATACTCATTCCAGATATATTCTATATGAGGATGCACTCTGGATCGTCTGGCAATTTCAGACAGCTATGGAGGATCACCATGTTCAATTTATGGTAAACTACCACGGGGTATAGTGATGTGATAATGAAATGGATTGATTTACTACCCAAACTAACAGCTCAATCCTGGAGCTGGCGGTTGGAAGACAAGTCGTTCCTTCAAAAATTGGTGAGTCTGCGTGATTCTGAGGTTCTACCTATGTTGTTTTGGGGGACGGCAACCATTATGGAAATTGGGAGACAAAAAGTCCACATTGGCGAAAATAGAGGAGGCATGGTTGAAGTTTCGAAACACAAGCAGGACGCCTTTTATTTATTTATTTGTACGTATAGCAAATGAAACATGTTCATGCATGTCCCCTCATCCAAGTCAGGGGATTCAACCAATGATAGCTTAGCCGGTTGTTTGTATAGCATTTGTCATCAACCTATATCGACCTGGTGGTCCAATATGGTCCAATGGGAGGTGACCCCCTTCAACTAGGGCCAAACCACTGGGCCTCCTTTCCCCCTTTCCCCCTTTCCCCATACAAGTAGAGTGAATATTAAACTGGGGGGCTTTAGTTATTTTCTTTCCCTTGGCATGTTGGACAGAGTAATTAGCGAGGACAACTCCTGCTTCAAAAATTCGCACTGAGTTTGGATACTGAAGCAGGAGGAATGAGCACAAAAGTGATGACGTCACAAAATAAAAGCCACTACCAAACAATGAAGTAGATATATCCCATATATCCTATGCCATCCTCTTAAACATCCCCTTTCGAAGTCATAAACTCTTTGAGTCACAACTGGCGGTCTCCATAGGTCCCCTGCAGCGGTTGACTCTTCAACCTCTGCACCTTGTTGCGATGGAGCCGACATGAAGGCGATATGAAGTGGATGGGAATGATGCAACCAGAACACCTATCAACAAAATATGGAAATCCATGGGAGTTTCCCGGAAATCATCTACTTGTACTTTCAGAAAGTGGATTTTCCCGCCGTTTACTGGAGAGCAATTGCAAATCCAAAATGTACAATTTTGATCAATTTTGTCTATTTCGATGGATTGGTGTAAGGGAAAACTACGTACAGGAAACCATTGTTTTACCATCAGTTATGAGGGTTTCAGAAAATGTTGCCAGAAAGCAATTCTGGGAATATTTGCTGCTTCATGGTTTGAAACAACAAACACGGAGTTCAGCCATATGGCCCCATGATGAAAACATGTTCCTCTTGTGCAGTTGGATGATTGAAACTACCAAGGAGAACTGATCAGCAACTGAAGATTTCGTGGGATACCCCAAGTAGAATACCAGGGGCACATCTAAAAACATCTGCTGTTTTTGGGTCCGAAACAAATCATCCATTCTATTCCCATTCTTGATGGTTAATACCCCGTTCCCTATGGATCCGAACACCTCCTGAGAAGGTACTTAACCCCCCAAATCATGATCCAAAGACTTTCTAAGAAGGCATTCTTGGATCCATAGGGATTTATATCCAACATGTTTTTTTGTTCATCCATACCCATCTTCAACATGTCCACGTCTTCCCTACAGGACCTGGCAGCTCTTCACCATCAGCATGTGGAAGCGAGAGGGGCTGTTCGAGGATGTCCTGGTGGCTACAGATTTCTCTGAAAATTAGCTATTATAGTACTCCCCCAAAAATAGATTAGTGAATCCTCACTATTATTGTAGTGGGGATATACTTTTGGGCATCGTTTTGGGAATGACAATAAGCAGCGATGGTATACCCATTCTATGGTTTGAAGTTTGAAACCTCATAGTTTTGACTCTTGACTAACATCAAAATGGCAATAAATGCGGGTCAATCGGACGGCTGACAGCTGAAAAGTCTCTGGATTGAAATGGATCTCCGAGCCAAGGAAGTCTGTCCAAGACTCGTTGTTGGCTTCAATTTAATTTTGCAACATACCCTCTGGTAAACTAACATAACATTTAAATTCCACATGTTTAATAGGTGAATAAACTATATATAAATGGTCATGTTCAATATATAGCTATGTTCTCTATGTCATATTTACAGATGCTAAATGGACATGGAGATTTCCTGAAATTGGAGCTACTGTACCCGTTTGAACCCCATCGATTTCTCATGGTTTCTCCTCTCAAATGGATTCGATTTGGGTGTGCAGTGCCTCTACTTGAGGAAGCAAACAAATGGATAGATATGACAGGTTCAAAGCAATTTCCACAAAAAATGCCGCCACTATTGATTGAAGCAGAAGAAACCCATCTGTAAATGGATATGAATTGAAAACGATGCAGCATCTGGATCTGGTATCTGCAATGTCCTCAAGTGACCATCAATCTTCTTCAGCTCCCTGCTTGGCACATCTCCCAACTGCGCGACTTTTCATACCACTGCAGGACTGGATGGGGGCCAGATCAGCGATACACAACTGATATCTCAGCTCCAATCGCCCGTCCGTCTCGCAGAACACAGGATTTGAGACTCAAACCAGTGGTTCACTGTATGAACCATTGTGTTGAGGACGTTTGGGGTCAGAAATTCTCCCGCGCAATCATATCACACGATAACTAACTAGTAGAAGCACGGCTGCCTGCTTGAGACCTCGCATCCGAGAACACTTCAAAACAACATGACTTGAACCACCCATGGAACTACATTCATGAACCATAGTGGCCTTCAACAAACCAGGGCTCAACTCCCAAATCCTCAGGTTGCTCGTACGTGCCTTGGGCAGCGTTGCCCCAACTCTTTCTGAGAAAGGGGCCGAGTGTATCCCACAGGTGCCGCAATGGCACCGGGTGGATCCGGGTGGCAAAAGTGTGTTGATTGTGTTGCTGCTGGGCTGATGTTTCTGTTGTTGGGAGTTTTCTCACCACAAGGTGCCGACACTCTGCTACAAATGGCTCTAGATGGGACGACACACGAAGTCAGTCGAAAAACATCCCCTGGATGATGATTCTGAACACGCTGCAGTCGCATTGTTGAAGCAAACCTGAGCCAGGAAGATTGAACATACTTGAAGCTGGCACCAGCACCAATGCAAGCAGCCAGCACCGATTCTTTGATGTCCCTGAGCTTGTGAGGGGTTACAACGTGTGACCTTCTGATACCTCCACTATCATCGTGGCTACATTGGGTAGGTTCGGGTTTTTCTCAGGTTTTTCTCAGGTTCTCAGCGCTTACATTGATGGACCCTCTATATTACTTACATCTGCTACTTGAAGCATTAAAGACCATGCAACCCCAACTTCTCGTTGCTGCGAGCTAAGCCCAGAACCGCTCGGTCTGACCTGAAAAGTTGCGCATGAACGGGTCAAATGATCCTTGCCCCGAAATCATGTTGATACCCTGAATGAGTATATCATATTATATTATATAATGTATATAATGTATTTGTTGTCTTGAGCAGTTTGAGGGTCAAAGGACTTGCAGTTGCAGTTGCAAGCAAGCCCCCGCATACTATAATTACCGCTGGGAATGGATGCACTTGCTTTGGAAACTGGGGTGGCAGCACCTCACTCAAGTAATTACAAAACCAATTTAATCATATAAAACATATAGGTGGATCATGTTGGATCAATGTGTGCCAAATAATACATATCCCAAAAACGAACCTTTCGGAGACCACGTTCGCCAATATCAGTCAATCTACCGGTTCCAATGTGGTGACCCCCATTCCGTAGCACCCGGATCAGAACGCGCAGTATGGGGAAGGGTTCATCGAAGGTGGTTCTGGACCCCCCCGACCCGCCAACTTGCCATAGATGTGGGGATCCACCCACCTAACACAGAAATCTTGCGGAAATTAAAGGTGAAGTGCCAAAGGCTACGACTGGCATATCGTGGTATTTGGTTTTCTGTGGGTGTTTATTACATAATTAAACTATGTATCAGGTGGTGGAAGGGATTACTGGGGATAAATCTAATGATTAAAAAAGCAAATTTTCGTGGGTCTACCACTACCACATATATATGGGCTTGGCATGGGTCAAAATTAAAGACTTGGGAACCACAATTTAAGATTTAAGCCTAGTTTTAGTATTAACCACCTTATAATTGGGGTTCTCAAATTTGACCCATACCCATATGGAGTCTCAAAAAATGTCTTCACTGAACCTGATCGACCCATCCGCAACCAGGCACCGCGAAGCGAAGCCCGAGAAGGAGTCGCAGCTCCGGGGGCATTCCGTGGCCGAGGACGTCACTGTCTGCCTACGAATTTTTGGGGCAGCTCGAAAGCCTGAAGCTTCTCAAATACTAGTATGTGAGATTTACAGTATCGGGGATGGATCTTCCCAACAATCAGAACTTTCCATGGCGGGATTTTCCAAAACATGTTGGGTGCACCTGCATAGGGTCTCATCATCCCAACAGCGATTGCGGTTGGGCGCAGCACAGCGCTGGGTATTTTTGTTCAGGCACACCTAAGAGGCTGGAGACTGGGACCTGCCAGCTGCCTGGGGGTGCCTACATAAGAGCAAATTGAAGGTTGAGGCATCACTGACCAACCGAAGTCACCTATTCTGTAGCGCTCTTTCGAAGCCACCAAGGATCTCAGAATATCTCAGAGCAAGGGCCATTTCTACTCATCATCATCTTTCAACCTCATAACCTCATGGTTCTTCTATATTGTGAAGCTTCTACATCCAGAATATCCTATTGGTTGAAAAATGGAGAGGCCAGTCTGGCGTACTATTCCTCAACAGTCACCTTCAATTCTCCTTCAATTCTATGGGTTGTAAAAGGAGGGCAAACCTCTCTACTGATCAACCGACAACACAAGAAAACGCAATGGATATTTCGAATTCTAGGGTACCCATAAACATTTCGAAGTCTTAGACTTTAAACTAATACATATATCTACATGGATCTACCGAAAACTATCGAAAACTCCTCTAGCTTCATCAACCAAACCAATCTGTGGCGCTGCGACAATCTGCAGCCAAGGGCACCAACAATTCCTGGGAGGAACTGGACATGGCCCAGTCGCGACAGGGCTCCTACGATGGGCTGATGGTCTGTTTCCTGCTTCAATGCGATGTATGTTGGAGACAATTCGACATGAAATGCGTTTGCGTTCACGAAATTCGTGACCACGACAGGGATAGATCGGGTGTGGCAAACCCAATCACAAAATCATCTCCAATTTGAGCAGAAATGGGTTGTACAAAACCTGGAAAATCGGACGTTGATCATGGCTCACCATATTAAAGAATCAAACCGATGGTACAAATCAGCCAAGAATATCTAACCCCTGATATCTGGGCATATGTTGACGCGCATCTGGTGCAACATTCCCACTTCGAACATCTTATTTATTCACCATGCAACTACCAAACATATTTAGATCACATTTAGTCACCCCCGGCAAAAAAAAACTCAAACATAATGCACCATAAAAAAACAAAAACATGTTATAATGTATCCTTAATATTCACATATCACTTTTAATATGCCTAATATTCAGTAGGAATTTACATACTGTTCTATCCTTTTGGAGGGTTGCCAAAGGGTGATGATTCGGATGCAGTCCTCGCAAGCAAATGGCCCCTGCGCCATGAGATAGCACACCCAGAGTTAGCGGATGGGTCAATGAGAACTGGTCCTTTCAAACATACATGGTATATATATATAATATATGTATATATATAATATAATATAATATACAGTACAATATGTGTATATATATATATGTATATACATATATATATATATATGTATATGTACTGCTTTATCATTTTCATTGTCTAATAATGGGTTTATCATGGTTTAGTCATGTATACTGAGAAGATCTAAGGAGGAATATCGGTTGCAGATTGATTGGTATCCCATTTTTGACCCATGGGCCCATGGGCCATGTGCGAATGAAGGATTAGAAACTACCGGGCTGGATAGTCACATCACCAAAAAGTAGCATACGACTCCTCAAACGTGGGAAGGATAGCTGTGTTATGACCATCCAAACGCCTCCTAAAGGCTGTGTCAAAACACAGAAAGTCATGGAAATCCATGAGTTTCCCTAGCGAATTCTCTATATATATTCATCGTGTTTCTTTTTTACTGGAGAACCAGCCAAGATAGAACCCCCCACAGTGACAGTTCCAGGGATTTCAGTGCCGAGGTTTTGCCTGCCATGCGCTGGTGTTGGGATACACCACAAATGCTAGGAACATAAAAATCGCCACCAGCATGCAAGTCGATCCAACCTTAGAAAGCGTTGCGGCAACTGCTCACCCTGCTGGTTCCAAAATGCTTTTGGGAACTGCGGGCGCTCTGAGGTTGGAACTGCTGTCATCAGTGAGACCCTCAGTTGTGGGGGGGCAATGGATCGATTTACTGAATTTACTGAAAGGGAACATCTGCAGGAAAGCAATTTCCCGGCGACTTTTCCTTCAACCAATTATTCCGGCAAAAAAAATGGGATCTGATGATCTGATCAGTCTGATCAGTAAAAATAGTCAGATTTTAGCATATTTTAGCATACTATTTTAGCAACAAAGAATCGAAACAATGGGTACCCCCTCACAACCGAACTTAGGAATGGACATCCTCAGTTTCGCATTTGAACATCATCTATAAATAATTATCAATGAGCAATTGTCCATTGCCACGTTTGTTTGCGGGAGGGTGCCAACAAAATATTGCCAACAAATGACCCACAAACGTGTTTCAATCAGCAATAAACTCGGATTTGTTAGGGAAAAAGTGCGGAAACAGTAAACAACCATTATATATCGGGACATCATGGGCATGTGGCAACTAAGTATGTGGAAAGAATAGGATGCGCCAGAAACTTGCCATGGTTGCCAGTGCCAACCGGCTCAACCTGCAAGTTTTGATCCCATGAAACTCATGCTGCCACGAAGCAAAATGAAAACACGTCTTAGATTGTGTATTCAAATTTGTTGTATTGTATCCGTCCCATCCAATGTTCAATTGTTGATTGCCCAAGCTACTTCTTTTTCCGTTTCCAATTTTGCGGCTGGTGTTGAAGCACCTGAATGTGACACACCCATGCACTAAATTTCCCAGTCCCCGAAGCAAGCTGGACTTCCCAACCATACTTCGGAGGCTCCCTGGACTTGGGCGACTTCTAACTTGAAGCTAAGCGGACTTATAACCTTGGTAAGTATATACGAGTATCAAGTATATAGCTGTTGTGTTGTGTAACCTCTTGCTACCTTATAGATAGGTTAGCATTGACATGAGGGAGGTTTAGGTCACTTATAAGTGGAAACTATGTGAAAGTCACCTAACTTCCAGGGGCCTCCAAAGTACAAACTGGTGCTGCCTCGAGACCGCGCAACTTGTGCCTCTTGAGGTAAATTTTCTCGCACTTCTCTAGGCTTACAATAGTGCATACCTGAGCAATGGCTTGATTTTCTTAAGCCCCAACATGAAGGAACATATTGCCTAATCCCTTCCCCCTAGTACTAAACCACCCCAATAATAAAAACTAGGGTCCGTCTCAAATTTGGAAAATTGGAGGATGGCCAATTTGATTTTCAATTGATTCCATTTAGAAAACAATTTAAAAACGAAGCTACCATTTCAGGGTTTCTTCCCCCAATATCCCCTATAATAATAAAACCTAGTCAGCCCCGGGGTGTTTTTTTATTAGGGTCCGTCTTTTAAGGCCGAAAAAAAGTGTTTTATATTGAGTTCAAATTTAATACTAGGGGGGAAGTTTCGAAAACCAATTTTTGGCAATGGTTTAATTAGATGTTAAACGGAAATCTAATCGATTTTGAAATAGAAAAAGTAGTCTTTTATATTGGGGTTTTTAATTTAATATTAGGGGAAAGCTTCGAAATGGAAATTTTGGCAATATTTTAATGAATTTTTAAAAGGAAATCTAATCAATTTTGAAATAGAAAAAAATGTATCCGGGTTTTAAATTTAGTATTAGGAAGGTTTGGCACCCTAATAATAAATATACACTCTAATACTAAAAACTACTTGAGTTGTGATTATTTGGAGGGTGGGGGGTTTAGTATTAGGGGAACGGATTATATAGATTCCGCAAACGGTCAATTTCCAATTCAGTAGCAGTGTTAAACACCCAGTGTTATTCAATGATACTGGTTGGTAAAATAGGTGTTGCCATATTTGATGATGATCATCCACAGCCTATTGAATAGCAAAACTCCCTAACATCATCGGCCAACAGGGGTTTCGAACACTGCCTAATTGGGAAACAAACAATGATCTTAAGCAAAACCATGAAGGTATCGAGGTATCCCAGAAGCTTCGCATTTTTGTGGGTTGCCTTGTAGCGTCCTTGCCTTGCAGCATCAAGTTTCGATGGATGCCTAAATGAGCCAAGCAACCAGCTACGACAAACCAAAACAATGGGCCCACGGGCCCAAAGCAAAGGCAAAGGAAGCAGCCCAAAGCATACCTCATTGAGGATGGCAAATGGTCTTTGGGGCATTCAAAAATCAACGTTGGACTTTAGGGTGTTGGAATGCTCTATACGTGACAGTTTAAACGTTCAGGATTCTGTTTTAAAGAAGAGCCTAACCACCACTGCCAAAAGCACAATGATAGAGGAAACCAACCAAAATGGGTGATTTGAAAGTTGCATGCAAGGCCCCTCCCGCTTCCGGGGGGATGCTGATGAATCCCCCCATCAATTTAGAATCTCACACAGCACCATTTGCATTTACAAAGGCAGGTCTGCAATTTAACTTGGGTCCAAGCACCTTCACACATTACATCCGCATGCATATGCAGAATGCAGGCAGAGATAAAGCAAAGGAAACAAACATCCGCATATATACTTGGACGCACATATATATATATATTATTTCTTATTATTTATCTATGTACATAAACAAGATGGACGGATGGATGGATAGATAGATAGACAGACAGATAGACAAACAGATAGACAAACAGATAGACAGACAGATAGACAAACAGATAGACAGACAGACAGACAAACAAACAGACAAACAGAAAGATAGATCAATAGATAGATAGATAGATAGAAAGATAGGTAGATAGGTAGATAGGTAGATAGGTAGATAGATAGAGAGATAGAGAGATAGAGAGATTGAGAGATAGAGATAGAGATAGAGATAGCGATAGAGAGAGAGAGATAGATAGAGATGGAGATAGATAGATAGATAGATAGATCGATAGATAGATAGATAGATAGATAGATAGAGATAGATGGAGATAGATAGAGAGAGATAGAGAGAGAGATAGAGAGAGAGAGAGATAGATAGATAGATAGATAGATAGATAGATATATAGATCAATAGATAGATAGACAGCCAGGTAGGTAGATAGATATATGTACATATATATATATATATACATACACATGCACGTATATAGACAAACAAACAAGCAAGCAAGCAAACAAACAAACAAACAAACAAACAGCCAGGTAGGTAGGTAGGTAGGTAGGTGGGTGGGTGTGTATATATATTATATAGATAGAGATATTGAGTAGCTCAGCATTTATGAAGTGTGTTCCCGTAAGCCATACTTAGATTGAAAGACAGGACCATAGCGAGGCCATCAGTTGCCCAAACAACGGAGCCATGGTGCAACATCCAGCCCGTGCCTGCCCCTCGCTCGTCTTGAGTGGGGGGAGCGCCTGAGCTCCAGCTATTGGTGCCACCATAGCCGCCATAGCCAAATAAATTGCCACCCATCCGGTCATCTTGCCTTAGATGTCCATTTGAAGGGGTATTTTTTAGAAAAACATCTCAGAACTTGCTTGACATTCTGTGTCATTTTATATCATCCCAGTTATATAGTGGGTATATAGTATAATTAGTATATATATATATATAGTAATTAAAACCCATCTGTAGGTGGGATATCTATACTTAGGGTAAGTGAAACTAACCAGAATTACAAACCACTTTCCAAGTGAACCTAAGATGGTCCTCCATTGACTCCATGGCGGTCTAGCCAAGCAGCGCATAAATGGGTCGCCCGACTGGTTGTCCAATCACCTGGTGACCATGCTGGGGCTACAGCCATGCTCCAAGAAACTAGCATTGACTATCGAAATTCCACCATGAATTTGGATGATCTTTTTCACAAAACCAAATGGACCATAGATTTAGTTAATTTTACATGTTTACTGTTAAGAGTGCCGATGGCGGCTAAAAACTGGAAAATGCAAAATCATGCAAAATCATTATTTAGCGTTTTTAAGCCTTTAAAATAGCTTTGAGAAATAGCTCTGCGAAAATCTCTGCTTTTCAAAAAGCTTTGGGAAATAGCTCTGTGAAAATCCCTGCTTTTCAAATAGCTGTGAGAAATAGCTCTGTGAAAATCTCTGCTTTTCAAATAGCTTTGAGAAATAGCTCTGTGAAAATCTCTGCTTTTCAAATAGCTTTGAGAAATAGTTCTGTGAAAATCTCTGCTTTTCAAATAGCTTGTTGAAATAGCTTTGTGAAAATTTCTGCTTTTCAAATAGCATTGTGAAAATCTATCCTTTGGGAACGTGAATGTCGAAAACGCTAATTCCAAACGCTAAATGTTCCAACCCCCGGGGAACGTGAAGGTCGAAAACGCTAAGTCCAAACGCTAAATTCTCCAACCCCTGGCGACCGAAATGCATGTCTTTTGCTAGTCTAAGATAAACATGGGGTTTTCTGGGAAGGCAATCAGAAAATGCTAATCCACAAGCAAACTTCCTGGGAATGTTATTTTGACACGCTAATCTAAAAGCAGACTTTCTGGAAATGCTATTTTGAAATGCTAATCTAAAAGCAGACTTTCTGGGAATGCTATTTTGAAATGCTAATCTGGGGCCCCAAAAAGCTAACATAATTATTTTTATGTCTCTCAGTATTTTAGGGGATTGGCTCTCTTAAGTTTACTGGATGGTAGTTTTTCCAATTCTCTCCGCAACGAAAGAAACCCTGGCAGAAGGCGATCGGCACAGCGCAGCACCGCGTTTTTCACTCTGTTGGTATGCACAACATCAGGGTTCCTAAGAACGGATGATGCAATACTGACCAGTGACCAGTCATGACCAGTCCATCTATGGGCCGCTGAAGGTCGCAGAAAGTCGCTGAAGGTCTTAAATCTTGACCCGAAGCCGAAGTCACGTCTACAGGATGCGCGTGCCATACTTCTCGATGGCATTCTCATTCAGCGTCAAGCCCAAACCTGGAGCATCTGAGAGTTTGATGATGCCATCTTTGATCTCTGGAGCATCCTCATACAACTCAGCCTGTAAAGGATCCCGTTCAGGATCAGTGAAGGCCTCCACAATGAGCCCTGCAGGGCTGGAGGCCACCAACTGCGCATGAATGAAGCAATCGTGATGAGGCGCCACCTGCACGTGGTTCAGCTCACACAGAGCCGCCAACTTTCGGCCCTCGGTGAAGCCTCCGTACATTGTGGCGTCAAACTGCAGGATGGAAATTGCTTTTTCCTCCAAGAGGGACCGACAACCGAAGCTCGTGTTCTCACTCTCACCACCAGACCTTAAAAAACGGGCTATAGGCATGCGGGCATGCTGGTGTTGTCGGCATCTTATCATGCCTAAAGTCGGGAAACATCACAAACAAAATTAAATTGCAATAGAACCTGAACATGCCTGAACCTTTGTTGTATGTCGCTTCCGCATGCACGCCTTGAATCACGCAATCCGCAACAAGAAACCAGGAAACTGGCACTCCCCCCTCTATAATTCATCCAAGAATTGTCCAAACCCATTCTTTGCGGGGTCCCCATCTTGGGTCCCCACGATCAAAAAAAAACAGGTTGGTGAAACAATATTCCATTTTATGCCCCATAGACTGACTGGTGTATTCTCATGAAATCTCCTAGTTAAATCCCAACAAAATGCTCAATGCCAATCAATTAGAGATGTCGGGCGCCAAAAAAATATCCCATGGATATTCCCATTCTGTCGATACACTACCATTCTATTCCCAGTTTCCCAGTTTCATGGTTGATGAATGCCCGAACCCATGGCCAATCTTAGATACTCTGCAAAAAACTAGATTCTTTGCTGGTAATAGATAATCCCATTGGTATCAAAAGACTATTTTGGATTTGTTTCTACCCATCTAAGATTGCGCTAGAAACAAGGTCAATTGAGGTGGGCACAGCGGAATGCTGGTCCTTTGCGCCAAGAGTTTCAGCAGCCGTCGGTCGTCTTCCCAGGCCACGGGTTCTTCCAGCCAGCGCGGATTAAAGGCCTCCAGCAACTTTACACCTTCACCTTGGGCCGCGGCTAAACCAGGAATGGAAGTTGGTGAGGCTAGTAAGCAAATGGTAAATGGAACATATATTAAGGACTATGAACAATGTCTATATTTATATAACTTATCATATTGATACATAGGATATGATGGATATCATTAGATACTTGGGGTGGACATATAACTAGGGAATATAACCTATTTCCTTAGCTCAGTTGATGGCTACTGTATGTTGACTAGGATTTATGATGTATATATATATATATATTGGACTGTAATGGACTCTCTCTCCCTATATATATATAATTATATATATAATATGCAACTTGTAAATGGATATGTTGATATATGATACTTCTGAACTAGTTATACATGATGGATATGTGGATATTTAAAAACCAACTTGTAACTTACAACTAAAAGGCCCAATCTGATCTTGCACCATTTTATGCGGACACACCCACTAGATCCCTCCGGTAAACATACAAAACGCTATGGCCAATGGCCAGCCCTTTAAATCTATGGTTGGTTCCCTGAGAACTGGCCTACATCATGGTGGATTTTCCAGAATCTTGGAGGGTATATGTTATGGTCACCGACAGAATTATGGGGAAAAAAAAACGTTCAACTTAGACAGGCGGCGCCTGCGTCCGATTTTTCCATAATTGGATTTTTCCCCATAAGGGTTCAAAATATCCCGGAAGTGATCCGAACTTTTTTTTTCCATAATTATTGGAGGTAGCCATTATTTCCATAATTGTTCCCGAATGCGTAGCAAGGGTTCCCGTTTCACTCTGGGGGTCTGGGGGTTGAGGGTGTGTTCGCTCGACGTTGCGTTCGCGAGCGCAACCGTCCGCAACCGTCCGCAACCGTTCGCGTGAGGACCGTATGGCCGTGCCTATGGGAAGTTTTACAGAGGTGGTCCTTTTTGGAGGTTTCAGACGTCTGGTTGCTTCGTTTCGCGTGGCAGGCGTGGCACTTCGTGACATTCAGACGTGTTTCGCAACGTGTTGAAAATCGTTTTGCGTGGCAGGCGCAATACTTTTGTGACGTTTTCAGAAGATGTGTTGCAGTTTTCGTGGCAGGCGCAGCACTTTGGACGTGTCCATCGTCATTTTTCGTGGCAGGCGCAGCACTTTAGACGTGTCGTGTTGCGTGTTTTTTGTAAATCGCATTGGCAGGGCTGCGTCAAGTGGCGACAAGGTGCAAATTCCGTGGCAGGCGTGGCATTTTGTGAGATGTGCTGAAAATTGACGGAAGCCTCGCACGAAACATCGGTTTTGAGGTAGCAAATTTGCAGGTTCTAAGGAAAACTCGTAGGAAAACGTCGATTTTGAAGCTACAAAGTGTGAAAATTGGCGGACGTCTCGCACGAAATGCTCGTTTTTGATGCTCTCACCTGTCTTGTCTCGAGTCTCTGGTTTTGAGACGTGATCCGGAGAGAGGTCTGCAGAGTTGGTTTCGACCAGCGAAACCCGAAACCCGAAACCGACTGTTAAAGTTGGTTTCGAACTGCGCGAAACCCGAAACCCGAAACCGACTCTGAAGACTTACTTCCCCAGGACCGATCGAAACCCGAAACCCGAAACCCGAAACCGACTCTGAAGACTTAACTTCCCCAGGACCGATCGAAACCCGAAACCCGAAACCCGAAACCCGAAACCGACTCTGAAGACTTACCTTCCCCAGGACCGATCGAAACCCCTGAAACGACCCAATCGAAACCCGAAACCCGAAACCCGAAACCGACAGCAAAAGTGGGTTTCAATCGAAACCCGAAACCCGAAACCCGAAACCGACAGCGAAAGTTGGTTTCAAGCGACGAAACCCGAAACCCGAAACCCGAAACCGACAGCGAAAGTTGGTTTCAATCGACGAAACCCGAAACCCGAAACCCGAAACCGACTCGAATCCGACTTTTGGGTGGCTCTCCGGATCGGAACTCCTGGTTTTCCTGTGGCCTCGCCGTGTCTATGGGGGAAGCTGCAAAACCTCTCCTTTTCGAACGTTTCAAAGTGTGAAAATTGGAGGACGTCTCGCACGAAAAGCTCGTTTTGGTGCTCCCACCTGTCTCGTCTCGAGTCTCCGGTTTCCTGGTGGCTTCGCCGTGTCTATGGGGGAAGCCGCAAAACGTTTCCTTTTCGAAGGTTTCCAAGCAGGTTGTCATGTCGTTTTGCGTGGCAGGCGTGGCACTTTGTGACATTCCAACCTGTTTGATAACGTGTCGAAAATTTCAAACTTGGAGGAAGTCTCCTGCAAAATGCTGTTTTTTCTGCATCCATGTGTCTTGTCTTGAGTCGCTGGTTTTCCTGTGGCGTCGCCGTGTCTATGGGGGCAGCTCCGCACTCCACACTCTACACTTTACACTCCACGCTCCACAATTTACACTTTAGACTCCACACTCTACACTTTACACTCCACACTTTTCACTTTGCACTTTACACTCCTCACTCCTCACCTGAGACTTTACACTCCACACTCCACACTTTACACTACACTCTACACTCTACACTTTCCACTCCTCACTCCTCACTCTACACTTTACACTCCACACTTTACACTCCACACTTTACACTACACACTCCTACTTTACACTCCACACTTCACACTCCACGCTTTCCACTCCACACTCCACACTTCACACTTTAAACTCCACACTCCACACTTTACACTCCCCACTCCACACTTTACACTCAACACTCCACACTCTACACTTTACACTCTACAGTCTACACTTTACACTCTACACTCCGCACTCTACACTTTACACTCTACGCTCCACACTTTACATTTTACACTCCACACTCCACACTCTACACACCACACGCTACACTTTCCACTCCATATTCCACACTCTACACTCCACACTCCCCACTTTACACGCCACACTCTACACTTTCCACTCCAGACTCCGCACTCCACACTCCACACTTTAAACTTTACACTCCTCGCTCCACACTCCACACTTTACACTACTCACTTTACACTCCACACTCTACACTTTCCACTCCAGACTCCACACTCACACTTTACGCTCCACACTCCACACTTTACACTGCACACTTTACACTTTACACTCCACACTCCACACTTTACACTCCTCACTCCACACTCCACACTTTACACTCCACACTTTACACTCCTCACTCCACACTCCACACTTTACACTCCACACTCCCAACTTTACACCCCACACTTCACACTCCACACTTTCCACTCCACACTCCACACTTTACACTCCTCACTCCACACTTTACACTCCACACTTTACACTCCACACTCTACACTTTACACTCCACACTTTACACCCCGCACTCCACACTCTACACTTTACACCCTACACTATACACTCTACACTCCAAACTTTACACTTTACACTCCACGCTTTCCACTTTACACCCCACGCTTTCCACTTTACACTCCTCACTCCACACTTTACACTTCACACTCCACGCTTTCCACTCCACACTCCACACTTCACACTTTAAACTCCACACTCCACACTTTACACTCCCCACTCCACACTTTCCACTCCACACTCCATACGCTACACTCTACACTCCACACTCTACACTTTACGCTCTACACTTTACACTCCACACTTCACACTCTACAATTTACAAACGCCACACTCCTCACTCCACACTTCACAGTCCTCACTTTACACTCCACACTCCGCACTCCACACTTTACACTCCTCACTTTACACTCGACACTCCACACTTTGCACTCCACACTCCTCACTCCACACTCTACACTCTACACTCCACACTCCACATTCTACACTCCACACTCTACACTTTACACTCCATATTCCACACTCTACACTTTACACTCCGCATTTTACACTTTACACATTCTACACTCCCCACTCCACACTTTACACTCCACACTCCTTACTTCACACTCCACACTCCACACTTCCACTCCACACTGCAGACTGGTAACAAGGGAAACATGCACAAGACTGTTGAAATAAACTATTGCAGAAAGGCGTTGTGGGCGACTGCATAACCATGTGTTTTGACATCTGTACCATTAACATACGTGTGAGCATTCGGGTTCGTGGGCTTCATCTTGTTTTTTTCCTGTGAAATCAGGGGGCTAGGGCAGATTGACCGGTTTTTCCATAATTATTTTTTCCACAATTAATGTTTGGGGCTCCACCTGTTGGACATGTCATGGATCCATAATTCAAACCCGTTTTTTTTGGCGGTTATGGAAATATGTATGCAAATGCAAGTATGTAGTATCAACCCAATTAGTGGCTTGGCAAAAGGAAACATCCAGATATTATGTATATCAATGGCAGGCTTTTGGGGCATATACCAGATCTTTAGACACATATTTTCTATAATTCAATATTCCCCCTTAAAATGCATTCAAATTGCGAATCGATGGACATACAGTCACCGACAGAATTATGGAAAAAAATAATTATGGAAACACTAATTATGGAAAAAAAAAGGTTCGTAACTTTTCTATCATAGACAGGCGGCGCCTGTAAATTGAAACGTTTTCTTTTCCATAATTCTGTCGGTGACTGTAGTGGTATATGGTAGATGACTGGGAGTATCAATGGGCATATTGATGAATATTCACCAACATTCCCAGTGATGCTGTGATCTCAATTATACAATGATATGGCAAATACCCTCCGGCAATCAATCACATTGCCTTCCTAAAAAAATAATTCTCCCATCAAAGCCTCCATTTAAAGGCTCTTCCCATTGCAATGCTTCATTAGCGGGGCATGTGTATATATATATATATACATAACCATATCTATACATCTCTCTCTCTCTCTCTCTCTCGCTCTTGTATATATATATATATATACGCGTGCAGTTTTTCGCTGAATAGTAAAGATTAGTAAAGCATTGTAAGACAAATGACACTATTGAATACATATTTATGCAAGGGAAAATTGGAAATCTCCTAATCGATATCTCTTCGTGCTTTTCACCAGACCTTCCTGTGGGATTTCGATAGTTGAACCCTGCTTCTTATTTTTATGGCTGGTTAAAGGCATCCCCAAATAGGAGGTTTATTGGCTTTACCACAACATATTACCATTCATATTCCATTAGCCATTAGCCATGCACCATTAACCGTATGATCCCAATCATTAAAATCATTTGATGGTAAGAATACATTAACTGATTTAACTGCAATCATTGACCATTTTTAGCAATAATGAACCATTATTGAACACCTACCATTGTAATATGTGTTTCTTTTCTCCGGCACTCGGGCACATCAAACCACTATGTAGATCTGACATGTTCCATGCAAATATTTTGGGACTAGGATATATGGGGATTAACCATCAAAATGCATTCTAACCATCAACATATGGGAATATAAGTGGATATAAGTGGATATATGATATAAGTGGATATGTTCCAATAAATGATGATTGGTTGATGATTACTTTGGGGACGATAATATAAGCCAATACATTGGGGATGATCATGGATTGTCACTATCCCTGAACTGGGATTCCCGTTCTGAACCAACGATGTTTACAGTATAGAGAACTATTAAATGACCATTGTGGATTCCCATGGGATCCCATCTTCCCGTTCTTCACCACCTCGTATGAAAAAGTCCGACAGGCCGCGCGACAGGCCGTTTTGAAGTCCCATGCGCGGTTCACATCCACCATGAGATCCTTCCTTTCTCCGATGACTTCGCGGATGACGCGCAATCTCTCCATGTCCTTGGGGCTAGCAGCTTAAGATTGTCTCCCCAAAAGGGTTCATGTCGATTAAACATCAAAATGTGGGGATATACAAGGAGGGGCCACAAGTACGACACTGGTCATGCTGCCGAATCAAGCCCTTTTTCTGTCCCCCACGAGTGTCTGCGGTGGGCCACAAACCTGAGCTGCAGAAATTCAAGCAACAAGGCGGAGAGATATATGCAAGAAGCACCGGCAGAAACAAAGGCAATGAAATGCAATCAGAGGCAGAGGGAAAGAAGTCATACCATCATCCTCCCCCATGCCCCTCTAAATCAATGTTGTTTTTCGCAAACTGGAGACTTGCTGGCATCCAAATATAGTACAGCGTCACTGCCGCGGATCCAGGTCCAATGAAACAATCAACTTTGATTTCGGGGCGAGGGGTTTTTATATGGGGCTGGGTACTTTCTATGTTGTCGGGAGAAACATGCAAAACGGATGGACCAGTGGCAGCGGCTCCTTTAACATTTAATTAGGTGCAGTCAGCACACAGCTAGACACTCGGGAATCCTGCAACAAGAAATTTTGCTACATTTTTCCCTCCAGAGAGTATGAACATGGTGAAGCAACATGGACATGCCGGGATGTCCTTCAAATTTTCGATTCTATGCTGGAAACGGTAAATGGTCAGTCTGGACCGGAGCATCAGCAACTCACTCTCGGACCAGCACTCTTTCGGCACAAACAACGATTGCCAGTTACATGTGAGAAAAGTGGGTTGTGTCGGTCGAAAATCCAAATGGCCACTGTACAAGTTCAATGGCCGATTGATGCGTAGCGTCGCACTTTCCAACCATAATAAGGTACTGCTGACATCCAAGGCTCCATGGTCAGGTCTCCAATCATCTAAAATGACCACTTGGGACTGCGGCAAATGTAAGAGAGGATACGACCCTCGAGCTGGACAGGCGAACACCTCGGCTGCTCTGAGGAGGGCACATCAACGTCTGGCCGTCCAAAAAGGGGAGGCCACAAACAAGGAAATAAGGTCTACCATGTTAAGAATGCATGGCAAGAGTTGGGTATTGTTGGTCCCCATGGCCCATAGTTACAGGTTGATAGATCTCGATGGTACCAAGGCGTGAAAATCCCGTTACAAGAATCAATTCCCAGTTACTGGACTCGTCTCGGGCATCAACAAATATGTGCATAGTACTTGAGTCCCCCCGGGGGGCAGAAACTTGTCCGCAAGTGGATCTTTTTAAAAAATATGATCGTTGGGAAACGGGTGAGGGTCAGAAACCATGTGATGTGAAAGCGGTAGCCAAGGCACGCGCTGGAAAATTTCACGCAATGGCTTCAAAATGAAGCTTTTGCCCTCGTTTCCGGAACCTGTGAAGCATACTGCATCCCCCTTCTTCTGCATGCCCAGCATGAGGGCCTGACGCAAATGTTGGCAAAGCTTCCCCTCCTCAATGTTATTGTTGCGGAGAATCTCGCGAGCTGCTGGTGCCCAAGTTCTGTCACAACAACACTGTCGCCCCAAGGCGGCAGTGACGCGCTTCCACGTAGTTGTCTGAGAATCTGCGATGACGCGATCACATGATTCTAGTGTGCAGCACGTGGCGACCTTCTCTCTGATGGTGTTGTTTGTGCGGAAGAGGTAGTTCAGCAATCTTTCATTTCCGGAATTTCGCCCATGCTGAAGGAGTTTAGCAAGCAGGACAGGGTCATCGGCAGTGAGCCCAAGTTCTTTCACTATTGGCCATAACTCCAAGTCAGAGAATTTGCATGGCCCACGCTTGCCCGCAGACCAACGCTGCAAAAAACGCTCTGCCACCTTCTCTTCAATTGCAGTACTGTCCAAGACCCCATTGATCGCATCTAGAAGAGGCGGATGCTTCCGGCCCCCACTGCACCACAACAAGGGATCTTTGTCCAAGGCGGACAGGCCCTTCATGTCAGATGGCAACCAGAGGTACCGCAACATATGGGCATATTGCATTTTTCTGTGCTTGCTGTGGTAATCAATAGCCATGTTGGCAAAATGAGCAATGTAGCCAGCTTTCGACAACTCTTTTTTCCATCCAACCCATCGACAAGGGTGCGACAATGCTGTCGGCACATGGAAGTGCCACTGTCCACTGCCATGCGTCTCCCGGAAGACGCAGGCATGCGTCACGCAAACATCCGAACCATAGCCTGCAGCGCCAAATGCCTGCAAGACGGTCTCAAGGATGGTTTCCCTGGTGGGAGCATTGCTTGGATCCAGGTTGGAGAAGGTGAGCAGGTAAGTCTTTTGGACACATTGTGAATCTATTTGTGCTGGTCGCCTGGCATGCGCCTGTGGCTTGTTCACAGCAAGAAGCAATCGTCGAGATAGCTCTTTTGGAACTGCGGACATTGTAGCCGCTACAAACTCGTCTTTCTCCTCCAGAAGTTCTGACATGCTGATTTTGTTGGAAGCTTTTGCCTGGATATCGTCCAAGATGATGTTGATTGAAATGTTGTGGAGCTCCTCATCGCTCTTCTCACGAATCACAGCTGCAACCAAGCCTTGCACAGCCTTATACTTACTCAGCAACTGCCAACGAATAGCGGCATCTGCATTTTCATGCCCATCATTGTCCACAGCTTCAGCAAGGGCTGCGTTTGCAGCATCAACAATTTCCGCTTCTGCAGGGCCCGCCTCACATGCATGACTCTCGCCAACTGCAACAGCTGCACTCGCAGCAAGTGGTAGAACATGACCGTCCTCACTTTCTCTTTTTTCATCATAGCATGGGGGAGGCCTTTGCTTTGACCGCAATCTCCGGCGCTTCATGCCATTGAATGATGCAAGCATACGTGTGAATTAGAATAAAGCAGCCTTCAAAAACGCATTCACATTGGCATATGTTATATGGTTGTTGATCAAAATTACTTTATCCGCAAACGGCCATTCTTCGTGAATAAACATGTTACTTTCCAGCATAACATGAACGGTCTTCGCAATTAAAACTCTTTGCAAGGACCTTTAGATCGATTACCATATAGGTTGTGACTCCTGGGCTGTTTTCTACAAGGCTGCTCAAAAAAAAAACTGCGGCTGACGATGCGGCTGCAACTGGACAATGTGTAAGATATACCATACCATAGCTCAGCTCAAGTAGATCAAATATTCCGCCATCATTCCGCCATTTCCTACCTGCTTATCTCATTCATTGATTCATACTGCATTCATACTGCGAGTCATACTTTGAGTCAAACTGATTCTGTCACTTCAGTCTGGCGCAGTCAGAAGTGATAGTGCTGGCCGGGCTAGGGAGTAGAGGTCAAGGTCAGAGAGTATAGAGACAGAGACAGACAGAGGCGGAGAGAACAAGGAAGAGAGAACAGACAAGACAAACAGCCACAAAGACAACGAGCAGGACAGGGAGAGAGAGAGGGCAAGCAGAAGAGAAGGAAACAAGGCGAAAGAAAGCAAGAGAAAGAGAGAAAGAGTACCAAAAAGGGGCAACAGCAGCACCAACAACGACACCAACAGCAAGAACAATCACAAGCAGCAAGAACAACAGCGACAGGAAGACAACAGCAGCAACAGCCACCAGAAAGAACAGCAACCGGCAGCAGCAGCAGCAACCAGCAGAAGCAGCCAGGCCAGCAACAAACAACAGCGACAGCAGCAGCAACACCAGCAGCAGTAGCAGCAAGCAGCAACCACAAGCAAGCCAAGGGGCCGCTGCGTGTAGAGCTCGAGGTCGCTGTAGGCACCTGCACAGGGCGACAATGGCAGGAAAACAAACGAGGGGAGAAACAGGGGAGAGATACAAGAAGACAGGGACAAAGACCACAAGGAGGACAAGACACAAACGAAAGAAACGCAGGCGCCCTAGCCACGGCCAGCCGCAACAACCCAATGCCAAATCTCATCTACTTGCAAACTTAGGAGGAAAATCTAGCCAACAAGTGCCAATATGATGTGAACCCTCCCTCCAGGTGATGGCGCTGAAGCCGATGGCCTCTGCCATAGCAACCCGCATCCACCAAGCTGCCGCACCCACCACAGCCGCAGCCAGCAGCAGCCGCCACAGCCGCTGCATCCACGAGCAGCCGCCATAGCCAGCAGCAGCCGCCACAGCCGCCACAGCCGCCAGCAGCTGAGCTGCCGCCACATCCGGCAATATGCTGAAAATTGTGTGATGAGATGATATAAGGATGAGGCTCCGGGAGGTGAGTGTCAATTTGCGTGGTGCAATCCTAATGTAAATGGAGCAATCAGGGTAAGGGGTGGCGAAATAAGGGTAAGACTTCCAGAGTGCAATCCCAATGTAAGTGAAGCAAATAAGGTTAAGGATTCGAAAAATACAGGGAAGACTTCCGGACTGCAATCCTAATGGAATTGGAGCAAATAAGGTTAAGAACTTAGAAATTCACAATCAAAAGAATTAGATGATTCTATTCATTTTCTTATTATGTGGACTTTCTTAACCTTATTTTGCTCCGTGCCTATAGGATTTGCCCAACAAGCTCCTAACAGTATTTTGAGATGTCTTAACCTTATTTGGCTCCGTGCCTATGGGATTTGCTCAACAAGCTCCTAACAGTTTTTTGAAATGTTTTAACTTTATTTTGCTCCGTGTCTATAGGATTTGGCTCCAAAATCTGTTCTCCACACCAAGGGTAAAATGGCAAGGGCGGAACATTTGGCTCCTTGCGAATCTCTTTGGTCGATTCTTTCAGCTGCTGCTTCAGCACGGCCCTTGCTGCGCGTAAGGCTGGCAACTGGTCTTGTCCACGAGTGAGTGGTGCAGCTCCAGCTGGCACTGCGGCAGCTGGTGCAGTGGCAGCTGCATCATCCGACATGGTAAAAAGAGAAGTAGCTGAACCACGGTGGGTTCCAAACGCTTGAGGCTTTTGTAGCAAAAAGGCTGCAGAACCCATTGGTCATCCCAGCTGCCCTGATGCATTTCCTGTACCATCTGCGTTGCATGTGAAGATGTTTGGGTAGTTTTCTGGTAAAAGTATCAAGAAACAGTTTATAAATATGTATTATGTGAACCTGTAGTGTTTATACTATGACAAGCACGGCTCGGAACCATCACTGATACAGGGCCTACATTTCCAGCCCCTAAAATGAAACCTTGGAAGCTTCAAGGCCATGGGCCCTCACAGTGTCACACTTGCTGCTCTCCGGTTGCATCTGCCTTTTTGCAACAGCAGATCTGGACTTCAACACCTTTGGTGTTATCAGAACAAACATGCATCCGCATAGCTCATCTTTCGCCTTTTAGGCCAAATGAGAGCCATCTCTGCCGGAGTGGGTTCGGCAGGAAGCGGTAAGGACACTGGATTCTGCATGAAATTTCGCAAGGCGGAATGCAACTTTGTCACATCTCGCCCGCACCCAACGCTTTCGAAAGCGTGGGCCCATTGTCTGCTGGCGAAAAATTCTCGAGGAGCTTGACCCAGTTGCCACAGAAACTCAAGCTGCTGCGGTTCACCGCCTTGGGCGGTGCGCCGCAGCTGCTGGTTTTTTCTTTTTATCCAATGCTTGAATGCACTGAAAGCACTGGTGTCTAGCGGCTGTAGCAGGCCAGTGCTGGAAGCTGGCACAAAAAGAAGCTGAAAACCTTTCCTTTTGGCAAAAGACATCAACCTTTTAGGTAGATGAGGAGATGCTGTGTCCAAAACGAGTATTGGTTTAACCATTGGAAGCCAAGGCTGGAGCGCCTCTCTCACATCTGCCAAAATTCGGATCATGCAATCTGTTGTCACCCAAGAAGATTTTCTGCGAAGAAGCCGCAACCTCGTCGGTGGCAGCGCTGCAAAACCTTTGGCGACAGTCTGGGGAAGCCTCTTCTCGCTGCAAACCAGGAAGTGCGGCAGCACCGCTTGAATGCCCGGATGACTGCAAAGCAAGGCCCCGTATGTGTAGGCGATCCTCCGCCGACTTTTGGGGACCGGCATTTGTGGACCCCCTGGCACGGGGTAAGACTTCCAGTCATTCACCACGCAACCTTTCGGACATGGTGGACAGCAAGGAACAGAAGTTTCATCGAAGTTGATCCAAACCAGTTCCTGGTGGCCAAATTTCTCGGTCACATAGGCAATGGATCTCCAGAACGCCTTCACCTGGCAAAACGAAGATTCGGGTCTCAAAAAAGTGGCAAACAAGACTTTAAAAAATGGCTCAAGTACAATGTTTTGGGGCCCTAGAAAAGCGACCCATTTGTGTCCCAAAAAGCGGCCCCAGAAACCAGGGATGCTTTCATTTTCAACCAAAAAAGGGTTCCAAAAAAGCGACCCGGCTTTTTTGCCCATTCTTGCCTTGTCCCGCAAAATGCTGGGATCCACTGTGTCAGCTGACCGCAGGCATGCCCTGCGAACACCCCACCGAGCCCGCCAACGAGCAGCCCATTTGTTAACAGTCCTGCGGCGAGGCTGTCCACAAGGTTCCACCTGAAGCGCCTTGTTCTCATAGTAATGAAACACATCTGCCGCTGATGGTGCCACGCCTTGAGAAAGGTTTTGACGCTTCACCCAACACCAAGCATCGTGTTCCAGGAGGAACTGCCGTGCAAACTTTCGGGCAGGTCCCCAAAGTGCTGAGCCTTCATCATGTAACATCAAAAAGTCCTCCCAATTGTGGTTACGAAAGAGAGCCCTGACAAAATCTGATGTTGGAAATGCTGCAGAACATTGGGGCAATCGGGACAGCCGCTGTGCCGCTCGCAGAGCCAAACTCAAATCCCAGTTTGACAAAGCATAGACGGCCAAAACTTTTCGCTCAGAGTGGCAAGAAAGGCCGCCTTTGAGCAGCGAAGCAGCTTCTCTGCGAGATTGCTGCTGGCAATTTCGTATGTGCTTTTGGTTCAGCAGAAGGGCTGCTCGGAGTTCTGTCACCTTCTTCTCTGCCAAGCAGGCCACGGCTTCGGCGGCTACTGACATGAGTAAAGGATCTACTGAAACTGTCTGGCTGAAGGTTTTGCTATACCTATATGATATGTATTGTAGCATGAGTTTACATGGCTTGTCTCCTGTTGCTATCTATTTTTGAACCTGCTTTGAGAACAATAGGTACGCCGTCTTCTACAACCCTGCTGCTTTGAACCATTCTGATTCATACAGCCAGAGCAGAGCTGCATTTTGAAACGTGACAACAGTGGGCCCAGCACACCAAACGCTCAATAGCATGCCAACCCTGCCAACCATGGCTATGACATAAGAGGAATTGTTGGAAACAAAAACACTTGAGGAATGAACTCTAGTGACTGCAAATGAATCGGAAATCGGTGGCACCCCTGGCTGCAACTACAGTGATGTAGAGACAGAGACACACACACACACAAGGAGGGGCCACAAGTACGACACTGGCTCATGCTGCCGAATCAGGCCCTTTTTCTGTCCCCCACGAGTGTCTGCGGTGGGCCACAAACCTGAGCTGCAGAAATTCAAGCAACAAGGCGGAGAGATATATGCAGAAAGCACCGGCAGAAACAAAGGCAATGAAATGCAATCAGAGGCAGAGGGAAAGAAGTCATACCATCATCCTCCCCCATGCCCCTCTAAATCAATGTTGTTTTTCGCAAACTGGAGACTTGCTGGCATCCAAATATAGTACAGCGTCACTGCCGCGGATCCAGGTCCAATGAAACAATCAACTTTGATTTCGGGGCGAGGGGTTTTTATATGGGGCTGGGTCCTTTCTATGTTGTCGGGAGAAACATGCAAAACGGATGGACCAGTGACAGCGGCTCCTTTAACATTTAATTAGGTGCAGTCAGCACACAGCTAGACACTCGGGAATCCTGCAGCAAGAAATTTTGCTACATTTTTCCCTCCAGAGAGTATGAACATGGTGAAGCAACATGGACATGCCGGGATGTCCTTCAAATTTTCGATTCTATGCTGGAAACGGTAAATGGTCAGTCTGGACCGGAGCATCAGCAACTCACTCTCGGACCAGCACCCTTTCGGCACAAACAACGATTGCCAGTTACATGTGAGAAAAGTGGGTTGTGTCGGTCGAAAATCCAAATGGCCACTGTACAAGTTCAATGGCCGATTGATGCGTAGCGTCGCACTTTCCAACCATAATAAGGTACTGCTGACATCCAAGGCTCCATGGTCAGGTCTCCAATCATCTAAAATGACCACTTGGGACTGCGGCAAATCTAAGAGAGGATACGACCCTCGAGCTGGACAGGCGAACACCTCGGCTGCTCTGAGGAGGGCACATCAACGTCTGGCCGTCCAAAAAGGGGAGGCCACAAACAAGGAAATAAGGTCTACCATGTTAAGAATGCATGGCAAGAGTTGGGTATTGTTGGTCCCCATAGTTACAGGTTGATAGATCTCGATGGTACCAAGGCGTGAAAATCCCGTTACAAGAATCAATTCCCAGTTACTGGACTCGTCTCGGGCATAAACAAATATGTGCATAGTACTTGAGTCCCCCCGGGGGGCAGAAACTTGTCCGCAAGTGGATCTTTTTAAAAAATATGATCGTTGGGAAACGGGTGAGGGTCAGAAACCATGTGATGTGAAAGCGGTAGCCAAGGCACGCGCTGGAAAATTTCACGCAATGGCTTCAAAATGAAGCTTTTGCCCTCGTTTCCGGAACCTGTGAAGCATACTGCATCTCCCTTCTTCTGCATGCCCAGCATGAGGGCCTGACGCAAATGTTGGCAAAGCTTCCCCTCCTCAATGTTATTGTTGCGGAGAATCTCGCGAGCTGCTGGTGCCCAAGTTCTGTCACAACAACACTGTCGCCCCAAGGCGGCAGTGACACGCTTCCACGTAGTTGTCTGAGAATCTGCGATGACGCGATCACATGATTCTAGTGTGCAGCACATGGCGACCTTCTCTCTGATGGTGTTGTTTGTGCGGAAGAGGTAGTTCAGCAATCTTTCATTTCCGGAATTTCGCCCATGCTGAAGGAGTTTAGCAAGCAGGACAGGGTCATCGGCAGTGAGCCCAAGTTCTTTCACTATTGGCCATAACTCCAAGTCAGAGAATTTGCATGGCCCACGCTTGCCCGCAGACCAACGCTGCAAAAAACGCTCTGCCACCTTCTCTTCAATTGCAGTACTGTCCAAGACCCCATTGATCGCATCTAGAAGAGGCGGATGCTTCCGGCCCCCACTGCACCACAACAAGGGATCTTTGTCCAAGGCGGACAGGCCCTTCTTGTCAGATGGCAACCAGAGGTACCGCAACATATGGGCATATTGCATTTTTCTGTGCTTGCTGTGGTAATCAATAGCCATGTTGGCAAAATGAGCAATGTAGCCAGCTTTCGACAACTCTTTTTTCCATCCAACCCATCGACAAGGGTGCGACAATGCTGTCGGCACATGGAAGTGCCACTGTCCACTGCCATGCGTCTCCCGGAAGACGCAGGCATGCGTCACGCAAACATCCGAACCATAGCCTGCAGCGCCAAATGCCTGCAAGACGGTCTCAAGGATGGTTTCCCTGGTGGGAGCATTGCTTGGATCCAGGTTGGAGAAGGTGAGCAGGTAAGTCTTTTGGACACATTGTGAATCTATTTGTGCTGGTCGCCCGGCATGCGCCTGTGGCTTGTTCACAGCAAGAAGCAATCGTCGAGAGAGCTCTTTTGGAACTGCGGACATTGTAGCCGCTACAAACTCGTCTTTCTCCTCCAGAAGTTCTGACATGCTGATTTTGTTGGAAGCTTTTGCCTGGATATCGTCCAAGATGATGTTGATTGAAATGTTGTGGAGCTCCTCATCGCTCTTCTCACGAATCACAGCTGCAACCAAGCCTTGCACAGTCTTATACTTACTCAGCAACTGCCAACGAATAGCGGCATCTGCATTTTCATGCCCATCATTGTCCACAGCTTCAGCAAGGGCTGCGTTTGCAGCATCAACAATTTCCGCTTCTGCAGGGCCCGCCTCACATGCATGACTCTCGCCAACTGCAACAGCTGCACTCGCAGCAAGTGGTAGAACATGACCGTCCTCACTTTCTTTTTTCATCATAGCATAGGGGAGGCCTTTGCTTTGACCGCAATCTCCGGCGCTTCATGCCATTGAATGATGCAAGCATACGTGTGAATTAGAATAAAGCAGCCTTCAAAAACGCATTCACATTGGCATATGTTATATGGTTGTTGATCAAAATTACTTTATCCGCAACCGGCCATTCTTCGTGAATAAACATGTTACTTTCCAGCATAACATGAACGGTCTTCGCAATTAAAACTCTTTGCAAGGACCTTTAGATCGATTACCATATAGGTTGTGACTCCTGGGCTGTTTTCTACAAGGCTGCTCAAAAAAAAAACTGCGGCTGACGATGCGGCTGCAACTGGACAATGTGTAAGATATACCATACCATAGCTCAGCTCAAGTAGATCAAATATTCCGCCATCATTCCGCCATTTCCTACCTGCTTATCTCATTCATTGATTCATACTGCATTCATACTGCGAGTCATACTTTGAGTCAAACTGATTCTGTCACTTCAGTCTGGCGCAGTCAGAAGTGATAGTGCTGGCCGGGCTAGGGAGTAGAGGTCAAGGTCAGAGAGTATAGAGACAGAGACAGACAGAGGCGGAGAGAACAAGGAAGAGAGAACAGACAAGACAAACAGCCACAAAGACAACGAGCAGGACAGGGAGAGAGAGAGAGGGCAAGCAGAAGAGAAGGAAACAAGGCGAAAGAAAGCAAGAGAAAGAGAGAAAGAGTACCAAAAAGGGGCAACAGCAGCGCCAACAACGACACCAACAGCAAGAACAATCACAAGCAGCAAGAACAACAGCGACAGGAAGACAACAGCAGCAACAGCCACCAGAAGCAACAGCAACCGGCAGCAGCAGCAGCAGCAGCAACCAGCAGAAGCAGCCAGGCCAGCAACAAACAACAGCGACAGCAGCAGCAACACCAGCAGCAGTAGCAGCAAGCAGCAACCACAAGCCAAGGGGCCGCTGCGTGTAGAGCTCGAGGTCGCTGTAGGCACCTGCACAGGGCGACAATGGCAGGAAAACAAACGAGGGGAGAAACAGGGGAGAGATACAAGAAGACAGGGACAAAGACCACAAGGAGGACAAGACACAAACGAAAGAAACGCAGGCGCCCTAGCCACGGCCAGCCGCAACAACCCAATGCCAAATCTCATCTACTTGCAAACTTAGGAGGAAAATCTAGCCAACAAGTGCCAATATGATGTGAACCCTCCCTCAAGGTGATGGCGCTGAAGCCGATGGCCTCTGCCATAGCAACCCGCATCCACCAAGCTGCCGCATCCACCACAGCCGCCGCATCCACGAGCAACCGCCACAGCCAGCAGCAGCCGCCACAGCCGCTGCATCCACGAGCAGCCGCCATAGCCAGCAGCAGCAGCCGCCACAGCCGCCACAGCCGCCACAGCCGCCAGCAGCCGAGCTGCCGCCACATCCGGCAATATGCTGAAAATTGTGTGATGAGATGATAAGGATGAGGCTCCGGGAGGTGAGTGTCAATTTGCGTGGTGCAATCCTAATGTAAATGGAGCAATCAGGGTAAGGGGTGGCGAAATAAGGGTAAGACTTCCAGAGTGCAATCCCAATGTAAGTGAAGCAAATAAGGTTAAGGATTCGAAAAATACAGGGAAGACTTCCGGACTGCAATCCTAATGGAATTGGAGCAAATAAGGTTAAGAACCTGGAAATTCACAATCAAAAGAATTAGATGATTCTATTCATTTTCTTATTATGTGGACTTTCTTAACCTTATTTTGCTCCGTGCCTATAGGATTTGCCCAACAAGCTCCTAACAGTATTTTGAGATGTCTTAACCTTATTTGGCTCCGTGCCTATGGGATTTGCTCAACAAGCTCCTAACAGTATTTTGAAATGTTTTAACTTTATTTTGCTCCGTGTCTATAGGATTTGGCTCCAAAATCTGTTCTCCACACCAAGGGTAAAATGGCAAGGGCGGAACATTTGGCTCCTTGCGAATCTCTTTGGTCGATTCTTTCAGCTGCTGCTTCAGCACGGCCCTTGCTGCGCGTAAGGCTGGCAACTGGTCTTGTCCACGAGTGAGTGGTGCAGCTCCAGCTGGCACTGCGGCAGCTGGTGCAGTGGCAGCTGCATCATCCGACATGGTAAAAAGAGAAGTAGCTGAACCACGGTGGGTTCCAAACGCTTGAGGCTTTTGTAGCAAAAAGGCTGCAGAACCCATTGGTCATCCCAGCTGCCCTGATGCATTTCCTGTACCATCTGCGTTGCATGTGAAGATGTTTGGGTAGTTTTCTGGTAAAAGTATCAAGAAACAGTTTATAAATATGTATTATGTGAACCTGTAGTGTTTATACTATGACAAGCACGGCTTGGAACCATCACTGATACAGGGCCTACATTTCCAGCCCCCTAAAATGAAACCTTGGAAGCTTCAAGGCCATGGGCCCTCACAGTAAGTGGATATATTATATATATATAATATATAATTATATGTAAATAGTTCCTGGAACTCTGCAAATAGTTCCTGAAATCTGCAACTAGTTCCTGGGTCCAAAAGCCAGAAAACAGAAAGGCCCAAATAAAGAGGCCAACGCCATCCATGCAAGATGGTGGGGTTAATGTGGATGATATAATCAGTTGGAAAACAACACATCTTCAACGCATCTAAGCATCATCCTTCAATGAAAGGCCACCAATTTTCACCTTGAAACCGGTATGACCTTGGTCCACCATCATCTGCAAATCGTCTCGCAGCTCCTGCTCATCCTTACCTTCACGGTAATAGCCACAGGTTGCATAGCATGGCACTTCGTCTCGAAATCCTTGGATTTGCTCAACTTCCCCTGTTTCCGTGGATTTCCCATAGATTTCCCATAGAAAAATAGGCCAAAAAACACAACTCTCGACTCAGCAGAGAATCCACCGAAGAGTTTGTACAAAGGAAGGTTGGCAGCCTTCCCCACAATGTCCCAACATGCCAAATCCACTGCAGCGCTTAGACGTATCATAGCTTCTCGGGACCAGCCTTTTTCACTGGCCACCTGAGGCTATGGCAGCTATGGCTTGCTCCCAATACACCCAGGTTACCAGGCGTGATAATTTGGTAAATAAAGAGGTAAGACATGGTAAAACCATGCACAACCACGTGTTTCTTCTTCTTGTATGGCAATCGCTTACCATCCTTTGCCATCATATACCTCCCGGCTCCCGGTTACAAATTTTATCACAAGCCATGGATTTCAAGATTAATTCATGGTCACCATGGTCACTTCGGAAATCCCCGTGTGTTCCACCTTGTTGGCCGTGAGTCTGAACATCTTTTGGTACAGCCTCTCAGGGGCCAAGGCATCTTCCCCCAGGATCCTTGGATTTGAGGATCGGCCCAGAACAAAAACGCCAGATTCGTCTCTATTTCCTATAGATATCTTAGAGATATCTATAGGTTCCCCATGATTCCCCATTTTTTGCCAGGGCTTCTCAGAGGATTTGCCCCATGATTCCCCATGGAAAGAAAACATCAACAATGGATTTGCAATGATTTACCCATGGAAAAATCAAAACACCAGTGGATTTACTCTATGATTTAGATTGATTTAGCCATGGAAAAATCATGAAAAATCATCATGAAACAAAATCACCATCAACAAATCGAAGGAATCAGCTCAGATAGCCCGCTCTGCCAGGGCTTCACCAAGGGTTCGATGGCACTGTAGCTGCTGGCTAAGCCGAAACCTTCCAATCCCTGCTGGGTGCGAAGACGCACTAAGATCTCCTAAGTCGTGGCAGCTTCAAGTTATGGCCCTGCAGTTTCAACAATCTCCTTGAAACATTGTGAAGAAATAAATGGGATAATAATGGGCATTAGAAGACTGTAATAAATGTCATGGCAAACATGTAATTGGATCCCCACTATTCTCCACTCATATATAGATTGGGCATTATTTGATTTTGTTTAGTGGAAAATCAAGGCCATGGCGTGCATGTATGGCAAACAAACGCTCTTGTCCCTTACACTCCACTCTGCCAAGCACAACGACAGAGACGTTCGTGTTTCTCACTTGGAGTGACATGACAAAACACATGATTGCATCAAGAAGTTTCATATTATATGTTTGCCAACATTTGAATGCAAACTCCCGTCAATTTGTGTACTAACTGATAAATTGACTACACAGGGATGATATGAAAACAAACAAAACTAATGCGGTAAACCCAAGAATGAACCATCCTCAATTCTATGTGGGATGTAAAACGCACCACAATTGGTTGATTCATAGGATGCATTGACCACATTAAACCCCAGCGAGTCGCATTTCCCGGAGGTACTGGAAAGAAGGCCGTCCAATGAGGTCGCGCAATCTTGGGACCTCGCAGGGCGTAAACCTGGAGACTGGCGATGCGCGCCATGGCAGCTCAAATGTGGCAGGTGTCCGGTGGTCGCGAAAACCCTTTTTTAGTCATGATAGTCATGTGAATGTCTAAATTTGAAAAACCCAAACCTACAAGTGCTCTTTAAAAAAAAGACTCCGCAAGCCACACGAGGGAAAACTGAACAGCTCTGCTGTTTGTGCTGTGTGGCTCTTGATGTCTTGAGCGGCTCAGCTTGAGATCGAGCAAACTGCAGCTAGGCCCCTGCGCACTCGGCTAGCGATCAGCCACCGTCACTCCATGGGTCTGCAAATGGGTTGTATTACCTCCTTACATATCTTTTTTGCTTCCAAAACCAATAACACCAAAAGTCCTTAATAGATGTATCAACAGGGAAAAAAAAGTACATCACAAAAATGCCAAAGATAGATTCAAATAGCTGCGAATAGCCAAAGCCATAGCCATCACGAAAAAAAATAAATATGTGTTTCTTTTCCGTTGCCATTGTTGAATGTGATTCCAGATATCCTGCACCAAAGTCCACCGCCGAACCCCCCTGCCTGCGTGGACCCAACCGGTTGTCCCATTTGGATATTCGGCCGGCCATTGGGCACATAGCTTCCTTGCACCACTGTGGCTTGCACCACCTGAGAAAATCGGTCGCACCTCCAAATTTAGAGGGTCATGGCACCCAAATCTGCATGAAAACCCCTGGGTCTTGTGAAGCTTGACTCACAACCATATACTAGGGGAATGGATGGTAAATGCTGGTAGTAATAACTAATAACCAATCTTATTGAATCTTATTGATGTCAGGAATATGTAATGGGGGGAGCCGCCTCAACAGTCCAGGAAAAGCTTGGCCCCTGCCCTGGTCGTCATAAAGCAAAACCAAAACACCAAAAATGGTATGCTGGATCTTGCCTGAGTAGGCTGAAGTATATTAAAATTGGGCTATTCACATTTTAAAGTAACAATATCGCCAGAACTAAATTAATGCTATCATCAATATTTTTGCACGCACCCCTATGAACCTACATGGGTTTGAAAGTGTGACCCAAATGATGGGCATTTCAAATATACACCGGAGACATATCTGGTTATAGCTGAAATAACACTGTATCAATAATATCACGTAAATATACCAATACAATAAAATATAATATTCATTATTAATCATTATATTATATCTATATCTATCTATCTATATATATAATTATTTTATAAATATAAATATAGATACACATATCAATATACTTGTAGTTCCAATTATATATACATATATATATAAATATAACTATAGCTATAGTTATAAACATGATGACGATTAACATTCAAATTATGGTAATACATAAAAATGATATAATTATATATAGTTATATTTTATTATATTATATCAATTTAAAATTATATCATATATATATATATATATATGTCATCATGCGTGTGTAGCTCAACCCGCGAACTCGGAAGCTCCATATTCACAGTGTCCCGAACAGAGGTGGTGGGAAACAGGGGCGATGCGGCGATGAGATCAATCCGATTTTTTGACAATAGACAAACCATCCAAGAGTCCAAAGATGTCCAAAATCCCAGGTTTCTAAGCATCATGTACTACATGTACCATTGGTTTCTAAGTATCATGTACCATTATGATCCATTATGTACCATTGTCATCCATCTTGAAAAGGTTTGGCATTGGCCGAGCTGCTCGGTTGGGATTGGGCCCGTGGCAATCAGCCATGCTGGCTGCAGCTACTTTGAGCCCAGGATGCGAGGTGCTTGATTGGGTATCTCGTATCCCCATGTATCCCCAACTTAGACTTACCATTAAAATAGGAACATGACGATTCACCATGAAACTTTAGGAGTGCTCTAAAGTGCCCAATCAAGCCTTTAGAGTACGTAGAGGACATGTGATGCTTTTGTTCTGAGATCTGGTAATCATTTAAAATGCAATGTACAGTTGCATAGCAAAGTCTCAAGATTTAACCTGGCTGGTTTGGCGTTTGTCTCGGCCAACGTTTGGACAAACCATGGCAGAGAATTCATCATCTCCAGCACTCCTTTTCCAGATCTTCCTTCACACCTGCGAAGCTGGAGGGGGAATTACATGGATTTACCAGATTTTACCAGTAATAAATTGGCAATCTCATGGATTTCTTACTGGAATACGTGCGGAAATCACCAATCAATGGGTTGACTTCACGGAAACCAGGATTTTTTCCACCAAGATCCACCAAGTATCGGGGGTTCTGCCGATCCCATCGCCAGGCAAAGAACTCCAGAGGGAAAAATCGTCTAAGGAGGAGGAATCATGGCTATAATAGATAATAACTACCCCCCCCAAAAAAATAGGAAAGTGTTTACAGGAGGGTATCGATGATATTTATCTCATATTTCATCATATTTCCAGGTATTTCCAGGTGTTTCAACGGTTCTTTTTATATTGATCTACATGGGGTTTGCTATAATATCTTCTTTGGGCTGGCGCTCTCCAAAAAAGTAAATGCCAGCGCTCTTCTCTTGCCGTTGTTCGTACAGCAAGAGGCATGCACATCCGTCTTTTGTATCCTGCTTTTGTTGTAGCTATACTATACCAACGATGGCTTCACATTTCATCCACCAAACCCAACACAGATAACCCAACGAAGGCTGCCAGGTCTGGATATTTTTGAGAGGATTCCACTCACTAACTGAGGTCCCTATCATTTCCAGACCCTCCCAACCCCGATCACCATCTTGAGATCAGCAGTCAAGCTGAAGTCGAGCTTGACTAACGCGACTTGGCAGGTCAGCACCCACATCGGCCACTGTCTATCCTCTGGTATTTTAAGATAGCTATGAAACCATCATTTCTTATAGGTACATCATCTACAAATGGTACCCTCTGGTTATTTAACGTAGCCATGGAAAATCACCTTTTTTAATAGGTAAACCATGTATAAATGGGTCATTTTCCATGGCTAGGTTAAATTACCAGAGGGTAATTGTTCGTTCTTGACACCACTTGAAAGGCCGACGGTTGAAACCAGCGACCTTCTGCATCTGCCTTCTCCTTGGGGCCACTGGGATCCAAGGATCATAACTGGTTGCGACAAGTGGGGGATAGAACCCAGTCATAAATAGGACAAGCCCACTTTGGCGACTGAAGTAGGGTTACTAGTAATTCAAGTGGGATGACATGGGATGACTGTCCAAGTATCCAGGAAATTCAAGGACTCAATTCCGGGGTTTAACCCTTTCACTCCTGCTTTGAGCCTCTTCCTGAGAAAAAAACCTTGTGTTTCCTTCCATCAAATTTATGAGTACCTGAAGGGGCACGGTCAAGGTTTGGAAAGCTGTCCAGTGTGGCGCTTCAATTTCAAAAATCCTTCAATTCTTTTTAACTCGATTTTACCAATACTTGTTTGGATGTAAAGAAACCGCAACCTGCAGGTTGGGAGGCTCTTGGTGGTTTGTGATTCCCCAGCTAGAAGTCTAACATAGTCTAACCGTTTCTGGGGTGAATGGTAAACCATCTAATTAAATCTAATTCCAAAAAGGCTAAACATCAAGGTCTGTATGGCAACCCAATCCAGGTAGTCCTTCTTCTTGGCAGCAACCCATTGAGCTTGCTTAAGGGCATCCTGTTGGCGACATGGCTTTTGCCTCGAAAAGAGGGCCCCCCCAAAATGGACACTGAAATAGGGAAAATATGGGAGAATGAGGGCAAATCATGAGGTTTGGGGTTCCAATTTTGAGACACGCCCACGTCACTGTGTGTCCTCTCGCACCCACTCTGGAACATTCTTCAGAACCTAAGTCTGGACCAGGAGAGAGAGCCATCTGCCTGGGGACCTTCAATATAGATGTTACAAAATGGGTGATACTCGTCATTGTATGGCAAGCCTGATCTATCCATTGATTCTTGAGGTAACTGCGAATATCATGTGTTTCCAAATTAGCTGGCATTTCACCAATCCCCAGCTCCTGATAGATCCTGCAACATCCGTGGTCAGCTGTTGACGAAACACAAAACTAGGATACATACTGTGTACATATCATATATATATATATACAATATCCCTATGGATCCAAACATTGTCTGAGAAGGTACTTAGCCCATCCTAATCCTCTAAATCATACCCCAAGTACTTCCTAAGAAGGTACTTGGATCCATAGGGTATGATAACACTGGGATATCAAACTCATATTCCTCCATGTCTGGTTGTCATGTGGTTAGCTCATTGGATCCCCATAGCTCGTAGGGTCGTAGGGCCCACCCATACCACCTTGGCTTCTTAACCATCCAATAGCATACCCATATCGAGCTGGCTATCTGTTCCATGAACCGCGATTGAATCCCCACAAAATGATGGGTAAATCCCTATGTATATATATATATACACAATGCATATATCATATCAGATATATATCTATATGGTATATATCATATATATATATATATCATTACACAGACAGTACATTCCATGTTTGATGCTTAATTCCCCATCAAATCATCACCAAATCCCAGATTTGACCCATTCTGGGCCACCCACTTTGTTGGCCAACAAGCCCTTCTCATCTGCCAGGCGCTGGTACCGCGCCAGCTTGCGTTGAGCCACCACCAACCTGGTTAAGCACCACCCACGAACATTAGACCCCCCAATCATAGGGGCCCGGGTTCAGGGAGTTGGCTACAAAAACTGATTGGTCGTTGAGCCACCCATGTGAAAAAAAAACTATTAATGTCATTGGACATCATCATCTCAAATATGGTGTTGAACATTGAAAGAAAATACTGGGCATTTAAAACCATTTAAAACCACCAACCGAAAAACGGATGGACATGTTGATAAACCTTTGGCCTGTTCACCCCCTGCACAACATATAATCTGATTTTTATCTAGGAGAAACGGTAAACCCATCGAACACCAAAATAGCTATCACGTCTATGTCATGTGTACTCCAATGCGTTCAGTTTCGATCCCTCATGAAAAAAAATCAGGTCTGAGTGATTGATCATGTATATATATATAAATATTATACATAAGATATTATGAGAATACGTACACCTGGAACCACCACTCATGGGGGCCCTCTTTCACTGGGCCATGACTGGCTGCTACTAAACGTTACAAAATGTAGCAACTGCCTCCGTGGCGTGAAAGGAAACAAATCCAACATATATTCTCATATGGAAAGTCTTTCATGTTTTTGGAATGAACCTGGTTTAAGGGAAAATCTGCCGGAACCCACTTTCTTGGTGCTGATTAGAAACAATGGTTCCGTGTAGATTTTCCCTAAAAGGTTCAGTGATTTTTCCCCCGTGCCAGGACGTGTTGGGTGCCAGGACTCTCGTTGGTTTGCTGCTAGGCGGAGTTCTGTCATTGCATCCTTGGTGCACCAGTCTGTTGTTACTGTGTTCTGATGTATCTTCCCATCCAAATGGCCAAAAACAAACCAAAACAACACTCATGATATTAGTGAACGTTTTTTTTGCAAAATCATGTGCCGATAACCGATATATGTATGTATGTAATGTATGTAATGTATGTAATGTATGTAATGTATGTAATGTATGTAATGTATGTAATGTATGTAATGTATGTAATGTATGTAATGTATGTAATGTATGTAATGTATGTATGTATGTATGTAATGTATGTATGTATGTATGTAATGTATGTATGTATGTAATGTATGTAATGTATGTAATGTATGTAATGTATGTAATGTATGTAATGTATGTAATGTATGTATGTATGTATGTATGTATGTATGTAATGTATGTAATGTATGTAATGTATGTATGTATGTATGTATGTAATGTATGTAATGTATGTAATGTATGTAATGTATGTAATGTATGTAATGTATGTAATGTATGTAATGTATGTAATGTATGTAATGTATGTAATGTATGTAATGTATGTAATGTATGTATGTATGTATGTATGTATGTATGTATGTAGGTATAACCCATATAATATATATATATATAACTAAGGGCTCCTGAACCTGTCTACCGCCCCTGTGCCCCGAGCTCCCCCACCAGCTCGTCGGTGGGCCGGGCCAGGCGAGCAGCAACAGCCTATGACGTGGCAGTGAATCCAAGGTGGTGCCCCCCAGTGGTCCAAGGTGGTAGATAAACCATAATAAGCATAGATATATCCCACCACCTTGGGTGAATCCACTGTAAGTATAGATATATCACCCAATTTATAATCCCGTTATTGGGTGAATCCAGTTATAAATTGGTTCATAAACAAAACAAAGATATAAGCAAATATAAAACCAATTTATACCTAGGTATAATCCAATTTATAACCATGTTGTTGGTTCATAAACCATAGTATAGATATATCACCAACAAAAACCATAGTGAAATTGGAGATATAAATGCACCAACTTAGCAAACGAACTGAGGCACCATCTTGCATCATATGATTTTAGTTTGGGATTGGCAAATCCTAAAATAGTGAGTTCTTACTTAATCATATGTTTTTTGGCATTGGGTCACCATTTTAGGATTGGATGTGTACTTTTCTCATATGTGTTTGTTTTCGTTCGGGTGGGGTGGTTATATACAATATATAGGTAACAACAATATTTTAGATACAAATGAACATGCATGTTGAAACTTATGGCTATATCATTGGTACATACCAATATGTTCTCCATGTATGATAATTGGTTTACCTATTACACATATTTAAATATAGTATAGTATGCACATTAGGGTGATGTTTGGGCCAAATGTTGGTAAATATTCCAGCACCCCAAACAAGTACTTGGGATTTTTCTCAACGCTCCCAAGTTCCACAAGTAACTTGTCGATGTTGGAACTCACCAGCTCCCAGGTCCCAGCGGAGATGGAACCTCTGAGCTACGTTCCAACCTGGACTTGTGGACTTTCTCTCCTGCCTGAAACACTGGACCCAAAAGAAGGCGAATCAGCTGGGGCAGGTGTTAGGTTGCAATTTCACCAGTTCAGGTATAGTACGCCTGAAATATATTTGACATAATAAGGTATAGAACAGCATTTCCAGGATGGCGCAGGATGGCATAGATTAGCTCACTTTTCCAGGCTTTCAACTCTTCGATCTGTTTTGGGGTTGCTGCACAAGTAAATAAAACTAAATAGAATATATACATATAATATATACATATTAAAAAAACATATATATATATATATTAAATAAATATATATATAATATAGGTCATAATAGGTCCATGTAAGGGAATACAGAACTAAAATATGGGCCTATGAGGCGCAGTAGCGACTTTTGAGTGTACCTGAAATGTGTCATTGGCGACTTTTGTGGGTGAAGCTTTATGAAAAAAAATGGCTGGGGTGCACATGCTTCTCCCTGCTCCGGCCTGCATTTCTTAATATTTCTTATATAGGTCTCATCATGTTATACCGGTAATCCTAATTAAAAAAAAAAAATATAAATTCTATTAACTGGCCCCAAAACATCAGGAGATCCAAGGCATTCAATACTTCTTCGTTTACATTAGCTTGGATTTGCCCCCTTGGGCAAAGATATACAAACTATCACCTTCCCCATGGTGATTTCCCGGAAAAAGCAAGCATCACCTTCAAACTCAGGGGGCCCATGGTCCCAGGTCTCATCGCCTCTCCAGCTTGTCGTTTCTTCTCCAGCAACTTCAATCGGTCCTACGTGACGTCATGGCTGGCCCATGTACCCCAAATGTGCGATACCCAAAGCGGGTGCATCAAAGAGGACACCGGAATTTCCATGAATTTCCCCTTAGAAATGGACTCAACTTTGGTATGAGAAAACATCCATGGATAATCCATATGGAGATGTTCCAGGTGAAGCCCGAGACGATCATCCCCTTCCGGGATGTCAAGACCCATGGCCCCCATACCATCCTATACCCTCTGGAACATGGCCCCATGATGATTTACACATTTAACATATGTTGAAACATGTTCCCTTGATGATTTACGTAAAATTTACGTATTTATATAACATATGTTGAAACTGCGATTTTTCCATGGCAAACTGTTCAAGTTCAGCTAGTCAATTGGGATCCTCCCAAAATCACAACAGGTAGGATCCAGGTCCTCCTCACGCAAGAGCCAGTCAGGGTATTGAATCCTGAGATGGGCAAATTAAATGGGCTACAAAAAAGATGTTGCGCTTCACTAATCAATATATAAACGTGTTTAATGTTGATTTATACCTTGTAACGGTGTACGGAAACTTTGACCAAAACTCCCTACGGGGTGGCTGGATTTTGAGTGGGTGCCAGGTAAGCAAACCATTTTGGCCCCTTTGGCTTTTTGAGACTCTCTCGGTGATGGGAACAGAAATAATGGACTCCGACCAGCCAAGACACCCCGGGAGGTGCTTCTCCGTTGAACCGTCGCTGCGGACATGTTGCACCTCATGGCCTGCCGGTCCAATGAAGGTGCCAAACAAAATGTGGCACAGGCGCCTTATATTTTTTATGGGTATATACGGTATATACGTATTACCTTAAGGGTTGTTTCTTATGTTAAAAAAATGGTCCTGAAATTTCCATAGAATGGTAGAATGGGACAACCAGTAACAATCTGAATACTGAATATTGCATGCAACTATTTGCAGCATACCGCAGCATCGTAGGGAACATGTCCCAACAGGGGAAACGTTTGGGGTTTTGTCTCAAAGTAGGGGACCCACAAAACGCATGGTTGCTCATCATCTTCCTTATTTTTTAATGACCAGTGTAACAGGCTGGTGTCTCCCAAATTTGGCTCTTGACCCATACATAGCTCGTCAAACCGTCAGCTAAATCCGACCTGCTTTCACCAGCTCTTCTGCAATCACCTGACGATTGTCCTGGGCACGAACTACCAGGCTCCCTAAGTGATACTTTCTGCAAGGTAGTGTCAAGCCCGGATGAACAAAGCATGGTTTGAAAGTTAGGGGGGTTCTCTCCAAACAGTGATACTCTCATACTGCAATGATATGGTACCCCCAACTCAAACAGCCGAAACTTTGGGAAAGCCCAGGCTCGTCTTTCCAGAGCTCCTCACCTGGCCGGGCGGAGACCAACTCCAATGGATAGGACCTGGATAGAAAAGTAAGCTCGGGCCAAGACTAGTGTGGTAAAATTAAACCCGTTCATACCTTTTCTATCTTTCTGGACGTTACTACATTACATATAGTTACTATAGTTGAACAGTAAGAATGGGTCGCTGTATCAAATATAATCACAGCATGCGGAGGATGTTGATAAAGACGGAATGATGGCTTTCTCAGGATTGGTGACTTGCAAAGCTGATGGCTTTGACGCATATAGCAGTTCACATTGTTTGAAACATCCCTAAGACAAGTACAAAAACTGAGCTCAGAGTAAAACAAAAAATACAAGTAGCTGCAAGACGTAAGGCCATATAAACCATTATCTTTTGGCTACCAAACAACCTCAAACGATGCTCAAACACGTTCTGCCGTTGACTCACAGTTCACAGACTTGCCATCCTCTTAGTGGTGCTGTGGTCGACTCTGAGAATCCGCGCTTCCCAAAAATGCAGTGCGCTTCCTGCCCAAAGCGAGCCACCGAAGCGGACCGAGGCGGACCTCTGCCCTGAGAAATTACGAACCAACCATGCCATTTCAACACAAGCCTTCTGCCGTTTAGAATGATCATTAATTCGAAAGACTCTTTTAATCTCGGCACCGCGCACCTACACACACAGACACATTGTCTTCAACAGCAACGCTCAAGAGCACCTGTAACCTTTGAGATAAGAACCACTCCTTAACCTTCCAGGCCCCAATCAAATGAATAAATTTCCGATCAACTCAGCTTGTGCATTTTTTAAAACATATTAATGCTCTCAGATCATAGATCCCGAGCTGTACCTTGGTTGATTGACATGACGCGACTGGCATCGCCGACTCTTGGATGAATCTCACAAGCTGCTAATTCCATCATTCAACCAAGTTTGGCGGCTTCAACCCTGCAAAGAAACTTGAGAGGGGGAACACGAAAGGTAGGTAAGCAAGAAAGGAACCGAAGAAAAAATGAAGGGGAAAGGGCAGGGAAAAAAACATAAAGATACATAAAGTGGATTCTGGTAAAAGCGACGCGGCCATTTTCTTTCCAAAAATATGAAGGGGAGTCTGGTAAAAACCACTGAAAGGCTTCGGCGATGTGGTTAGGGTTGGTGGTGGTTGTGGTGTTGGTGTTGTTGGTCGTGTTGTTGGTGTTGGTATTGTTTGTGTTCCTGTTGTTGTCGTTGTTGTTGTTGCTGTTGTTGTTGTTGTTGCTGCTGCTGATGGTGTTGTTGTTGTTGTTGTTGCTGTTGTTGTTGCTGCTGCTGCTGATGGTGTTGTTGTTGTTGTTGTTGCTGTTGTTGTTGCTGTTGCTGCTGCTGCTGCTGATGGTGGTGGTGTTGTTGTTGTCGTCGTCGTCGTTGTTGTTGTTGTTGCTGTTGCTGTTGGTGTTGTTGTTGTTGGTGTTGGTGTTACCCCTGCAGCGTTTTTGCTCGGTTCCGTAGTGGCCGAAAATCGTCAAATCGGTGGTGTTTTCGCGTGTTTTTGCAACTCTCGGAGCAAAAAACACCGTAAATACCAATGTTTTTGGCGGGTCGGAAGCCCAAAACCACGGTATTTACGATGTTTTTTGCCTCTGGTAGTAAAAAGCACGGTATTCACAGTGTTTTTTGGCCAGCACCTGGCAAAAACACTGGTATTTACGGAGGTTTCACCATGTAGCAAAATGTGGTTTCTTGATCCGAAAAGAACACAAATACTGTAAATTACAATGTTTTGAGTCTCCTCTTAGGGTGCGTGGGAGGTGTGGAGGAGGGGGGTGGGGGGGGTGAGGTAGCTATCCCCTTTGAGGGAGCCCTGGAATATGTACAAACACCTGAGTCAGCGTGAGCGACTGCACTTCTTTTCTACGCAAGATTCTGCTAGTCTTGAGCCATGCGGAGTGCGCATGAAAGATATGAATTAAGTGTACATGTCAACATGCATGACAGCATTGTGTAGACACGTAAAACAAAATAAATCACAGGGGGGTGGGGGGGGGTACTAAAATGACTAGCAATCTCCTGAAGAATCAGGTAACGGGGCTGGCCGCCCTCCCCTTTACTTCGTAAAGTAAAACTCAAGGTAGCCCCTCTGGAGCTACCTTTCGTGAATTGTCATTGGTCATTAGTCGTTGTTGTCATCATCGTCGTAGTCATAATACTCATCCTCATCCCAAAAAACATGGTTGAAAATCAAAACCTTGCAATCACCAACTAAATGGATGTGTTGGACCATGGGGCATACTGGTGGAACCAGAAATTAGATTTTAAGCACACTTGATGATCAATCATGATCAACCATCAAATTTTGGTCTTCCCTGTTACTTGGGGTTGCATTTTTTGGATATAAACCATGGGTATAAACCCTCATAAGTTGACACACACATATATATATATATTATGTATAAACATATATATATATATATTATGTATACACATATATATATAATTATATATATATGCCCTGTAAATATGCTTAGATATCCACTTACAACATCTTATGCCTGGAACTGCACTTCCAAGCAGGGACCTAGTTCCGACCGGTGCCTCTTGGCTTGCCACGCCAGTTCGACCAAGGTATGACGACCTTCGTCGCTCCTGACATAGCAAGGGAACATGGCCATATTTAATATGAAATTGTATGATGATTGTCAAATTGTCCATGGCTATGTCAAATTCAAATAACCAAAGGGTAGCATCTAACTATAATCCAACGATATCTCAAGCTATCCTCATTCTTTGGTGAACGCTGTGCCAGATTTTTGTGCGATTGTGCATGTAGTGTATAGCAAGGCAAGCATCATTCTGGAGGAGCGATAACCGTTGTCGCATGATCTTATCCATCTTTATAGCCCCCACAAACCATGGTTTAGTAGGGGATTTACACCGATTTGCGACCATGTAGGGGGTGTTTAATATTACGAGACTGGACTGATTATGTTATTCCCTTGGCTGATGCTGTGCATACGCCTCAGTAAAAAAACAATTCGAGGTAGACCAGCTTCTTGCCAGTCGTCAGATTTCGTTTGGAGTGACAATTTTGAGATCCATCTGCATCAATCGTTCGGTTGAAACTATCCAAAGCTGTCAAGAACCCTGAATGTAAAATGGTGATTTTCCCTAACACACTGTTAAATTACCAGGGGGGTATCAATATGTGTTTGCAACTTTTGGCCCCCATGAACTTCAACCTCACGTCCCATGTCATCCAGGAAGCACCTGACGTGCGCCAGCGTTCCATAGGCACTCTCCCGACCAATCGGCATGGACTTGAAAAACACGCCCCGAGCACGGCCTCAGGTGTGAGAGACTTTTTTGGGGAATGCAGTACGCAAAAACCCTGCGTGGGTGACGGGTTCTGTTACAGGCAAATAATTAATTTAATGGTAAACAATTCTCATAGTAATCCTTTCCCATGCGGATGATCTTCCATTTCTCTCTCCGTCGCCTTCAGGTCACCCTGCCCTAGCATGGCTAGGAAGCGAGATTGGATTGTATTGGTGTTTTAACATGTTTTAACGTATTTACATGTATTTACTGAGGCATTCTCTAATTCCTAATCTTCAGCTTGTCTGAACCTCCTATAATCTGTACTTGTTTTCTATAGCTCAGTCAATACCTTGTTGGTCAGTCCCCATTTGCTTCATGACCAGTTCGCTAGTACGAAAGAGGTTCGGCTAAATCCTCCGGAATGTCTCTTTGGAAGGAATCATATGGGTACGGCTTCGAAGGACCAAGAATAGAAATCTACACTGTGACAAAGTAGAATGAGAACCAATTATAACATATCATGTTTTCACATGTTTTCACCATATTTCACCTCACATACGTTTCGATGACTTCCAGTGGGAAGCTCAAGCATCGGGGGCACTCACTGATGGTATGAGATGTCAGGATTACCCTCTGAACCAACCAACAAAATGTAGATACATGATAATATATGATGTTTAAGTTTAATTTCGCCGATATTTCTGGCAGCCGGCAATATGTTCGCCTAAACCATCTCCCGGAAATGACATGTCTGTGTCCGACCACATCGGCTCGTTTTGCCCAGCAGCATTGTCCACGTAGAGACGCGATGCTGAACCGCTGATGCCGGGAATGGAATTCGCCCCTGACGAGGCACAGAACTGGCTCCGTGTCTCTGAAAATAGGCTACCCTCCGGTAATCAAACCTGGCAATGGGAAATCATCCATAAATGGAGGTTTGAATGAGATCATATGGGAACACCATCTATAAATGTGTCATGATACATATTACACACACACACATATATATACAACTATATATTATAAAGTTGATGGGTATAAATCAACCTTTAGGTATACACATGGCAATTTTGATAGAAACAATGTAAAACAATGATAATTATCCAAAGGGTCTTGAGATGCTTTCTCTCTCTCTCTCTTCATCGCCTTCTCTGAAGAGTTCAGCCAACTTAGCTCCCATGATTCATCCGGAGGGCCCAGCCTGTAGTCCGTAGGTCTGATGTCGTAGAGCACCCTGGCCGAACTTGGGGCGAAGCGCGAAGCGGGTCACGTGTACCATGATACCCCGAATGTCAGACCCGATGGGCCGATGGGCCCCTCCTGATGGAATGGCACTGAAGCATCTCCCAAAAGTCCTGTCGGCTCCGGTCGACTGGCATATCTCAGGAATCGGCAACGCATGTTGAGTTCTTTGAATGTACACCTAAATCCACTGGTTAATCATCATTATCCCTATTTAAATAGCCATACTGCGGTGTATGCCCCATTTTCAGACCCATGTGTAAATTGGCACATGAGTGAGCAATAATAACGATAGAAATGTGCACAAGCTTGAGCAAGGAAGCTGTTTCCCATCTCACAAGCATATGAAAAACCTCCCCATATGGCCCTGCAAAAGGAATAACGTAGATCCAACAATAAACCTCCATGTTTTTTTGGTTTTAAGGGGAGGTATCTATATCATATGTGCGGATTCCATTCCATTGGCGTCCTTCTGGCTTGGAAGCGGTACCCCCACATGGCATAGGCAGGCAGGCAGGAAAGTAGATTATTATGCACATATGTTCATCAAAACAGACTGGATCGAAAATCAACAAAGACTGTATATGTACGGAACAATCCACGTCCAATGATGCTTGTTCATAACCATATTGTTTTAATTTCTTACCCTCCAGTAAATTAACATAGACCCCGGCAGATAGGGGTTGGAAGATTAGTTTCCACTAAACATGTGTGATTTTCAGGGTCTATGTTAATGTACCAGAGGGTTTTAATATGAATAACGCATTTGTTTTGATCCATGCCATTTGGTATACAATTAGCCACTAGGCCGTTGACATCGGGGCGTCCTTCTCAAGCATATCGCCATGTCCAACCTGGATCTGAAGAAGTCTTACCCTCTGGCAAACGTACTAACATAACTATATAGAAAATCACCAGTTTCAACAGGTAAATTCAACTCACTCACTCTCTCTCTCTCTCTCCATCGCCATCTCAGGAGATCAGCAGTCAACTATTAATTGCTATTTTCAATAGCTATGTTAGTTTACCCTTTAGGGTGTCTTCAAGTGATACAGGAACACACAAATCCACTGCGAAGATCGCCCCATGGGCCCCTTGGGCTCTCCAGATCCCAGAAACGGAGTAGAGGGTCACAGGATCCATCTTCCTCGGATCAGAACCTATGGTCCGTTCATGGATGTTTTATGGTCCAACCCGTGCCGAATCCTGAAACAAAGGGGATTTTTGAAGAAAATATTCATGGATTGATGATCATGGCACACATAAATGTGCAGTTAGTATCAGTTAGTGAGGTAAACAGTCAGAATAATCAGAACAGGCGAAACAGTGCAGTACAACGCACATGCTCAATGATCAAATTCAACCCATCCATCACCTCCAAAACTTGCGTCACCAAAAAATGCGAAAGAAACGCGTCAAACAATAAAGACAAGTTCCTGGTATATCTTAATCGATTTGCTGTTAAGAAAGGAAACGCAATGAAAACCAGGTATTGCCTTAATTATCCCGTTTTACCCTCTGGCAATCAAACATAGGCTCGAAAAATTCGATAGATAGGCATCTAAATCTACATGATAAAGTCATCTGTAAATGATGGTTTTCCAGGCATGTTTGATAACACCAGCGGGTATATTGTATAAATAAAAACCGTTATAACCCGAAATAACCTACACATATCCCATTATATCCCGATTAATTCCCCACTATACCAAACCATGTTTGTTGGATACATCCCCATGGCCAAACTTGGCCGGTTATGGTGATTTTGCATTTATTGCAAAAACTCTAAAGGACTAAACAACTACCTACCACAGGTTGGGGATAATCCTCATGGTTGATTTTCTTGATTTCCCAATTGTTTTTCCTTGTCACTTCACCAGGCTTCTCCAGGGACAAATGCTCTCGCGAAAAGGGCGAGTGCATCAAATCCCCATGGCCATTCCATTTCTCAGCGTCGTCCATGGTGAACCTTGGACATGGCAGGATTAGGGTGTTACATCTATAGTTCATGGGGACTAGAAACCAACAACTGGGGTCTACCACCCTGTATGGCTCAGGTTGAGACTATATAATTCTATATGATTGAGATCATCCTGCAGCTTGTTTGTTTCCTTAAGTACTGTTTTGGAATATGGCTACGATGAAAAACCATGATTCGCCGCATCTTCAGGATGCTTAACTTGGAGATATTTGCTTGACACATGCAAGCCAAAAATGATGCCTTTGAAAGGGAATCTTGCATTTGGATGTGTGCCAGCTGCTGCATGGGTAATAACACTAGTGATAGGTGGGGATACAGTTATATATATTTCTTATATAATAACCCAATTGTCAACCATAGCTTATTGACCACAAGCACATACAAGCACTATATCATTGGGTCCCCCACCCCGTCCCCCACCCCCGAGGTACCCTGTCGGCGATTTCTGATACATGTCATCGCCGAGTGCGGCACGAACAGTGCAGCAGTGAAACGGCATGCCAGGCATGCCGCAGTGCGAAATCAGTTGCCAGTCACAACCTCTTGTAATCAAATGACAGCATATATATAGTAGCCATGGAAATCACCATTTTTCCCAGGTAAACCGTGTTTACAAACGGGCCATAGCTGCCATAGCTACTTTGGATGACCAGTTTGGGTGCCTAGAAATACCTAGAATACTGATAGTCTGATAGTCCAACTAGCTCAATTTCTGTGCCCACCTTCTTTGGTGTATTGTGGTTTACTGTTCATCTATTCAGTTCAAGCCACTGGAACACCGTCAGTGTTTGAAACCAACATTTCAATGACTTTTCGGTGACTTCTGCATGCGGCTCCCCCAGCGGGCAACACCGCATGGAGGCTTCCCAACTTTTCGTGTCTTGGGATGAGACACTTATCCCTGTACAGAAATTTGAGAATATACCATGAAAATCATGGTAAACCATACCAGCATCTTGGCCGCAGAACACCCGAATATTTGCAACTGTTGTCAAATCAAAGATCCAAAACACAATTCTCGAAACTGGGAATCCGTGCCAAAGAAATTCAATTGAGGTATGATAATTTTATGCCCAGCTGATTAAATAAAAACTGCGTCACAAATGACCAACGGCAGCCGTTTGTTGCATTCATCATGGCAATGTTGATTCGGGGAAAATGATCATATGATATCATATGATCATCCCCTTCTTTAAACACCCCGTATCATATTCATGCTTGGATTTTGGGATCACTACTCCCATGTGATCCCGCATTTGTACCATGGGAATTGCGTGTTTCAATGTATGTTTTAAGTTTTATTGTCATTTTTAATAGCTTTCTTACGCAACAAAGATCGGACAAACTTTCAGGCGACTTGCTCCCCAAGATGTGCATCATACCGCTGGTGTCTCAGCACTTGTCTAAACCCGGAGTGCAAAAGGCACCAGCGATGCCCGGGATTGAGATTGCGTCGCTGGTTCCGGTTCCATTCAACAGTGGCGCCAAGTGATCGATCAACGTCCTGCGTCAACTTGGAGGGACGTGTTTGAAGGGGTCTTCAACCAAAAAAAGCGCTTGAAATTTAGCAATTGAAAAATAGAAATAAAATCCTACTGATAAATCTCTTTCCATCACGTTCTACCTTCTTTCGGCGGTGTTATATTATCAATCATGTCCTGCAAATTTCACAAATGGTGGCTTGTCCATTGGGAAACTTTGATTTGTGCTGGAAATCATGAAAATTGCATAAATGGCCACCGCAACCTGCAAAATGTCAATGGCTTGAACTTATTTTAAAGTTAAGGTTACGAAAGTGTTGGGTACGGTATGATCAGCAAATGGCCATGCTGATCCTGAAGGCAACCACGCTATAGGCATCAATGACAATAAGAACCGACATGAACCGACATGAACCGACAATTCAGCCTGCAACAGTTGGGAGTTGCTTAGGATCATCATCCCATGCGGACACACAAAGCTCTGACAGTTGATCCCATGTCTTGAGGGAAAACACACGCAAACACATGTACATCTGAAAACACCAGAAATTGCGTGTAAGTGGGTTACACTCCCCACTGCCCGGATTTATCCGGATCTATAATATATATATAATATTATAATCTATACCTGTTTACCCTATGTGCAGTAATTATGTGCAGTATACTAGGCATGATAGTGCAGTCCTGTAGACCCCATGGTCTTGCGTCTCGTTGTGCAGTTTGGAAATTTCTTCTCGCACTTCGTGGAATCTCTCCTGCTTCCGTGCTCTTAGGATTCTGTGAGTTAATTGTCTGATCATTCATGGGTACTCTTGTATGGATTCTGAAATGGGCGCTATAGATCAAAGGGTCAAATGGTAGGATGGGCAATAGGTGATTTGCATTGCTCGGTATTTGGGTTGCTCCCTTTGAGCTTGGGGACCCTCAAATCCCTTGGTATTCAAGACTGGAATCGTGTAGAGACAATGGGGACTGGCAACCCAGAATTTGCGCCAGCCTCGATTTCCTCGATAGACCTAATTATATAATCTTGGAATAGGGCAATAGCATGCAATAATAGCTTTGGCGTTTTTAAAACCAACCAAACATGACATGTCAAACCCCAGCGAAAGAACAAACAGCAAGGAAATACACGCACTCTTGATGTATGATGATCATGAAAGTAGCACGAAGAGCACAGCCAATCGGTTTTGCGTTCATGGACTGCAGTTGGGCCGGGCCAAATCAGTGTTTCAACGCAGTGGTGCTAGACAAAGATGTCCCGCGAATCATGGCCAATCTGAAGAACCCCCTTCTAAAGCGTGGTGAGTCAATATTCCTACCCGCTAATATTAAACACCCCATTTAAAAGCTATGTGAGCTATGTGTACATCCCCTACTAAGCCACTGCACCAAGGGTTACCCAGGAAAATGGCTCCGTCGCCAAGGAGCCACCCACCACTCCACTGGAGCACTGAAGGGTCCATGGGAATGATGAAGCAAGGCATCACGGGCGGCTTCCTTAACTGCCTGGCGCCATGGAGTGGCAAAAAAATACCTCTAGTGGGCTGCAATGCCCACGTGGTGCGGATGTTGACTCCATTTGGCAACCCAGAGTCAACCCACATGTTCTTTCGATATCTTGGATACTGATCTTCTGAGATCTGCACAATCCAGTGGCAAATGGCTGCAGCGGCCACGAATAGATGCCAAATCACGTGGTGGATCGGCCTGGGAAATGAGATGGCTGAGCTGCCCATCTCTACAACATACATAAGCCAAGTTTGAATTTGGATTCTCATCGCAAATTGTTTGGAACATCGAAAACATACTGAACCCCATCTGCCAAATGATGGGCCTTGAGTCAACCAATGGAGGCTGAACGACAATTTCAGGGATATTGGACAAACATTTCACAGATATCGGAGCATGTGATTTTCAAAAACAGTGTTGTTCCTGGCATCTTTCCATGTTTTTTTTTTTTCTGGGGTCAACTTCCATGATAAAGATTCCAAAGCAGGTTCTATAGATCACGATTCTTCTTGAGGAACTGCTCTGTCTGATTAATAATCGCAACACACGGACAAGTCAGAAATAGCACATATACATGCAAATTGCAGTATATGCTGCCCTCTGGACCTACCAATCTGTATCACATGTCACAGCTCTCAATTCAGTGGCAGAGGGGCCTATAGTCCGCCAGCATGAAAAATGGCACACCACCCGTATAAAGAAGCCCACCCGCCACCAGCCATGAGATGCAAAGCCCAGGCATCTGAGCGGTGAAACTGTCCTGAAAACGGCCGCAAAATGATGGAAAAACAACACATAATTCAAATGTATTCAAAAGTTAAGACCTCTGAGCAGTTGTCTTGGCAATTTTAAGGATGAATAGCTTCCCATCTTGGAGTCTTGGAGTGCCCAAAAATGGCATGACCCATGCTAAAATGGACAGCAACTTGTCATGTCTTGGGGATGGGAATGTTTCTTGGGGGAGAACGCTTCTCTGGTGCCTTGAAGAATCCCATCACTTGGGATCATCCCAAAGCTGGTTGAAACCACGGAGTTTATCACGGTAATTGTCTCAATGATAACAATTGCAATTGTCTCAATTCTCCAAGTAAAAAATCCTAAATCATCCTACAATGATACCCGGAGTATGCCCCATTTTCAGACACATTGCGCACATCCTCATGATTGTTGTCTGCAGTTTTCGCTCCACATCGCAAACGAGAGTCCCAAGCGAGGAGCACAGCCCAGCCCATCATCAAGTACAGGAGCAACTCCCCCGTGAGGTATGGAACCTGCGCCATTGCATGCGACTCCTACGGTCAGCCTGTCAGGCAAGTTCCGGAACGTGCCGTCGCTGAAAAAAAACACCTCTGCGGTGATATTGCCATGTATGTCACCGCATTATATAAAGAATTGTTGGCAATTAAGGCATAAAGCAGCCATTCACCAAAAATTACCAAATTGGCTCTCAGTTTTTCTCAAACCCAGCACCCAGAATCACCCAGAGCATCCCGCATCCCTTAACCTCTGCAGCAAGAAACCGATGTGCCCCAGTCAAAGTATTGCGAGCAAATATGGGTCACAATTCCTGTGCTCGGTCAGCTGGCTGTTTAGGGCTGCCATGGATAAAACCTCCCTCAAGCCTCCACTTCCGAAGAACAAATAATGGTGGTTCTAAGAAGATAGGTCAAACAACCCAAAAAATGATTCACTTCGTTCCAAACATATTATGTTTTGGGAAAATCTCAGCACTACACTCACATACGCAAAACATTTGGAATTTTGGAACTCAAAAAAAATCCGAAATCTACCTAAAACATTCCTAAAACAATGAGAATTCAGGATTTGTGGGTTTTTGCATTTTTTGATTGCGTTTTATGCTTTTTTTTTGGGTTTTTGCGGGTTGTTTCCTTAGTCGTTTGAAGCGCTGCAAACATTTTGTGCCTTTCTCTCACCAAGCCCCAAAACATGCAATCAGTCCTAAAATCGAAGACCTAAGTAGGATCTAGGTGTTTTGGGTAAAATCACTCGATTTAGGTCAAACTCCAAAAACACTTATATTTTCCTAGGATTTGGAGGGTCGAGGTCCATAAGTTACTTATCCATGGATAACTGTGGTTTAAAAGCTGTAACCATGGTGAGTATCATATCCGCTTTTTAAACTACTTGTGCTTCTCCAAAAAAACATAGGTGTCTGCATGAAACAAACTGACCTATGTTGGATGATTTTGGAGTATACCACATTTACCACATATTGGACCAACCAATATATGGGCCAGCAGCTTGTCGACTACCTGGTGGGTCAGATTTGAAATGGTTTGAGGACCCAGTTCAGGGACGCACAAATGTTAAAAGAAGTTTGAATATGTTGTTACAGTGCAATTTTGTGAGTGCCAAACTCTAACCCCTGCCAGTTTAAATCATTTGATGTGCTTCGAATGACATTTTAAACTGATACAGAAGAATAATACTGGTTGGTGGTTTCAACCCCTCTGAAAAATATTGGTCACTGGGAAGGATTATCCCATATATTATGGAAAAAATGTTCCAAACCACCAACCAGAATAAGTTTAATTTGTCAAACACATGTGCTTTTGGTAACCCGAAACCTACTGGACATATCCAACAAGGACTTGAACCTCCACATTGCTATATCAAGGTGCCCAGCCAGCAGAGGAGCCACTCGGCTTTCAGCAAATCCATGTGCGCCGGTGTGTCCTTGTGGCAGGTCCAAGTTGCAAACACCCGCAATGTAACCAGCAACCATTGGATTTATTCAAGAGAACTTTATTCAAAAGGTAAGAGGACACCCATTTTTCGAGCCAAAAACTACGTTTTTTTCCTGCATTTGTGTCCCTTCATCCAATTCTGTGAAACAAGTGCCCAGTGAATTGAAGGGTAACTTTGTTTTTTTTGCTCCCTGTTTGCTATAGAGAGTTTGACCTACGTTGACCATCCATGGCTCCATAGCTCCTTGAATAGTTATTGTCAAAAGATAATGAAACAGGGATGGATGACCGGAAATCTGTTTGTGAGATATGCTTCACATCTTCATATTGTTGATATAGCCTGGAAGGGGGTCTTGATACTGTATGATTCACATGTAAATTTCAATATTCTTTGATTAGGAATATATAGATATAGCCTGCATGGGTATGCTTCAAACAGGATGTGTTCCTTTGCTTGAAGCCAACAGGTGGATTTTAATCCCCAACTATTCAGCATTCCCAATATATCCCCTATCATGATACAGGGGGTGTTTCTGCCAATCAAAACCAGCCGCATGGTCCACCAAGCATCGGAGTAAAAGAGCAAGAAAGGAGTGTAAGTCCCAGCGATGAGGAGATAAATGGCCGCATGATCCAGAACTTGTAGCACTCGCCCAGTCATGGGATAGAGGAACAAGGAGTGGTAGAGGGTTGAAGACCTCACGTTGAAGCCAAAATCGTGTAGCCCGGTGAGACCACCCTGCAGAAGGAAACAAACGAAACATGCATATGAATGAACACAAATCACAAATAAAGATGAACATAAATATACTAATATACTTATGTTATAGATAAATGATAAAACGTAAATGTATATAAAATTATACAGTAAAGATCGTTTTTAAAGAAACCCATCTGAAACCACCCCCAAAATATCCATTTCCAAGAGGCCCAAAGCAAAAGATGAGGCCAAAGCAAAAGATGGCCGTGCCCCAAATGTGGTGCACCGGATTGTCCGACACCTGCTCGGGTCGTCGGGAGTCCTGCAACTTCTGACCATCGACCATCAGCCCACGCCTTGTACATCAAGTAGCCCGTGCCAAAGATAGAGAACAGGAACATCAATCCGTGAGTGATTGCATTCCATAGCTCCTCCTGATGAAATGATGTCAAATGGCTGATGCCCCGACAAGGACACCCTCGGCAAATTTCAAACCTCCAGGGGGTTAAACCAGAAGAATCCCCCTTTTTCATCCGGTTTCCAACCCTTAAAGTGCACCGAACCAGACAAACTGGGGGCCCTCTACAAGTTGGTGTATAATCTATAACCCCATCCAACTATAGTTTATATCCACCTCATATCCAGCATAAACCATGTGCTTGAGCTAGTTATAAGTAGTTATATATATATATTATATAATATATCTTCACCAACTTCGCTAACTAGTACTAACTATGGAGCTCCACCTTTTGTTCCGCCCAGGGCCCACAGAAATCCGTGGGGAATCCACCAAACAGCGCGAGACCAACGCCCGCTCCGTCTCAAAGTTATGCGCCACGTTCACCAGGGGGGCGCCCTCTTGTGCGGCCGCCGGCAATCGGGTGTAGATCACCTTGAAGCCTGTCGATGTGGGCAAAGCACAGGCTTAGCTATGCTGGTTTATAAGTTAAAGAACTAGGGTTTACATGGGTTTATAATGGTTTATAGGGATTGTATCTCTAGTTGGGGATATATGGGGATAAACCAGCTTATAAACTTTAAATTATAACTGGAGGGTACCACCCTGTAGGTACCGGTGGTGAAATTGAGAAACTTAGAAATAGCTGGTAAATAGATGTTCATCATTGTTCATCCCCCAAAAATGGACGGATTGCTGGCTCCTGATCCATAACCATATGGCGGATTGCACAGGTTTGCTGCGGTTTGCTCGGGGATGCAATGAACACGGACTTGGGTCTTGGGTATCTAAAATGCAAAACAAAATGGGGTTTAGCAACAAGACAGTTGGATTCAAACAACTACCAAATGTGGTTTAAATCAAAGACCATGGGTTTATATAACTAACTTCACACCTTGATCAACCAAAGCGGTCGTTTCACATCAGAAGATTACCTTTCAGGGGTGGTTCACCGCCAATTCTTGATTACCGAGACTGTTCAACAAGTCCGAAAGTAGTTTCAGGATCTCTCCCGATGTTTTACAGCGTCGAACTTGATACTTCCTTTCGCAATGTCGCCAAAGTCGGGGACTTTTCCAAGTACCAAAATAGCTCCTCTTTCCAAATTTAGGCGTGAAGAAATCAGAGATCAGTGAGATTTTGGTTAGGCCAGGCTTCTCGGTTCTCGTTCTCCCCAATTCTTGGACAACTTCTTTGTTCGTTTTTTTGCGGGAAACATGGGGAAACTATGCTTATAGCCATGAAAAAAGCCCTTAACTTTAACAGTTATAACATGTTTTTTTTACATGTTATAACTGGCTTTAATCCTCAGTTACAGAAGCTACAATCCCATTCAGAACTGTGGCCATAACTGACTCACCATAAAGACAGCTTCAGTTCAGCTTCAGCCACCTGCCACTTTTGCCAGATTTCGCACACCGCCTGAACCAATAGAACCTCAGAGTTCCCGTACAAAGGGAAGGGTGGAGAGGAATGCCATTTCCACCAAACACAGGCAAGAAACCGATGTTCAATCCATCCAAGAAATGTTCAAGTCCCATCAGTTGACGCTCCAATTTTGGTTGTAACTGTTAAAGCCAAAATTGGACCGTCAACTGATGGGAAAACAAACGCTAAGACCTGGTATGGTATAGTACTCCAATCTATTGATACCATATACCTCATTCATCCTCATTCTATTGGTAGTATAATGCTATAACCCCAAGCCGATTTTGGGGTCCCTCCTTTGTTTTGGATCCTTTTCAGGAGACATGCAGAGATGTCGAGCTCGCGAAGACTTGTGGCTCCTGGCTCTGGGATGCTCATCACACTGGAGCAATGTCAGGGATGATTCCCCATATTCCCCGGATCTTTTCATTTACATGGCGACGTGGTGACGTGAGGTCGTTATCATGTCGTTATGATTTTCCACTCTCCAGATCAGCCTTACCGCCCCTACCACGTATCCTCAAGAAAAAACAAGATCGTAAAATGATGCAAAATGATTCTGGTCATACATTGTTATGAACATGATCCTCGGCAATATTGAATATGCCATTCACATTCCATTCATCCACCATTTTCCATGGTTAACTCGTCATGTTCCAGGCCTAAAATGTCACTCCTCCAGGACCTGCTTCGCTAATCAGCTGCTCCAGTAAACTGCTAATCAGCTCGCCTCCCTTGGTGCTGATCTAAACCACGGGTGTCTTGTGGAAAACTATGAAGAACTATTTGGAGGTGTCCTAAGTCATGGGGGATCCCCAAGTCACCATGGTTGTTTTTAAGTCATGGTCTAATGACTGGGTGATTTGGGGGTACCTCCATGACTTCGAAAACCTCCATATATGGCAAAATGATGCGACATGCTTGTTTTTTGGGTGATTTAACCATTAATTGGCTGTGTCCGGCTAATAATGCTATAAGGAAATTAGATGAAATGAATCTATCAAGGCATGATCATGCCACCATGAATGGGCAATTGTAATGGCCAACACAATAAGTATACCATGTCTTGAGCATGGCACAAATTAAATTAGGCTTGTCTGGAAATGGGTTAGTCCATGGAGAAATTTGGGGTCAGCGGAAAGGCGGTACGGGTAATGCTGTGTTGCCCATGTCTTGAGGGTGTGACATACAAACTGTCTTGGATCCAGTGAAGGTCATCCGGGTAATCAAAGTCAGGGATTTCCGTGCCCTGTGATAGCTGAGACCAGCCCTGGCCCAACATGGAACTCAACAAGTCCCAAATCCTACGAGGAACTCAGTGGGAAGAAACAGGTGTAAGCTCCAAGGTTGAAATTGAACAAAGCTATGCCCTCTGGAAAACAAAGGTGGATTTGTAGTGGGTTGCGCTCTCGTCTTCTCAGATGGAACACCTTTCTTCATGCATAAATCGTGGCTGATTGTCTGCTTTGCGCCCCAAAGTTCCCAAACCATCTGTTGAAAAAAAGGTTTCCACGAAGGTGCTGCAACCCTTGAGAATGTCTGGAGCTATGAAGCCACAAATTATCATGGATCGCATCCAAGCGGCTTTTGGCCCCAGGTAGTTGCCCCTGGCGTGCCAGTTCAAACCATGAGGAGAGAACCAACTGTTCTCTAATTGTTGATCGTTTTTTTTGGGTGACTGTACAACAATGACAACATGCTTGGCCTTTATATTTCTCTGTCCTATTGAACTATGTGGTTAAGAATTGTGTATCTGCTCCTAGATTCCGATGAGCTACCCAGTGTCCATGAGTGTTGGCCATGAAGTTCCTGAATGTTCCTGGCCCAAACGCCCCCAGCAAACAGGTTTGTCTGAAAATAGTGCGCCCAATATTCCCATGGACTATCATCATTTTCCCCATGAAAATTGCTGTGCCTATTTTCAGGCAAACCCAAACAGCAGCCTCAAACTCAAGCTCTTCAGGGTCTTGTTGCAACGTAGGCCTGCGCACAGATCCGCAACACCGTCGCTGTCGATACCTGCACAGGGCACAAAAGCCACAGCCGCCACAGCCCTGCAACCACAGGGAATATGCACCATGGGCCCAACAACTAACAACCACAACTCCAGCAATTCTCTGACACATATTTTTTTCATGTGGATTCAACATAACGTGAGTCAACCCTCCCCAAAGGAGAGCTTCCTCACCGTCAGCAGGTTGAATTAAAAAAGGGCCTGAATATGCCAAGTCTAAGGTCTCCAAGGACGTGTTATTCGCCAGAACATGGCCTCGGTTAAAAAGTGCAAAATGGGGCTGAAGTCAAGCTGGCCCACCGGGTCATCTTCAAACTATATAGATTAAACCCCAAAAAAAAAAGCTGATTGGCTGATTGGCGGTGTCAATCCATCTAAAAATCATCTTCTTTTCATTTCCGCTACTCGAAACTCTGATTTCAAGCTGTTCTTAGCAGCCCCGTGGTGCAACGCACCGACCAAGAAAGTGGAGCGTCTGCCCAGTAACATCCAGTAACGAATGTTTTGGAGTTCATTTTGCACCATCCCAAACAGGGATATACCGGTATACCGGGATAGCCAATAATAAACAGCAATTGCGGATGGCTTATTGTTGGGTTTACCGGTTTACCTGTTTATTTGACATAGTCGAGGCAATACTTAGCAACTCCCTCTTAGGAGCGCGGATATTTCCCTCCACTACTTTTACACACTTGGATTTTTGTATGTGACGCCTTTGTTTTGTGTGAAAACAGCCAGCCATGTGTGGTCTAAAAGATTCATTTGTGTAAAGATGGGGGATAGCCCCCAGTTGTGGTTTCCTCTTGAGTCCACATGTGCCCACTCGTGGTGCAGCATGCAATGTTGTTCCAACACACTTTTTACACACACACATATATATATATTATTATCATGACCAACCATAAAGCCCACAGTTTGCAGGACTCATTTAATTAACAGCAGCTGCGTGACGCGTGTCCCTTTTCTAGACACAAAACACCGACGGCATTCTGTCCCGCTGGGTGGACGGAGAGTATCCTATGGACCGGCTGCTGTTCTCGGACAAGAGGATCATGGAAAACACAAAGGCCACGGCCACGATTGTCATCCAATGTTCAGATCGGGCCCAATAATTCTGTATAGACATAGTCATAGTTAAAACTGTCACTCAACAAACAAACATGCTTGAAACATGTTGAAAGTTGTTGAAAGCATCATCCAGCTATTGGATGTATATATTGTAAAATGATGTAAAATGTAAAATACTAATGTTCATGAATTTTCAGCTCCAATGTGCAGGACGCCAAGGGCGCCAGAGCGCAACTTGCGCACCCTGCCACCGGCCCAAGACGGTCCAGGCCACAACTTGCGGCGGCCATTCCATGCACAACTCCCCAGCAAGGCCAGTAACCCTTGTTAAGGGCCCTGCCCCGGGGCTCCAGCTCTGATATGACCTAACCAACATGACCTAACTCATATCATGCTTCACTTTGGATGCCCTTCCTTTAAAGGGTAAAGAACATATCTATCATATTTTAGCGGGGCTGGGTATCACATTTCCTCGGAAAAGTGTATGTACTGTATGTATACATATATTTGGCCGGGGCTTCCAATGGTTTGCCGGTTTGCCCTACAGCTAGACATTCACAACATTGATCAAAAGAAAGGGTGCCAAATCAAAAACAACTCCCTCGTGGAGATAAAAATACATATAATACACATACATAATACATAACACACACACATATATATATATACATATATCATATATTAATATTATAATATACAATGGTCATCACATCAAATATGTATATGTATATAATATGTATATTATACAATATGTATATGTTTAAAGCATATAATATACATATACATAATTGTATATATATATACATATCCTGGAGTAGATATTGTCAAAGACACGTCCATTCTAGCGATGATGAGCTTTGAACCTTGGACAGGTAACCGGTTTCTGCGCCATCAAAAATCCCCGTCGTTCACCATCAAAAATGTGGTTGAACATGGTCCAATCATTGGGACCATCCTGAAATGGTGGATATACATATATATATATATAAATCTATATCATACACATGTGTATATATATATATAAATCTATATCATACACATGTGTGTATATATATAAATCTATATCATACACATGTGTATATATATATCTATATCATACACATGTGTATATAATATATATATACATGAATGAAGATAGTATAAAATGACATACCCAAGTCTTGGGACTTGAAAATGAAGATATCCAATACTTAACCAGGGTTTCTACGAGGATATTCATGGAATATTCTGGCGCTATGTGTCTTTTGGCTAGACGTCAATAAACGAAGGAAGTACAACCTATGACAAGTGATCCACGACAGATCTTCCGATAACGTCTAAGCTTGGAGCCACACTTGCGAGAATGGATTGTGCGCCAGCATTCACTATCGCGGGATTCTAGCAACCCCGAGGAAGACGCAAAAGGGGAGCACTTTGTGGAACACTCTCTAGAGAAAAGCATGCGCAAACTCTTGAAATCACTTGTGAAGCAAATCAAATTCCACTACAAATCGCCCTTTTATGTCTATGCAATGATGTGAAATGACGTGAAACTGTAGCGGTGGTTAGCCCCAAGTCCCACGTATGATGTGCTTGAAGTTGTGTTCCACGCAGAATCGTTCCGGCACTCAGCAAAGCCCAACAATAACACGAGCAGCTGGAGGATTGCACACCTCCCAGGCAAGGCAACGAGCAAATCAAAAGAGATACTACAGTTGATTGAGAAGCAGAATCATAACATTTTGGAGACAGGATCTCTCCGTACTCTGTACATATATAATCATACATAATATGTATAGCATTTGACACCACCAATCAGTAAATGCTAGCTGCTACATACCAAACTAGATCAGGCCGATGAACTCTTTGAAGTGCCATAATTATAATTATTAATGATCTAATATTATGATACATATACCTATAGCTTTAAGACCCTAACATTTTGTAGATCTTTTTCCGAGACCTCGGGTTTTTTCCAAATTTAGAAAAAATATGGGTTCTGTAATCAAAAACCCGGGTCTTGGCAAAAAACCTATTTTTATGAATATTTATATGTTCAATGAACCATGGTTGATAATGTTTTGTGATGTTTATCATACCCTGCAGTGCCATTATTATATATATGTGCGCCTAACATCTCAATGAAACCAAGTTAAAGACCAATGGTAATGGATATACCACATCTATATGTGTTTACCAGTACACACCTTTACTTCCACTATATACTTTATATATCTATAGACATATACATGGAACCACACAAAGATATATACATGCACGTACCTAAATGCAGATGGTGATTACGCAAACAAACGGTACAGTAAACCAATTGAATAATTCAATGCTACATATTCAGAATCATGGGTATCGGGACCCCAAAATTCATCTGTGATCAGCTTAAATTTCTGGGGCTGAGGAACTCCAAATATATTTGGTTTGTCCAATTATGGCTTTCAAGTGGTTCTAATTTGTTTTTTTGACATTTTTGGGATTTTGGTGAAAAAAAAGATAGGTTCTGTCATGATAACCCGTATTTAACCCGTACCAACCCGTATTTAACCCGTACTAAACCCGTATTTTTATGATAGAGAACCCGTATTATTTTTGGTCTAACGAAAACCCGGGTTTTGTGAATCCGTATTTAAACCGTACCTAACCCGTATTTAACCCGTACTAACCCGTATTTAAAATATGTTTTTTTTGCTCTCCAGGCTAAGGGGAACAATGGTGGATTTTTTGGTCCGATCATTGTTTTGACACGGCTTTAGATGGCAATCTGACATCTGAAATTAGCGGTCCAAAAAAGATGTTGATCAGCTGTGTGTACTTGCTCAATGGATCGAATGCAGAATCGTGGGTATGCGCATGTTAATGTGTCTGATTGTGCCTTATATCTGGTGGTTGTAGCCATTTTGGATATTGATTTATAGGTTCCTGGCTGAAACGGTTCCATCCCATCGTACCCAATGGCTTCCGTTGTTGGCTCCACCCGTCATTGGAGTTGCACAACTTTGAATGATGGTGTCGATGCGCTGTTGGATGCATCCAATAACAACGATGCAGAATGATTTTATACGCACACAGGAGAAACAACACAATTTCCAAGACAATTACATCATTTTCATGATTTTCCAAGTTTTGGAAAAATCACATTTTTTCGAAACCCCGGGTTTTCTTTCGAAACCCCGTCTTTTCTGAGGGGACCTACGTTTTCATGGGATCCTGAAGCTTCTGATATATATATATATATAAAAATCAGTCATGCACAAAACATCACCACACATATCCGGATACATTATTGCGAGGATTACAGTTACAGGGTCTGCCGCATTCTATCGGATTCTACCGTGGATATAACAATGGCTATCGGCTATCAATGGCTGTACCCAAAAAGACTCTGCACCCACTATTACCCTGCATGGGCGCAGTTGAAACAGGCGTTTTCTCCGGCCCCCTCAGTAAGTCAGTAAAATCCCCCCATTTGCAGATGATTTGCCCATCGAAAAATTGCAGGGGATTTCCAATTGCCATGTTTGATTACCGGAGGGTATCTGATGTTCAACCCCACGACGGTCACATATCTCTACCCGCCTTGCAATGGCGACAAGGCTCCATATGCCCAAGCTGCGGAAGGGGTCGCATGCACTCGGGTGGTGAACACGAATGACAAATGCAGCGACCACATTTGCGGCAATGATGCTTCCTTAGAAGTAACCAGAAGTCCGCCTGGGTCATGTGGCAGGTCCAACGTCACACAGGGGATGCCCATCTAAATGGTGGTGTTTTCTTTTGGGGAAATGAAGCTTAACCGATACCATCCACTCTGTTTTGGGGTATATAAAGTATATTGGTATATAGGTTACCCATGGTTAATGGTTACCCATTATTATTGTACAATCCCATATCTGCTGAATGTGCTCCTGATTAGGGAACTCAATCATGGGCAAAGCTTACCAACGCACCAAGCAAACACCCTGGATGTGTTCTAAATGCTTAAATACCTTATACGTACTCCCCCGTGACTTTTCTAGCCCCCAACAAATTGCAATGCGAATCAACTTTGAACGAATTTCCAAAAATTGGTTTCCCCATTAAACAATGACCAAACCTGTTGGACGTGTTCTTTTTACGGTAAACACTATATAATGTACAAAACCATAGGGTTGGCAGACGATATTTCACTATATTTCCCTTCCCCCTAATATTCAACACACAAGTTGGGTGTTTAAAACCTCATCATTCACGGCGGTCCGTCCGTCCGTGCCTTACAGAGCTGACAACGCTCTGCATCTGACCACAAAGGTTCCTGCACTTAAGCTGCTGTAGTTTAGGAGGTTAAGGAGTTTTAAACTATAGATTGCAATACTTAGCCTATGATATATACAAAATACATCATATATGTGGTGGGTTTATGATAGGTATATATATATATATTATATATATATATATATCAAAGATTCAGGTAGATTCTGATCAATTTCTGGCAAAAAGAGTTCATCAACCCTCAACATGACCAGCATGACACATCACTACCGTCCTGGTCCGACGAGTTTTAGAAATGGCATTCATCACCGTCACAGTCCGACGAGTTGTGCTGATCTGCAGAACTGTCGAAGAAAGAGATTACAATCACCAGCAACGTGCCAACATACAGAATATATAATATCATAACCCATAGGATCCATGTATGGTATATATGCTAACATTTGGGGTATATTGATGGTAAATGTTACCATATATGGCATACATGGATCCTATGGGTAACAATAACAACAATAATACCAATAACTATAATAATAAATATAATGATTCAACCACGTTACAATCCCAATTACTACACTCATCGAAAAGGCCATGGATTTACATCACCAGCATCATCAGCATCCCCGCATGTAGATATACCCCTAGCTATTTAATCATTAGATGAATATGATACACTATAGATATTATAACCACTTTAACATCTATTAACCATTACTAACCATACAAGATACAATATATAGATACTAACCATAACATATTGAAGATATATTAGCCAGCTATTCACCATTATTCACCGCTACTAACCATGAATTCACATCGTGTCACCAGCAGCGGCGCCACGGCTCTCCTTCGTTTGCAGCACCTTGGGCGCTGGAGGTCGAATGGGTCGCAACTCCTCTGGCAGGTCGGAGCCCGCAGACATCGCCATCAGGCGCCGCCTGGCGAAGACCACGAGCCAATTGGAATGGCTGGGCTTTGAAGCAACCTTTAACTAGGTTCATACTAGGTTCATATCACCTACAGGACCTACATTTATATTGTGAGTGGATGTGAGTGGCTTAAGCTTTGTGTGTGTTCATTTTGTTCATAGTCATTGACAAATGTCACAAACCATATGCGCAATATTAATTAATGGGGATCGGAAAATCATGAATGTGGGAACATGAGGTGAGAGATTGAGTGACAATATCTAGGGATACTGGCAGCCAAACAAAAATGCTTCTCAACTCTCAACGTTTTGGAATATCTTATAGTCTGAAATTTTCAGGGGCACAAATCCTTCGTACCGTCTAATTTTCAACCACAAGCATTTCCGCAGATGGCTAACCCACTGATAGGTTGAAATGTCTTGGTGCTAGGCAGGAATGAACAACAGCCAAGCTTTGGGGCGTGGAGACGCACCAAAAAAAACATGTCGGTTCAAAGCACAATGCCGCACTTACATGAGCTTACAGAATCTTTTTAATTATCACTGAATCTTTTTGGAATCTTTCAATTCATCTCAAATATGCCGTTTCGTGTGCTTTCCAAGGGCTTCCGAGCCTGTACAAATCTGCGGCTGGCGTGTGGTAGCGCGTTTCCATGGGCAAAGTCATCCACACTTTTCTGGAAACGTTCTGAGAGTCCTGGAGGAAATCCTGGCTGCGGCCCGACCCAACTGTGGACATGGATGTAACTTGATCTCTCAGAATTGGTGGAAAAATCGACGGCTGAAATGGTTGAAACCTCATTTTTTGTAAATTATGTGAGTTGCACGATTTCCATTGATTTCTGGTACATTTTCCCTTGAAGCAATATGAAGCCTAAGCAATCCATTGATGATCCATGTGCACGTCATTCGCGAAAATGGACACCCCAACGGGCAGCAGCTGTGCTAGCACGCAGCTATCCTCAAGAGTTTGACTGGATGATACTGGATGTCTCCCCACAAGGCTACTCAATACATCAGACTGGACAGGTTTCGATTGTGAACCTGACACTCCTGGCTGTCATTGTTTGACCCTTTAAAGCGGCCCGTCCCACCTGGAAAGCGTCATTGCCCCCAGCATCCAGAAGCAACTGCCATTCGCTGTCTTTCCTCGGATGTGTTGCCATCCGCAGATCTCGCGCGTTTTTCAATGGTTTTTTGTATCCTCTGGTAACCATGGCTGGAAACCCCACACTACATAGATACTGGACATTACTGGAACAATCATGAAACCATCTCGTGACAACGGCCGAATGGATGTGCGATGATATCCATCAAATCATTGGGTTTTGATGGTCGTTTCTACAGAAATACATTGTGAACCAATACAACATGTATAACTGTAAAATATACATATAGGATCGTATAGATACATGCAATATATATATATAATGAAATATATATATATGATTATATGAACATGTATTGGTCTGTAGATGTTCCCTTTTAAACACCCCAATGCTGAAAGCACCGCCCAGCTTCAACTTGTCCAATTTCAAAGACCGCACATATGACCTGAGAATGACGCCGTGCCGCCCCTTCCAACCTCTCTTGGTTTGAGGGTTGGGCACCATTAACTACCTCGAAACATGTCCTAACCTTGGATTTCCTGCAAAAAATAAACATGTTGTCTTTTCTTTAAAGCAACATATGAACTTCCCTTCAGTTGACCCTCCGGAAATATAACAAGGCAATGCATCCCAACACTCGATTCAAGAGAAAAATCACTTTCGAATTCGACAGGGTAATGTTCCATTGCTATGTTTACCAAAAGGCTACCAGTGACCCTATCACTATCACCATTCGGTCTACTGTACCCAGGCTGAGGCGTCTGACACATGGACACCAAAGGATCGATGGATTCCAGCGCAGTTGATGCAAATCACCGTGCCATGACTCAAGGACACCCAGGGATCCAAATCGCACTGCGTTTCGCAATCGAAACCTCGATTGGTTTTTGCAGGGCTGAGTTGGGACCACACAAAAAATAAACAACGGTTCATGACATAAAATCTAACAACCCTCACCTGACAGGGGGGAACAATGGTTCATGATTGATGGTCTTTGTTCTATTCAATGTCGTGACATCTTTGCGGCTTCATGTGCAGAATTCCGATTCTGAAAGGACACAACTCATCACCACTTGACCCGGTCTGGGGAATCTATGTTGCCCACCCAGTACCACTGTGCCCACTGTGGCCTCCATACATGTCATACTGCTACCCGATACCACTTCACAAAGTCATTGTAAGTCCTCCCCTCTGATAATTTCACACGGCCATGGAAACTCATGAATAATACTCATGTTGATGATGTTCCCGTTAACCCCCCATTGAAAAAATCATGGAGTGTCTGATTCCAAAAGGGTTTGTGGATGTCTCAGCTCCATTTCCATCCCAGCAGCAACAGGAGTTCCCCGGCAGTGCCAAGATGGGAGAGACCCGACTTTCCAGTCCGGCGGGTGAGGATGGACTACTGCCCGAACTCGCCATGGCTGCGATTGTCAGAACTGGGGTAGTGCAACCCCCCGCAACTGAAGTGGATAACGACCCCAAATAATCCGAGTACAATTGGATGAGTGGCAATATGTTGAGATCTTCCACTTAAGATGTATCCAGCTGGTAGGGAAACATATTGTAAATAGCTACCATGCATCAAACAAGTCGCGCAAGTCACTGAGCCAACGTCCAACGGATAAACATACTGTAGGATGCGACCAGCTTGCCGGGGATCAAACTACCCCATCCAGTCGGGTTCCCCGAATTGCCAAAAGTTAGTTTAGATGGTTTGATCAACAATGATCAACATATATTAAGGGAAATAAACTCTCACTATATACAATTCCCATTTATTGGCACGATGTTTTTTCCACCGCGCCAACATTTATGGAAAATCCACAATTCACTTTAGATCAATGTCCCTTGGAGCTAAGCCCATGACGGTATGTTTCCAGTCTATTTCACTTTAGCCCATGCATGCCCACTTGGTCTGGATTCACATAAGATTCAGTGGAATACAATATATGGATATATGGTTTCATATAACGTCTATTCCCAAAATTACTTGTAGTGATTGAATCCTAGGTGGTGATGGAATTCTTTGTGGTGATGTATCCACATTCTTTGTATCCCATATTCAACAAACCTAGGATAGATCCTCACATCTGCAATGGTTTTTCACCCGTCACCGTGAACACATCTCTCCGAGTGACTAAGCACTCGCCTCAGCCAAGGGGGGGGTCGTGGAGGTGCCACCATGGAGAAACCCTGGTGAAGGGATGTCAAGGGTAGGGGGTGATAAGACACACACTGCCACACACATATATCTATAACATATGTATATATATAATATGTACTGTAATATAACATTACAATGCAATATAGTAAAATACAACACACATATATTTATATATTATGATATAAAATTAAATATGATGCTATATATATAATGTTCTATATATATATATATATGTTTTATATACGACAAGTATATGTATGATATATATATATATACATAAATAAATAAACATATTAAATATGTATATATATATGTGATATAACATTACAATACAATATAGTAATAGTAAAATACAACACACACATATATATATATATATGTATGATGATGATGTGTATATATATATATTAAATAGTTTTATTTATATATATATGTATATACACACCTCTCTCTCTTTCTTTTTCTCTCTTTCTCTAGCCTTTAGACCAAACCTGCCTCAGCCTAACTGAGGGTGAAGGCAACACAGGAATATCTAATTGTATCATTCAGCAAGTGTGAATGTATGACTGCGTTGTAAACAAATAAAGTAAATAAACACACTCACACATGTATATATATATACATACAGAAGGGATAAACAGAAAAACATGTTTGTGCAAAATTAATTGTTTGTGCAACTGTGTCATCTGATAATGGGAAAACCCATGCTCTATATAATCCATTCGATGCGTCAAACAAACCCCTCACCATTTGGTAGTCAAACATGGCTGGCTGGCAAATTCCAACGTTTAACAAACACGTAATCTACAATTGCGAACATCATATTGCTCCGATATCCGAGACACAAGTTTTGGATAGTTTTGGAACAATGGGTGTGGGGCCGGGGGGACAGCTGTTTTATGAGTGGCTTTTGAACGACCCAGATTTCCAACGAGCACTGAACCATCCCAACGGGCCCAACGGAGAAACTAGGTGAACTTTCCCGTGTAAAGTAGTCGGCATGAACCAGTTTATCCATCGCTCTTCTAGGAGTCATGCATAAGATTATCTATATAAGAGAGGTGGTTGTTGTTTTCATACAAGGGGTCATCATGAGTCATTGTGATCATACATACTTACACGAGGCAGCAAGTGTCCCCAACCAGCCAACTATGCCTCCAGCGTCCAAGAAACGCATTGGCATTGCCAGTGCCACGCGGAGCTGAAGCTGAACGGAAGCTCAGTTTCTTGAGGCCTGCGACAGGAGGCTCCCCACTGGGCCCCAATCACAAGCGATGGCAAGTCACATGACACCGTCGAATATCCCTCAAGAAACATGCCAAAACCTAGCATTATAGGTAATTAGAGTAGAGAGTGGTTAGTAAGTTCCACCAACTAGACTTGTCCAATTATAGAACTGCCTTACTTTATGTCTCACTCCAAAAATCGATGCCACCATGAAGTTCACCGATGCCCAGGGTGACCCCAAGCCTTGACTTTGTGCCAGAAACTCGCAGGCGGGCAGCAAGCAGCTCTGAAAGGGCACCTGCTGCGAGCGACTTGCGGCCCTGGAATAAGATGGCAAAATGCAACAAAAACGCAAAGGAGTAGCCTTCATACAAGATGGTGCCCCATAGTTTGCTAAGTTCGTTTATAACTGCAACAGCTGTGGTTTATGGTAGATATATCTATACTTACTATGGTTTATAAACCAATTTATAACTGGGGGCACCACCTTGTATCACTCATTTCCATATATACATATCCCAAGAAAAAATGCTAAGAATAGAGACAAACAATGTGTAGTTTTTTTTTCTGAGCGTTACTGTACCCAATAAAACCCTGGTGGTTTTGGACAAACCCAAATGGATCATATGTAGTCTCTAAGTGCAGGTGGCCTGCGAAGGGTTGCTTGGAAACAAATTGGACGCAGCATTGCGGCAAGCTTGCCGGTGATTAGAAAAATGCAAGGTGATCATCAGTTAGTTGTTTGCCAACGATTCCTGCTCATGAATGAACTGTTTAACATTAGTCTTTTCTGCACTGAAATTTGCCATCAAGTAGTATCAAGTGCATCATGCCGGTATGTTCTCTGAAGTTGCTAACGGTTCGTAGCTGGGTTGTGTCCCACTCCATCCTAGTTCGCTAAAATCATCTAAAATCAACTTAGCTTCTCTCAGCTAAACCCAGTTGATATCCTATAATATTATAATGGCACATTGTAGTCGGTCTAACGCACCTTTCAGGCATGACCCCATAGGTCTACAAGTCTACTTGGAGGATCATCACCGTTGGTAGTTGGTTCATAATTTAATAATTCAAAAACCTCAAAAATAAACCGTAAGTGGATCCCAGTGGTTGCAGTACCCCCGGTTTTTGTGTCCCGGATTCCTGCATTTCTCCCCCATGTCTAAGCAATTTCCTGTTCTCATCAAATCCAATCTAATCTAATTTAATCTAATCTAATCTAACTATAATCTATCTAACCTAGTCTAACCAATCTAGTCAATCTAACCTAAATATATAACCTAGTCAAACCAACCTAATTCATCAAATCCGCAGAATTCCCGTTGCGCTCCAGGTCTTTCCGTTGCCTGCAAGCTGCCGCCGCCCAGGCGCAGCCACACCGCGATGGAGGGTTCCACGGGCATCGCCAGGCGCTTGCAGCGCTCAGCGTAGGCCTCGGCCGCCGCGAAGGCGTCGCCTGCATTCGCCATGGGCGAATGGCCGTGTTTTGATAGGGAAATCCTCCAGAAATCACAGGAAAACCAAAGGAAAACCATGGAAAACCACGGGAAAACAATAGAAACATGGTGAGTTTACCAAGTAATTTGTGTTATTTCATAGGATTTATAGCTGATTTCATGGTGGTGATTTACGTGGGGATACTTGGAGGATCATCTAACAGATCGTAAGTGGCGAAAAACACTGATTATAATTAATAGTAATTCCCTAAAGTCTCTCCCTATCGCATTTAGGCTATGGCTATTAACCACCTACTAAATGAGATGACCTTCCAAGTATACCCCCAATTTATATGGTGGCAGTACCTCTATTTTAGGGCCCTGACATTCCCACTGAATGGAGTTTGGACTGCATATTTGGAGTTTTACCATAATTTACGGACATTTCAAAGAATGATACATATCATGTCATGTTTTTCTGTCTATTCTGTTTATGTGGGTAAACCCTTGATAAAGCATATTGTTTTTTGAGATCTAGTGGGATACAAAAATACTTTCTTCGAGTGGTCTCCACAGTGACACATTATTCTAACATAGTTTCTGCATACCATCTGGCAGTCTATATGGGATAAATATATATATATATATATATATTCGGACATTCTATCTAACATTCTTCCTAGCATATACTCTGACATTCTTTCTGGCATCTATTCTGACATTCTTTCTGGTACTTTATCTGGCATTCTATCTGACATTCTATTCTGGCATTCTATTCCGGCATTCTATCTGAAATTTATTCTGACATTCTTTCTGGCATTTTACCTGGCATTCTATCTGACATTCTATTCTGGCATTCTATTCCGGCATTCTATCTGAAATTTATTCTGACATTCTTTCTGGCATGTTACCTGGCATTCTATCTGGCATTCTATCTGACATTCTATTCTGGCATTCTATCTGGAATTTATTCTGGCATTTTATCTGGCATTTTATCTTGCATTTTATCTGACATTCTATTCTGGCATTCTATCTGGAACTTATTCTGGCATTTTATCTGGCGTTCTATCTGGAATTTATTCTGACATTCTTTCTGGCATTTTATCTGGCGTTCTATCTGGAATATATTCTGACATTCTGACATTCTTTCTGGCATTCTATCTGACATTCTATCTGACATTCTATTCTGGCATCGTATCTGGCATTTATTCTAACATTCTCTCTGGCATGGGCACTGCCGGACCTCAACCGCGAGCACCAGATCTCAGTGGGCAGTGCACACTGGGATCTGGCGCTCGCACTTGAGACCTGGAGCTCGCAGTTGAGGTCCTGCAGTGCTCACTGTGATCCACTTAGGTCTGGAGTTCGCTGTTGGGGGGAGGCGGAGGGAAGGACGGAAGTAATTCCAATAAAATCTAGAGACCCTCACCTGGCGAGTGGGGATGTGCTATTATTATACAACCATTAAGTGGGGGAGCACGGGGAACCCAATTTTTCCTGGTTATGACTGTTAATGAAAATCTACTCTTGTGATCTGGAGCAGTGTTTTTCATTTTGGGGGTGGTAATGAAACATCTGAATTTACACGCCCTCAATTGTTTACCATGGAAGCCGAAACATGAAGTCCCAAAAATGGCATTACTGCATGAGAATGACCTTGTTGAGTTCGATGTTGAACTTAATTGTATAGGGGTTGTGTATTATCAGCACAAGTTCGATGTGAAACGGCCAAAATTTGATCTTCAATTGTTCCCCTACCAAATTACAGCAACTACTGGGTTCGGAACCAATAAAATACATTGCGATATTCGGGAATATCTTGGAGCCGCTTGTCAAGCTGTTGTTCACACAAACTCGCATGAGGATTGTTTGCTGGCATCGCCCCTGAAAGCGGGATATCATTCATGACGCTAATCAAAAAATATGATAGATATTGTATGTGTATGAACACATCAACCTCACAGGGGAATTCAATAATAAAAAAATAAACATCATTCAAAACAACACCCTACAAAACATGAAATGAACAGAACATGAAAAAAATAACAAAACCGTAGGAAACAATCTCAAGGAACGGACTTCCTGAAAGCTCCCCCTTGCACCCACATCGGTCACGGCTTGGCCATGCTTGGCCACAGGTGGTAACGGCACGCCTGCGGCATCGGCCGCAACGACGTCCATCTGCTCCCGCTCCAAGGCCATAGCAGCGTGGGAACAATGGGGGGTCAACCGGCAAAAGTTTCTATATATATATATATAATAATACACACATAGATTTTTTATGTATCCATAGAAACCGCCAAAAAATAGAAACGTCATTTATCACTATGTGCACATTAATGTTTTTTGTCCTGAGTTTTAAGGTTGACTATCGATGTGTGCCTATATTTATGTATACACATTAACAGACATAGACCGCCAAAATCTGATACGGAAGCTCGACATGGCCATATCAAACGGGAAATGATCTTCCAAATGCTATTCTTTTGGTTCCATGTTGAATTTAAGGTGATTTTTTTTTGCGGATTTGTAAGTCCGAAGTATCATTTTTTGAAGCAACTGTTCGACTCTATCAAGCTCCACTTGTTAAATTAAAACTAGCCGTGTCTCAAAACTTATTGATGTTGGCTTGAGCGTTTCTGAGTCTCAGAGTGCTCCAAGGAAGGTGTGCATACCCATCATTGTCTGAATTTAAAATCCATCACCAACCGTCTTTGCCATTACTTGACGCAAAACCCATGTATCATCTACACCCTGATAAAACATAACTATTGAAAATTGCCGATTTATAGTTGGTTTTGCGACCAACATGGTGATGTTCCATAGCTACGTTAGTTTAGCAAAGGGCACCCATGACCTTACCTTTCTGCTATACAGTGGCCCATGGTCTGTTGAAGCTGGATCTATCCCACGTGAACTCGTCTCCGAGGCTACCACTTTTCATCGTACTCTTGGAATTGCCTCAGAAGCACGAACCTCTCAGGGTTTGAACAACTCCAGCGGAATGTTTAGGATGGAAATATGTCCCGGGAAAGATGCTGAAGACCTCAACTCGTTAGAGAAAGTGCTGCGTGTGGGACAATATTAGGGTATTGTGTTTTGTTTGCCCTTCTTTAGTGGCGATGGTTCATGCTCAAGGTGGACAATATCAGTAGTTGGCGGTTTCAAACCTACCTAGATTTTTTTCCAATCCAGCAAAAATTCTGCTCTATCCACCTAGTGTGGTAGTGAACTCTGAGACCCTCCACCATCACAGTTTTTGTGTATACATGCATACAGTTTTTTAAAGGAAAATATTTACTTCTCTAATGATTTACTATCTATATATATATATATACTTATTTAAATATACATATAATCGTAATTTCCGCCTGTAGCCCTTCATACTACCATGAAAATTGGATAAAAACAGTAGAATTTAAATCCGCCAGGCATCCCCCAGGCACCCCAACGCAGCCAGGAGGGAGGGATCTGCGAAGCCATCGAGTTCATCCAGTTGCCTCGAGTTCATCAAGCCCAGGGCTTGGGAACTTCAAATTGGATGGAGATCAATTATAGCAAACCCCCGGAAATATTCCCAAAACATTCAACAAATATTTATGGATGACATTGGACGAACATCCAAAACTGCAAGAGATTAAAAACATGTCTGGTCTATCCCATTCATCCAATTGGAAACATGTAAGCTCATGTCCACATGCTAGGTTTGTAGCATTGCGTTTGCCACATAAACATCATATAGAGAGGGAGAGAAAGAAAGAGAGAGAGAGAGAGAATTCCATCAGCTTAATTCCATTATATACATACCTGTGATAAAACCCCCGAAGAAGAAATCCCAGAATGCAAAGCGTTTATTGAAGTATGGGAAATACTCCACATTTTTTGCTGGTGAACCCCGATTTTTCCATGGTGAAACTAACCGTTTTGCAACCCAAACCACCCAAGTTCCGACAGCATTCTATCATATACAGGGTCCTTGCAAAGAAATAACAAACGCATGACCACAAATACAACACATATGTATCATAATTTGGTCGGTGGATTACAAGCATTCCAAAACATTAGCCTTTTTTTGAAAAAATGTATATAATTTATATAATTATTATAAATTAGCCATCTCAACCAGTCATCCTAAGTAGGGTTGCGAAACAATAACCATCTCTGTATCTATAATTGCAACTTACTGACTAATGACTTGACTATAATTTGGTTGGAAGACTCAATTCGTTGCTCCTTGGCCCCCAGAGCCCCCTCCCAACCAGCCAAAATAAATCATGTATATATATATATATATATAGCTTGGTAAAAAATTGGTATGGTACATCTAGAGATTTCAAGCCGAAGAAGCATGGCAAGAGCTGCTACTTCGGCATCCGACATGGCGCCAGAAGCCTGGAGCAGCGGCCTGGGGCCTGGGGCCTGGGGACTGGGGACTGGGGTTGTGACATGGGATGAAAAAATGATATACAGATACACATAGATACACTAATTTAGGATCAAAGGAAGTTTAGAAGTCAAACTTCCGACAATGTGGGCAAATAGTAAAGCAAACATGGGAAATTCAAAAGAGAAAGGAAGAAAAAAGAAGATCAGAGAAGAGAAAGAGCCAAAAGAAACAAAATGCAAGTTCATGCAAAGGTAGAAAAGCCGCAAGACACCGTCTTTTTTTCCCAATGTTTTGTGGCTCCGGAGGGTCGAAAGTAGGCTCGCTGAAGCGGCGGGTGCGGAGATGAGAGAGGAAAAATTGCACGCCGTGGTGGCGCGAACCACATTCTGAAGTCAAAACATACAAAGCACCTCAGTTTCGGAGCACTTTTGCCAGTGAAGCACTTTGTATGATCTGGCCTCACTTTTTCGTGGCAGGCGCAAGCAAAACGCGTTGGTACGAGGCCATCAGCTCTGCGCTCAACTGACCATTTTCGAAGGAAGTCGCTCAGAATTGCTTCGTTTTTGATGTTGTCAACTTTTCGAAAATTGAGGAAGTCTCGCAGAAATTCGTCGTTTTGGGGCTGTCGACTTCCATTTTTGTGAAGAACTCTCACAGACTTGCTTCGTTGTGGACCTGCCAGCCTCCACTTTTGAAGGAAGCCTCGCGGAATTGCAGATGGATGGATAGAGAGATAGATAGAGAGAGAGAGAGATAGAGAGAGATAGATAGATAGATAGATAGATAGATAGATAGATAGATAGATAAACAGATAGATAGATAGATAGATAGATAGAAAGCTAGATAGCTAGATAGCTAGATAGCTAGATAGATAGATAGATCGATCGATCGATAGATAGGTAGATAGGCAGATAGGCAGATAGGCAGATAGGTAGGTAGGTAGGTAGATAGGTAGATAGGTAGGTAGATAGGTAGATAGATAGATAGAAAGATAGATAGCTAGATAGCTAGATAGATAGATAGATCGATCGATAGATAGGTAGATAGGCAGATAGGCAGATAGGCAGGTAGGTAGGTAGATAGGTAGATAGGTAGGTAGATAGGTAGATAGATAGATAGATCGATCGATAGATAGATAGGTAGATAGATAGATAGACAGATAAACAGATAGATAGCTAGATAGCTAGATAGCTAGATAGATAGATAGATCGGTCGATGGATAGGTAGATAGGTAGATAGGTAGGTAGGTAGGTAGGTAGGTAGGTAGATAGGTAGATAGGTAGATAGGTAGATAGGTAGATAGGTAGATAGGTAGATAGATAGATAGGTAGATAGGTAGATAGGTAGATAGGGAGATAGGGAGATAGGCAGATAGGCAGATAGGTAGATAGGTAGATAGGTAGATAGGTAGATAGGTAGATAGGTAGATAGGTAGATAGGTAGATAGATAGATAGATAGATAGATAGACACATAGATAGTTAAGTAGATAGATAGACAGATAGACGGTCAAACAAATAGACAGATAGATAGACAGACAGATAGCCAGACAGGCAGACACACACATAGAGAGAGAGAGAGAAAACAAAAGAAATGTAGAGCCTCAACCACCTTTCGATCCATCAGTGCGCTCTGCCATCTATGCGTCGCACCAACCGAGCTCTCCTTTGGGCTTCCTATCTTTGAAACTTCCGCCACCGCCTTGCGCGGTACTACTGGTATATGAGACAATAGATATGCCGCTATGCCTTTCTTTTTGGAGAAATGATGGATGATCCTAAAACACACCGATAGACAAAAAACATTGTCTCAAATTTTGTGATATGTATACGTATATTTCTATATTTATTTATTTATTTATTTAGTAATTTATAGTTATTTTCATCTATTTATCTACTCTACTTATTTATATATTTATTTATGATATGTTCATGCATGATACAAGGCGCTTCCAAACATATCACAATATAGTATAGACTCTGAATTTTGTGTTGTTTGGAGAGTTTACGGAGTTATGGCCTACATTGGCGACTTGCATACAGCTGTGATTGATGCATGTTTTCTTAGGACCTAACACTTAATGTGAAGACCAAGACAAAATCACCCCTGGATGGCTGCCAACCGCTCAACAGGTCATCAGAAAAGAGTTGTTTTCACCCAAAGCTGGCGTTCACGTGTCATCGCAAGCTGATCACTGGCTTCAAACCGGCACTTGAACTGCTTGCATCAACTTTACAGAGCAGAAAACCATATCCGTCTTTACAAAACTTGTAGCGTTGTAAGGCGTTGTACATTCTGGGTGCTATAAGCCGCACCAATTGGACCCCTTTGGGCCTTTGGGTCACACGGCTGGCCTCGAACCCTTTGGGGAGAGTCACACCGTCAAAGCTTTAACCCGTGGCGTGTGAGATCAGAATTTGTACCTGACCCTCACAACCCTGGCCTTGGGCTCCTTACTCCTGGTTGGTGGCAGCCAGCTGAGTTTCCGTTTATACATAATATACGTAATATATATATATATAAGGAAGTCTCAGTTCCAACAATATGTTTTTTTCCTTCAATGTCTCATTCATCTGAAAATCCAAGAATTGTTGGGAGGTCTCCCCCATCTTCCCCCATTTCGGGCCAAAATCAGAATCTCTATAAGGCTAGGGACCATCAACCAGCACTTCACCACAAGCCTTGTCTCAGTTTGGCTGCATGCTAAGGGTGGCCATCAAGCCATAGAAGTTGCTGCTGCCGCTTGTTGTCCAACTGCGACACGTGCAACCACTGATGCAATCGCAGCCCTCTTCGTTGGCGCAGTTGGGACTGACGCAAGGAACGTCTATCCAACTGGGGAGCTGGGAAGGAGGCAGAGCATCCACCAAGTTTTCCGAAGATTGAAGACTTGGATCTTGTTGATACCTGGGATCTGCCCAAGCAACATGAAACAATATGAAACAATATGAAATACAAGAAGTGGCCTGGAAATGCCACACGCATGAGTTCGCAATGAACTGGCACAGCAAAAATACAAGTAACACACTCCCGTTAGCTACAGCCCCCGCCGTGCGAAGCCAGAAAAAACGAAAGAATAACATCATGTGGTTTTGGCTTAAGATACACCCGAAACAAATCCCAGAAAATCTCTGTGGCCCATCAGGCCCAGGTGCAGATCGGTCTTGTACTGTAAGCCCCTGCTCCGAGCAGACACGGCTGGCTCCTGTGCAGAATGAGACCCCCCCCAGAACCTGACATAGAACATGCAAAATGGGGCTATGCATCAATTAGTTTAGAAGCATTTACATACATTAAACATCATGACCGCCCATGATCCCAAAATGATCTCTTGACCACTTCGGGGGTGTCCGGTCCTCAATTTTTTTGAGATGCACATTCCATCTGAATAAATTATAAACTACAATAGTTCTGATGTTTTATCAAGGTTCCATTTTGGTGGTTGTATTGAATCAAATCCCATACATAATACAGTACATATCCCATTCATATGCCACTACTATTCAAGCAATTATACCCATAACATGCTTAATATCTTAATGACCCAATAAATATCAGTACCCTGAATATCCTATGAATATTCCATTCACATTCCATTAGTCCAGCATTTTCCATGGTTAACACAGTGTTTCACACTGTATCCCAGTATCCCACTACATGACATCTCATCAAATATCATCGGACATCGGACCCACCTGTTCCCAGCGAAGTTTCAGCCATTTAGAGGTCCACATGCTGAGATAGACAGAGTCGTGCTGCGTCTGAGTGCTTTGCCTGGGATTTTTTTTGCGCGTCCGACTGTCTGGATCTGACATGAACAAACTCATCCACACAATATATCCAACATTTGGGGCTCCTTGATTCAACATCTGTCAACTTGATTCATGTGGAGATCAAACGGAATAAAACACATTGTCAAGATACTTGTAGTCTTTATCACTTCTTTATCTTCATATAGTCTGTATCCCAGCAATTTGTTGCATTCCATTTCTTCAAAAATATTGGAATATGGCGATCCGGCCAGGTTGACCCCAAATGACCGTCGTCCAGTATTGGGACGTATGGACTGGCACGGCAACAAATCAATCTAGTCCCCCACACACACAAACACAACCCACCCTGAAATGAATAAACATCAGCACAGTCATCTGGTAGGTGCTTTAAACGTTTGAACCTCTCCGAATTAAAGCAACGAAACACCATTGAAACATATTGAAACCACCAGTTATGATCCTCAGTGATCCTTCATCCCAGCGGCAACAGCGGACAGCCCTGCAATGGAACTTGGAGCCACCAATCCGTCTCCGCCTGTGGGGCTCGTTGCCCCGTGGTCCCATCACAAAGGCGTTGACCCGTGGCGTCATAGAGGGCCACCCCAACGGTGTAGCTGGCATCATTCTGGGGCCGGCGACACGCCAAAAAAAAATGTCAAAAAAATCATCATCCACGATCCACCAAGAACAATACCAAAAGCCATTTGCCAGCATTTTGGATTTGACATGATTTGACTGTTCTTTCTTGTTTGGCATTCGAACATATTCCCAGATTCACAAATTCAGGATTACCCTCCAGGAAACTAAGATATTGATGTATTGATGTTAAAAAAAACAAACTATCAATTGCTGGGTTCTTCACATCTATGTTCGTTTACTGGGCACAGCAACCACTTTTCGGAAATACACGGACATCAAATATAAAGCTTCAACCTCCTGCAGCAAATCTAAGCAGCTAAGTCGTTGTGACATTGATCACTGTCACAGCGAACTCGCAAACTGATGTTCAGGGGAAGGCAGCCAGCACCACACTCGGACAACTGGGTTGTGAATTTGCCTGGCTTCAAGTCGCCCATCCTCCCGGTTAGTAAGAGGGTAAGGCGGGTTAGCCGCTCAGCTCACTTATAACATGGGTATAGAATATGGATTTTGTTGCTGTATGGGGAAATGGAAATACCTCTTGTATTTACCAGCTGTCTGCAAACAGATTACCAGCTTATAACATGTTATATGATTATATGTATGTATGTAATATCAATAATTATTATATAATCGGGGGCAACTGGGGTTATAATCCGCTTGCTAACTGGAATGAACCAAGTATTTAAAACCATCAGCCAAGTGACGTGTGTACAAGTAGCGTTTTCCAGAGCTCGTTGTGGTGAAAGCAGACCCATACTTCTGCGTCACCCCATCTGGCGGACTAAGCACCACTAAGCGCATGCACTGGCCATTCACCAGCAAGTAGCCATCAGCACAGTTGTCGCAGTTCACACCTGCATACCTGGACAAATGCGCAAACCCAAACCTAGAATTTTGATCTCGGTAGTAATGTGGTAAACCCAACAATAAACCATCCTCAATATAATCATTAATGGATGGTACAAATCATCCCCAAATGGTAGAATTTCGATTGGGTTTATGGTTTGCCACTTTCATTCCCATTTATTTTCAGCCTTCCCTAGCAGTACAACATTTTACCAAACACGGATCCAGATACCCGGTAAGGCACACACAGGTACCATAGACTGCCTGCCCATGCACGCAAGCCAAACCAAAATTCACATCAGCTTCGCAGGTCTCGGAGAAATGCGCGTTGAGAAACGCAGCCAACGCAGCTCCAACTTGCTTCACAGCAGCTGTTTCCACGGTCGGCGGGTCAGAACCAAAGCCTCTCATGACCTGGCTTTGTCAAACAGAGCACAGTACCACCCCAAACTGATAGAACAGTAATTCCAGGATTTTACTCTTCTATTTGTTTGATTCTTTTTGGAGGTTGCTATCCAGCACCCATTTTTGTTAACGGATCATCAGCTCTCATATTGAAGAACTGCACATCTTTGAGGGAACTACAGGTGACTACAGGGTCCCAATACAGGGTCCCAATTCAGACAGACCTGAGGTAGTTCTAGCTGAACGCCCGGTTGGCTCGAGGAGACATGGATCTTCAGGTTGTAGCCGCCCATAAAGAGGCTGCTGTAAGATGAATCGGGACAAATAGTTGCATCCGGACACCTGGCATCAGCTTATGGCACCCTAATCTGCTTGGTTCTTGAGTTCCCAAATGAGTTCCCAAATGAAGAAGCGGCAGACATGGCCAATCCATTTAGGTCCAGCCAAAGCTTCAAACATAGCTACTGAACCCCCAAAAAATACTCCATCAGTGCCCTACAGGGATCCTTGGGGAAGATGAATGGTTAAAGCTTAAAGGGTCTTCCTGCAACAAAAACAATCACTTCTAGCCCTTCATTTCAAATTTTCAATCCAAAAATAAAAGCAAAACCTTCTCGGCAAAAATGCATCTGCACATCTGGACCTTTGGTTAAGTCAACTCATCAAAGGCCAATCTTGGATACCGTGTATACCCCAATCTTGGATGCAAACAAATCTGGTTGGTGGTTTCAACATGTTTCAACCATCTTGAAAAATATTAGTCAGTGGGAAGGATTATCCCATATATTATGGAAAATAAAAAATGTTCCAAACCACCAACCAGAAATCGACCCATCCAATTTCTCCATGGTCCACACCTCAACTGCGGTGAAGGGATCACTTCCATGTCCGGTCGCTTCGCTTTCAGCAAGGCCCCCAAGCTGCTGGCGCCCCAAACGGCCTCCGTGACGTCGCCCGCAACGGCGCGGAGGGAGCTCTTGGAGGAGCAACACTGTGCCAGCGAGGGAGGGGAGAGCTGGGCACCTGAGCATTTTCCGATCGAAACCATAGGTTTTCGACATGTTGTTTGGATGTTTACCCTAGGGATCCCTAGGGTACCAGATTCAGCAAATACTGTTGGTATTTGTTTTAGGCTCATTTAAATATAAATGAATAAATTAAACATAATATATATATATAAATATAATATAATATATATATATATTATATAGATATGATATGGGCCTTGGCTTTAGGGCGTCTTTTGTTCAACATTTGAGATTTCAAGATGCAGTACACAGCCAGCCAAAGAGACGATTCTACATGAATTCGTCCAACAACCAGCAATATGATCAAACATAGGCAAGGCTGGTCTTGTTGGAACCTCAACAACCATCAACCATCGCTTAAGGTGCTGCTGAAAGAATCAGCAAATGTGGGAGATGGAAAACCACCGCTGGCCTTCGTTCAGATTCGAAGCGGACAAACGGACCCCCACCTCGACTCTGTGTTTGCCTGCAGCAACGCTGGAGGCTCACTGTGGGTAGGTAGGCGTGCCAGCCTTCAATGTGGACCATTCTGCATTATACAACTCTAAAATAGGATCAAGGATAATTGCCACACAAATCATCCATTGCTGGTAGGACATCTGAAACACATCTTAAATTGAGAGTGGTCCATTCAAAGCTTAACAAAACATGCGCAACTGCCTTCAAAAAGATACTAAAAACAAAGAAACATAGTATAGTATAGAGTCGTTGTATTTAGGGCATAGCTGACATCAATAAATGAAATGTACCAACACACCCAAACAATGCATTCTGCTATCACATCGAGTATGATTTTAATTGGCTACTATAGAAAAATGGAAAGCACAAATACATACACATACACATATTAATGCCACAGTTTGGTTGAAACAGTCACCAACAGAAACCATACGTCATACGTCCACCATCTTCCACCCACCGCATGCCTGTGGCATGGATGGGAACCAACAAAGCTCCATTTCCCTGCGCTACTTGCTCTGCAAGCAAGGTGTGGTACACATCATTCAGATTGATAGCCTGCTCCATGTCGTTAAGGTCAGCCAAGTGGCAGCCTGGTGGTTGACTGAGCCAGTCCCAGAACATCGTCCTGTTATAGGGGCAGCACATCCACCTTTCAAAGTGTCTATATAATATGTTACAACTATCATAATTTTTAAACAATGAACCTCTCATTGTTTGTGGGGATGGAACATGAATGAAACCACCAAAATAACATTACATCAAAAAACATTCTAAAGAAATCCACCATCCAGCAGCAGCATTCGCTGTTGCTTTGCTGCGTGCACAGCTCCCCCGCGCGCGTGTGGGTCCCGTTGCCCGTGGCACGGTTGCCGTCAATGCCCTGCCGATCCACGCGCAAAATCACAGCAGGGGGGCTGCGACCACAGCGCCGAGTCAGGTCAGTGCGCAACTCCTGGAGAATCGAGCTATTTGGGAGCAGGTTACACATGTGCTGCCCCCACCCAGTTATAAATTGGTTATAAGCCCATTAACTATAGATATATCACCTATAAACCATAGTTATTGGCGGAGTTAAAAACCAACTTGGCTATCTTTGGGGGCACCACCTTACAAAGAGGGATTGTAGAAACACATGCCCACTGATAAATGGGATAACCCACTAATTGGGGACTTATCTGACATTCTGACTAACTGGGCTTATCAACCGGTTACTAAGTGGGCCATGGGAGCTAGTGCCATGCTTTATAAGTGAATTATCACCCGCGCTACATTCCCAGTTTTAAGGGGATCTAACCCGTTTACTCACCAGTTCACTAACTCCATGGCTCTTTCTGTTGGTTTCTTGTTGGATGTTGTGGATTTCCAGGTGGTTACTGGTGATCTGTTGAGAATTCAATAGATCGTCACTGGAAGCTCTTGGTACCCTGGGCAAAACTAACATGGACATGGATGTGGAAAATCCCATTATTTGTAGCATCATTTTCCGAGGGTTTCACCATGGGGTTTCCACATCTATATTAGTTTACCCCGTAACCAAAACCTTGGGATGGCTTCAACAAAACATGACCAGATTCGGCGGTCCCGGTGCCATAGCCCTGGCCCATCGAGCCATCTGCCTCTGCTCTCAGAAATATCCATATGAGGGTTTCCATAAATGGGGGTACCCCAAACTGGTTGGTTTATAATGGAAGATCATGTTAAAATTGATGATTTGGGGGTACCCCCATTTTAGGAAACCCCCATATTCTTCCAGATATTTCCACATGTGTCATGCTTAACTCCACTAGTATTATGAAGATGGTGGGGCGGACCATTTCCTGCGCAATTTCGGAAAAATCATGCACCCTTCAACTTGAACAATGCTGTGAAGCGTCACCCCTCCCCATGTCAACCCAGGATAGATAAACTCTACCAATTAATTGCAGTAATAAAATGCGGTGTTTATTAATCCGGGGCCAGCATAACCGCCATGTTTTTAAAAGATTGAGCTTCCTATATGTGTAATAAGAGTTTGTGCTTCCCAAAGAGATAAAGAATAACATGTTCTTCAAACCCATATCCATCATTGATAGGCTACATTCCCAACCAAAATTGGCAGGTGAGCAGTGCTCAAAACTCTCTGTCATTCCATTGGTTGCTTCAGCCCTTGGGATTCCCCGCTCATGGAACATGGATGATCCATAGGAATGGCTCTTCCAAAACTAATCCTCCCCGAAGGTTTTGGTAAATCCTCAGGTGAAGTCCCAACTCTTCCTACCGCAACTGAAACAAATGCAGAACATACATCGAAATTTCACCTCCATTTCCATCACTGGTAAGCCCCAGAATCATGTATTTATTACCAATTTTTCCACATGTTCCATTTCTTTCCTATATTTGTGTATATTTTGTCCATTTCTTTCCAAAAACAAAATTCTCCCAAGGTGAAGCCCTGCCCTTTCCAACTCCTCCGTGAAGAGATCCGTGTTTTGATCCGAGTTCAGCACCCCACTGACGCGCTGCGGCCAGCCAAAGGTCATGCGGCCACCGTGCGGCGCCTCCAAAATCAACGGGAGACCGCTGCCGGGCAGCACAGAGATGTCGCCCACGTCGAGCCTAAGCGATGCTGGTGCCCCCAATCCTTCGCCTTTTTACTTTTCCCTAGGTTTACTAGAGTTCATGGTAGATATGATAGATATGGTAGGATAGAAAGGATAGATAGGATAGGAGAGGAGAGGATAGGAGAGGAGAGGATAGGATGGGATAGAAAGGATGTGATTGATAGGATCGATAGGATCGATAGGATCGATAGGATTGATAGGATCGATAGGATAGATAGGATCGATAGGATCGATAGGATCGATAGGATAGATAGGATAGGTTAGATAGGATAGGGATAGATAGGATAGATAGGATAGATAGGATAGATACGAAAGATAGGAAAGGATAGGAAAGGATAGGAAAGGATAGGATAGAATAGAATAGGATAGATAGATATAGATAGAGGTAGATAGATACAGATAGATATAGATAGATATAGAAAGATATAGATAGATATAGATAGATAAAGGTAGATATAGATAGATATAGATAGATATAGATAGATATAGATAGATATAGATAGATATAGATAGATATAGATAGATATAGATAGATATAGATAGGTATAGGTAGATATAGATAGATATAGGTAGATATAGATAGATAGATAGATAGATAGATAGATAGATAGATAGATAGATAGACAGATAGATAGATAGATAGGTAGATAGATATAGATAGATATAGATCGATAGATAGATAGATAGATAGATATAGATAGATATAGATAGATAGATAGATAGAAAGATAGATCAATAGATAGATAGATAGATAGATAGATAGATAGATAGATTAGATATAGATAGATATAGAAAGATAGAGATAGATATAGATAGATAAAGGTAGATATAGATAGATATAGATAGATATAGAAAGATAGATATATATAGATAGAATTAGATAGCTATAGATAGATATAGATAGATATAGATAGATATAGATAGATATAGATAGATATAGATAGATATAGAAAGATATAGATAGATATAGATAGATAAAGGTAGATATAGATAGATATAGATAGATATAGATAGATATAGATAGATTTAGATAGATATAGATAGATATAGATAGATATAGGTAGATATAGGTAGATATAGATAGATATAGGTAGGTATAATTAGATATAAGTAGATAAAGATAAATACAGATAGATTTAGATAGATATAGATAGAGATAGATAGAGATAGATAGATAGATAGATAGATAGGGTAGATAGGGTAGGTAGATAGATAGATAGATGGATAGATAGATAGACAGATACATAGATAGATAGTTAGATAGATAGATAGATAGATAGATAGATACATAGATAGATAGATAGATAGATAGATAGATTAGGTAGATAGATAGACAGATAGATAAATAGATATATATATATATATATAATTATATATATATATATAGATAGATACATAGATAGATAGATAGATAGATAGGTAGGTAGATAGATAGACAGATAGATAAATAGATATATATATAATTAGATATATATAGATAAATAGATAGATAGATAGATAGATAGAGATAAATAGATAAATAGATAAACAGATAAATAGATAAATAGATAAATAGATAAATAGAAAAATAGATAAATAGATAGATAGATAGATAGATAAATAGATAAATAGATTAGATTAGATTAGATTGGATTAGATTAGATTAGATTGGGTTAGATTAGGTTGGATTAGATTAGATTAGATTTAGATTGGATTAGATTGGATTAGATTAGATTTAGATTAGATTGGATTTAGATTAGATTTAGATTAGATTAGATTAGATAGATATATTTTTTGATAGGTAGATAGATATGATAAGATATGATAACATAGGATAAGATAAGATAAGATAGGATAAGATAAGATAAGATATGATAAGATAGGATAAGATAAAATAAGATAAGATAGGATAGATAGATAGATAGATAGACAAACAAACAAACATATAATATAGCTAGATGGATATCTGTAGAATTCTATAGATATCTATAGACGATACTAAAGCGCCCCTGCCCCTTTTAATATTAGGGAAATATTTAGTATTAGTAATAGGTGTGAAGCTTCCTAATAATATCAAATCAAAGACCTTAATTAACAAACAACAATTGATTTTTTTTCAGAATCGATTAACAAAAATCCTATCTAGTTAAGATACTGCCAACAATTGGATTTCGAAGGTTCCCCTAATATTAAATTAAAAACCAGAATAAAGAACTTTCAATTGTAAAGGACGGACCCTAATTAATACAAAACACCCCGGTGTTGACTAGTTTTTACTATCAGGGGGGTGACACCCTCAATGGTACCTTCAATTTAAAATTGAGTTCCAAAGGGGTCAAGTAAAAAAAACAAATTGGTCAACTTCAATTTTCCCAAATTGAAAACGGATCCTAGTTTTTAATATGTGGGGTACGTCTAGTAGTAGGGGGAAGGTGGGTGGAAATCAACCACCTTGAAGATTTTCCATGGCCCTGCAAAACGGAATTCCATGGAATTTACACTTCCGAACAAAAAACATGAGGGGACTGGAAGTTCGCCATCTTAAGCGTGCAGGGTTTGAACCTTGTGGCATCATTCAGTATGATTCCACCTGTGCGGTTGACAGGCATCCAATAGCCATCAGCACATCCTTTTTTTCCTAAATCACAATTATTAACCTCTGGTAAACTAACATAACTATTGAAAATCACCATTTTCAATGGGAAAATCCACTATTAATGGTCATTTTCAATAGCTACGTTAAATTACCAGAGGGTAATTTACGATAAGGTGATTTTGGGATGGTTCCCCGTACAAACCATCATGTGATATCATGTGCGGTGATGTTGTTCCCAGGATGTATCTAAGCACATCCCTGTGGCACATTCATCACATTGAGTATCTAGGAGACGGGGCACCATGTCAACTTAATGACTCATTGAAATTCAACTCTCAACAGGTGTCCGCTCGAAGAGCTGAGGCACTGTACTCTCAAACTGCGGAAAAGTCCTGCCCATTGTCCTTGGACGTGACAAACAGGTTGGTGGTTTCACTCCGAGGGTCCAACATGGTCCAACAGTAATGGAGCAACATTGCCAACACTTTGGAACCTTCAACCATGCCTCTAAGCGGATGGTTTGATCGAGAAAGTTAAATGGAAGTCAAAACAAAAAACCTTGCAAAACATGTCGGTCTCCGGGGATCTATCCTTTTAGTGTTAGCCGTTATCTTGGTATGAAACATCCACATGTTGTTTCGATAAATCACCATGTGCAGAATATGTTCAGCCTGGAGTTCTTCAAATTCAAAATTTCATTACAAAACCCGAATGTAATTTGCTGGTTGTATCATAACATTGTATCATATGTATATCATTGAATGTAATTCTGTTACAAAATTAACTGTCAGCCCCTTGTCAATACTTCTCTCTGCCCGCTGAAGGCTTAACCGTTAAACCCACTTCCCACATGGCACGGTAATCAAAATATTGTTGCGAAAAGCGGAAAACCCAGCCTCCCCATTTCTACATATTTGTTTATACATTACAGTACCTTATATATACATTTACCCATTGTCCTGTTATTGTTGGTTCTTCTCCAAAAAAAGCGCTTGGCAGTTTGCTTTCAAACAAATGTGGGGTCATTCATGAGGGAAAAAACCCGATAAACATATATGTACAAATCACACTTCTCCCACTATAGATCATATAGTATGAATAATATGTATCTATCTCATTAGATGTCCAAAAAAAAATGCTTGGCGAAGTGCCATTCTCCCCCGTTGAAATCTCCACCAGGCATCTCCGTCCCGGCTCCAGCTCCCAGTCCCTCTGCGTCGCGAAGGCCTGCGCAAAGTCCTCAGAGACTGTGCGCGTGGCGTCCTCTGAGGAGGCTGCGTTGTGGTAGGTCAACTTGACGGTAGCCTCGGTGTTGAAGACCAACCACACATGGTCCTGCTCCGCAAGGGTGTGCAACTCCTCGGTTGAGAGTGGTAGAAGAAAAATGAGTGAAATCTAAGAGGTTGGAAAATAGCCGTGTTTGTAGATGATTTGCTTTGATCAGCGGAGGGTGTTTGCTTTTGTTGCTGGTTCCTTTCTGGGGGGTAGAATATGTGTCTGAACATTTCCTGAATTGGAATGGGCTAAACCTGGGTAAAAGAGCAATCACACATGTCAAGGGAAAGCTTAACCGCAAAGCAACACAACTCAACTAAAGCTTGGATTCCTTGTCATATCCGAAGAAAGGGAAGAAGAACCACGTATGATCCTGCAAGGATGTTGGCATTTCAAGGACTTGGGAGGTTGCCGCCAACCTGCCATCCGACAGGTAGATGCCCACTTTGGCCGGGCTGTCCACCGAGTTGGTTTCATCCACTCCCACTCTGATGCCCTGCAGCCAGCAGGGCTTCAAAGAGCACCCCGGAACGTCCACCTTCACAGGGGAACATCACCAGACCATCCGGGGACATCGGATCCACCATCCATAGGCTCAAGGGGGCAAAGATAAGAAATATATATATATATATCCAATGGATTCCCCAGTTCTGGTGGATTAACCAGGAAAACTGGAAAAAAAAAACATCACCTGCAGCAAATCCAGGAGAAGTGGAATCAACCTGTCACGACCGTCTCTGCTTTCCCCTGCCTTTACCGCAAGGGTTGTGCTTCCAAAGGCGCTTCCGCGCCTCTTCCCCGAATCGCCTGGCGTGGCAGCGACACAGCTGCTGCCGAGGCCCCCGAAGCCATGGCAGGTGGGTGCCATCGGGTGGGCATCGACACCAAGGACCAGCAGGGCCAACGACAGCATGGATAGCATCGTGGTGGCGAAGGCTATAGCACGCTTCCCACTGAGCCAAACGGCTTTGGTTTTTTCATGTCTTGTCTCTATTTGTACATGTGTGTATATATGATATATTTCAAAAAAAAACATATGGTTTTCTATAGGGCCTATAGGGATGACCAAGACCAAGAAGGGGAAAAAGATCCCCTTCCATGGGGTCAGCCAGGCTGAGTGTCATTGGAACCAGTTGAGATGCTCATGAAGTCACAAGTTGAACACAGTAAGGCATGAGTACCTCATAAGATTTGATGCTGTTGCTGTTAAATTCACCGATTTCAGATTGGATTGAGATCAGTTGCATGACAGAAGGTGTTTTGGGTCATTTCAGAGGCCGTTCCAAAAGATCTATCAAAAATATGATCCTGCCGTGCCAACATGAAAAGTGAAACGCATGGGTTCGTCTGAACATGTAACGTGAGCCAGCCCCCCCCCAAAAAAACTGGTTGACATCATCAGTGTCAACAACAAAGTGCCAGGGAAATGGATACTATTCCACTAGTTATGTACAAACCACATTCTTCATACAAATGAAACATGTGTTCAGTTCTTAGTGAAAATATGAATTTTATAGAGTTTGTTTAAACAAACTGTCCCTACAAGGTGGGGGTGCCATAGTTGGCTGCAATTAGTTTATAATTCGGCTAACTATGGGGGCCCACCTTGTAATCCCTGGTGTAATATAGCGAATTTCCCCATTGGGACCATTTAGGAGGTGTTTAATATGGTGTGTTTTTGGATGAGATTATCATCTATATATATATATGTATATGTGTGTGTGTGCCATTTCCCAGAAAACCATAGAAAACCCATTAAATCAGCATTTTTCATAGGTATATCATCCATAAATGGTCCATCTCCCCATGTTGAACACACTCCCCACATCTGGGCCTCAACTTCTTCTTGCAATCGTCTGGCGAGCTGCTCATCGTCTTCCTGCCGACCGTCAAGGTTGGGCATGCGGCATGACCTACAGTACTCATAATGTGTGATTGTTGATGATGTTCTTGTTGTATCGTAAAATTTGGAACAGCTTGGAAAACAAGAGGCAAAAACATCTTTAACCTGCACTTGTGAACTTTCAGGCCTTATATGGCCCAAGTTCCGGTCAAATACCAGTCTATACACCCTCCAAAATGGCAATTTCAACAAATCAATGTTGACAATTGTTGATAGGGAAAGTTATGAGGAGCCCGTGAGTGTACACAAAGGGTATCCTATGAGTTTCAGGCAAAGCCACATCGAGTCCTTGTATCTGCGAATCAATGAGTACCCTCCGGTGATCAAACGTGGCTGGCTGGGAAAGCCCGCACTAACTGGAGATTGTAGCAGGAAATTCACTGAGCTAAATAGTGGATGTTCGAGCAAGCTAAGTTTGATTGCTACCATCCATTAATATCCCAGTAATATCCCATTGAATACCATTACATGGAAATTTCCTGAAATGGCGGTACCTCCAAATCGCCAAGTTGTTAGACCATGACTTAGTATTGAAACAACCATGGTGACGACTGGGGATCTCTTATGACTTAGGACCTTTTTTGAGGTATCACCCCATGAAATCCTAATAATATTCTAGTAATGTCCCGATAATTTTCCTTCAGAACACCCCTTGAAATCCCAGGATATATAAATACCACCTAAAAACCCATAAAAATGCCACATAAATACCTTATATATAAATCCCATATAAACACCATATAAATCCCATACAATTCGATTCTTCCGGTTTCTACAACTCGTGGCACCTCGGTAGGTGGAACGTCTGTCGATGCACTGGAGGTGCCATGACCTGTCTGTTTCACCGTGGAAAACAAGGGTCTTCCGTACATGTTCCCCTTGTGTAAATCAATCCCATCGATAGATGCTTCATATAGAAATAGTTATAGATGTTTATTATATGTTAATAAGACCCTTTTCGTGGTTCTTTGTGCTTCGTGAGCCCTTACCCTTCAGTAACTCAACAGCTGGAAAACAGCCCATAAATAGATGAGTTACCATAATTTACTGACTAAACACGCTGATTTTCCATAGCTATATTCTTATACTAGTTTACCACAAGGTAATAATCCTTAACATAACTATGGAAAAAGGCCCGTTCATAGATTAGTTACCATGATTTACCTATAATATCATATATCTATATAATTGTAATATATGCATGCTGACTTTCCATAGCTATATTAGTATATATTAGTTGGCCAAACATGTGATACCTTATCATTATATGTTAAATATCATTATATTGCTTAACCTTGTGGTTAGCGATACAATTATACTATATACTAGTTCACCATACCTTCCAGGTAATCATCTCGTATTCCAAATGTGAGTCAATTGCTGAGACGTCTACTGTGGCTCCCCACCCGGCGACACCGCCCCGACGCGGCGCCGTTGAAAGCGTCCACCGAACGGTGGGTTTCTCTCCTGCGCGCAGGTGGATGACATGTGGATTTCATGGCGAAGCTTAGGAACCTTTTACCCTCTGGTAATTTAACATAGCTATTGAAAATTGCCATTTATACTGGATTTACCCATTAAAAATGGTGATTTTCCATAGTTATGTTAGTTTACCAGAGGGTAAATGATAGAAACCAAGTACCTTCTGCTAAACTAACATAGCTATTGAAAATTGCCATTATGGTTGATTTACCTATCAAAAAGTGCTGATTTTCCATGGAAGTGATGTTAGTTTACCAAAGGGTACCATTGCCCCCAAACAATCTAGTTGTTCAAATCCATATGTTTTGTTTGCATGTTTCCATCCTAACATTATGATGCCAACTGAAATTTCTGGCATGGGTGGCGCACCACCAACCACTTACACCAACAAAATCCAAGCAACTCCCCAAACATGGCTAATCACAAAAATACCCTGCAAGAGTGCCGATATGTAGTCAATATCACCATTGAAATTGCAAAATATTAATCAATATTAATATAAATATCAAACTATCCAGGGTTTCCCCAAACCCAAATCATATTGCTGGCTCGGTATCCACTGTGACCCAAGAATATTCTCCCAACATTGCCATCACTTTAAGGCTACCCCCTACTTGAATGCCATTAAATCCCCCAGTGCTTGCCGCCTTAAATCCCCTTTGATTGCATATCCCATAACAGCATGGGTTCAATCCACCCCAAGTTAAAATCACAACTATCAACTATTAACCAATTATTGGCTAAATATTAGGTAGTTGTTCAGCCTGAAAAAAATGAAACCTGCATTGAATTCGATAACCAAACATCTTCAAAAACAATTGAAACACAAACTATACGCCCAGGATTTCCAATCAAATTTATCCATTTATCCAGACAAAATCGGTAACTCCACGATTTCTCATTATATAAATCACACTAACTCCACCAAATTCTTCAATAGAATCACCAAACTGTCAACATCCACCCAAAAATCCAAGGAAAAATCAAGAGTTTTTACCAGAAATCCATCAAGCATCACGAACAAACCAAGAACAAATCATACAGTAATTTCCACCAGAAATCCATCCCAAAACGTACCCAAAAAACCTTGGGTGCTTCCAAGGTCATTTCCGGTGCTGCGCCGCTGAGCAGCAGCAGCTCCGCAGCCCGATCCACATCACCCTGGGCGCTGCGCAGGGCGACCATGGCGTCGGAGGAAGAGAAACCCAAGACCTGCAGCGCCAGCAGCTCCTGCGGAGGTTGGTGAAAATGGATGTTTTCTTCATGAGAAATTCCGTCTAAAAATATGGAGGTTAGATCTGGGAAATTTCATAATGTAAATGTTAATAGATGTTATGTTACTAGTATATTGGGATATAATAGTGCATATAATGGTATATAATGATAAAACATAATGATCTATTGGACAGTTTGTAAATAAGCTGGGGCTCTCCTGGCCATTTTTCTACCACGACTGGATGATCGAAGTGTGGATCCCATGGACCACTGGGTCCAGTAAATGAAGCAAGGCAAATTCTATAGTGGGCCCCAAGATCCAAGATGCTGAAGTCCGAAAATCCGAATCAAACATAGTTAAATAAATAGTGAGGAGCCACGAATTATGTTGTTGGCATCTTTTTGGATACTACATATATTATGTATATGTGACACGTCCCTTGGAGAAAAACATGGATCAACAAGTTGAGGATCACACCACCAGGATCAGGAAAGGCATAGTCCTCTGGAGGAAGATTGGTTTCGGAATATCATTACAAAATGCATCATCAACGCATCAAAGAAGTCGAATACACACATATATATATATACACATAATTATACATATATATATAAGTGGAATTATGGTGGCGAAATCGATTGTTAAATCAGTGGAATTATCTAATAATTTCTGAAGTTGCTCCTCATCTCCGACTTGGACCTTTGCGGGAGGTGCGAGAACAATCTCAAAACAGCCGGCTCACCCCGCCGCCCGCCCGTCTCCTTCTCAAATTGTGGAGTCAACAACTCCTTGCGGCATCGTGTAGCTTGATCAGCCCATCCCTAACCGGTAACTCGCTTGAGATGGTCTCAGCTATGGAAATTAGTGAACAAAAATCAGGTTGGAAACTACCAAGTCCTGAACATGTGCTGCTTGTTGGCATGCACCTCTACAACCCCAATGCCTTGCAACAAAAATGGTTGAGACCCTCCGCGTCCGCTATTGTTTCAGCCCTGGTTGCATCTCCTCAATAGTGATTTCACCCTGTCCTTGAAGATGAACAACGTGAAAGTCATCATTCTAGACAGTAGAACAGCGCATCTTTTGAATACGAAGCTCTTAGAGTCTTAGAGAGTCCTAAATCTGAGTTTGAGATAAAGACACTTTCGGTACACCCTTTTTGGAAAGCCTTTTGAGAGGAAAGCATTATGATAATCACTGATAATCCTTGGACTGTAGGAACTGTAGTGTGCCCAATTTTCAGACCATCACCAAAACCCATGGATGATATATGTCCAATCCTGAAATATGGGTCCATTGGTATGCCCTTTGCCAAAACACATTAACCATTAACCATCATTAACCTTCCATCAAGCCATCAACATACCTTTCATGAATCAGTTCATCCAGAGCCAAAGCTATCTGCTGTGTCCTTCTCATTCTGAAGATTGAGATGTTGGTCATGCAGCATACGACCAAACGCTGGGGATGTTGTCATGGTTTCGGGATCGGTGATGGTCTGCCACATGCCTGTCACAGCTTCGGCTGTAGAGGTGTTATCTGGCCGGTGCTTGGGCCACTACCCTGAGAAATCTGAAAGTTATGGGAAAACAAATGGCAGTTGAAATTGCAAACCAGTTAATTATTTACCTTTATATATCGGGCATGCATTGACATCTAGTTGTTTGTCTTGTTATGACTTGTTTGACTGAAGAATCATTTCAAATTTCCGTAAGAAACGCTGTCCCGATGTCTCTGCTAAGAAAACGAAACCAACGCAACAATACATATGTATATAAATAATTAATATAATTACATATATATATAAACATATTATATTATATGTGTGTATGCATATGTATATATATATATACATAATAATAAGTAGACAATGTTATGGTACGTATATATAAGCCAGCGAGGAAATTGATGCTTGTACTCAGTGCCAAAATGTTAACAACCAATGGGTCTGCAACCCGCTGGCCTTTCTTCTGCATATCGTTGGGGTAGAAAAACACTACCAGCGTAATGCGGCCTTCAGTGATCTCTGGCATGATAGGCACACCATGTCTCTGCGTTCCAAAGATGCATAAATCGCCATCCTGCATCAGCAGTGGAGTGTTGTCGATGGTCAGGATCCTCTCATGCCCAAAGCTGAACAACGCTGTCCAACAGTCATGGCGGTGACTGCCCAGATTCCCTTGACCATCGGGATACCAGTTGGTGATGATACCGGAGGTTCGGTCTGCAATGCCATATTCCGCAAACAGCTTTTGCAAAATCTTGTCCGTGGCCGGGGAAAGGCCCGGTTGGTACTTTCCATTCTGATGACCTTCCCACCTGATGTTCCCACGCTGATCATATTTCAGGTGATAGGCACCGGTGGCAAAGTCCCGAGTTCGAGCATTGCTGGCCTTCCACTCAGTATTCTGCAAGATCTCCTCATAGATGACGGGATCATCTGCAAACTTTCGTTTCACCTCAACGTCTCGCCACCAGGTCGCCGTATCTTGTACAGAATCTTCCACCATTGTGGCACCATTGGTGGCTCCAACGCCATTGGAATTTCGACCCATATCCTTGGTTAAATATTCATGAACACCCCACGGCCTTGGAATTTCCTTGTTCTCCTTCAGGGTTGAAAGGCACATTTCAACATAATGAAAAATCACATGGATCAAGTGATTAACCTGCTGTCTACAGCCCTTTTTTGTTGGACCCATACACGCCATGTTTGGGGTACTTGGGGCAAAGGAGCACAATCTTCTGCAATTTGAACCCCAGAAGAACACAGCTCTCCACACCAGCCACACCAACGTGTTTTTGTGCTCCATGATGCTCCATGTATATGAACATATGACATTTTGTTTATGAATAGGAAACATTACACATGCACATGTCAAATGAATGCACATGAAAAACAAGCCCTCCCCCACAATTTTTACAAAAAACTTCCCAACAAAAATCGGTCCTTCTGCCACCACTTGGCCACAAACCGTTCGGATCGCCCCAAGGCTGCAGCGATTTGCGCCTTATCGAGGCCTTCCTTTCGCAGGTGAATGGTGCGCAGCCGGTCTTGATACTCCTGGGCCGACATCGACTGACCTGGTTTTGGTGGAGATTTCTTGGGAGAATCTGTCAGAATCTGCCAGGAAGCCTGATTGCTTAGTCATTTCATGTCATTTCTAACCATTCAAACCCACCCAAGTGGTGTAAATTGCTAGGCCCGGAGTGACAGTGAGCCCCCCAGAGGTGCTACCAGGCTGGATACAGTGCATTGAGTGTTGTATGGGTTGGAAATTTTCAGTTGAGTCCTTATGACCTTGGGAAGAGTTTTGGGAAAAAATGCCCTCAGCCGCAAAGTGCTGCTCATCAAACTCGGTCACCTGGAAAAAGGCTTCACCCAAAGGCCCTGGGCACCCGAGTCCAAGAACATCAAACATGTTACAGTTTGAAACAGACTTCTCTAAATCTAGGCATTTTCCTCAGGAATGCATACTGCATATGAAACATCATGAAACCACAACCCAAACACGTCGGGGTTGGACACTTATTTCCTCTCATTCCAGTGTCGCATCCTATGGAATGGGAAGGAGTCTGGCAGGAATAGTTCCTGAGGTCATCAACAACACCAATCCACCAACGAATTACCACCACTGATGGTATAGGTTCCAATCCTCTGCCCCTTATCTTAACAAATAGCAATGAAATAGCCTTTTGAATGCCCGCTAGAGAACCTAGCTAAATATTGGAATGAAATTGGATCTATTCATTTTGGGGTCCCATACCAGGGGTATCTACAGCAATATCTCTGGGCAAGTTGTTGCATTTCTTCAACCGGGTGGAAAAAAACAATGTTTCGGATGATTCCGATCGTTGGTGATACAAGGCTAGTGAGGTCGTTGTAATTTGTCCGGACTATGAACCAGTTTTATTTAATATACCCATTGTTCCCATTACAAAACCATTTATAAACCATAAGCATTGTAAATTACATAGTTCCCAACAGTATAATTACCCATTAACTACCCATGATCAAGGCTTTTCTTCGGCATGGCACAGGATATTACCCTCATGGCTATTCACCATAGCTATGGAACATCACCAGTTTTAGTAGGACTTCGTAGGTGAATCATCATGTTTATCATTGAACCTTAAATCGGCCGTTTTCAATAGCAAACATATGTTTAATTAATTGGTGGAGGACATCTATTACCCAGATCCATTCAGATGATGGACATCTATTAGCCAAATCATCCCAAATCCATTTATAGATGAACATGATGAAATTTACCTATTAAAGGCATGGTGATTTTCCAATTACCAAAGGGTTGTTCAATTCTAAAGACCTCCTACCGCGCTGCACCTCCTCGTGTCCTTTGAACTGGATCCACTTGTAGGTGCGGAGGACCCGTCTGTTACTCCTTGGCGCATGCTGATGGTGTCAAGTCATCCCAAAACATGACGATGTATGGTAACCCCCACTCCCCAAAAATGGAAAAGCTTCAACTTACCACTATTTTAGTAGGATGTTAGTGTATCTTTTTGGGGGGCTGCTATTCATAACTGGGATCATCATCCTAAATAGAATGGAACATGCCCAATTGAGAACCACCAGCCAGCTTTATAGTGCCCGATTTGGTGGGAGGATTTTCGCGATTGAGTGCCTCTCACCATCAGAAAGGATACTACACATCTAGTGCTTCAAACGGTTGTTTTCCCTCTACTGCCGCGAAGCTGAACATGTCCACAACATGATGATGTCAAATGTAGCTGGGCGGTGCTTTCAATTTTCAATCCATCAACCATTGACCAGCAAGTTGAAAGGTGGATGATTCAAATTACCTGGGGAGTTGGTTCTTCATACCAAGCTTTCAATACCCAAAGATTTTGGAATGATCTTGATCAAATTCATTGGATTGGTTGAAGGGAAAACCTACAGGAAACCATTGTTTTTAATGTAGTATGCCGATTAGTGTCCTGGTACCCTGTGAGTTTTCAAAATAAATCAGTATCCTGCCAGTTGTGGGGGGTGGGCCTCTAGTGTGAGATTCCTTCTTCTCAGATCCAATTATTTCAGGAGGAGCCTTATCCACCATTATACGCTTTTCTTTGGGTAAAGCTGCTCCATCTACTTTAGAAAACCATATCCATGTTAAAGCCTTGAAAATGCAAGGTCCCCCAAATAATTAGATGCCTTATTAAGCCCTTAGTTGAAAACAGCAGCCACACATTTTTTTTTTCAAGGAGGTGCCCCATGAATGGCCCAGATCCTCAATAATATACTTGTTTGGATGGTACCCTATTGTGCACACAAAAAAATTGGGAAAGAAAAACACAAAACCCTTTATCCACCTTTCTTTGGGTAAAGCTGCTCCATCTACTTTAGAAAACCATATCCATGTTAAAGCCTTGAAAATGCAAGGTCCCCCAAATAATTAGATGCCTTATTAAGCCCTTAGTTGAAAACAGCAGCCACACTTTTTTTTTTCAAGGAGGTGCCCCATGAATGGCCCAGATCCTCAATAATATACTTGTTTGGATGGTACCCTATTGTGCACACAAAAAAATTGGGAAAGAAAAACACAAAACCCTTTATCCACCTTTCTTAGGGTAAAGCTGGTCCATTTCGTTTATATAGAACGCCATATCCATGTTAAAGCCTTCAAATGCAAGGTTCCCCAAATAATTAGATGCCTTATTAAACCCTTACTAAAAAACAGCAGCCAAGCACTTTTTCAAGGGGGTACCCCATGAGCGACCCAGATCCTCAATAATATACTTGTTTGGATGGCACCCTATTGTGCACACAAATTGTTGAGGTGAAAAAAACACAAAACCCTATATCCACCTTTCTTAGGGTAAAGCTGGTCCATTTACTATCGAAAACCGTATGCGTTGAAATCATGTCTTATCAATAGATTTCTTGGAGGTTTTAAAGGAGAATCAATTGAAAGTAGATTGATTTCAATTGAAATCCTCACTTAAGTGATCATCCTGAGTTTCCCAGACCTGGTCCCCAAAAAAATGCCGAGTTATTGAGTAGACTAAAATTGTTTGAGGGGGGGCCCTACACTAATCATCATCCAAAGATCTGCGTGCCAGGCCGCACCCCAAACGCTTCATCCAGCCGTTGCAAGGGCGGCATGTCAGGTCCAAAGATGGCCAGCGGAAGTTGGAAATCTTTGGCCACCCTGGCAGCCTATGGAAAACACTGTGGCTGTACAAATTTCTTGGATCAGAGTGGCAGTAGTTGGATCTGTTCTACTATGTTTGTTGTTTCCACGTTGTGTTGTTGCCTTTACCACGGCTAACAGGTGTGTGGGTGATCTTGAAAAATCCCTGGTGATCTGTTGACTTTAGCTTGCTGTATTAGCTGGTCACATCCGGTGCTTCAGCACTGATGTCCATGAGCAAAGCGATGCTCATAACAGCAAGCATAAATGCAAACATGTTTATTGTCATACACCCCTTGGGTTGGCCTGCTAGCAACTTGGCACATCTGAGAGTGGGCCGGTATGCCCTTCAGAAAAAATACAGTTCCTGACTGGAAGGTAAGGTCGCCTCGATATTGTATATGTATATATATATATATATATTTGTTATTATATATATATGTATATATCTCCCACAAACGCTACTCTAGTTGGCCTGTACTAAACCAAACCAACTTAGCTAATTATCAGAAATCAAACTAAATCCGATATATATATATATATATCACATGAAATCCCAATGTTTCTTGGTGACATCTCCCTTTTCCCATGCCGGTTGGTAAACCCCAGGTATTTGTCCGCGCTTCGCCGCGCACCTGGGGCCATGCCTGGTGTCGATCCAACGAAAATCCTGCCAGACCTGGGCCACCATTCACCATGCCCTGTGGATCCAAGTAGCTTCTTAGGAAGTACTTGGGGTATGATTTACGGACTTAAGTACCTTCTCAGACAGTGTCACTGGATCCATGAGGATGCATATCTATATATATATATATACAGACATAAAATATGGAACATATAAACACCTTCAAATCAATATAACGATACTATAGATGGAACATACCCACATATGTTTTACATATCAACATCTAACGGGAAAACAACAACTCGTTGATGTGGAGGAACACAACTATATATAATTGGAACAAAACAAAATCATCCCAGTGATATGAATGATGCACACATATTATGAGATCAATTGTGATATCATAGTGGTGTTTAAACATGCCAATATTTGCCAATGCGTACAATATCACTATTTGTGGGAGCATAGTATGGGACAACAGCTGGGATATGACGGGAAAGCATTGCGAAACACCCTTTGAAAAGGTAGCGATGGCTGTCGTACTCCATTCATATCACCCATTGTAGGGCTCATAGGCATATGTTCACCGCATGAAAAAGGCATGGAAGTGCAGTGTAGAACCACCGTCTTCAATCGGCTTAATTTAAATGTCCTACATTGATTTACGTAAGCCTATATTTTTGGAAAACCGTTTCCTGTAGCTTCTCCAAAGTTCACCGAGCTTCAAAATCAGGTTGTGATAGGTTGGGTAAATACCTCAATCATAATCTCCCTTTAGAATCATTAGGAAATCGCCACTTCACACCTTTGGCCCCTCGCGAACTGCCAGTCTTCCAGTGGTCGCCTACAAAAACATGCGAGTCCCAACGTGAAATTTGCGAGGAAAGTGAGGAAAGTGGTCACCTTTTTATCATAGCCATGGAACATGTCCCCTTTGTGAGATGATTTACCACCTAAAAACCTTTAAAAACATGGTCATTTTATGTCATTTTCTATGCATGCCTGTTAGATTACCAAAGTAGCAACCATGATGGAAAGGGGCAGGCAAAGCAAGAAGGAACGAGAACCTAGGTGACAGAAATGGCTGATATAGCCAGGGTTTCAAACCGCTGCAGCATTGAAACAGAGGTGCTAATCACTGGTTTTGAGCCACTAATATATAATTTCACCTGAAGTTCCAATTCGGGGACCCCAAAATAAGCAAACCCACCAGCAAACCAGCTCTTGGTGGTTGATTAAATCCAAACTTTAGAGGGTCAGTTAAGCCATCTTTGTTGTTGCTCCATCCGCAAATGCAACGCCACGGCTTTTTGTACTTCTGAATGAGTAGGGAATGATGCACGGAGGGCTGCTTGGTCTTGCCATGACCTTGGTACCATCTCGACAATTGCAGGGCGCTTGTGATCCAACATTGGCACATCTAACTCTAACGGTCTACCTTGGTCTGACTGAAAGTAGAGCACGGTAGAATCCAGTTGTTGATCATCACCTTCGGCCTGTTTCTGGCCAGGTTTCCACTATGAGGTCCAAGTTCTGGGGGAACACAGCCAATGGTCAACCCAATCAACCTCCAAGTGGTCGGCAAACTCCACATGCTTGGTCTGCAGAAAAAAACTGGGGATGCTACTGGATGAAAAGAACAATAGATCTATATAGTAATATAGCATATAGCAATTCAATGCAATTCACAGCTGAAGCAAGGTCATTTGGGAATGATTCCTCTTATTGACGATCACTACAGTTACGTCGTGGTAAGGTCGTTGTATTTCAGCCCAGACATACCCAGGCCGACCAAATATGACAAGTCAGTCCTAAGCCGATGGCCCCCGCAGCCTTTCTTTCTGTCGAGCGCAGCCAGTGTGGCATGACTGTACAAGCCGGCGGAGCGCGACGAGTTTTGGGAGCTTCCGCAGAAGCACTTGAGATATCTTGAGATAAAGATTCGCCCTAGGTTGGAAGCAGCCAAGCAACATCAAGCAACTCAGAAATCAGCGAAAATCATTCCTGTTCTCAATGCGCATTTAGGATTCAACATGATTCAACACTCAGCTCCCTGACCCAAGCAATCCACGTGGGTTCCATATCCCATCATCGCCGCCGTCAGTGACGCTGCTGGTGCAGGGCAGTCAGGAGGGCCCTTTGCAAGTCGCAGCGACCTGATGGGATTTCAAGGCTCGAGACCCTGGCTGTTTCATCTGGATCTTGGGATGTTGAAACCACTTGGGATATCTTGGGATTAAAGATCAAACATAGTTGAAGAACAACAGGAAGCGGCTATAAGTTTGTTTCGAAGCATGTTCGCGCTTCAGTCAGAGATCATCACATTTCAACGGGCAATGTAGGGCAGGGATTGCGTGTGTTCGCTATATACCACTTGCCAAAGGTGTGCAAACTGGAATGAAATCAGTGGACATAGATCAAATGCCCACCAGCACTTATATCGGCCGATGACATAGCCAGTTTATGCCAGTTTCATCATCAATCTCCCACTCCCTCGTCCTTTGTTCATCCCGCTTCCTTTTGAAGTGAATTGCAAACATGGTAAGTTTCCAGTCTTAAACGGTACATCCCAGCAAGCAAATCAAGGACTTACCATGACTTACCATAGTTTTTCACCACTTGCGATCGCATGGATGCTCCTCCAGATCATGTCATGCATATATAGTATGCATGCAACCGCGACCCCTTACATCCCCTTACCAACATTTACTGACGGTTTCTATATATCCCTTGTAAAAACAATGGTCATTGAGGGTCATCATCCCACTTAGGATGAAGCACAATAAACAGTTGAATAAATTGACATAGTCATCCATAAAATTAGACTCAAACATACTCAGACCATGACTTTGTATTGAAAAAACCATGGTGACTTGGGATCCCCATTATAAGAGAACCCCATTTTAAGGTACCATCCCATGAAATCTCAATAATTTTCCAATATCCCTATGATATTCTTCAATTTCCAATATAATATATATATATATTTTTTTTTCCAAGGGGATTTCAAGGGATATTCTTGGGACATGAATGGTATGTAATATACCATTCATGTCCCAAGAATATCCCTTGAAATGCCCTTGAAATCCTATGGAATACCAGATAAATACCATATAAATACCATACAAAAGCCATAAAAATACCATACAAAAACCATATACAGTAAATTACCGTGGATTTTTCCCAGTCCTTCGCCCCTCTGCCACGTCACCGGCCATCTCTCCCGGAAGATCCTCTGGGATCTGCTCGTTGATCGGCTCGCTGGGGCGCTCGGCAGGAGGCTCAGGACCCACCAGGATCAACAGCTCCACTGAGTCCTAGGACTTCTGCGAGTTTCATGTGGTTTAATGTGGGTAAAGCAATGTTATAACATGTTATAAACCATCCCCCAGTCATCACCATTTATTTAGGTGGTATGTTTACCATTCCCAAATGGTTTATGATTGTTTTAACCACATTATTAGGGTTTCTGTGAATGATATTGCCAGAATATCTTGAGATCTGACAATGCCGGAACCTCAACTGCGCAGTGAACAGCTTAACTGGCAAATATCACCATTCAGCTGTGGCACAGCCATGAACCATCACTGACTCTACCGGAATTGAGTGATTTGAAATATATGAAAATTAGGGGGAACACACCAACATTGTAACATGGCCCATAGCCATTTGAATGGTGACAATGATGATAATCCCTAGGTTTGGGGGTAGCCTCTTTCTAGATAAACCCGTGTAAGCTCTCCCAAACTCGGGGTTTAAGACGTTGTCCTCCACGGCAAGAGCCTCTTGCAGCTCATCATCACAATGGGTCCTGGTGCTCACCACGCCGTGTTTTGAAGGACTTTCCGGAAGTATCTTGTACACACACATACATACATCACATACACTATTCATTATACATGTACATAGATGATCATATTTGCTGTATGATACAACTATACTGTACTCATATTCAATACATGTATTTGTATATATATATATGTATTTATTATATATATATACATATATAATGTAATATATATATATAATTATATATATATGTACATATATATATATATATTTGTCTCTACCAGATGGAGGAACCGATGGAGGATGGGGGCACTCCTGGAGGTTCCATTCAGGAGTTGCAAGCGTCTTTGTGAAGTCTGCAGTTGCTTGGCACAACTTAGCAGCAGCGAATGGGCAACACAAACACCGAAGAAACCACCGCCATGCCCAATTCAGGGTCGACCCAGAAACCTGGAAAAAACGGACAAAACATCAACTACCATCCTGCAAGGTGGCACCCCCCTAGGTAAGTTTGTTGGTTTATAATCCCCATAAATTAACTATAGATATAATCCACATAAACCCTAAATATTGGACTTATAAACCCACTTAGCTAACTATGGGGCAACACCTTGTGGAGAGACTATTGTAATCTACTTTCCTTCTCTTTTGGGGCTATATGTGAGTGATTAGTTTATTATATGGGCATATGTCTGGGAATATCTGGGATTCAAATCTCAAAGCTAGCCTGTTATACCCATCCAAGTGGCTCACTACGTTAGTACTAAGCTAGCCATCCACCCTTGCAAGTTCGCTGAGCAGTTTTCAAACCCCTTTGTTTCCCAGCTCATGGGATATGATCATCCCCAATATATAGAGGATAAATGAGCATAGCATAATTAATAACCACCCAAAAATCGTCAAACAGTTTTTTCCCCACACCCATCCCAATTATATTTCATTCCATCCTATGAAACATCCTAATTTTACCAGCGTTCTTGTTGGTTAAATCACCAGTACTCGGTTGGTATACCCACTACGTGGTTGTTCACCCCACTTAATATGTGGGCTAGTTGACTCCGGTTATAGTTCCACTAACCCTACTTACGCTATTGAACTGATGCGGGATAATGCAGGTTATGAGTTATCCACTTGCCAACTGGGATGTGCAACTAAGTAACACAATTTTATGACTGTTCCAAACAAATCTGGTGATATTCCCACTATATCCCCAGTTCTATTCCACTCAAATCTGATTTGTTGTTGGGAGTAACTAGGTTTATTACATCCCTTTAAATCCCATATTCCAGAAAATCCCCAATCCCATTCTATCCCAGTACCCCAGAAATTGGCAAAACATAATGGCCCCCAGCCCCACGCGCCAAGCCGCTCCGCCAACAGATCCTGGAGATGCATCCGTGGCCCATCTTTGCGCCGAGAGAAGACCAGCTTCCCCGCCAGCGTGCGCACGTGCCAGGCGGGAACGCCTTGAACCTCCTGCACCTGGCGAAGCTGGCACCGATGCTACAAGGTGGTACCCCCCTAGTGATGTTTGTTGCTTTATAATCCCAAACTACTTCGATTAATATAACATTATATAACCCCCATTCATCAATCCAACAGATATGGGACTCGCCTCCGGCAGCTCTTCGGAGCAAGCCAGGTCCTCGGGCTTGCGCCGATCCGGCACCGTGCTGGGCCGACCGCGCAGGAAACGTGTTAAGGGACACCAGGCGCCTGCGGCAACACATGGGAAACGCCAATGGCCAGAATTTCTGGTGATTCTGTGATGATTTTCGTGAAATTATGTGGAATATCATGGGATTATTAATGGTAAACCAAGCATACTTAGGCTTTCAACCGTGAGAATTTAATGGCTATAACCTCTGGAGTTTTAACCTTAAATAGAGATATAGGATCATATAGGGCCCCTAGAACTATGGTGAAATCAATCCACTTAAAACTGGAGCTGCACCCCCAAGTAGGATTCAATGGTTTAAGGCGAAGTCTTCATCAGAAACCACGTTTTCTTCAATGAAAAATAGTACGGCCAGGCCCCTTGTGTTGCCCGGAGATTTACAGGGACGTTCCCGGCATGTTGATGATGATGATGATGATGATGATTGAAGATCTTCAATGAATGTAAGAGGTTAACGGAGTTGGGAGAATTAAACCCTTATTGAAGATCTTCAATGAATGTAAGAGTTTAACGGGGGTGGGAGAATTAAATCCTTTTTGAAGATCTTCAATGAATGTAAGAGTTTAACGGGGGTGGGAGAATTAAACCCTTATTGAAGATCTTCAATGAATGTAGAAGTTTAATGGGGGTGGGAGAATTAAACCCTTATTTAAGATCTTCAGTGAGTGTAGAAGTTTAACGGGGGTGGGAGAATTAAACCCTTATTGAAGATCTTCAATGAATGTAAGAGTTTAACGGGGGTGGGAGAATTAAACCCTTATTGAAGATCTTCAATGAATGTAGGAGTTTAACGGGGGTGGGAGAATTAAACCCTTATTGAAGATCTTCAATGAATGGAAGAGTTTAACGGGGGTGGGAGAATTAAACCCTTATTGGAGAATCTTCAATGAATGTAGAAGTTCAATGGGTGTGGGAGAATTTATATGAGATGTATAGTGTGAACAAAAAATCCTTGTAATTTACGCTATTCTGGGCTTGGGCAACACAAGGGGCCTGTGGGAAATAGTACTGTAGTGTTTTCTGTGCGTTTGTTGCCCTTAAACTATTGTACATGATATAGATCCACCATGTAAGTACTTTTTTGTTTGCGAAATATAGTGGTCCAATAAGTGAAATATCTACACTTATATTATGTATATTATATTAGCGTCATTTAATTTAATGTATCCTTACTAACTGAAATATAAGTGCCTAAATAACATTGCTATGGAATATCATGAACAATTAATACACATGAGCTGGGGAATCTATATGAAGGTTTGTAAATTTACACCGTACTAAACATGAATGTGAAGACTTGCATAGCCGTAAGCAAACCACGAACAGCTCAACAAGAATGAATACGATGGTTTCTGACTTTCCCAGCCACCATCTTTTCCATACAATTGCTAATTGAATATCTACCATGCAAAGATTGTTTTGCCCTTCCCAGCCGCTGGTTAGTGTATATCCCCATTTATGGTAGAAATTGGAACGGGGTAAAGCTACGGCCTGCAAAACTGGGGGCTGTTGAATGGCTTCCCGTGGAGTCTGTGCAGATTTTAGCCAACCTTTAGATTGGTTCGTTTTGAATCTCGGTATCCTTCTGTTCTTTGAAGGCAGTTTCACTCATAGATTTTGCTCGGTGTCGATTTGGGTCCAAGAATGTCTTAAAATAGGCCAGCCCCGAAATTCCACATGAACAAGCACTGCCGGGCCCCTGGGGGTGCCTAAAACTTCCATGTCATCAAAGCTGTTGATGCCCTTAGTTGCTGTCAGGTCTGACGGTCTGACCCTTTGAAACGCATCCATTACTGGGATACACCAAACATCACCAGACCTGCTATGCAACCCCGCATGTCAATGATGTATCAAATAGATTCAAATAGGTTGTTGCGGGAATCTTGGTGCAGTGTCCGACTATATGCATATGTATCTGTATACATATACGTGTATTTAATATGTCCATATTCACTTATTTATGTATATATATATATATACATCCCAAAATAAACGGAAGTATAAATCAGTATAAACATGTGCCCACTTAGTGCCAAGAAACGCCAACGAACCCAAAAAGCACAAACCTTCTTTGTGCAAATGGACTGTCTCTCCCAGAAGTGGCTTAGGTGAAACCATAGACTCCCTTCAACTAATCTGCTGGGGAAGCCACGATGGGGGTCATATCCCAACTTCTGGGAATTCTTGCCATGGATATAGCCATGGATATAGCCATTATTATATGGAAGATCGTCCCACTTAGTAGCTATAGGCAATATTCCCTCCCCTACGTATTTAACTGGTTTGTAAACCCACTTTGTAACCAGTTGCTACGGTGATCCTCCAAGTAGCAAGTGGGTAGCAGTCTGAAACTAGGGTGCCTCTAAATCCATCGATTCATCATAATTTTCCCTATGAAAAGTACCGTTTGGTATACATCATTTTCAAACAAACCCAAGTGAGTCTCCAAGGTAGTGAGTCTCGCATCTGTTCCCCTTATGCCCTGGAGCTGGCTGCTGACGGTTCGCCCAACCACGAAAGTTCCTCGGTTCTGCCACTGTGATGGTAAAGGCCTGCTCTAAAGACTTCGACAGCGAGGGCAACATCATGACTCAATGGATTGATTTAAGGGAAAACCTACAGGAAAACATGGTATCATACTTGCAAATAGAATCAAATGTAGGGTTTTCCTCTTGATTTTCCCTTGAAACAATTCTGAGATAGAAGGACGCCGCAAAATGGAACGTAAAACCGGGCCCACAAATGGGCGCTAACAAAACATAGACACTGATAGTCGTGTATCCTTTTGAATATCTTCAGGAGCTAGAAGGCAATTCTAACTGATTTGGGTTTGTCTGAACATACGCCAAAATCCAATGGTTAACCACCATGTTTCCCAGCATTTGATAGCCACAAATTGCTGATCAAGTCTTCATTTCTTGCAGATCCCATAAAGCACTTCCTATATTGAATTTGCCGTCTCCAAATAAGATCCAGGGAAAAGAACACAAGTTCGGACCCAAATCCTGAGAAAGTGCCAGAAGCTCCTAAAATCACATCCCAAAAGCTTCAGAAGGCACTTAGGGTATAATTAAAACTAAAACAATAAACATACATATACGTGCGCATATAAAGATCAGTGTATATATATATATATATTATATATACATATGTATATACCATTATACCCAAACATGTAAATGGCAGTTATGGATGTTTTCGAAACCACTGACCACCATAAAAATGATCCGATACATATAGACAGTAGAATTAATGATCTAGATGCCTTTATAAAGCTATATTCAACCACATAATTGTGCACAAATGTTTCTGCGGCAATTGCTTTCATTCATCATTGAAAGAAACCATAAGTACTACTGTCTACATATAGATATTAGCATACTATAACTAAAACTTATTTTTGTAAGTACATATATGCATATACTTGTATATATATATATATCACCACGATGTTCACGTTTTGGTGGCTCCCCTGCTCCCCTTCCTATCCCTTCCCACCTCCAAGTTGGCCACCAGGTACAGTCCCAGGCGTCCCGACAGCTGCACGGCCGAGACCTCCTTGTCGTTGCGCAGCGCGCCTTCGAAGACCGCAGAGATGTAGGGCGACAGGCGATGCCACTGACCTGCTGATGTTTCGTTGAAAAATAATTTGAAATTTAGTTGGAGGATGGGGAAATATATATATATATATGTGTGATAGAAACGTGTTGCCAGCGCTGAAATCACCAATTGTTTGTACATATACATGTATTCATTGTTTTTGACAAAACATTTCATGATCTGAAGTAATATGTTTGAAGGCATATGTCAAATCATTATGTTGAATATGTACATCATCTACACATGGGTTGTTTTCCGTAGCTATGATAGATTACCAAAGAATAATTATTACGTAGTACAGTATGATTGATTTTTTTTTGCTGTTGTCCAGTGTGATTCTTGGTTGTTTCTTGAATTAAAACAACAATCCTGTTCCATTGGCCCTTCTAATTTCTGCCAGGAAACATGGTATGAAACAACTTAATAATGATTGAACACATATCCCATACAAGGTACAGTGTTTCGTTGGATAAATTCTACCATAAACCAAACAATTCATAATTCAGCATTTTCCGCCAACTTGATCCAATTTTTCCATTTTTCCGTTGTGAATCACCATTTTTCCTGGTGAAATATGGTTAATTAGTTTTTTTGGTCCTGGTTAAGTCACCATCTTCCCATGGAACCCGGCCTTCCGCGTAGGCGCGCCATTCCCAGCTTTGTGGCTCGCTGGGACTGGCCGCCAGCGGCAGGCGCCCGGCCAGCGCCTGGGCGCCCGTGACCACGTCGTTGGGCTCCGACGCGTGGAGCTCAGGGGTGAGGCCCAAGACGCTCCTGGCGGGATGGCAGTCCCAGTTTTAAGGTTTCTAACCCGACCCCTATATGAAGTATAGATACAATATAAATATCAATGTATATATATATATATACATACTATAAATCCAAGTTATTGGAGTTGTAACTGAACTTAGATAAGTATGGGGCACCACCTTATGGTGATGAATGGTGATGATTCAATGGATGGATACACACACACATATATATATATATATACATCCATAAGAGTTTAAAATTGCTTTATGAAGTTACGTTTCATGATTCCATGATTATTAGTACATAAGATTCTATGCAGGATTTTGTGGATAACAATCGGTAGTGGCAACCATCAAAAATGGGGATGTACTTGCTTGGTGGGAGCAAAACAGGAATCGGAATCATGAGTTAGTTCACCCCTATAGCTGGACTATAACCCTGTCCTACCTACTTCTAAATATTTCTAAATTGAGTGAAAACAATATTTAAACAAATAACTTACCATCCCTGGGGCGAACTGCAAGCAAATGGTTGATCTCTTGGGGCCTGGTGAGTTAAATCCTGTTGCGGCCCATAGGCTGCAGTAGGCTGCAGGAATTCTTGCCAAGCGTCAACTGCTCCGCGAGTGCCTCAGCATTTGCCCAATCTCGAAGAGTGTCGTCAACCTGCCAAAAGGCGCGGTTTTCAAAAACTCACTCCAGCTACGCGAAAGGATTCATATTCGGCTTCGTATATGCTTTTGTCTGAGCGCAGAATTTGTCACTTTACACCAATCATAACTGGTTGGTGGTCTTAACCATCTTGAAAAATATAAGGCAATGGGAAGGATTATCCCATATATTATTATGGAAAATAAAAAATGTTCCAAACCACCAACCAAATATATAACTTTGGTGCCATATGGAAAAAAACACGAATCACCATGGGGGGTACACCATCATCCCCATTCGGGCCCCCTATGACCTCCGCGTGGGAGCCATATCTTTGCTTCTCCGTTTCCACACGGACGCAGGGCTGGCAGGAGATGACCACATGCTGTAGCACCGAGCTGGCAATGGCCGGATGCAGAAGTTTCTGTGCCTTAGAGAACTCGGCAGGTGAAGCCCATAGAGAAACCCCAGTTGTAATGTGGATAGTATGGGGCCAGAAGCCAGAACCATAGAATCCCTTTGTTTTCTGCATCAAACAGCTGAAAAATACTAAATACCGTACTAATAGGTTTTGATCAATCCACATTATGCTGTTGCTCCAAATGGTGCCCTGATTAATCCAATGCTGGGACTCTTCCAGCATCTTGCTGGAATGTAGGGTGGAATGCTCAAGTTTCTGCCTATCAAGCTCGAAGAAAAACAGCGTGAGTTGCCTGGTCGGTTAGACACTTTATTCTCCTCAACCCACTGTTGACGCAGGACAGCGGTAGCTTCTGGTTCACTGTAAAGGTTGACGTGGGTCCCGTAATCATGGCTACCAAAAAACCTACCAAAGTTTATACCCAGTCACATGGGACAATATATAATATGTTATGTGTGTTTGGTTTGGTAATTCCAGGAAAAAAATAAACAAAAAAAAACGCAATTGATGTTAAAATACATCTCCAAGCGGAGCCTTGCGGCATCAGGTTTACCACATGTTTTTCAAATATCATGGGGGTGGTGTTTCGCTATGGGTCGTTGCAACCCTGTTGTTTGTTTAACTACTCTCAGATCCGTGCAACACAAACAGAAAAAAAAAACTAAACATGCCACAACGTGCCTAGCAAATCTATCCCCATGCATAAGCCTACACATATATATATAATTATATATATATACACATACATGTATGTATGTATGCATGTATGCATGCATGCATGGATGCATGGATGTATGGATGTATGGATGCATGGATGTATGTATGTATGCATGTATGCATGCATGGATGTATGGATGTATGGATGTATAGATGTATGGATGTATTGATGCGTGTATGTATGTATGTACTGTACTGTACTGTACTGTACTGTACTGCACTGCACTGCACTGCACTGCACTGTACTGTACTGTACTGTACTGTACTGTACGTATGTATGTAGGATGTATGCATGCATGCATGCATGCATGCATGCATGCATGTATGTATGTACTGTATGTATGTACTGTATGTATGTACTGTATGTATGTATTATACTGTATGTATGTATGTACGTACGTACGTACGTACGTACGTAGGTATGTATGTGTGTGTATGTATGTAAGTAAGTATTTATGTATGTATGTATGTATGCATGCATGGATGTATGTATGTATGTATGTATGCATGTATGTAAACACTGATTGCGGTATGGTGTTTCATTTATGAACACTGATTATTGACACTAATTAAACTGTTAACCCATAATAACACTGAAATAACACTGATCATAGTCACCAATCACCAGTGTCATTTATCAATAATTATAACTCATTATGGGAAACCATTGGCGATTCACAACACTGATTGTAACTATTATTAAATTTCCATGTGTTCCCCATATTTGATTATAATTGGAAATAACAACATTCAATAATTATAATCCCAAAAACCATGATGGAAACAATTGATTGATTATATAATTTTTTGGTCAGAATGATTATGAACCACTAGTGATAGGTGATTATCCTATTAAAGTGGTTCCCCTCTGGTAAACTAACATGAGGAACATCTTTAAGTTCGGTAAATCAACGCACTAAATGGGCCATGGCTTCCATAGCAACGTGCTCAATTACCAGAGGGATCCAGAGACTCTCTCATGTAAATGGGACAATTGTCGAGCTATTTCATGGGATATATAACTATATCTGGCTTTGCATTGCAGTTGATATATCACATTATATAACTATATCATAACTATACTAATTACATCATAAGTAAAATAATTTTCACCAACAATATGATAGTTGGGATATTGCCACCATTTCGACCACGCTGCAGTCTGCAACTGCTGCGCCACCTCGACGGCTGTCGCCTTCTGGAAATCCCAGCGCCCGAAGTCGGCAACCACCTCCTCCTCCTAGAAAATCCTATGAAAAATGGGTTTAATGGGTTTTACCTACCAAAATGGTGATTTAATTTGTATTTGTTGGGGAAATAACCAAGATTAACGAATCTATCCAATATAGTTTAAACTATCACATTTGCATACACTTGGGATATGATATTAGATAATGATAATAATGGTATATATTATATATTGGTGATATTCTTGTCGGACACATGGTGGATTTAACCAATCAATGATGGACGCAGGCGAAAACTCAAGGGATGTCATGGGATAAACATGCCAAACATAGTGGAAATCAGGGATTATTAATGGAATGTATACAAACTTGATACAATTCAACCAACAAGAGCAAGCCTCAAGTGATAGATTTCTGGGATGTAAATGGGAGGTTAACCAACAAACAAAGGGAATTTCAATGAAGTCATATCTGAAGTTTGATAGCAAAGTTGGTAGAATATCCCATTAACTGTTGAGTTTAGATATATCTATGGTATCTATGCTTATCCTATGTTCTCCTACTGGAAAACGTTGCTGATTCATGGGGTTCACAGGGATATTAGTGGACTATGGATGGCATCTGTGAATTGGCAATGAATTACAGTAAGAGGATATCAATGGAACACACATTTATTTTAACATCTTCCCGAAGACAGCTGGGTTGAACATGCATGACAACCAGTAGAATCCAATGATTAATCCTCATGTTCCCCGTCAAAATGCCACATGGGAGCAAACCACATTTCAGATACACCTATGTAAACCCTGAGAATCACAAAGTTTTAGGTGGGCCACAACTCATGGCAGGGCCGAGCTAATAGTTCGGGAGTGCAGTTGGGGATTCTGTTTGTGTGTACAACCAGCTCCATTTCCCATACGTTGGCATAAAACCACCATATTCATGGCCTTATAGCAGCGGTCACTGGGTCAGTTCATCCATGAAATATACCCAGTTGTAATTGGTGCTGGCTGGGGGACCCAGGGCTGGTGTGTAGTAACCACATCGAATCAACATGGGAATATTCTATATCTAACTGGAATAGACAATGCTAACATCATTTTAGGAACTGGGGTGCGCATCAAAGAAGGGAAGGCTTGGTACGAATAAACTGGGTCCATGTGACCCATCGCCAATTTTATTTAAATCGTTAGATTCTCCCTCGGATGCAGTTCTGACCTCTCCAAGGCGCGAGACGGACAGGATTATCAACATATTATCCAAATAGTGTCATGTTGTTGGTTGATTAAATAACATTATATACATAACCTATTCATATCACCATGACATCACCCCCGCAACATGCTTGGTGTAAAAAAACTCCATGGCATTGACACCTCGTGAAAGCAGAAAATCGAGCAAGTGCCAAAGGCCTCAGGTGCACTTTGCGCTTATAATTGGGGATCATCATCCTTTCTGTATAGTTGAAAATACGGGTGACAACAAACATGTTAGGGGCAAATGGATATGTTTTGAAACATCTTTGAGACCAACCCATGTTTTTTTGCTACCCATTCCCAAAATTTTGTATTCTTGGAAGGGCATTTTGGGGTCAATAGGAAACATTGGGGAACCAATTCACACTGAAAAAACTTCACTTCTTGATCTTGAATCAAGCTTGCGGTGAATTTGGCAGAGAGATCTTGCAAGATCTTGCAAGCGAGCACTTTGCCGTCTCAACTGAAAGTTCTGGCACAGTGTGTTTCCGTGGCGCTGTTTATTCGATTTATTTCCCAACGTGCTATTGTAAACCCAATCTTTTTGAAATGAAAACAGAGACAACAAAAACAAAGGGTCGGTATCTAGTTCTTGGGTTCGTTAATTATATATAGTTATATATAATATATATATATACTGTATATGCACCGCTGGTCTATTCCCAATTAATTCCCATGACACACACACAAATACTATATATATATACAGTATATATACCGGATTAATCAAAGCAATTCATCACTCGGAAAAAGGGTCAAGCGGGGATCATTTCCCTTACTAAACATCATTGGCAGTGACGTCGCGGTGAGGTCCTTACAATTTTATCCACATATTTCCATATTGTTGGTTATGATGTTGAATATTGTTGAATATAATATAACCGTAAAACTCACCATAACATGGTTGGTGTTATACCCCTGGTTGTTGTTTATCCAAATCCTGTGCCTTCCAAAGCCACAAGCCGAAGCAGCCGCCAAGGAACGCATCCCCAAATCACAGTGCCTGTCTTCAGATTGTGCGCCGCCAATGCACAGAGCGGCGCGGTGGCAAAGGACAGGCGTGGGACTTGGAAACGGCGATGCAGAATATTGGCCTTCAGCGGACCAGCGGATCCACCATAAAAACCATGCACTCCATGGACGTACGTTGAATAGGTAAATGGTAGGTAAATGATATACAACATTTGGACATGGATTACATGGGAAACTCAAAAAAATTACCGGAGGGTAAGTCTTTGGCTGTCTATGAGTTTTTGCTAGCATGGATCCAGTATTGGACATATTGGGTTTGAACTGGGCTAGTGAGAATACAGTAAATTGGAAATACTCTACTGTATGATGGTATTTGCTGGAAGCCAGAATTTCATGTGTCAAACCCAATGCCATAAACCTCCAGTTGGGGATGGTATTGGTGCCACGGTAATCTGGGCGTAATTCTTAAATAAACAATGACCAATCTTGGGGATGATTCCCCCTATTACCCATCATTCATGGTGACGTCGTGAGGTCGCTTGAATTTACCCAGAAACATTCCCCATAAGATTCCCAATTTCTGGCGGCAGACTCGTCGAAATAAAGAACTCAGCCACTTAACAACTCCAGGTGGCTAGGCGTTCTTGCGCAGATCCTGGTGCTGGGCTAAGTGGTGACAGGCAGGGATGAGCTGTGATGCTACTTTCCTCCCAAACTGTGTGATCCTCAGGGTCAAACTGTTACCCTCTGGTAATACAACATGTCAATTGAAAATCCACCATTTACAGTGTATATGTACTTCGATAATTTTACCATTTGAACGGACATCTAGTTCAGGGATTTCCCATGTTTAAAGACTCTGGAGGGTATCATCCATGAATATCCCAGTACTCTCCCTTGAAAAATCCAAAGGAAATCCTCATTGTTAATGATCAAATCCCATCAGATTCCTATTTTGTAATGTAGCTAAATCTCATTATCCCAATACTATCCCTCTAACCCCCCTTAAAATCCTATATTCTTGCCACATATTGCTGCCACCCTTCAACCCGTGGTTGAAGTCCCAGGCACGAGTCAGCAGCCCCGGAAGGCTGGGCACCACCAGATGCTGCTCGCTGGGCCGCAGCTTGAACTGGCTGAATGACCAGGCGAAGAGCCTCGACGCCATGGGGGGGCAGTTTCCTGCAGCGACTCCTTGGGTGGTTGAAACCCTAGAAATAATAATGGGATAAACCACCTATCATTGTTTTTTTTTTGAGATATCATGGGGATCTAAGATGATATAATTTCTGTATGAGATTTCTTCCATCAAAGAAGCTTTTCAAAGGTCTTGACTCTGGAACAGCAGGCCGGGATAGCCAAGGCTTATGATCCAACTGGTGCAGGATTTCGCAAACATCCACAGTAATATATGACAAGAATATAAATATATAAGTTGTGGATATACAGCAATGGGGATATTACAGTATATAATATAATGTTGGGATGTATGGGTTTATCCAAACAAGGCGGATAACAATACACACCAAATGTCCAAATGGTCATCATGCAGAACATGCCTGATATATCGCCATCACATTTGTTGGGCCTATCTTCAAACAAACTAGTATGAACACATACGGTATCTGAAAAAATGGAGAAGTGCAGTGGAAGAAACTGCCAGGTTGAGCCAATCTGAGGTTCACACGTATGTATATATATATATATATATATATGTGCATAAATATCCCAAGGCTTGAAATGGAAGTGTTGCTTCAGAAATTTGCATCACATTCACATGTGAAAACATCAGCCAAGAGCATCATCGCGCAGGGAAAATGTCAGCTGAGCAGCTCTGGAAGAACCTCAAAGTCCACCTCGCCGTCCTTCTCCCAAGTCTTGTAGTTTCTTGCGTGAAAGACGTTCTTCCCTGAGTTTCAATTGATTGCGGCAAACAAATGCAGAAAACAACAATGGTTTTTATCCCCAGATACAAGGGTTTGCTGTCAATTTCACTCCAACCAATTCTAGCCAAAATCTTAAGAAGGGCGAAGCAGGGGACTGGGATGGACTGGGAAACTTGCGAGCCCCAAAAAGAAATCGATCCAAATTTCTTTCGGATTTCTGCCCGTGCCAAAAGCATTGGCATCCATCTATCTATGTACCTATCAATCTATGTATATATATATATATATATTCAGCTATTTATCTATCCATAGATCTATCTATCTATCTATCTACCTATGTGCCTATCTACTTGTCTGGTTATCTGGCTATCCCGCTGAACAGCACGAACAATATTCAGAAACCGGAAGTCTGGTCATTTGTTGCGGCTCCTCCTTCTAATCATCACTTGCAACGAGGTCGCATAGAGAGGTCATTGTATACATGTTATGTAGATAGAATTATGCTCAAGATGCTTAAGTAAATATAATATATAATATATATATATATATGTATGCATAGATTGATTTGATAATAATGACCAAACATCAAAGAATAATTGTATGTTTGTGTCTTGTTTAAAACACGCTGAGATAAGATGATACTAAAAGAAACATACAATACTATTCCATTGAATTCTCTCCCTCTCTCTCTCTCTATATACATATATAAATGCACTTAAACATCGCTTGAAGCAGACAAAACTATAAATCATTCAACCAAAAAATGAAGGTACATGGCAACAATCAGACTAGTGCTATATTTACCCCTGGAAACGCGTTCCCCATGCCCCAGCACCCCATCACCGTGACCGAAGGCACCGAAGGTCCAGCCCTGGCGTTGCTTCAAGGATCGATCCCAGCCGAGCCCGGTGTCGTTGTGGCGACACACCGCTGGCATGGGCCCGTGCATGGAACCGTGGGGTCCATCATAGGCAGTCAAGCAGGCCGCAGGGAAAATGACCTCGGAGATGTGTTAAATGGCTACATTTAAACTAGGGAAAGCCAATTGAATGACTGAGAAAATCAGTGGCTTCATCAGATTTAAAATCAAAAACTTATACATATATATATATATAATAGACTGATTTTCAGTGGCTACATCAGGTTTAAAGTATATAAAATAGGAAGCCATAAGCCTATATAAACCTACCGATAATGAGGATGTTTGAGAAACCATCCATCATTTTTTGTCATGTTTTGAATTTTTATGGTGATTTGTTTGGGGATGGTCTATGACATTGGGTATGCCACACCAATGGTAAACATTCTATATTAAACCAGCTGCTGAGATTGTACTGCGAAAATTGCGAACATATCATGTCCATGTGTGCTGCTGTTCAATCAATCCCGATTGGGCTGGAATCCTAGAATATTCCTCAACTATGAGCCGTTGCAGCTTAATGTACCAGCACCATAGGGCCATAGGGCAGGAATGGTACTTCAGAGGATCATCTTGATGAGAAGTGAATGGAACTGCAGCCGCTTGGCAGTCACTTTGGACTAGGTTTTTCATGACACAACTATACACAACCAATGTCCACATCACCTGCCAGGTGAGCAACACCCGCAATGAGGACATGGCATTTGGAGGGGTTAACCATGAGGACCGCCCAACAGGCGGTGTTGATCTCCAGCAGCGAGTCAGTGATCCTGAATGATTTTGACTTGCGATTCACTCCATGATCACAATCGATTGATTATTTTTATTGGCATGAATCATGAAACACATATATGTGACATATGTCAATCTTTGAAGGAAATAATGATTATATAAAAAATGCATTCACATGGTCTAAACATATACCAATCATATGATCTTCATCAAAAAGCCTGGTGAAAATTGACCTCCCATCATCTGCCCAGTTGCAGCAGTCGAGGCTGATGACAGGAGGTGCTCCCGTCCTTGTTGGAGGAACACATAGAACAAAATACTTTATTTCTTTATTCACAGATTTCTTGGGGAATCACTATGTTGAATTTTGAATATTTAACATTTATACAACCCCTACGAAAAAGTGAAAAACAACTATATAATATGTGTTGCCCTTGAACAACCTTTACACCAGTAGTGGATGCATGTTGATGTACAATGTCGTTTAGAAAAAAAAACACAACAAAACACTGATAAAGTAGAGCCAGGCTTCTGTATAAGCCCACCCAGTCTTTCAGCTCCGAGTCCAGCTGATACGTTTCACCTGATATGTTTTCTCTTTGCCAAGTTGGATACGTTTGGTAGGGGAGATATGAGGATACGGCAAGGTCTAAAACATCAATATTTACGGGAAACCTCATGGTTCATTGCTTTATTGAAATTGAAAAAATCCAATCAACTGGTACTGGTATGTAGTCATAGCTTCTTTGCCTTTTCCATCACATCTGAAGGCTTCATACTGCCTATGAAAATCTGGCGAGTAGGCCTATTGAGAGGACTTTGGACAATGTCGGAGAAAAAAAAACATACTGTCGACTCTATGTTTCAGTCTTTCAATAGTATAACATTAATCATGTTTAATCTCTGTCCTGTACCAGCTGAAAGTAACTAGCACGAATCATAATGTCCTACTTGATTCAGTGGGCTGCGGGCAGTTTCAATCTTCGGACCAAGGAGTGATAGATAGACTAGACCATCAAATGTTCACCAGAAGCTAAAAACTGGATATATATATATATATATCATTCTTATACAATAATATATATATATACACAGGGTTATATGATTATATATAATGTAGTATCCTGATTAGTGTCGGGAGCCCCCCCCAAAACAATTTTTTGAGTCTCTTTAGTGTGGAAATTTTCAATTACCCCGGTCTGAAGACTGTAAAATCAAAAAAAGATAATAGATTTCAATTGATTTCAATTTACTTTTAATTGATGTTCAATTGATTTCAATTTGATTTGAATTTACTTTGAATTGATTTCAATTGATTTCAATTGATTTCAATTTACTTTCAATTTACTTTCAATTGATTTCAATTTACTTTCAATTGATTTCAATTTACTTTCAATTGATTTCAACTGACTCACCCAATCAGTTTCCCTGGGTCAGAATAATTTCAAAAAAACAACAACAAAAGCGACCCACCACACTAATCAGGATATCACATTAACCATAATATAAAATATTTACAAGTCAAAAGTTCCTGAACTGTTTCACACCTTGGTCACTCTGCAGCTGGTTTCACTTGCCCTGCAAACCCCCGGCCCCGGCGGGGCCTTCCAAGATCTCGTCGGCCAAAGGCCAGCGTTGCTTGAACCACCTTTGCCACAGAGTCCCTGGGCAGCAGCGCTGAAAATTGATTGATATTTGATACTCAATCTGATTCAAACAATGCATATATATATATATACACCAGGCAGTTACTTCTGCCCTCTAATGGAAGCCACTTAGACCCAAAGTGCCAAACGGTCACTTACAAGATCAATCATGCATAAGTGACCTCGTTTCATGAATCCTTAAGTGACCTCTTTGGCTGGCTGATTTCATGATTTCTGCGTGTCACTGCGTGTCACTTGTGTGTTACTGGGGTTTCGAGGTGGGATGAAACGAGGTCACTTAGGACCCTGAAAAGGTCACTTAAGCCTTGAAAAGGTCACTTAAGGATTGGCTGTCTGCGTGTCACCTGCGTGTCACTTGCGTGTCACTGGTAGGCCACTGTTTGGTTCGTTTCCTTAAGTGACCCCTTTCTACGTTTTCCTTAAGTGACCTCTTTCTAAAGGCCACTTAGCAGAAAACACAAACAAGGTCACAAGGAATCGTCTGGCATATATATACACGTATATATGTGTATGTGTGTCTGTATGATATGCAAATAAATATGCGCCAACATGTGTGTATATTGTAAATAAATATAATTAAATATATATTATAGATTTGCATAGGCTCGAGATGTTATGGATTGTTTCATGCACATTCTGTGGTTGTTTCCCGTCCTTGCGGGTGACCTCTCCAAGAAAATGGCCCTATGACGTTACCTCTGGGGGGCGAACCAAACCAACCAGGTCCTGCAAATAAGTTTGGAAGGTACAAGGTGGTGCCCCAGTCCGTTAGCTAAGTGGGTTTATAAGTCGAATATCTAGGGTTTATGGGGGTTATATCATATCTATAGTTAATGCGGATTATAAACCAACTCATAACTAGGGGGTACCAGCTTGTGGAGGAAGACACAAAGCCATGACCCAAAAATGTTTGCTCACCATGGACAATCCACCATGTAATGAATGTTCAATGATTTTCCCACTAAAGCCTTCATTTCTATGGGATTTTGGGATTTCTGATTAAAAACCCATTTATTCACAATTTTTCATAGGATATTTCCCACTAAAACCTTCATTTCCATTGGATTTCCCACTGCCTACCTTTGATTCCCCGAGGCTCTACATGTCTACAGGATCTTCAGACCCTCGCGGCGAAAAATCGACTCTGTCATCCTTTTGGGCATGCCGTCGTGTTGTGTTGTCCAATGTGTGTCATCCCATTATCCCATTCTCTAGCGATGGATGTTTTTATTTGTTACCCTCTGATGAATAACTCACCTTCCAACCCCTATCTGCCAGGATCTATCTTAATTTACCGGAATATAACATGTACCATCCCATTTTGGGAAATACTTGGCATAGCCTATCCGTATATCCTAGTATCAAATACACCCCCAGGACAGAAAGACGCCGCACCTTTATTCTATATCTATATCCCCATTTCAAGATGGTGAGACTATGTTAAACCACATTAAACCACCATTTTTGATGGATAAACTAAACCCGTCTGAATCTTGTCATCCACCCGTGCTGAATCCGAAGCACGCTTTGCACCGAGGAACCACTGCTCGCAATTTCATGCCACTTTGAGGACACAGACATCGTCGCGCGACTGACCTACCGACATCACCGGTTTGGACAGCAAGGGAGAGCTGCGGAAAATGCCAAGTGGATGAGGCATCTAATGGAAGCCGTGGCTCATTTCGAGTGAATTTACCTGTTAAAAATGGTGATTGTGAATGGCTATGTTCGTTTGCCAGAGGGTAATACCTACCAATACCTGCCAAGATCTACCAAAATCTACTGATATATGATAGACACTAATATGGCGTATTTAAGTAGTGTGTGTTGTGTTGGCTGCAAGCATCAAATAGAATGCAAGTAGATGGGGCGGTCCAGCAACATTCCCGCAACAAACATCGTGCTCTGTGGCCCCCCCCCAAATCTATATATTTAGGTTTGTCTGAGAATGGGGTACCTCCAATTGCGAAGGGTTATCAAGATTTTGCCTATATTTCATTATAAAAACCTGGGCATGTACCTTTCCAGGCACACCCATTCAATCACCGGCCATTCCTTCGGTTTTGGGCAAATTTCAGGATACACAGAGATCATGGCCCGATCTGGTAAGACCCCAAAGCTTGGAAGATTCTACCATACAAAACCTCAACAAATTTATGATCATGATGGTCCATGGTCCAAATCATTTCAAACAATTAGAAAACAATGACAAAGACATAGCCAAAAAATCATTCCAAAAAAAGGTGCCCGAAAAATCACCAAGAAAAAACTTATAAAACTCAACAAATGAATGGTCATGATGACTCAACATGACTCAACACCATTTCAAAAAATAACACCCAAAAAAGAAACAGTGCTGAATAGCGCCTCTAAGGGCTCCAGAAAGCTGAAAATCGATTCCCAGGTCTTGTCCTGGCGGGTCAACCGGTGGGGAAAAAACCCTGCAGGAAACCGTGTTGTTTTTTTTCCTCCGTGTTTTTTTCCAACAAGTTTATAAATGGTTCATGAACATCTTCCCTTTCAATTCTGTGGTTCTAAATATGTTAATGAATCTTATTCATCAACTTATAGTGGTTGTTGTTCTTCAATTCATTGAGATTTGGCCAGTCATTTTGTCGCTCAAGTCATGCAGGGCATCCGCCAGTTTACGTAACACCCATGCAGTAAAGCAGGTCAGCCAAACCTGCCAATCCACCCTCCCTTTTAGTTCGATGATTTTCATCCATTCAGTCCTCGTTTTTTATAATGATCCATATAGCTGGCTTTGGGTGAAGGACTGCGATGGGATTCTTCACGGATAATGCTAAATAAATCGCATAATACTATACAGTATGATATTATGTTTTATTCAGATATTAGAAACACTATACAATATTATACATTCATATAATGGATGTTATTTAGCCCAAATGTCAACCATTGATCATGGCTAACCATAACAGTTCAGAACTGGCTGATCTCACCCCCAAACTCCGGGCAAATAGCTGGCTTGAAACTGGAGATCTCTCTGCACAAGCGCTATTGGCATCTTGCTAACCTAAATAGCGCTGAACAAATAAATAAACAAATGGATGCATAGGTACATAGATCCCCACATATAATGTGAGTGTAAACATCAAAACCAGTATTCCAAAGGTGTGTCTTTAAATATGCTCTGCATCAATAAAATGAATGCATGTGCATCAAATGCCACATATGTATCTACATACACATAGATCTATCCACGGTCTACAGTACATAAATATGCACAAATAATTAAGTAATGTAAATATAAATAAATGAACAAATAACTATATATATAATATCATATCATATTTCATATCATATATCATACATCTCACACATGATCTGATACGATACACAACACCTCTAGAATCATCCCATCCCGCGCCTCAAGCAGGGACCTGCGATGCTTCACTTCCTTGACCACCTCCGTACCGTGATGAGCGATCTGAATACCCAAGGCCTGACCGGTCTTTCAACCCAAGAAGTTGGTGATTGGACCATGAAAAATCAGGATTTTATCATCAAACATATTGATAGAATGGGATATATGTGGATAGATATATATATATATATTTAAGCATATTCCCTTAGGGAGATATAGAGATAAATCTGGGGATCATTCATAGAATATGTAGCCTAGTTGATGCAAAGTGGTGCCCTCAAACGGCAGCGAACTCGGGGGGCACCATTTTGTTTCATCCCACGCATGGTGACTGGGAGGATATGAGCACCCTAGTTTTCTTACACAAATCATCTAACAAATCTAACACATCCTGGCACTTCCATGCTTTAAATAAATGGTACACATGCTGTTGTGTTTTCCATTTTGGCGGTCGACCCAACCGCATATCATTCCCACATTTGGATACATTTGGCTGGGAAGATCTGCAGGAACCCCACCTCGATGGTAGACATTCCCTTGGACCAAACCATATTGAATCATAACAGTTGGTGATTGAATCGTATTACCCTCTGGTAATTTAACATAGCTATGGAAAATCACCATTTTTCATGGGAAAATCCACTATAAATGACCATTTTCAATAGCTATTTTGACATAACCAGAGGGTAAATGCCAAGTGGTCCGTTGAATTCCAGAGTTCAATCCCACAGTAGCCAAACTGAATTTCCCACCTCTTGGTACGCCTTGGTAGTTGCATCCACATCGCCTAGCGCCACCAAATCTCCAATGTGTTCGTAGAGTGCGGCCATCCGCTGAAACAAAGGGTCCTGCTGTTTGAAGCTCCCTCAGTGACAGCTTTAGAGGTCCAAATTCAAGAAACTTGATACATCTACTCATAACTAGTGGAAATTCTGAAGGATTTTCAGGCCCAAATAGTTGACTGTAGTGGTGGATCTCCCTCTCTTTCGCACGAGTGGATCCTCATCCCTCCATCAAAATGGAGCACAATGGGCCATACGAATTGTCGTTGTCACATTGCAGGTGTTTTGGGTAAACGCATAATGCATAGTGATGCATCGTGGCTCATTTCCCCCGGGCCTTGACCTGGGGAAACAAACCAAACCTCTTAAAGATGGAACCCGCAGTTGGCGCAGTAAAGTCATCTATACGGTGATATAGCTGGGACATGCTGGGACCCATGGAACATCATGGAACCTGATTTCAGGTTCGGTTCCAGGATGTTCCAGGTCAAATTTCGGGGGATGGTGTTAGGACAAATTGGTTCCCAAACCTTCCATTGATCATTCATTCTATACCGTCTATACCCTTAGCATCATTGGCAAATCATGCTCAACTCAATAAGCGACCATGCCACTGGATATCTTTGCGAAATGTGTATTGTTCCTATTTTAGATGATGTAAACGTGGTTTGTTGCTGGGACCGAAAAAATGCTCTGGCTGCTCTGGGTGAATTATCATAATTCACCACCCTGGAATAAGGCCATTTTGGGATGATTCCTGACTCCATCCGCCCAGTGCAACTTCCAGCCGGGTGGTACAGAATATTTGCTTTTACTACCACATTGAAATGGATGAATGGATGAGAATATAAATGTGCATGTCTATTTATATATATATAGATATAGATAGATATATATATATATATATACACACACACATGTGCGTGTGTGTGTACACATTCTACAGTGGATCCCAAGCCTAGATGGTGAATCCACAATTATCCCGTTACCCCCCAGAAATCAAAGGTGGCAAATAGCTGGCAATCAGCATCAATCATCGTCATTCAAATGGGACAATGTCATCCAACTGAATAGCTGATGTTCCATTGCCATTTTCCAAAGGGTGGCAAATAGCTGGCAAAGAACCGGACCATGGGACCCTTAAAGCCTGGAAATTCAGAGGGCAATATTATATGTATATTTCATAGCACCACCCCCCAACAAAAATACTACTATGCAAAATCCTACTACAATAGTGAGAAATAAGTTTTCTATTTTTGGGGGGTTACTCTCACTCTTAGGAATATATATATATAGTTCTCTCTCTCTCTCTCTTTGTATAGTCCCTTGTTTCTGAAACTATGGTATCATATCCTAAAATCGGCTGAATTATCATAATGTTCTCTCTTAAATGGCCGCAGCTGGTTTTGTTCTATATCACATTAATTAGTATCCCATCAATATCCCAGGCCCCACTCATATCCCATTCATCCCTATGTGTGATGATAGCATACGTATGTTCATTGAATAACAACTCATTCGCTTTAAACATGTTCGTATATACTATACACGTTTCTCTTATATATATATATTTGATCACCAAAGGGTATCATCTCAAGTTGGTTCTACCTATACCCATAAAATCTCCATGATTCCCCTAAAATCTCCGAAAAAAGTCTGGCTAGTAGAGTCCCATAATGTCCCATCAAATCTCCCAATGATTCGCCAATGATGGTCCCCATGACCAACCGGTCCTGGGCGATTTTGGGCTCCTTGGGTGGCCGCTGCCGGTCGACGCAGCGGAACATGAGCTCGCTGCGGGCGATCTGGAAACCAAGGGATTTCCCATCAGGATGACCAGCAGAGGGAGGATCGTCCCACTGAAGTTTGGATGATGACATGATGATGACATGAACCATGGGATTTACCAACTAATTACTTGGTAAACTGCAGGGTTAGTTTTACAAGATACTGCCCACTTGGAGGATCATCCACAGATCGAAACTGGTGAATAACTCTGGTTAGTAAGTCCCCGAACTGGGCTTATCCCATATACAAGTCGCTTCTAACCGCAGTCACTAACCAGTTCCTAAGTGGAATGATCCTCCAAGTAGAGGGAGACAACCCACTTTCTGTTGGATTTGCCAACAAAATGGGGATATAAAACCACCATAAACCAACAACAATGTGGATATGAAATGATATGAATGGATATTTAATATGCTACATAACCAGCCAACCACCCAACCAACATGAAGATTGACTGGAAGCATCTGGAAGCAATGATGAGTACCTCATATAACAGTTGTGCCAGGGGTTGATCTTGGTGGATTGAGTTGGATGGTGGGACAGAACAATGAACCAAGGTATACCAAGATTAACCAATTCAATTTGATTGTCTCAAAATATGAAACCCCAAAAAACTCCGTGGCATTTGAACATTCCCTCATCAAAATAGCCAGTTTAGCTTAATTTCAACCAAGGATTCATAAACCATATCAATTAGGGGGGTTACCCCGAAAATAGTGTTTATATATTTACTCTTAGAAATGAAGCAACCCTATCGATACAGTAAACGGGTGGTTTATTCTTCCCGGGTTCACATTCCCCTCCGTATTCCATCAATCCCAAATGATCTCCTCGCAAGACCAGTGCCAGGAGACAAACTTTGTTCCCTGCAGTACTTCCAAAGCCGCATGCGGCATGTCATGCGGAAACAGCACTGCGGTGCCAGCCGAAAGTTTGAACTGGAATGAACTGTTGGGGAATTCCAGTTCACCACCTCAGTATAGGGGTGAGCCACCATGGGGATCGCGACCGGAAACGATTAGGAAGTACTTGGGTAATCCTGGCTATACTATAAATTTTGGCTGAGGAAAGGGGCAAAATCCCTGTTACCGTGAGTTGTCATCCCAAAATCAATGATGAGGATGATCGATGACCGACAGAAATCAATGTAAACTAACGTGATCTATATTATAATATATATGTATGTACGACACAGTGGCACTAATTGCGACACAGTGGCACTAATAGAGGTAGTGGAGCGTGGAGACAACAAAAGCGAGAATACACTTGCAATAATTGCATATTGTAACCAAATTTGTTTTGAATACTATGTGGGATGGTGACCACTAGCAATTAGCCGCCAACATGAATCATTTTGACATGCAGTAACAAATGGTGGGACGGTGGATGGTTGAGGTTGAGCCATCCATCATCTTTGTCAATCGAGCTTCTATAAGGCTTGAAGTTAACGTTGAAAACCACCGGTTGTCACAGAGTTGAGAATTCTTGTGGCGCCCTGGGGGTGGGTTAGAGAATAGTGAAGGCTACTTTTTTGGGGACACTTGGCACATTACGCTTCGTTTGGGTAATTTGCTTCTGGGCATTTGGCACTCGTTCAAAAAGACTTGCAGCATCTTGTCAAGTGGGCATGGGGATCTCAAAATGTGCTTGACAATCTCAGGGAACTACAGTATATACCGCATTACAAGCAGAGATGGATGGAACCAGTACCCAAAACAAATAATTACACAGAAACGTGTCAGAAAAAAAGGTGGAAATACACACCGTGAGCCCCTTCTATATTTGAACGCCTATAACTTAGCTGAAGTCTCGATCATGGCGCCTTCATACTCGTCGTTTAAGTACAGCACTAGGGAATAAATGCTGCACTCGCCATCGTCATTGGTGTACATCCCATCGCAGTGCTGCGCAAAGTGCTCCTGAGGTAACATAAATGGAGGTACTATGCCATGTAAACGGCAGATTTCCTTACATGGACCGCATTTCATACTTCAGACCTGACATTGGCTACAAGGTAGGGCCGCCTAGGTGGCTATGTGGTTTACAGCTTAACACTATGATTTATGGTAGATATATCTCAATGGGGTTTAGAAACCAGAAACTTGGGGGGGTACCACCCTGTAGGCATTAGGTACCTCTGGGAAATGAACTTACCCCCGTCATAGGAGTTGAAAGCTAGTTATAGCAGCTGAGCAAGGCTCCGTAAGTTGCTGCTCTATGGTTTCAAATCAAGCCAAGAAGTGCTACTGCGAAAACTACACATGTCCCATGAAATCCTTCTGGCGACCAGGTGCAAAAGGATGTGACCAGCTTTCTTGTGCTTGCACCCTCAAAAGCTAGCAAAACGATCAAAAACTACCAGCAGGGTCACCGAAAGCTCTTCAAATCAATTCAAATCGCCTTGAACATGCTATTAGTGGAATATGAATGTAATATGCAACCATCAATATAAAGATACATGGACATACCCCACGGTAACTTCTTCCAGTTTGCCATGCTAAATCATCAAGCTCAGCTCAACGGACCATTTTCCATTCATATAGTAATTACAGGTAGATTCCCCTCATCCCTGGTTCCTTAACTTCCCGAAAATCCATGGCCAACTGACAAACATAGCTGGGATGCAACCATGCTGGGGGTGAGCCATACCCTCCGGTAATCTAACATAGCCCATTTACAGATGATTTACCTGATAAAGATTGAAAAAGGCATCTGAATTCATCCCAGTCGCACCCGGCAAATAGCGTGAGATGCGAAAGCAGGGATTGACACCACTGGGCTTCCAGCGACCCTCAGCACCGAAGCCCATGGGTTGCAGCAGGAAGATGTCGCGATGACACAACTGCGGCAACAAACGACTGTACCTGAGGTGCACTGATGCGGTCCTTTATGATGTGTTCAAAGGAAAACCAGTACCCTCTGGTAACTTAAGATACGTGATTGAACATAGACCTTTTATAAAATATTTACCTAATAAAATTGTGATTTTCAATAGCTATGTTTAATTACCAGAAGGTAAAGGTTCGGGGGTAGGACCATTGGCAAAGTAGGGAAGTCCAACTCAACTTTTGGCAAATAAAACATGACAATCTTGGCATTACTTGCCGCAGGTCCCATTTTGGAATTGAAACTTAACGTGACATCCTTCACTGTCCCCGGACCAACTCTCTGATGATCTACACTGGTGGAAAAAACACACCGATTTCAATTATCCCCAAGGATCAATGAGTAAGTCAACATGAATTTTCCTCCCAGGTAAGATGGAACAAATAAGTTTAGCCAGCCAATCAATTAAAAAGAATCATCCACAATTCAACAGTCCATAAAATGCCATAAAAAACATATAAAAAACATATGGGTATGGGTCAATACCTATAGATACATTTTTAGTGGGATGAACATCCATTTACCAGCTATTTTGGGGTTCACTAGGTACCAGGGTTTTGACCCATCCCCATATAAAAACCCCAAAATCACCCACCTTAAAAATCCTTAAAATCACCATGTGGCACTGCCGCCGCCAAGGCCTCGCTGAAGTGCACCAGCCGCGCGTTGTTCCGCAGCGCCTCCGGGAACTCGCGCCGGACGTCGCTGGCGGCGAAGCCCACGGCCGCGGCACTGCGGCAATACGAGGCGGCCTGGGAGGGGACAATGTGGGGATTTAAGATAAGAAACATACGAACTTGGGATTTAAGTTGTTTTTTGGATGATATTGGAAGAAATGTGGATCAATGGAATGGTCTGAACCGAAAATTGGGGATCGACCATGATTTAACTATCATAAATGAGGGATTTAACCCATGGATAGCGGATTGATGGAGTGGATTGATTTACAGTAGGAAAAAACTTGTGGGCCACTTGTGGGAAACCAATGTGAAAGTTCATCGTGAATATATGAATATATAATATAAGGGTTTTCTGCAGAGTTTCTGCTCAGCGAATTCCAGGAATGATAAGTATTGTCTTAGGGAAATGTGGGTAGGAATATACATATCATAGATCATTGTAGGTCGTCCTGACTGGTAATGTTTTCTGAGTTTCACTGACTTGGTTGAAGCCAATGGGAATCGCCATCTATCAGCACTATAATTCTAAATGACAGTTTGTATTTCATCTTTTATGCCCCAATTATGCGCCATAAACATTAGGGGAAATCACAGCGACCTCACTAGCGGACCTTACTTCTTGTACATGTGGAAATGGTAGCAAGTGAGGGCACTCATCCCCAAAATGTTCGTAGTTTTTTGCATTTTGGGAATGACAAGACTCCGGCAATCAAACGTGGCTGGCTTCAAAATCCCCTATTGCATGATATGAATGTTCCATCAAAATCATCAAAATCATCAAACAGATAGATAGATCGATAGATAGATAGATAGATCGATAGATAAACTAAGATAAGCTAAGATAAGCTAAGATACGCTAAGAAAAGCCAAGATAAGCTAAGACAAGCTAACATAAGCTAAGATAAGCTAAGATAAGATAAGATCAAATAAAATAATACATTATATATATATAAGATAAGATAATTCAAGACAAGATAAAATCACATAAAATAAAGAAGATAGGATAGATAGGTAGATAAATAGGTAAATAAATAGACATATTATACACGAAAACATTCATTTAGTTCAGGGATTTTCCATCCAGCCATGTTTGATGACACCAGAGTGCCATCCGGGTCAAGGCACAAGAGTCACAAGAGGCCACAGTAATTATTAATTGACAGAGCTCATCAAATCTAGGGCTTAAGGTCACCACCATATATCCACCAAAAAAAAACGCTTCAAAATCACAGGTTGTTTTTATAGCTAAGTGCGGCTAAGTCCCCATGTTTCATAGTAAAAGTCCAATTGTCAAGAATCCACATTGTTGGTTCTGGAAGTCATAGTTAACATTATCATTAATCAAGTCCAATTTGATCGTTCATCATCCCCAATGTTAAATCCAATTGTGTTGCATCGTATGGTTGAAGTCCAGATTTTTCTGCTGCTGCTCTTGGAGGATCATCCCACGGATTCCATTTAGACGTGGCTTATAACCCCAGTCACTAACCAGTTACGATAAACGGATCCTGCCCTGCAGCTGACCTGAAATAAACCTCCCTCCCCGCCTCCGCAGGTGCTAAAATGCCATGAAGTGCAAAGGCTCGGCCCGTGAGATCCTCTCGACGTACAGAACTGGGAAGGGCATCGGAGAACAAGGACTGAGGCGTTTCCAAAGGAACCTGGGGTTGCAGGAACGCCGGAAAACATCAACAACTGGTAACTATGCAGTACACATATATGCACATAACCAAATTGTAAAGGATGTACACAGAATGCGTATATTATATATAAATAATAGTGTGGTGTTATATAATATACACATGTTGCAAGAATCACAAAGGTCAGTTACACATGGTTGCAAGTTTGTGTGCATATATATATATATATATATTATGTATTAAAATTATACGTATAACTCATATATAATAATATATATATATATATATGTGTGCGTGTGTGTACATACATTATATATATATATATTATATGTATATACATATACATTTGATTCCCAGAATTCATTCACATGGAACCCAAGCGATGGTCATTTCCAAACACCCAAAATGAGTCAAAAGCCAGCAACTCCAACAAGGGACATGCCGACTCCGAGCATCGTAAATGGAGTGCATGGTGCGCCCCTTTTCTGACCCAGATTCACCAGCTTTCTCTCCATCCTTCACCTTCAATCGTTTCATCATGTTCATCGCCAGCGTTTGCAATCTCTCCCGGCCTGGCGCTGGATGGCCCGGATGGGACCACAGGGACACGCCCCAAGCAGCCTGGTGGTAATAGACTTCCCCGGCTTCAGAGCAGCAAGCAGTCCATCCTACGCTTGGAAGGCCACCAGGCCAAACATTGCAGCTCTAGGTCATGATAAAACATGTGTTGTGTTTTTTTTAATAAACACAATATTAAGATATATTAAGAATGATTAAGATATATTCATATATTTCTATATTAGCATATCTTAACCATAACTAAACAACACAAAAAACGTGAGGTATGTTCTACCCTGCAGAACTATACTTCCCCCTCTTTTCATAGTTTTCTGGTGCCGTCCTGGTGGCAAACCTTTGCTGAACCTTTGCGTGGCCTCAGCCTCCGTCAGCTGCAGTTCTTGAGCTGCGAGCTGAACCTCACGCGCCGCGGGAAGGATCGAGCGGGCCTTGCTTGTGGCCATGGTGCCACGGTGCGATGGGCGAAATCCACTGGGATCTGGCGGTCTGAGCCACGAGTTGTGAAAGGCACAGAATTTGTGAACTTTCCTCCATACTTTGAATCCGTTTTGGATACATCTGTATGTAGTGGATGGGAACGGTATGGTTTCCTCCCGTTTCCTATTCAGATTTCCTGGAAACGAAGTGTGTGAATAAGATTGCGCCGAAGCTTCCTAAAGGCCACAGGCCGTCAGGGGTAGCCCGTTTTGTTTATCATGAACTCTTTGCTGTGTTTGACTGGTGCTCCGATCCATGTTCCTATACAAGGGATACCCTGAGTTCATGTGGGCATATGGGTTCGATACCTAGCCGAGTGCTGCTAGGCTGAAACAATCCCATATGGCCCATATGTATGCAATGATGTCCCAGTTCAGGCTTCAGCACTCATGTCATGTGGCCATGTGCAAGAAATGTCTGGCTTGTGGCTTCAAGGACCATCCCTACCAGTCAACTGGGATTAGCATCCCAACACGTTTGAAACCAAGAACACTTCTTGAACATGGAGACTTCTACGTTGGTAAAACCATGTAAAACAATAATGAATATTCATGAATTATAAGCCATTACTATAACTGTCCCGATTTTCCAGATTACGAGCTACAAACGACAGCCCACGATTTTTGTTGGGGGAAGATAAACCACAGGGTGATGGAGCCATATGTCAACTGGTCACCATTTCACGATGTCACCCACGGGTAAACCATCAAGTCTAGTGCAGCACATATGAATCATATGAATTGACGACCAAGCGAGAGTGTTTGTATAGAGATCATGCATGACAAATGCCCTATGGATCCAAGTACCTTCTCAGGAAGTACTTGGGGCATGATTTAGGAGGTTAAGTACTTTCTCAGACAGTGTTTGGATCCATAGGGATGGAAACAGTGCCTTTCTTTCTTCACCAACATCACCAACTTTCCGGCAACGACACATTTTCCCTCAGTTTGCACACACGTGTAGTTGAGGTCGAGCGTGTATCGGCAGAACCTTTCCCTGGTGGCTTTGGGAGCTCCATCGTCCCGGGGATCGAACGAGAAGTTTTATATACCTCGAACCCCAATGTCGCAAAATAAAAGGGACAAAGGTTTTGTTCCGGCAAAAAAAGGTAACAAACACGATAACAAGGGAACATTTCCTGAAAACGTATGAAAAAGTATCAAAGGTGGTTTGTTGTCGTTAGAGCTTCACATTCTGAAGCACTGTCAAGGCAAAATGGGCAGTGAGCGTGGAGCACCTAAACATGAAAAGTCCCAACTTACTCACGCTTCACGCTTTCGCTCTCAAGATGAACAATAGCATTAAGACAATATGAACACGTCCTGGCTAAATCATTCTGGAAGCTTCCAGCACTATTCCGGGAATTTCCGGCACAATTCCACGAAATTCCGGCACAATTCCAGGAATTTCCGGCACATTTCTGCGAAATTCAAGCAAACACCCTGGATTGTTGTACATATATAGCTATCGAAAATCACGGTTCATAATTTAATAGGTCATAAATAATTAATCTATAAATATGGGATTTTCCAAGGCTATGTTAAATCACCTGGTAAAAATACAACCTGCCAGGCTAAGCTAAGATGTTTCCCTGGTCTTAGCACAGCTTTGAAACAAACCAAAAGTTCGGTGTTCGAGCATTTCTTCATCCTCCAAAATAATCCAAAATATAAGGCTTTAAATACATGCACAGCTTCTATTGCATACGACCCACATGTGTCAACTGCTAGACTCGCATACACTCGCCTCAACCCCCCTGAAGAAACACACAAATGGAGCACCAAAGATGTGTATTATAGAGAAAAACACATGTTGCAAACCAGGGACAAAAATACTTTGGAGATCTTTGGAGATCTTTGGAGCTTCCAAAACCACCAGAATCACGCCAAATCGATGCCCTCAGCTACAGCTAAAATCCGGCAGTTTGTTTTGTGAAATCCGCAACTTTTTGACCTTGAGACTCGAGGGACGAGTCAACATTTTCGCAGATGGGTGTCAAGAGCAAATTGCAGGACATGAATTGGTTTTTAGCAACCAGATTATTTTCTGTCGCGGAAACAGCTATAGGAAGTCATTCGGCCCTGAGTTGGCGGGCCATTGATTTTCGAAGGAAACAAATTGACCCAGAAAACAGCCAGTGTGTTTTGCACCAAAATATCTTGACCCCTGTTGCTTGGCTCACATCCAGAGTCCAGGCACAAATGCACGTCCGAGACGGCCAATTGCCGCCTGAAAGATCTACAGCCAGTGGTCAACTCATGTCGCAACATGGCACGTTGACTGAATGCACTGCAACAGAGTCTTACAGGGTTTAAACTTGTCACCATGTCCGAAGTCATCAAACCTTGTGAAATGTCAAGCTGGATTCATCACACACTCGTCGAGGTATCTGTATATAATGAGTACCAAACGATCAGTGTTATACGTTTTTGGGGAACGCCTTCATCAACCATAACCAACCAGGGTTTTTCAGCTCAGGGACCATCCTTGGAAGGCCGCAGGGGAGACGACGAGATGGACCGGCCACCAACGTTGTTCAGCTTTCGCGCTGGTGTTTCTTGTGAACATAAACAGCTACATCTGACTACAAGATTTCCACAGGGATCCGTTCATAAGGGCTGATCACCCAAAAAATGGCGGCCCACCTTGTCAGCAAAGGACCTGGGGGTTTTACACTGTCTTACAGCCCCTCCAACTGACTTCACCCTATCAAAAAATTGACCCACAACTATCCGAAAGACATTGTTTGGCCTTTTATTAAGCGGGGTGACTTCATGACTCAGGCCGTCTGTCAAGGGTCACCCGTTTCAAACCACACTGATCCCCATGCGGAAGTTCAATTGGCGAAACAAGCAGAGAGGCTCCTGCTCCTTCTTCGGAAGCTCAGGGGCGGAAGAGATGCCCTATGCCATACTCGGTTCGCGTGCACTGGGTAGCTGGATGTTACAAATTGATTCGTTCGCTAAGTTGGTTAACCAATTATGGTTAACTAATACTTTATCTTGAAAATACCATATATAATGTACAATGTCGACATATACCTATGGTTAGTTGAGTTTATGAACAACTTACAGCTGCGGGGCATCACTTCGTAGGGGGTCAAATCGTGAACATGCCATGGATGGACGGGAAAGACCGTCTTTCCAACGAATGCATCGTCTTAGTGGCCACTCGTAGATACACAAGTTTGTTGTTCCTTTGTGGTTGGGCTATATGCCCCTTTATCATGGATAAATAATATGGATATTTGTTTTCGTCATTCACCAGCCTGAAAAGACATTTGGGGATGGGATGATTCTCCAAATCACCATTTACATTCATTTGCAGTGCGTCGTGGTGAGGCGCTGATTTCTATACATTCCAATTATATAAATATATATGTTATGTAAATAGATGTATATATATATATATGTGTATATATATAATTCCCCATTACATTCCCAAAAGCATATTGTTTATCCCCACATTTAGATCAGGACTAAACCCCAAACCAAAGATTTAATTCTAGAATTCTTATTAACTTTCAGTGTGCCCTAAGGATTGTTTTTTTTTTACCACACATGAATCCAAATGTGGCAGTCTTAGGTTTCTGACCTTTGCTTCAAGATAGTCAGGTGACTTCAGCAAAATTTTGAAGACAATATATATATATATGAATATATATTTATGTTTATTTATAATATGTATATATATATATGTGTATGATATATATGCAGCTACGCGTATATATATATATATTATATACTGTACTGCTTTATTTAGATATATGATCAAATACCATTCGTATCATGTCGTGTATATATATATAATATACATGTATTTTTAACATTTATGTGTCCTCCCTATATTTTTTCTTAAGACCTGAGGGCCTGCATCTGGCCGTTGGTTGTCTTGCTTGTCTTGCTTGTTTGCCCCATGCTTTCGAATACAAACAACAGGCGTTCTGGAAGGGACACGTCGGACACATCAAGAATGGAGCATAAACGCGATAAATGCACACAGTTGAGTTTCCTTAACTTCTTTTCCAGTAAATCTCCAAGTACTTTCTTTGAGTTGGGAATCAAAAGACCTTGGAACAAAGTTTGGGCCGAGTATCTGTTTGGGCCGAGTATCTGTTTTTGTTGCTTTGGGCAAGCCGCAGCCCCTCTGATTCAAAGCCGCTTGTCTCGGCAAAAGCTTTCTTTGTAAAGCTCCATGCAGTCACTTGAGAAAGGCGAGCAAGCACAAACAGCTGCCGCCCCAGCACCTCGCTAGACAGCTTGACTGCAGTCAGCGTTCATTTTTCATGTTCTTGACCTGGGCTCTGATATCAAAAGAGTAAAAAGTGCTTCGTACATCGCCAAATGTATACACACACATGTTTCATAGTATACATACACATTTATAATAGATATATATATATTATTATATACATATCATATATATATATATATGTGTGTGCGTGTGTGTATGTGTGTATATGATACGTATATGTATATACGTTGATTATATCATATCTATGAGTCAGTGTGGTTCTAAGCGCATAGCTTCCCGATGAGATACTTCCTGACATTGCGTCCCAGCGGTGGATAAATGTCGTTGCCAAGAGGCAATAAACTTGTCGTTCATCCATGGCTGGCATCTTCACCCAAACTTGTCTCAAAGGATCAAAGGATTCTCCGGCCAGGGCAAGGTCCTCTCGGAAAATCTGGGCCGAAGGATGCGCTAAGAAAAAACATAACTGTTGTCATGTTATATCATGTTTGGTTATGGATGCTATGGGGATGATTCTCCGACCATTTCATTCCAGTGGAAAAGAACGAGACCGGTCAATGGAGCCCCTCATATCTGGCTGGCTCATGGGAATCCAAACGAATCATGGCGCTATGATGTAGTACGATATTATCAATGTTAGTGGGTTGATGGCCATGCCCATGAACAGAAGGATACCCATGTAAACTATTGTAAACTGGAGGTTTAGCTTTAGTTTTTGCATCAAGAACTTAAAACCATCCAATGCTTTAACGGAACATGTATAATCCCAATCGTCTGGGAAATCCAATAAGAAACCACCCACATCACCATAATGAAATAGGTGGTGTAAACTGTCCAAACATGGTAGGTTGATTATGGTTGATTGTTGCGTTGCCTAATTTGTCAGGAACATTCTCTATAACGAGGTGTTTTCGTTAGTCTTCAGCCCATTAAACCTGCCAACTGCCAACGCAGCGCTCCTCAGTGGATTTGCCACCAAACACGTAGAGGCAGCCTGCACTATATAATGCGACTCCGCCATGAAGACTGAGGAAATATGGATTTCGTTGCATATCGTTTTGTTCAACACGTTGTGACTTTTCTTATCTATCATTCTAAATCAATCTAAATCAAACTAAATCAATTTAAATCAATCTGTATCAATCTAAATCAATCAATCTAAATCAATCTAAATCAATCTAGATCAATCTAGATCAATCTAGATCAATCTAGATCAATCTAGATCAATCTAGATCAATCTAGATCAATCTAAATCAATCTAAATCAATCTAGATCAATCTAGATCAATCTAGATCCATCTAGATCAATCTAAATCAATCTAAATCAATCTAAATCAATCTAAATCAATCTAGATCAATCTAGATCAATCTAGATCAATCTAAATCAATCGAAATCGATCGAAATCGATCGAAATCAATCTAGATCAATCTAGATCAATCTAGATCGATCTAAATCAATCTAAATCAATCTAGATCAATCTAGATCAATCTAAATCAATCTAAATCAATCTAAATCAATCTAGATCAATCTGGATTAATCTAAATCAATCTAAATCAATCTAAATCAATCTAAATCAATCTAAATCAATCTAAATCAATCTAAATCAATCTAAATCAACCTAGATCAATCTAGATCAATCTAAATCAATCTAAATCAAACTAAATCAAACTAAATCAATCAATCAATCAATCAATCTATCTATCTATCTATCTATAAATCAACCTATCAACCTATCAACCTTTCAACCTATCTACCTACCTACCTACCTAGCTTTCTATCTATCTATCAATCTATCAATCAATCAACCTCTCAATCTATCAATTTCTCTATGATTACATATACATGCCATATGTATGTGTATGTGACACTCTGCGTGTGGGTATCTATGCATGTCTCCAATCATTTTGGTTGTCAAAGTTTACACAGCTTTTGGGGTGCAAAATTGAGGAGCGGCAAACGCAGAAATGACCAGCAAAATCCAGCATGAAAGCTATTTTTCCTTGGTATCTTCACAGCCTTCATTTCAGCAGCATCCCCGCTCTCAAGGCCCGGACCACCGTCCAAAACCCTGCACCTCCCGTGACGGCTGCTGCACCCCCCACGCGCGGCGTGTTCATGGCCACGGTCTCCGACCAAACTCCAGAGATAGGGTCGAAGCGCTCTACCTCGTCGGGAAGGGGGGTCATACTAGGTCACATTCTGATCCAAGTGTAGATAGACTATAAATTATATATCAATGATTATATCATGCGAAGATAGATTATATCTGTTTACTATATCCATATAATCCTGGTCCCATTAGATTGGATTAGATTAGAGTTGTTTAGATTAGATTATAGATTAGGAACTATGTAGATGGATGGAATGGATGGATTTGGTTCTAAGATGGTTCAAGGGGCATATGAGAAGAGTTGAACAGGAATTGGCTAATAAGGCGTAAATACAAGGCCCTTCGTGATGATCTATCTTCATGAGGTCTTTTCCCATCACAACGATGAAGGATTCAGCCATTTTACACTACCGAACCCTGGCGCAAATCTGCAACTGCTGGATGAATCCAATCTGTACGCCATACCCTTTGTTCTGTGGGAAAAAATGGGAGACAATCATGCTCTCCCCCAACAAAAAAACACATGGACGCATTATATGCTAAGAAACAAGAATCATGTATAGTTTGACATTGCCGTGGAACGTCACTGCTGCCACATTGTGTCCCACCTTTTTCAATCACGAATCACGAATCATCTAGACACGGGTCTGTTGGTTTGAAACCTAATGAACCAGATTGCACTTCCACAAAACTAGGCTGACAACTATACTCCCTGTGTTTTCTCTACAACCATATTCCAAAACAATGACGTTAAATTAAACCCCCATTCATTGTTATTTATATCGTTAAATCCCAGTTTCCAATGTCATTGATTCCAATAAAGTGGCTTTCAAACATGGGCTGTAAAATCATGGAACATCAAACCTTGAAGCCTAGATGATGTTCTCATTCAAACCTCCATTTAACCCGAGATCACCCTTTTTGTATAGGTACCCTCCGGTAATCAAATGTAGCTATGGAAAATGGCCGATTCTTGGATGATCTTCCCAGCTGTACACCTCCATTTAGTTCGGGGATTTCCCATGTAAACCCATGAAATCTCAAATCTTTATAGGTAAAAACCTACCGAATCATCATGTTTCATAGGATTTCCCATTTTAAAACCCACAAAATCACCATTTTTCCTAGGGTTTTCCATATGACCAAAAGGTCAAACATCCACAAACATGAACCGTTTCCCAGGGCCATGCTGGTCGTGCTGCGCTCGCAAGGCCAATGGCACCGTTGAAACCTCCTGCGGCGTAGATCACGTCTGCAATGACACCTGAACCGGGGCGGCCACGGCCCGTAGGAAGGTTCAAGTCATAGGGCCTTTGAAACTATATGATTCATATGGTATAATAATGCCTTGGTAACTATAATCAAATGATTTATTATTATATATATACATACAATTTTACTAGTTTGTTTAAATAAATAATGTTCTGGCTATTAATGATTGGTTTATATGGTATAATGAACAATGCCCTAGTATATAACTTCTTACTTAAAACATAATCTTATGAATCTGGTTCATAACTATATAATATAATCATTATACGATTGGTTATGGTAGAGCCCAGAAAGAATAGAAAAGTGAGAAACCTTGGGAAATACCAAGCACATATAATCTGTACACAACATCCTGGAAATACTTGTCTAGCTATCATTGCTTAATGTGTCCAACCCGCTACGCTACCTTCAAAGGTTCCTAAAAACAAATTTCTGGTGATATTGGGAATATATGATTGGTGATGGTCATGGTGATGTATGATTGTTTGGTTTTTACATAGCTGCTTTTAAAACGCAAAACGTAACTCTATATAATATTATATGTATATATTATAACTATTAGTCAAAAGGCTTACTGGTCATTGCTTAACAATCTCCAATGAGCGTAAATAAGAATTGGTAGGGGGAAATCGTCCCACATTGTTAAGGGTTTAGCCTGGGAATCCAATAATCTCCATTTCAAAGGGTACTTTAAGGCCACTACCATGGTCAGGATGTAATTGGAGCCCCCGATCATACTGTCACAACCAGATTTAGCAACGCTATAGGGATATAACACCAATGTGGTATATATATATGGATATCTATGGGATATATTGACAACAATGTTTGGGTTTATCTTTTGGGATCATTGACCACCAAGAATCATCAATAAAGGCTTATGAATCCATCGTTAAGTTAGGGAGAAGGGTCGGGCATTTGGCTCCTCACTACGGACAGCTTGGGTCATCTCCAGTGGATAGTGAAGGCAATCAAGGGACAATGTATAGGAAACCACTGTTTTAGGTCCATAGGGACGTTCTGGCAGATCTTAAACCAATCCAATGATCCATTAAACCCATTAAAAGTCCATGAAAAGTCCATTAATCCTCCATTTTGGATGGCTTTTGAGGCAATGAAGCCCTCAGAAAAAAAACCCACCTGCAGAAAAAGCTGAGCGGGGGGATATCATTGGCTGCAGCTTTTCCCATCGGCCTCAGGGGGGAATTCTGCGACGTGGCGACGTGCCTTTCACAACAAACGACTTAATTAAGGGTGATTTGGAGGTGCTTCCCAAATGATGCATAGTTACTTCAAAACAATATGTATCATATAATGTATATATATATATAGTAAATATATATATACATATATATATATACATATATTTATATCTCTCTCTCTCTCTTTATAGATTTCCCAGTCGTACAACATGAGATACTATCCCGCTCCGTTCAACAGGATGCACATCCTAGAATCCTTCAACCCGAGCCGACTCCCAGGATCCTCCGGGGTTACCAAGTTTTAGGATTGAAACCTATGATGACTTGGGGATCCCCTACAAGCGCTGTTTGGGAAATCATACAAACAAATGGGATGGTTCCGTGTTCCTGTTCCAAGCCAGAACTTCAGGCGCCATGGCAACTATCATGCAGGTGCCCGGCCTCTGGGGAGGCTGAACCGTCATCAGGCCTTATGAATGGGGCTTATGAATGGGCGCCTCGGGTTTGTTGGAAGACACTACATCCATCTACATCCTACCCTCGTAGCAGCACTTCACCAGGGCCCCAGTTTTTGAGTTTTTTCGCGTCAAAGACGCCGAAACTGGGATGGAAGCGCTCTGAGACGCCTTGCACACGCCCGTTGGTACCTCAAGGATCTCAAGGCAAGGCGGAAACCCGAAAAAATGGTACATTTCCCCTTAATAAGTGGGTGTATCTAATCTAATTATGCATGGTATATTCAACTTGTGGTTATAGCCATGGTGAGAAACCGTATCCCTTATTGCTATTTTTCCATTAGCAGTTATTATCATGCTTACAACCACTAATATCCGAAAAACAAAAACATGTCCCAATCATATACCAAAGCAGTAATATCTCAATTCTCCAATTTAGTATTTTTATAATCCATTCCCATCTCAGGGGCCCAGGGTTGTCTGAAAATTGAGGACTCCCAAATCTGATGGTTTATCAGAAGTTTATCTTGTGTGTTTCCCATTCAAACAGCCATTTGGAGGGTAACCCCGTTCTTGGACAAACCCAGATATCATATGAACTTGGATATTCCAGGGAAATTCAAACATACATATTATATATATCATAAAAAAATATTATAATATAGGGTATATGTATACAAGTTGGGGTTCCATAAATGGTGGTACCCCAGTAGCCTACCATGAGGAAACATCCTCTGGTTCCATAGATTCAGGGCTACCACCATTTTTGGAAACCTCCAAATCACCAGCTGCACGACCTTTGGGATCCCAAAATGTTGGGTCCGCGTCACATTTTCCGCCCAAGACATAGACTCGTCCCTTCACAGTGGCGCTGGAACAGCCACTGCGAGACGTGGGCACCCTGGGTGCGGGTGAACCCAAGGTGACCCTCATGAGTTGGTTTATATGTCCCCAATCCTTGGCTAAGTTGGTGGAAAGTTCAGTGTGTAAACTAGGGTTTATCCAACTACAAGTAGGGTCAACTAGAGTTGACCCCCATCTAACTTGTTAACTATAGATATATCATAGATATATCATAGATATATCATAGATATATGATATATGATATATCTATATAATAATTCTATCTATATCTATCTTAAATGTTCTTAAATCCTAGTTGCCCTATATATATATACTTCTTTCCAACAACTTGGCTAAGGGGAAAATGCCTCTCGTGGAGGGTGCACCTGCAATAATGGATCAACATTTGGGGAGTTCACCTGCCAACTTTGGGATACAACAAGCGGGGAGTAACAGAAAATTTGAATTTAATCGCCAGCAAATTGGATTTGAACAGCAACATTTTCGGTCACCCCTTAAAGTGCAAACATGGGGATTCCACTCTGATGTAAGTTGGTTAATTATTAATGTCAGGTAACAGTGAGATGAAACCCTTATTTTCCCGGGGTTCCTGAAAGTGTTCAATCAATGCGTGTTTTCCAACCTTGAAGTCATCCAAACAAATGGAAGTGCACAAAATCAATCATCTCAAGTCTAGCATAGAAAGTAACAAACGGAACAAGATGAACACGTTGCTAGAAAAGGCAAGCCTTCCTAAAAGGTCAAAAAAATAATATTGGAAACCCATCCATCATCTAAAAAAAATGAACGTCTATATATTGCACATACTAGTATGGTTAGTTTCACCACCACAACACAACATTTGGAGGCATGGTCCCAACTATGGCCGATATGGTGCCTTGGAACATCACATGAAAATAAAAAAGAGGTATACGGTATACACCAAATCCAATGGTCCATCATATTATTCCCATCACCATCCTGCAATTAAACATGACAATGAAAATACATGAAAATACAACTTGTTTAAGATACTATATGATTAGTTTTTCAAATATCCATCATTATCCAACCAAATCGGGACTAGCGGCCCGCCATGTTTGATGACACCGGAGGGTACCAACTGCCGTACGGGGGCCCATTTTCCCACACAGCGCCTTGGAAGGACTTCCCAACGTTCGATGCCAGGGTCGAAACGCTCGAAAACATTCAGCACAGTCTCTCCTAGTCGTCCTGCGTTGGACCACCAATTGATGACTTACATTCAACCAGGGTTTCGTTTGGGTGCTACTATACTATGTTGTGGCGAAGGTATTGCACAAGTTGAGACTTTAAATGAATTTCATGATGATAAATGATCTATCCTTTCCGGTGAACCATCGCCTTTTAAAAGGAAGGACACACACACAGCCGGTCAGAAAGATAAGGATGCAAGCCGTGAGGCACAAATACAGCGGAAATGTTCTGGTCCAAGGCACAACAGACACTACATACAGTAATCTCACTATCTGCAAAGTACTAATAATTCTGTAAAATGTAGGCAGTTGTTGCTTTTTACATCTCCTTGAGCTTCCAAAACAGTTGAAATATATACAAATTATCACCAAACATCACCAAACAATATGTTCCTCAAGGTTTTGCTTAGCAAACATGTCCTTTGTTCCCGCTCCAACACGCTTCCCACGCGCACAATATTTCACATCCTCCAGAGACGTAGATCAACCCGTCTGCTGTGGTGGCTGCACACCCGGCCCTCGACGTTGGCATCGATGGAAGCACCTCCGCTGTTTCATAGAATCAGAGGGCGCCCCAAAAGCCTGTACCCCGCAAACAAACACAAACAAACGAAACCGTGTTTGTTTTTTTTTGCGGGATTGCTAGCCCACCTTGGTGAAAGGAGCTTTCTGAACCAAGATTGTTGAGGGTTTGCCTTTGGGAGCTTTTGGGCACCCTCAGCCTTCGATTTCCTTACAGCAACAGTTCTCTATTGAGGGGGCCCTATAAACATATCTCACTTTCACGGGCTTAGTTCATCTGACAACAAGTCCGTAATTGTCCCCACCTGCAACTGCCCATAGCTGGAGACAACCATCAAATCATCATCGTGGAAACAACCATATGGATGCCTTTAAGTTTATCAACCATTTTGATGTGTTTTTTCAATGGTAATTTAACCGTTTTCTCTTCAAAATTGCCATTCTTACAAGGTCAATCATGGTAAATCATCGCAAAACGGGTTCCATCGTCAGCGCCTCCCAAGTTCCATGCAAAGGGTCGAAGCGCTCAGCATTATCCAGCTGCATATAGTCCTAAGCTGCAACCCGGGACAACCGGGGCCCACATATTGACAGCATATGATTTAGGGGCTGGAAGTTTTCAGCAGCAAAAATTGAGTTTTGCGGATGAGGTTGCCCAAAAGAGGTTTATGAACTTGGGTATGCCAGTATAATCACTCGAAATGGGATGATGTAAAATGACCACCACATGGTTACTATTGGTTACTTACTGCAATGGGATCGTTTGTTATTGGGTTTTACCACATTACACTTGTTCAGGTTCCAAAGTCAGGTTCCAAAGTCAGCCATGCTCGCGACGAGGAGCTCTCAGCATCCCATCCAAGTTGTTCAAGGAGTTGGGAATGAAACCCGCCCCCGGAATGAGGCTCACTGCCTCGCCTCCGAAAACATAGAGACAACCTGGGTGAATGCGGAAGGCGAAGCTGCCGGGTAAACCAACGGCGGGTTTGATGCTGGTTTCGTTTTCCCCCCCTTGGTGAAGAAATCCATTTGGTTTCCTGGTGGAAAAATGATCAATACGACAAATGCTCGGTATTCATGGATTTTCCATATCCATGTTGATTTACTGGAGGGTAAGGTTTGAACAAAAGCGGGAAATTGTATCTGCCACTGTGCAACAGAAGAGTGCGACGAAGGCTCTAGGGTCTACACATTGATAAGGCAGGATCATACGATCTTCACTTGTTGGTGGTCGTTGGTCATTACTAGTTATGTTTGACGGTGATATCAAACTATGTTTCACTCACACAAACAGTCCAGGTATGATGATAATTCAGTGCGAATGGTATTCTACATGTCATAGCCAGACTTGCTTTCTTACTTCCCATTTTTTTAATGGTTTGGGGCCTGAATTTTTGTACATCAGTAAAATGGTGAGCCATTGGGTAAATGGGGCGCGGTTTTATGGCATTGAGTTTATGAGTTCATCACATCATACAGACACAGAGAGAGAGAGAGAGGTGTATATATATATAATATAAATAAATATATATATATATTTTATGCACATACACATACATATATATATATAATATGCACATACACACACACATATATATAAGTATAATATAGTTTTACATATATATATATAACTGTGAAGGGACATTATTACAAAAAATGGACGGACTTGGAGGTTGCATCATGGATCGCGCCGCGGCGCCGTTACACGCCGTTGCGCTACAGAGCCGCCGCGCCGACGGCATGGCGGGCACCTGTTGCCACTGCTGGCCGCCGGCATCCAGGCGCATGACGTTGCTCAGCACGCCTCGACCCAGGAAGCCATTGAGAGATACGATTCATAGATAGATTCATAGATAGATGGGTGGACATACATGTATGTATAGAAATATTAATAGATAGAAATAAATATTGATATTGATATAGGTGTTGGTACTGGTGTAGGTTTAGATGTGTAGATGTAGACGTAGGTGTAGATCATCATTCCATATAGAAATAGAGAAGAATAATAGTTGTTGGATAGATGGTTGGATGGATAGATAGATGGATGGACATGGCTGGATAGATCGGTGGATATATGAGAAAGGCCTGATGATGGTTCATTGAACCTGTAAAATTTACTGTAAAATGTAAGAATATCAAATTCGCTTCTAAACTTGAACTCATAAGGATGGGCCAAAACTTAGGGGGTCAAGGTGATTGAATGTCAGATAAAATGAAGGTCAAAGTATATGCCAGAAAGAATGTCAAATAGAATGCCAGAATAAATATGCCATAATTATATATAATACACTTCCAGACTGAATGTCAAACAGAAACTATGTCAGAGTAGTGTTTCATGGTGGGGGTCACTCGAAGGAAGTATTTCTAAAATTGATATTTCTAAAATTGCTGTATATATATATATGTGTGTGTGTGTCTCTCTCTCTCTCTCTCTCTCTCTCCCTCTCCATCGCCATCTCCTCTATATAACATATATATATATATATACAGTAGATTACAGTAGTAGGTATGCACGCATAAATGTCACAGTTGATCCTAGTCCTCAAGATGCCGGATGCCCCATTGCAAGCCTTTTTCTGAACCTTTCAGATTAGCAAATCTCCCTGCCGGGATTCGCACGTTCAATCGTAGGGATTCACCACACCAAACAATCACATTGTTTTTTTTCGCCCATGCCCTTACTATTGATTGATGGTTGATGAGCCCCAAAAAGCCCTCAAAAAAGCCACTCTGATTTGGGGATGTCGCCCCGAAACCGAGGCAAAATGCCGAGCCAGACCTTTTCCCCTTGCGACGCAATGGTGGGTTTTTGCGGCGTCTGGAAGCTGGAACTTGAAAGGCCGAGCCGGAAAAAAGGGGTCAGTTCCACGAAGCCAACGAACCGAAGGTACCTGGTACCCTTTAAGGTCAACCGAAAACTGGGGAGTTCAGCAACAGAAAATGGGGAACTAAATTCAGTTAAAGTAAACAACACGTTTCAACCAAAATTAAATTTATATCAAGTTCCAAATAAAACAGATGGGGCCGATAAACCGGCAACAAGAAGAGTTTGTTGGGCTACACATTAGACATACTTCCTTACAGCACCATGCTTGCAGTAGCTACAGTATGATAGTGGGAATTGGAAGACACAGGAAAGCTCAGAAAGATGGACATGGGATTGATTATGATTGCTCACTATGTCAGGTTGGCAATAATATATGCTATGTACCTATAGAATGAGGTAAACAAAACACTCAACCATTCCCAAATAGAGTTTATGAAATTGAGTGTGCTCCTGTTCGGGACGACATTCAATGGGGGTTTGCAACTGGGTTCACCATCCAACTATTTTTTCGGGGGTATTGCTTATGTGGTAACCCCCCAAGGTGTATATAGAACACACACAAGAAAATAATGATTACTAAATACGTGTAAATTCCTTTCAAAACCATGGTTTACGGGAGATGTGTCATATTAGAGGGAAGGGATTAATTACAAATGATTGCACATGTATGAATAAACATCCTGATCAATATCCACCATCTCGTGGAATGGAACCCTTGCGACTCGGAAATGTAACGCGAGTTGCACCAAGATGCAACTCAACGAGCCCGAGCAATGGCGGAACCCCGCTGCCATCCTGATTCATGGGATGTCACATGAGGTCATATGATGTCTTATGTATTACCCACATTTAAACAAGCTAAGGAAGCTAAGGAAGTGAAACATCAAACTTCCTCTATTTACTTGTCATGATTGATATGGAGATTTCTGCTCGATGGAACAGCCAGCAGGGATCAACTCACCACTGTTCATCTATTTGTGATCTTCCTTCAGCCACACGATGTCCACACCGTGGGCAGTTGTGCACCAACCACTGGGTTTTAGTGTAGTCAAGGGATGAGCTTTGATGCAGTTTCACTCGACATCAACAACAATACACTCGACATCAACAACAATATGATAGTTCAGGCTGGAAGGAACTCTACTTTGGGTAGCTTCATTTCCTCAGGAAGAAGCAGAACAGATCGAATGCTGTGAAATGTGCCCAGCAATCTGGGCGGCTCTACCGATAGAGCAAACGTTCGGAACCATGTGGCGCCATGGCAGAAATTGAAAGCAAAAGCTGTTCAGGAAATCTTCCGGGTAGTGTCCTCTGCCATACCCAGGTAACATTTCCAGCACATTCGCCCCCAGCTGCAGTCAACCAAAAGCAGAAACATGGAGCTTAACAGACTTCGCATAGCCTAAATTCTATAATGTTTATGGATGAGCTGTTTATGGATGAACTTGTTTTAATGAACCTTTTGGGTGTGGCTCAAAATTATTGCCCAACACAATTGGATACTGTGATTTAAACATACGCAAGGAGTGTCTTTGGCCGGCCCATGCTTACCCCAATATTGAGCCATAGCCGTCTGCATAATCATGACTAGTGACTAATAATACCTGGTATCATGACTATCTTTCCTGGTATAGTAGGCTGTAGCAGCATCCTGAGGGGATGCATGTGGCTGCATCGCAGTACGAATAGCCTCTGCTCCAACTCGGCTCACATCCACCTGTCGATGGTTTGGGTTCGCCTTCCATACCTTACATCGAGGGCGGCATGGAGTAATCCTTTATGATATGCACCCACCGTGTTGGCAAACCCTTGGTTTAGTGTTGGATTTTCTTCAAAAAAGAAGGGGGGAGGCGAGATTTTCTTGATAGGGCTCCGTGAAGTTGATAGTGAAGTATAGTGAAGTTACATGAAGTACCTGAGCAAGAATTCGGGAGCTTGTGCCCCACATTGGTCAGCCCATGTCAACCCATTAATGTCAGTCATCTTATTTCAGAGTGGTCAGACAGATTCAAAGATCCCATCATTGAGTGGCAAAGAATTGGGGCCGGATGTGGATGCCCAGGATGCCCACACATCTTGGGGAAATGGACATCATGTTGCCAAGATTTCCCCCAAAGTGAACCATCCCATACCAGAAGTATCCAGAAATGGTAGCATATTGCCGACAACCCATCGGTTTTTTGTTGGGTTTAACCAACATCACATGATTAAGTCATATCGCCGTTGAATGGATGCTTCAGTCATTGATGGTTATATATCAGCATGAACTTGGCTTTTCTACATTTTGCCGCATTAAATCACAAACTCATGGTTGAATTCAAAATCTCTGATTATTTCTGATTTTGTTCGGCAAACACATATTCACCTGCCGTTTACAGTGCCCCGCGTTCAAACAAGTTCAATGAGTCAAGGGAACATTCAGAGGAAACCATGGCTTAGGAAACCCCCAAATCAATCAGGTTTTCTGGCGTCACTTTTCCCAACACAACTTTGGGATCCGCAATTCCCCTGGTAATCAAACGTGGCAATGGAAAATCCAAGATTTAGTTGATAATTTGGTCATTCAAAGTCAAATTCAAACCTCCATTGGCTGCGGGGATTTCCCAGCCACGTTTGATTACCAGTGAGTTATAACATGTTATAATCACATTGTGTTCCCATTCAATCCCCATTACATCATTTAACATCCCCATTTAGTATACCCTTTGGTTATTTAACATAGCCATGGAAAATGGCCCATAGAAATAGATGGTTTACCTATTAATAGCATGGTGATTTTCCATGGCAAACTGTTAAATAATCAGATGGTATATGTGTAGGGCTGCCAGGGTGCTTGCAACATTTCCGGGCAATCTCAGTTTTCCATTGCATCGCTTTGCGATGTGGGCTTTCGCCCGGCAACTTGCGATCGAAATAGTCGTAATGGCTCTCCTAAAAGGTGGACGTGGGAGGACGCGGATTGGAGGGATCTGTTCAGAATGCGTAATGGAAACACATGCCCTGTAACAGTAGGAAACAGTAGGTAAACAGTAGGAAAAACAGTAGGACACAAGAATATATTAAGGTAGAAACACTAGGAAACAACCCTGTTTGGAGGGTTGATGTGCCATGCCAATTTCTCACAAAAACTTGCTTGCTTATACGATGTTTACGTACATGTTTAGGATTTCCACCCAAATGTAAACTAATTTCCATCATAAACCTAGTCCAAAGCCTAGTTACATGGGGGGCGTCTTCGTATACAATTCCATGGTTGGTCACAAATTGCCCCAATTAAATAGCAAAGAATTAAAATTGACAATTGACTGAATTAAATCAACCATTTTTTGAGCAAACCCCAGTCATATTCTTGGATTTCTTGGTCACATCCCATTGTCCTATTCTGTCCTCATATTGTGGTTCAAGGGTTTGCTCCTCAATTTTGAGTTGATATGTATATATATATAGAGAATTATATATACCCCAGTAACCACAGTGACCGTTACCATATCAAATCTTACTTACTTACAAATCTTACAAACACACTTAGCAATGGATCACCATATCAAACATTCTACATTAGGAGGTTTCATTAAATAGGGGTACCCCCAAATCATCCATTTTAATAGGACCTCATTTTCAGGTGATTGTAACTAAATTCCTTCCCTCTACGATTAAATTTAAACGTACCCCAAAGGTCCGTTTTCAATGTTGGGAAAATTCAGATTGGCACATTGGGTTTTTAATTGATCCCCTTTGGAAGACAATTTGAGGGTTTCACCCCATAATTAAAAACAACCGAGTCAGCACAGGGGTGTTTTTTGTTAGGGTCCGATCGAACATTGTAGTTTTTTTAATTAATGTGTTTCATTAATACTGGGGGAACCTTCGACATCCAATGTTTGGCAATATGTTAATTAGACTTCAACACATGCATTTGATGGATTTTGAAATCGAACAAAATATGTTTCTTTGTTTTAAATCTATATAGTATTAGGGGGAACCTTCGAAATCATTTTGTTTGACAGTATTTTTGATGAGATGTTAAAAAGGGATTTTATCGATTTTGAAATCGAAAGACATATTTTAAAAAATAGGTTCTTTATTGAGGCTTTAAATTAATTTAGTCTTGGGGGGAGGCTTCGCACCCTATAAAATACTACCTAATAAAAACTCATGTTTTGGAGAACATGTCTTTCCACAACAGGGCGCCTGGGGCCGGAAGCTGTCCCGAGGTAAAATGGATGGGAAATCGCTGGTGCTGATGGGCAGTGGAGCCTTCGCTTTCAGAAGCTCCCTGGGGGTCACCTCGGCGCGACTTAAAGTCACGCAGGGGTTCTGAGGGAATAGGTGTCAATAGTGGTTAATAATGATTAATGATGGTTAATTACTTGATGATGGTTTTAAAAAATACATTAATGGATTATAATGGCTTGTACAATTATATATAATGGATAATAGTGGTTATATAATAGTTGTTAAGAATGGTTGCATAATAATGGTTGACCATGCTTATAAAAAATCATTGTGAATAACGGGAAAGTAACCAACAATAATAGGAAATTTACTTGGAGGATCACCACACGAATCGTAACTGGTTAGTAAATGGGCTTGTAACCCAGCTATAAATGGGATACTGTAACCTAGGGGACTTATATGGTAACCAGGGATATTGACAGCTAATTTGTTTGGCGGACGCCTGATTTACCATGAGTACATGGGAATGTCAGGACATGTCAGGACAAACATTGGGATTCTGAGGGATTAAAGTGGTTTTAAACCATGGAGATATCATGGGATATGTAGTGGACTGCAATCTACAGTCTATAATAACCCCCCAAAAATGGGCTAATGGTAAATGTACATGCAAGTGTGCGTGTGTGTGTGTGTGAATATGTGAACCATGGTCAACAAATGATATATGAGGTATGGTCACTAACCCCATATCAGAGGAATCTAACCCAACCGGTGAAAAACGTCCCTGGTGATGGATTGATGACCAATCCCCCAAGCTTCCGGGAATGTACAGAGACCTGTGGACCTGTGTCGAGAAACGGGTCGGTGCAACCATTGCTTCCGCAGGCTGCTGCTATGACTGTTGCTGCTGCCTGTTCTGAAGGCATCACTTTCAAAGCCTATCTCGATGTATGACTCCTCGTCGTCCCATTCATCTTGCTCACCATCGATCTCTGCCTGGTAGGCCATAGCTCAGATATGGGTAATAGGAACACGCGCGATACTACTGGGGTCTCAGGGAGGTTGTGCAGATTATGTATGGGCCATCTCCAGGAGCTCAGCTGAGCAATCATGATTATACATAGCATATTATAACTAAATTTGAGCCACCGCTACCTACAGTAAATGATGGGGAACTCTATAATAAACAGGGGCTGATGAGCTCCGAAGTTTTCGCCAGAAATTATGAACGCTCAAGGTACTTACGAGCTACTGGTAGGATGATGAGCTTCTCAGCAATCTTTGCCACGCTGATGCAGCTTGAAGCTTGGATGGATGTTTTAAAAGACCTTCGCAACCGGGGATCATAAACCATAAGCCTTGCATTATACACTGAACCCATGAGTGTGGTTCCAACTCGACATTTCACGGCTTTGGACTCCCAAGGAGCAGCAAGTCTACCGGTGTGTTGGCTCGCCTGTGGTCATCTAATCCCTACTGTCATGTCGCTGTAAAAATTATGTGAGTCCACAGCAGGAATCATCCTATATTTTGAGGTTAAACTATTATAAACGACATCAGGTTTAGATGGAACGGTTCTTTATTTCCGAGAACCACAGGTGTTTTACCATGTTTTGCAGCCGCTGTCACCAGGAATTCCTGCCCCACCCGAGCTCAACGCCTCCGATTGACGAATGAGTTGATGAACGTCCTACCGAGCTGAAGAGTCCAGCAAAAATGTCTTGTTGACGGAAATATGTTGGGGATCTGCAAAAATGGTGACCGCGAAATCATCCAAACATGTTGATTATTTGATTTCAATGGCGAAATCAATAGTTCATAATGGTTCTGCGGCCAGCCCGATGGTAGGATCCACATCCCCATGATCCAAAGACTGGACAAGAAGAAGGATGAAATTGCGTAAGGGACATGAATGGGGACAGAACCAGGACCAGTCATGATGGGCTGTACAGTATGAGTACCAAATGCGGGCTGCATACTCCTTTGAGGTCTTGCATTTGTTTGTGTATTTGTTTGCAATGATAAACACAGAAACATAAATAACTAAAAACAATAACAACTGATAATGACTCTATATACATATGTAGAGTATAAATCCTGATAAAACACCAACAATATGAATACATTTAAATACTAATGTTTAACAATAATCATAATCATAATAGTAAGAAAAGTAAAGTGGGTATAACGGTATAACCATACATAAACAATTTAAACATGTTTAAACATGTTTAAACATGTTTAAACCATACACACACATATATATATATATACATAGTGTACATATATATATAGTTTCAAAATAATTTAGGGTCGTGTACCATCCATGATCAAGCAAGCATGCCATATCAAAGCAATGGCAGTGAAACATGTCATTATTCAACCGAATTTGGCCTGGTGAAATGCACAAATGAATGCCCTTGTTCCTTTTAGTCAAACAGCTTAATGACACCACACAGGCTGCAACAGTCATTGCGCGTTGATAAATACTGTAAATACAAATTGTATAGCGTTTTGCGCCCGCAAACGCACTGCGAACCATTCCACACTGCGAACCATTTCAAAGATTGCTGGTGGCTCTTTCAACTGCCTTCATCCGAGAAAACAAAATGGAGTCCTGTCCATCCATCCCAAAGAAAGATGCGACCTTTTGCAGTTCTTTCGCATCTCTCTCCGCGCTACTGTCCTGCATGGCTGGTGCGGGCATTGTCGCCAGGGCTGGAACATGTTACTCGGGTTCATCAGCTTTGGACACTGGGCAGGTGCATGAACCTGCCGCAAAGAAATCTACCCCACTGGGATCCCCAAAATCATATTCCACCCCCTACTAGTTACAACCAAGGGATAGGAATTAACTACCCTTGCCCAAAAATGAAGCTACGGGCAAATATCACCCGAACTATGCCACATGGTTCTATCTTGGTCATATATACCACTGCTCCACTGCTCCTCCAAAGGAATGCCGCGCGATTCAAACTCCTTGGAAAAGTCAATCTTTAGCAGCTTGGTGCCGTTTTTGTGGCGCTTGGGAGAGCTCATCATGGTGCAGATCGGCGGATCTTTGGTCCAAAATGTCCAAAATTCCCCAGGTGATGGTCTACCCCTCCATGTTTTCACTTCTGCTGTTTGCATCCAAAATGATTGATTCATGTTGGTTCCCTGACCGTAGAAATGCTGGAAGCACTCCGACTCCGCCCTCCTATTTTTTCTGGAGGTTGTTAAGTTGATGTTAAGCATGAAAGTTGACTAAGCTACTCAAAAGCAAGAGCCAAAATATGCTGCACATCTCGGGCTTGATCTGGTCGGAGGTCCCATCACTGGTTCTATCCCAACTCTTGTTGGCTCTAAGTGGCTGTATCTTCATTTTCAGTAATTCAACATCCCTATTTCTTAGCAGGGTTATGTTAGTTGCTGGGGTGGTAGAATTCTGGGGAAACTAGTATCATTCCCTACTATCATTCCCTACATCAGAACAATTTGCCCATTTCCAGCTCAGCCCTCGAATCCAAGCCATCATTCTTGGGAGAGTGAGGTCCAACAGAGACCTCATCAGGCAGTTGGGTATTTCAACGGATTAATTTGTTTAGGGGAACCTTTACAGAAACCATGAAGGTACGTTCCTGCATTTTTTTCCTAGACCCACTCCCGCCCATGTGAGTTGTTCATAGTTTTGACACATACCCCCCTTCGATTCAAACTACTTGACATATAAAATCCATACGCAGTCAAATTTATGGACAAGTGAATTCCAATAAATCACTCAATGGATTGGTTTAAGGGAACAATTACAGGAAAACCCTATATTTCATGGTAAAATCGATGGTTTCCAGTTAAGATGTTCCCTTAAACCAGTCCATTGAATCACATACTTTGTGACTATCCTTGGATCCGTCCATTGTGGCACCGTGGTCGCGCCGCGCCTAAGTTCCTGCAAGCACCGCCAAAGACGTAGATGGAAGGCATCGCCTCACTTTCGGACCAGCTGAGAAGCTGAGCAGCATGCTCAACAAGTAAATATAGTGCATATAGTGTGTATATATATATATAGTGCGTATGTATGTAGTGTATATGTATATATGACACGTGTATATATATATATATACATATATATATATGTATATATATATATATACATCTGTGTGTGTGCCAGAATTAAGTATAGCAACCCCCTAAAAAAAATAGCAATGTGATGCAACGTGTTTGCAGGATGGTATGGAGGATATTGTACAGGTAATTTCCAGGGTTTTCAACTTTTGTTTCTTCTATCTTCTCGCGGGTTGCTACTACATACTGGTTAGTGGTTTCAAACCCCATGTCACAAATTAGTCAATTTGGATCATCATCCCACATATCACATATGAGGGAACATAACAATGTTTGAAACCACCATTTCTCCCATGTCGGTTTCGCGCTGCATTCGAGTTTGAAACCACCAGCCAGATTCAGTACAGTAATTATAACTATATTGCATACATATATATTAATATACTAATAATAATAAATAATAATAACAATAAAAACAATAATAACAATAATAATATTAACACACATATATATATATACATAATTATTAGATTATATAGTTTATGATAGTGACTCATGTTATGTCTATTTCTGCAGAAGCCCTTTGCGCCGATCGTGCTTACACAAATCCAGTGAGGTCGAGAATTGCTTCTGTCCAAGGCCCCACTGCAGCTCAGTCTTGATGAAACATGGTGACTGCCCAGATCCGCAATACATTCAAAACAGCCTTTCAAACAATGGATTGGTTTAAGGGAAAATCTACAGGAAACCATAGAAAACCCACAGGAAACCATAGATTGTCCCATTAAATATAAGGTTTTCCTATGTTTTCCTGTATTTTTTTGCCTTAAACCAATCCATTGGTTCAAAGACCTTCAGTCTTGCCTTCAGTCTTGCCAGGACTTCTCTGGCAGACCTTTCCCCTGCCAGCCCCGTCCTGGCCCGTCCCAGTGGCACTGGCGTAAAGTACAGGCATTGAAGATCTCAGCTCCTGTCGCGCCCAGCATGTTAAACAGGAGACAAAGGGATCAGCGAAGATGGAAATCTAGGGCCTAGGTACAAAGATCAACACCTACAAATTTGACGGATACAGTATTTCCATTGTTGGGCTCTGGTGGGTCATGGTACACTGAATTAATCATTGTCAACCAAACTCTTGTTGAATAATCTTTGCTCTTTTATTCTCAACCACAGGTGCTATGGCTCATTCTCTCCCAAAAGCATTTCCTGGTGGAAGGATTGGAAAACAAAATTTAGTAGCAAGAAAAACGATCCCAACCTCTGCTGGTAGTTGCTGGCTCCGGTCCCACAAATATCAGGCACTGGGATAATCATCATCCAGCAAAACACATGGAGAAACACATAAAAAATACGAGTACTGTAAATAAATTAAACCACAGCCACAAACCAGTCTGTGTTCTTTTTTTGTGAGGAATGGGCGGAATGGGTCCAAATCGATTCTTAAAATGATCACTCCTCCCCAAACAGCCCAGTTTTAACCAAAAAAAACAAAATGAAACAAATCCCGTATGGAGCATTTTAGCCATACGTAGGCTTCAATACCAAGTCATGGCCTAATGACTTGGATGATTTGGGGTATATACCCCCATGACACAGAAAACTTCCATATGAATATGTGGGTCAATTGGTGCCCCAATCACCAGAGCCCCATGCCCAGCTCCCCCGGTTTGAAAACCGCCTTCCCTAAAGCTTTTCGCGCAGCGCGGCAGGCGCGCGCAGTAGGAAGGCCGGCTGCAGCGACTAAGATCATCAGAAGCTGGGGGTCCTACCAAGCTGGGAGAGCTGAGCGATGATGAAAACATGATGTGCTTTGAAGATGTTTATGGAGAGGGAACATGTTTCAGGAGGTGAAAAAAAGAAAATCATTCAGGGTGGTGCCCCCTGTTAGCTAAGTTGGTGCAAATAAGTCCAATCACTAGGTTTTATGGTGGTTATATCTAGTGAATGGAGACTTATAAACCCACTTAGAACATCTGATAACTTGGGGGTACAACCCTATAACCCTGTTGTTATAACTTATAATCATGGCCTCGGAGGTTTTGATATTTTGGTTCCCTCAACTAATTGGAGGATGTGGTTAGTAAGCTTGGATGTGAAGTTCCTTTGGGATTATCGCGCGCCCGGGAGCCGGTTATAACCCCATGAATTAGATTACGCTTCGCCGACAATCTCCAGATGTTCAACTGTTCTATTTGTTCGGGGGTTTTGCCGTAACCAGAAGTTTTGCCGTCTCGCTACCGGTGCGGAGAATATTTGAAGCACTGGGGAAGTGAGGAGCTAAACTAGCTAAACCCTCAGGAATGTTGATGGAATGTGGCGACTCTCTTCACTTTGGGGTATTTTTCAAACAAGTGGAACCATTGCAGACTGCAGAATTTATTCAATGGAATATCTAATGAGACCCCAACAACATTTGGACAGTAAAACCATGGTTTCAAACGCATCCTGTCTTTCACCAAATTCAGTGAACACTTTAAGCATGGCTTTGATGGTAACCAAAACAAATGGTGCGGATACCAGATCCCCAACGATTTTTTTTAGTCGTCAAAGCTCACGGGATGCAATCAAATTTAAGAATAGATACCCTCCGGTGTCAGACATGACAATGGAACATCCACAATTTATATAGTTAAATTTCTTTGCCACTTATGTCAATGACCATTGATTGATAATTCCAATTGCCATGTTTGATGACATCAGAGGGTATTCCTCTTGTGGTTGGCTATATGCCCGATAAATAGTGTATAGTGCATTTATATCACAGTACACATCCCCATAAGCTGATTGATAATTCTAGAACATGCCAAATAAACCCTCTGGTGAACAGTGAAAACCACAGGAAATCATCGAAGTACAGGGACCATGGCTTCCATAGAAAATTGTTAGTTGATTGGAGATTTAAACTCTTTATATGTGGTTTACCCGAAACGGCTAAAAAACCATTGGTTTTCCCATGAATAATCACCGATTTTAGATGATAACTTAGTCCCATTTTAGGAAACCTTCAAATAAACATTGTAAACTATGCCATCTATTTTGCACCAAAACTATCAGCGCTTCCCCGGCACAGTCCTGCAAAACAGAGTCCATTGCAGGTGTTGCCAGCGGAAATGGGCAACATCGTACCTGCCATTCAAGGATTTGTTAGGGGCTGAACTTGAATGAGAAAACCAACCAAAAACTGAAAAAACATGGAAAACATGCTCTGAAGGAAAAAAATGGTCTGAAACAAATGGGACGACCACATGAACAAACAACCTAATGTTCAACATGATATGGTCTAATATTGTCTAATCATCAATGAACGACGCCATTTACAGGCCATCCTCGGTTCTCAGGCACGCCCATCTGGTACACCAATGGTACACCACTAGAACTACACCAAGATGCAGCAAGAAACTCTCAAGGCTAAAGGCTGCCTTTCTATGTGACTGTCACACTTGGGGATGAAGAAAAATCTGGCTGAATTAATTACTAGCTACCCTCGGGTAATCAAACATAGCAATTGGACTTTCCCCAATTTATAGGATGATTTTACCATTCACATCCATTCACATCCATTCACACCTCCATGATTATCCTCCATTTGTAAAGGATCGTCCATGGCCATCTTTGATTATTGGGCCATGGGGATGAAGTCCGCCATGGTCCGCCTGAGGGCCAATCTCATCTTGCTCTAAACCTGGTCGCTGGATGGTCCCCAAGGGGAAGCCTAAGGATATCATTCATGATAGCTTTAATTTAGAGGCCTTAGGGGCCTTAAAAACAAAAAAACAGGTCCCATTGAAACAATGTCAGGATAGGCTTCGAGGCTTCTCTGTGATTGCCCTGGCTTGGCTTGCCTATCTTGCCTCTTCCACTCAAGAAGCATAACCGCATTGAATGTCACACCACCCCATCACAGTTGCACCATCCCATCTATGTTCCTCATGACATCTGATAGGCGTCACATCCTCAACATCCTCAACATCCTCATCTGCTTGGTGCTTTAAATGTCACCAAGGAAAATCTGAAATATGACTGACTGACTGAACATAGAAGAGAATTTGAAAGCAGCAACGAATCATTGAAGCTTGTAATTTGCTACCTCTTCAAATCTATTCACGTCCCTGAGGTCCTACCCTCCAGTTGTCCCTAACCCAAAAAATGAGGTAGAGACTCGGAGAGACTCCCTGCCCAAGAAAACAACTCCAATAACTTACTTGCACCCTCCCCTTGGAGCAAGCGGGGTTGTCCAAAAATACGCCGTATCCAATTCCATCCACTGGTTTCTCCATATATTTGTCGAAATGTTGAAATGCCACCAACCAATCACTTACATGTTTAGACTTCCCCCATCTTCCCCTTGAAACACGCCATAAATGTCAACAAAAACACCCTGCACCAGTCGTGTCGAGGAGCTCGCCAATTTTTTGGAGAGTTCATACCTTCCCGGCCAAAAGTCCACCCAGGACATGACTGGAGCCGACCGCCGTTCTTCGGGCCCGGCACGGGACGGGCCGAGAAGAACTCCGCGACACTCTGAGCCAAAGGTGGGGATATGATGAGGTCATGCCGCAGCTCAAGTTGGTTCTGCCATTCTTGTTTTAATGCCAAAAACATCCAAAAACAAGTCAAAGTGGAGAAAACGATAATAAAACACCCATTTGGGAATGGCTCACACCACCTCTTTATGATGATTTGGGGGATGGTTTATATTATTGTGTTACCCCTATTAAACGCAGATTTCATGAAACTGAGATTGCAAGTTTCAACTCCTCTATTTTTTTTTTACAACCCGCACAAGTTTCTGCGCGTGAGACCGCTACCCCCCCCGTGTTGGGGGGAGTCGGCTGGGGGAAGGGGGATCGGTGTAGCGGATTTCCGCCACCAGATCGTGAAACGAGGGCGGGGGCCCATCGACGGTGTCGAGGGCGGGGAGAAGGGGATCGAGGAACGACGCCGCGAAGGCGCGCTGGGTGGCGATGGTTTATATTATTGTGTTACCCCTATCAAACAGATTTCATGAAATTGAGATTGCAAGTTTCAACTCCTCTATTTTGGTTTCCACGACGGTGGCTTTCTTAATTCAACCTCGGACTGCACCAGTCCGTTGCTGGATCTTTTGAACCGCAGGCGCGAGCCCTGCGCAGCTCAGAGTTTCAAGGAGCTGTTCTCAGATCGTTGCATCACCTGGGGACCAAAGAGTAGATCGTTGTCACCAGTCGTGCAAGGTGCAATTCGCCCATCTCCTTTGAAAAATACAAAGTTATTCCACAAAGATGAAGAACCAAATATGATGGTTGATTTCTTGGTATATTAAGGTATATTATATATATAACAATATTCCCAATTTCCCAAGTCATCAGGGTATATATTGCTTTATTATATTATATATCTTGCTATATTATATGTTATATATTATATATTATATATCATGGAATATCAAGTCATTCCCAATTTCGACAGGTCCTTCGCCAACCGGCAGGCCCGACAGGCCAAGGCGCTAGATCCAGGACCTCATCATCAATGCCTGGGCTGAAAAATATCTGGGAAACGGCTGACGGCTGATGTTCAAACGCTGTATCTTAATGCAGTGGTATTGTATTGATAAATTTGGATGGAAAGGTGGTATATGTACCACCAGTCACTTGGAGTCTGTATTTCTATATGTATCGATTTCTATCTTTATCTTTTTGGGTTAGTATAAGGGGATCCAACCGCACCCGTTCCTTTTATCATCAGGATCAGCATTCCCGGGTGGAACATATACCCTCCGGTAAAGTAATCAGCTATGGAAAATCAACATGTTTAATAGGTAAATGAACTATAAATGGCAATTTTGAATAGCTATGTTAAATTATGTTAAATTACCAGAGGGTAAATCTCTTGAAACCAAGGGGGGACTGGTTCCCGGAATCTTCTTCCCAACTAGGGATGTGGGAGAAGAGATTCAATTCATATGCATGATATGCAGCACACAATGTCACAAATGGGAAAACTCATAGAACATATACTCTGGATAAATTCTAACGCGCCACTAGCCTGAAATAAAGCCTTTTTTGGGGATGATTTGGCACAGTGAGGTCATGATCATCCAGTTATACATTCCCCCTCTGTCCCTATCTCTGGGTCGCATTCTATCCCCATTAAGGGATATTAAGGCCATCCCATCATAGCACCACCTTGGGCTAAATCCGACCATGGCTCATGCATGCGCCATGAGCCATGCATCGCCCTTCTTTCCGTTCACTGAGAGGATTCGGTCGCCCTTTTGAATGGCTTTCCTCATGTGGATCTGCGAGGATCTGTGCAAGGCCTAGGGGCCTAGATCGATAAATTGGTTTAGGACTCTAGGACTAGATTAACAGCTGTTTCAAATGGATATATATATATATATGTATAATGTGTATGCCTATATTGGTATAGTATAGTATATGCATAGTAATTATATGATATCTTATTATATCATAAATCCAAATACTTGCAGCAGGAAACCTTTGTTTAAGACTGGCCTGTAAAAGTCAGACAATATTCTCATGATGTTCAATGTGTGGAATAGTAGATACACCTCAACTGTGCTGAAGTTGCTGAAGTGACTCAACCTGATGGCCTTGAAGTGCAAAGACAATAAGCTCCCAATCTTCTCTGAAAGCCTCTTGACATGGCAGCATGAGAAGTATATATAAATAATTAATTAATCATAAATATGACATAAACAAATTAAACAGAAGCAAGTGGAACGCGTTGGACTTCTTCATGCTTGAAACCCCTCTCAGTCAAACAACAACCTGCAACATGTCGTATCCCAGCCCCAAGTGCCCAAGTGCTCTGTCCCAGAGGCATCTGGCTGATGGCTTCAACCCATTGTTTTTGGGAACATTTTCAAATATGGGGGTTTCCTAAAATTGGGGCACCCCCAAATCATCAATTTATTTTCATGGATTTTCCATGAAGTAAACCATCCAGCTATTGGGGTACCCCCATTTATGGAAACCTCTATGCTACTGTTTCAAAAAACACATTAAAAAGAATACCCTAGAAACACCGGTAGTGTATTGGATCTATATATATATAGATATATACTATGGGGGCCGATTCCAGGAGATAATTTTTTTTTTGACTTTTGTGGGTTGCCACCACTTTTGATGGCCACCTCTTGAGTCGGGACTCTCTGGATGAGCAGCATTCCAGTCGGCCGTCAGGCCCTTCTCGCACACCAAGTAGACAATCAAGGACTTCCCTTCGAACATGTCCACATCCATTCCTGGGAAGCTGTAAGACAAGATCAACACACAAAATTGGACATCTAATATGAATGTCAAATTTTATGTAGATGATATGACGATATATGAAAATATATGAAGTATTGGGTGATTGAAGTATTGTATGAAGTATTGGATCATCCTTTCCAAGAGTGGATGACCGAACTTGTCAACAGCTGAACGCCTCTGCAAAGTTGATGTGAACCCCCTGGCTTTGGTATTCTCCCTCTATTCATTCTTGGCTCCCTTGTTGGTGGCATTATACTCTATACATCCGTGTTTCGATGATTGCAATATATGAAATCCATATGAAATCCATATGAAATCCCTATATTTGTCATGATCTGCGCCCCTTGAACAACCGAACGAATTTCAGCAGGGTCTCCCAAGGACGATCCAGGGTGCTTTTGGAGCAGCACCGTCCACTGGCTGTTGGACACCCCTTGAACCTTCATGGCTTGCAATGCCGCAGCATCGTGGAGTTCGCGCGGCTCCGTGGATGCCGTGGAGCAGAGTTGACTGCCCATGGCGATCACGGGCAACCAAGAACTGCGACCAAAGTCGCCAAGTGATTCACATGTCGTTCCTGGTGTAGCTCCAATCTTCCATGAACTTTGGGATTTTGAACTTTCCAACTTCCAACAGTGCATCTGAAGCACTCCCGTTTTTTTCTGGGGATGCTGCGCTGACAGCTTCTGATGCTTCAAGGCTGCAAGACGGATAGGCAATGATTCTGATAGGCAGCATTTTTGGACCTATTGTTTTTTAAGAAAACTTTGCATCAGCAAAACTTGCCCAGCCATCCTTGCCATGATGCAACAAGCCCCGATTCGAACTGCTCTGCGGCTTAGGTCCCTGCCATGGTCAACCTTGCCTTGGTGGTTGAGAAAACACCCAAGAAAAACTTGAGTGTCACTGGGGATCACCCTAATATTAGTTGAAACATGCAGAAAACTACAAGAATACCAATTTCAAAGCAGCAGTGGGTACCATTTTAGTGAAATTTCAAAACACAATATTGCAACCTGATGTACATGTTATAGATTTTTTATATCAGGTTATAATGCTTTATGCATCTGATTGCATCTTTATGTCCCGTCTTGTTACTGTCACGAAAAACCGTAGAACACATCACACCATCCGCCCGAACGCCCGAACGCCCGAACGAGGTGCAGCGCAGGCTGCAGGTCAAAGGTGACAGCGCACGCATCGCTGAATGGTTGGTATCTATGTGGGGGTTTCCATGAATGGGAAGGTGCCCCAATAACTGGATGGTCGTTGTTTATAGTTTGGGGATACGCCAATAACTGGATGGTATATGGAACATCTATGGGAAAAAATGGATCATGACTGGGGGCACCCCCATTTTGGGAAAGCTCCATTGCTGTGGGTCAATATGTTCTCCAGGCGACTTAGTGAACGCATCTTGCTGGGACACGCCAAGCTCCACTGGGCCAGTCAGCTGAGGCTCCAATGGTTACATGTTGAATTTGCCACTGACCACAGCATCCTGAACCCGACAGCTGGTTTGAATGTAATTAAAAAAGCGGTGTCTAAAAAAAATCATAAAAATGCACCTTTCAATCATCAGTCCCAGCTAGGAATAGAAACAAGCCCCCCGGGGACATGGCTGAAACGGTAAGGCAGCAAAGGATGTGATGCTGCTGTTTCAGGGGATGCCGTACACGCATTGCAACTCCAGCAGGGGAACTGATGGTTGATGCCACCAAACTCATCCCAAGCATACCACCCCACCGCAACGAAGAAATTCGTAAAATGTAGTGAAAGCTTACTGTATCAGTAGTCTGTGCATATGAGAATGTTTATTCTGTATAGTATGTGTTTGTTTCATATCCATATGTACATATATAATCATATATATATAGATACAATACTATGTATATTAGATTATCTCTATGTCTATCTAATGATACATGTTATGTTATAGCATATTGTATCATGAACAGATGCTACCCTGGGATCACCGGCCCATCCACCCCATCCAACCTCTACCTCGGTCTCCGAAAGAATGCAGCCGGCCAGAGCCTGAAATAAAAGCGGTTTTGATGCTCAGTGGAAGAAATCCCCTCTGGTAAACATACAAAAAACGATGGAAAGATCCACCATGTTTAATGGGAAAATCCACTATTTCGACTGGGCCATGTTCAATAGCTATGTTAGTTTACCAGAGCGTAGCTGCTCTCAGGATTTTTTCACAATCACGTTTGAACCCCCAAAATTATTGCTATTGCTAATAGCACACCCGTCTTTCCATCCCATTTATTTATGGTCCACATCCAGATCAGTTTGTATACAGGGGCCATCATTGCAAATCGGTGTGCCCCTAAATCCGCTGGCTAGTTAATGCTCCATTCATTTCATGTTGCAATTTTGGGGTGTACACCTTTTTGAGACACACCACATATCATCGCATTAGCTGAACATCACCGACGAACAAAAATTATTGGGACTCCAACCGACCACATGTCGGCACCCTCTGCGGGCCACCTCGGTCGGTGCTGGGTGGAAACCCTGATTCCAAGATAGCTTTCCGAAAACATCTCCGGAAAACGTGGAAAAAATGCTTGGACATATAGAACTCTCTGGTTCCATACCAGTTTCCCAAAGGTGTACCATACCTCAATGAAAACCCCCCAGACTGGCAGGGAACAAACACATGGTGCTGGATCAAAACCACTGCAACAAACTGGTTCTGGAAAAGGGATAGGTTTTGACCCATAGATGATGTAAACGTCCCCTTGATGCTGGTGCCCCATATCCTAAAACAAAAACATGGCCTTAAAAAATGCAAACTTACTATAACATATTGTAAGATGTTGGAGAACAAGTTGCGGAAAACGATGGTGTTATCAGACTTTTCCCAACGTGTTCAACCTTTTTCCCATTCTTCTCAACGTTTCAGACCCACCCAGATGGTCTGCCCAGATTTCCCGCCATCCTTAGGCCATCCTGCTCTTTCTGCACCGTCTCGCATGGCCTCAAGGCTGGAAGGTTGAACCTGAACTAGTCCTTGTAGCCATTTGAAGTGTCTAGACACAGCAAAAAAATCCATTGGTTTTAGTGAGTGAACACTGACATCTCCATTTTTTTGGTGCACCGAATCACGATCATGACACACACACACACATGATAAAACATGCCCACAGGTCCAGCAAACACAACCAATAAACAAACGATAAAAAACACATAAATCACAAACAGGTGTCTCTCTATGAAAATGTGGTTTCAGCCCTTGATTGTCCAAAGTTCAAAGAATCCGTCTGCTCTGAGTGCAGGACACTGAAGTCAAAAGAGAAGCAGAGAGCAAAGTCAACCTCAAGCTAGCCATTGTTTGGGCGAAGTCATGGCCAATCTCTAACACCCTGCAAAAATTAGTTGGTGCGTAATAACATCTCTCCCTCTCTCTCTTTCCATCGCCCTCTACATATACACACACACCCTATTTATGGATATGGTTTGTAAAAACCATAAAAGCTATCTATCTTTATCTATATATCTATATAATTCTATATATATATACACATACATACACCCTATTTATGGATACAACATATATAATTCAAAAGACCCATCCAAGGCTTGTCCAAAAAATGGAATGTATGATGGTGTTATACCCTGTATGCCGCACGCTCCAAATCATGGCTACCATGCCTCGGAATCCAACACTACGTATGTAGGCTTCCGTGTTTCCAGGATGTATTGAACATATAGATGACTTCAGGGACAACTTATGACAACTTAAGCGGTTTGCGGACACTGCCAGCATTGTTTCTATGAATTCTGGTTGAGAACGGGGTTGGACACCATTCCTCATACAGCATCCTTTGCAAACACATAATCTAAGATGCTTGAATCATCTGCCATCAAATACCCATAAATTACATGATTTCATAAATTCATACACATGCCGTATAATGTACAATTTCAGATGGCAAAACCACCTATTTTTGGTCCGATGGGCTAATATGTTGGTACTCGGATGGGCTTACTGAGCTTTTCAACTCGAACCTCCAGCACTGTGCATCCTCCACATGGCTGAAACCACCATATGAATGGGGAAACAAACGTTTCCCGGGCGCTGGATTGCCTGTTGAAAAACCTGAAGTCCATAAAGGCACTACTATGTACATTACCTTACATTACATTAGATACATATATTAGATACATATTACACCATATTACATTAAAAATACTTACCTTACATTATGCTACACTACCCTACACTGGACTGCGCTACACTACCCTACCCTATTCTACGTTACGTTACGTTACATTGGATTCACACACATGCATTACCCTACATTAGGCTAGATTACGTTACATCACATATATTCAGATATATCATTCACATATCATTCATATCATTCATACATCATTCATATATAATTCATATATACACCTAACATAGTTATATGATGTTCTATGCTGACGCGGTATTTTCGTTCCATACGCCACGTCTGACAGTCGCTGGGTCACCGCGACTCCCAAAGATGCCGACAGTCGGAACCGTCGCCGTTTTTCCTGATCGCCTCGAGGGACGCGACAAGAAATCATCACCAATACTGTCCACAAGGTGGTACTGTCAATGGATTGGTTTAAGGGAAAATCTTAACCGGAAACCATAGATTTTCCCATGAAATATGGGGTTTTCCTGTAAATTTTCCCTTAAACCAATCCATTGATACTGGTAAACATACAAAAAAACTATGGAAAATCGCCATGCTATTTATTAATTGGTAAATCAACGAACTAAATGATAATTTGTAAAAATAGCTATGTTATCCCGAGGCCCTTGGACCCCCCGGGACCTCAAAAATGTAACTTACATTTCGGGAAGCCAGACGTCCCACAAAACACTAATATCCCAAAAATCATTATATTTTAGTTATCAGATTCAAATCAGGAATGCAAAACCTAAAAATGTAATATTACATTTTCAGGTTTATATTATTGATATAAATTAAATTAAACCAATCAAATCAACAAATAAAACCTCAAAAATGTAACTGACAATTGTGAGGTTTTATATGCTATCAGCTATCGAAACCCAAAAAAATGTAAGATACAATTGTGAGGTTTTATTTTCTGAATTTGTTGATATAACATGATATAACTAACATTAACTAACTAAATTAGAAGGTTTAGAAGGTTTACGCCAAAACCATCCGAAATCAAAACAGCAGCGGCTGTGCTCATGGGGTTCATTTGTGTAGATGGAAGGGGGGGTGAAAAATATAAAATTGCTACTTGGGTTCCCAAACTAAAATCTTACATTTTCCACCTTGCCCCCCTCCCCCTTGAAATTGACTTAATCTATTGCAATCTTTACCCTGGAAACATAGCCTTGGGGGGAGGGTGACTTGAAAATGTTAAATTCTCATCTGGGTAGGGCAAAATGAAATTTTATATTTTCAAGACCTCCCCCCAGACCCTTCATATTGGGGCGTCAACTGGAATTCTGTTATTGTAAGTTACCTTTTTGACGTCCCCCGGGGTGAAACAAGGCTTAAGGCTGTAGGGATGCTATGTTAAATTACCAGAGGGTACAGTATCCCCCTATAGTTATAAGTTGGTTTATGATCCCCGTGAAAACTATAGATATATCACCAACAAAAACCATAATTATTGGAGTTATAAACCAAGTTAGCTATCTTGGGGGCACCACCTTGCAGATCTATCCAGTAATCAAACACGGCTGGAGGAAATCCCCATATAAATGGAGGTTTTCATGGGAAAACCATCTATAATCGGGGATTGTCCATTGCCATGTGTTCTTGCTGGAGGGTGAACCATGCTAAATACCCCGATCACATTCGGGTCTTGAAATGAATATCCCAATTGTGGATTATGACGTGTGCTTCCTCTTTGAAAACAAACCAGACCAACAGGGCTATATTTACTGGCTCATGCCATCCCTTCCCCCAATATTACAAAAATAATGTCCCCGACACAGCCCACAAAATAAATGAACAAACCCAATACAAAAAACATTGTTTCTAGGGAGGTATTCCATATCTAGGGAAAGGGGCATGAATGTCACGAAAGTACATATGTCAAGTTGACAATTTCATCTTATCCTCACATGAATGCTACAAAATGGTTTAACCAACAGTGATAGGGATCAGTGGCAAAATCCCATGTATGCGGTCACAGCCTTGGCGGCTCCAACCGGTGGAGGAAAGCATGCTGAACAATCATGAAACATCTGGGAGCATCAGGGATGTCCAATGTCAAAATGTCACCATCAAAACTCATCAAAAATCTATACACATCCAAAGCGCATGTACGATGGAGGGCTTGAAAACGGACTATGCTAAGTGCCATTCATCTTTCCCCTTAGTGAAATGACATAGACATCACAATCCACCTTTTTGTTATCCACCTCTTGTAGTAGTTTGATGTAGTTCGATGTCATTTGTGGATCAATTCCTCTGGAATTCCTCTGGATCTCCCACATCTGTTTCAGCTTATTTCAGTTTATCTGAGGGTAATTATTACAATTTCATACAAATTCAATGGGCCTGGAAAAGTCCTGCCGCAACATCAAACATCAACTTTCGTGTTTAAACATCTTTTGCGGTGCTCCCAGCGTGAAAGAAGCACATCTTCATTTGAATTGATCTACCTCTCGGGGAAAGAACAATGAACAACAACTTCAATTGAGTTGGTAACGAGCCATGTGCACAAAAAGTCATTGTATTAAAGGCACCACAAACCAGATGTTTTAAAACTATCCAAAAGGACCCGATGATAATATTTATATTTGCAACAGCTACAACATATGTAGCCATGAACCCAGTGGCATCCTGCAGTGATTTCGCACGATCTAGACAGTCGAGTTTCGCTGCTCTGAGTCACGGAGGGGTCACAGAAATGTCACGTGTGGATTTCGCAAACTGGACCCACTTGAACTGCATCGAACAGAAGAAACAAGGGACTAGACTATGTGCTTGTATGATGTGTTGATGAAGCTTTTCCCTGCCCGTTTTTGCTGACCACCAAAAACACGGTGCCCAACTTGCCCAACTCCAGTTCCAGTGGTTGACCGGGGTTCCAAATCACAATTGCACCAGGAATGGCAGGTCATAGATTTCCAAACAAAGCAACAATTTTGAGGGGCATTTCTCGAATCATCGATCTGTTCGAAATTAAACATTTTTGTGTCAGCTCTTTTCACTGGCGGAAGAATGAATCTAATCGGAAAGCTGAGTGACTCCCATGTCACGCAGGCAAAAGCAACATCACACACATATATATATAACATTATAAAACAAACAAGGGGCAATAAACACAACCATGATTTCACTCAAATCATCCAAAATCCAAAACACTTTGATTCATTCAGTCATTTTGGATTGGAACTGACTCTTGAAACCGCCTCCCATATATTGGGGCCTGGGAGGGAAGGCTGCGTTCAAACCTCGTCCAACAAAAATAGTGGGGAACAGGTGCCCCATAGAAACTGTGCTTGCCACTTGCCGCTTTTCCAACGGCGCATCCAATCACATGCATTGAAACAAATAAACACATTGAATTCCAAAGCCGGGGTTTGATTTGCTGGCAGGCGATTGACCGCGCACCGCCATATGAGTCAATCTAAATCTGGTTTGGTGGCATCAAGCCAACACAAACAAATTGAAGAAATGAAACCACTGATATTTGAATAGCGATTTCCATCAGAGGCAATTAAATTGTAGTTTCCCATGCCAATCACGCCCCAGCACTACTGGACAAATCACTGCAGGGCCGCAAAAACCAGTTGGGTGATGGGGGAAGCACGGGTCGCAATGGTGCTGCCATATACCAAGTTCCCGTATTGCCTCAAAGGTGCATGTGTGTGATGTGTTAAATTTGGCAGCGCAAGGATTTCAAAACAAAAAAAACACCGCCCCAACAAAAATATGTTCAAAAGCAACTTGTTTGGTATTTCACCTGTTCAAAATCTTAGCCGCGTACATCCTTCTTATCCTTCTTTCGAATGATAAGTATAGTTACAACGAGGCTGTTTTCCCAGGAATTTTGGGCGTGGCAAATCAGGTCAGGCAGTGGCAAAATCAGGTCCTTAGGTAAAATGGGGTCACACAATCTGTCAAACATGATATCGTGAGGATTTTAGAGATTCAGGTATGTGTCAAGTGGGCCACAGCAACCGCAAGTTCATCGGGAAAGTATCAGGATATAATGGGATAAATATATATATATATATTATACAGTAAGATATAGTAAGGATATTTTACCCCGCCCTTCATGGCAAGAGAACAACATATCAAAATCATAACTGGCTTAAGCTACCTGTAATCCCTTCCTCCTATTACTAAACCCCGCCCAAATACTAAAAACTAGTGTCCATCTCAAATTTTTGAAAATTCCAGATTGTCCAATTTGACTTTTAATTGATCACCTTTAGAAACAATTTAAAAATCAACCTACCATTTGTGGGTTTCCCCCCCCTAATACTAAAAACTAGTCAACCCTGGGGTGTTTATTATTAGGGTCCGTCCGATTTTTTTGAGTTTTTTATATTAAGGTTTTTAATTTAGTATTAGGGGGAAGCTTCGAAATCTAATTTTTGGCAATATTTTAATTGCGTTATATAAAGAAATTTAATTGATTTTGAGATCGGAAAAACTAGTTTTTATTATTATATAAGGGCTTAATTTTACTAATAGGGTTCCCTAATAATAAATACCTCCCTAATACTAAAAACTACCTGCCGTGTTTAGTAGTGGGGGGGGGCGGCGTTTAGTATTAGGAGGAAGGGATTACTGTACCTACCCTACCCTTCAGCAAGCTTTACCCAGGGGCCGAGCTGCAAGCTTCCTCCCACCAGGTTTCGCAATCCTGAACAATGGACGCAAAGGCATTGAAGCTTCCAGATGGCAACCTCAATGACAAAGCGTGGTTTCCGCTGCAAAAAGGATGAAACAGGCAGGAAAGAAAAGAAGATGACAAAAGTTCTTGCATTCATGTTTGTCATGTTGTCCACAGAAATCTGCACAGCTGCTGTGTTTAGGTACTTCCATAGGTAATGACAAAACACCAACATCAATGGTATAGAATCCAATCCCAAATTGAGTTTGAAGAACTATATAGCGCCCCAGGTGTGGCCAAGGGAGGGTTGGTGGTTCCGCGGTTCCGCTTGGATCTGGAAAAGCTGCCGGAAAAAATGCACGAAACTCTTGCGAGAGCTCGGTTTTGCTCAAAAATGTGCTTCTCACTGCAGTCCCGGGCAAAACATGTCCACGAGAGTGTTGCGAGAGCACAATTAGCCAAAAAACGGCGAGAAACAAACGGTCTCAGACCAGTGAAGAAGTAGCTTAGATTTCAGCCAGTCAGACATGCCGGCATCCATTCCCTCGTTCTGGTGTTCATTCAATGGTTTCATGTCATTTCGTTCCGTTTCCTTTCATTTTGTTTCATGTTGTAACTTCATTCATGTCATTTCACGTCAGGGCAATTCTCTGATTTTTGTTGTTTCATGTCATTTCTTTTTTTGTATTCAGTTCATTTCGTTCATTTCAATTCATTACTTTTGTTTCAACCATGTCATTTCATTCATGCATTTCACTTTGTTTCATGTCATGTCTTTCGTGTCATGTCATTCAATTTGCTGCATTCCCTTCATTTACTTCAAATCATTTCATTCATGCCATGCCGTGCTTTTAGTCTCACATATGTCCGATATTGGTTTCATCATGTTCCATCTCATTCATTTCAGTTCATTCCATTCATTTCACGCATATCATTTCCTTTCATTCCATTTCATCTCATCTCTCCTCATTTTGGTCATTTATTGGATGTCATCTCATCTCAGTCGGTCATTTCATTTCACCCTGTTTCGTTTCGTTTCACTCCAATTTCTTGTCGGTTTGTTTCGTTTCCTTTCATGTCCATTCGTGTGTTTCATTTGTTTCACATCTTTCTTAGTCGTTTCATTCCTTCAGTCGTTCCATTCGTTTCATTTGCTTACTCTGTTTCATTTGGTTCCTTCATTACATTCATTCGTACTTTGATTCTTTCAGTTAATTTAGTTTGCTTTCATGTCGTTTCATTGGCACCTCAAGGACAATTTTTTTGCTGCACCTCACAGCAACCTTTCATAGTTTCATATGGGGATGGGTCAAAACCTTGTACCCCTGGTGAACATCAAAATAGCTGGTAAATGGATGTTCATCCCACTAAAAATGTATCTATAGGTATTGACCCATACCCATATAGTTTCCACATTTCACACACATTTCTGTGGGCCACTCTAGGCCATTGATATCCATTGATTGCCCTCTTTTGAAACTTCCCCCTCGGCAGGGTCGGACACTAGTGCTTCACAGCATTGTCATGGTATGGTTCCCACGTCTGAAGCCAAATGAAATAAATCCATCACTTGATGTCAGTAAAGCAATAGTAAACCACCCATAGTTCGACAGTTTATAGCATCCATTTATGGTAAATTTGGGGATGGTGGATCCTATTGCGCAATGCCAACATTGATGCTACCCTATGGTTATTTAACATAGCAATGGAAAATGGCCCGTTCAGAGATGATACAACATATGACTTACCTGTTAAACATGAGTGATGTTGCAATCGCAAACCGTAAAACAACCAGAAGGTAATCATATCACCCCAAAAATTGGGGATGGCGGATCCTATTGCGCAATACCAACAGTATTTCATGACCTAGAAGATCCCAAAAAAACATCTATATACAAACCATGACATTTCCTGCTTGTCACCGAGTGGAGACTGACCCACATCCCGCCGATGCGCCGTTCTTTCTGTCGCCGTGGAGCATGTGTCGATGACATGGGCCATGCTCGAAGTCAACTGAGGTGCGAACCACAAAAGGAGGTCTCACCTGGCAGCGGTTCAAACCATGGGACAAATGGTGGTTTAACATGATTTGTCCAAGAAAAAATGAGATTTATGGATGGAGTAGTTAGCTAAGTTGGTGCAAATAACTCCAATTTCACGATGGTTTATGGTAGATATCTATACTTACTATGGTTTATAAAGCAACTTATAAATGGGCGTACCACCTTGTGGAAACTTGTGGGATTATTTTTTTTTTTATCGTCAATGGGGTGTCATAACTGGGGTTACATATAGTCATAACTGACTATTATAGTGGGTTACATGTAGTCATTTGGGTTGTGAACATTTCATAAATGGAATTGTAGTCATAACTGACTTATAGCTGGCAAAAGGGCCATAATTGAAGGTGGGGAAAACCAGGTTTGATGATGAAACAAACCATTGTTTCCTGTAGACTCTAGACCTTCACGTCATTCCAATGATCTATTTCGGAGATCTAGCCATTTTAGCAAGAAATAGTCGGGTAATATACAAATTGTGCAGTTTGCCATAAATCTCATCATTGGATATCATTGGTTGTGAAGCATGGGGGGTGGCCTTTCTATATTGATCAACCATCAAGGTTTTCTTCAACGTGTTTCTCCAACTTACCATATGATCCGCAGGACCACACTGGTGAGCTAATTACAGAAAGTTAATCAATTCCGCAGGGAATGGGAGGGATAAGTGATTTGCTTTCCACACTAACCGCTTTACATCTATGTCCCACCGGGCCCTTCGCAATGCGCAAACCGCTGGGTCACGTGAAGGTGCAGCTTGGCGATGCGGCTTTCCCATCTGCGCTCACCCACGAAGACCAGCAAGGGAGAGGAACAGTTGTGATTCTGTGCGCTGAGAAGTTCCTGGCAATGCACTTCCGCGGGCTTTATGTGTTTCCCGAAACATCAATGCATCGGAAAGGTCTCTTTTCAAACTCTGACTGGCCAGTTGTGTTCAATGAGATTTCGAGAATTGGATGAAGGAAGGGACCATTGGAAAAAAAATGCCACGGTGTTTACCCGCTGGTAATTTAACATAGCTATTGAACATGTACCATTTATATATATAGTTGATTCACCTATTCAAAATGGTGATTTTCAATAGCTATGTCTATGTTAGTTTACCAGAGGGTAATAATGGCAACATCCACGGTTTCCTGCGGAGTTCCCCGGACGTCATCTCATTACACAGGCTGATAGACTGATGGGGCTTGGTTCCCATGTCACGTGCCAAAAAACATAAAATGAATCCCATATAATCCCACATCATAGTTAAAATGATATCTATCTTCTCTTACTGTGTATATATAATATATATATGTGCTATTATCTGCTATTATTGTTGTTTCGAGTGATCCCCATCGTGGCAGCCATATATTCTGACATTTAATTATACGACGCAAAAATCTGAAATTTCATCTGGCATCTCTTCTGACATTTTCAATTGCATTTCATCTGGCATTCTATCTGACCTTTTAAATGGCATTCTTTCTGGCATTTGATCATGGCTCACAGTTTATCTGAAATTCCATTTGGCGCTCTATGTGACATTTATGTGGCAATTTGCGTGGCATTTTATGTGGCATTCTATCCATTACACCTTTGTGGCATTCTATCCGACGTGTCTTATCGCATTCTATCTGGCGTTTTATATGCTATTCAATTTGGCATTCTGGCACTCTATCTATGAGATGCCCGGCGATCCGAGCTGTTAGAATCTAGCTTCACCTGGCAGGGGAACAATCCAACCTTGACAATTGTTTGCTTTTTTTTTTGGAAACCCAACGTTTTGCTGGTCAACCAGTTGATCTCTACAGCTATGCCTTTTGCTCCTGATCTTTAAAGTCATTGGCTCGGATCATACTCTTAATGCTTACAGTAAAATAACAGTAGACGTCAACTCTAGATTGATGAACCCTGGCTGACTAGCTGGAGGGACATCTCAGTAGTGATACTCATGCCTAAACTGAAAACCACTAATTACACAAGTACAAACCACCCAGGGATCTCCTGCCATTCATCCTTGATGCGATCCATTACTAAACTAACCTGACTTTAAATGGCCCATAGGCCCATAGACATGGAAAATTCCCCATGGACCATGATCCGAGCACCTTGGTCAGGTCTTCAAGGCGTTCCACTTCCTTGGTCGAACTTTGGACCGGCAAAAGCTTGGGTAGAATTCCCGAATGGTTTTTGGGTTTGCCAGCATGTTTCAGAAGAATCACCTTCCAATAGTAGGAGTGGTCCTTGAATAGGAAACTTGTCAAATCGGCCGATCTTGGGAAAATCATTTGAGAAAGACAAGGAGGCTCAAGAAAGAATCAGCAATACCGCCTAGACAAATAATTCCGGAATTTCCCTACAACATGCACAAGGTTCATCTTCAGCAAACAACAGAATCAATACTGGAAGAAAACCAGCCAAGCACATCAAATAAATTAACCACTCAGTTTCGCCAGACAATCATCTTAAACCATCCAATCAGCAAAACATATCCAGCAAGAAAGACCAAGGCTCCTATGAACATCCACACTAAAATTTGGCCAAGCGCAATGGCAAACGCAATGGCAAACCGCACCATATGTTTCTGCACCCAATTGACCACTTTGGGAAGAGCAAGGAACATCTTTAGACAATTCCTAGCATTTGTTCTACGACAGTATTCGGTAGGGGGCACAACGCGTTAGCCCCATGTTCTTGGTTAAATCCCGGTTTTGGAGGATGGATATCTAGACCACATTGCGGGCGGCTTATTATTGTGGGTCACACATCATATCTTCATGGCATTTTGTGGCTGGCATATTCCCGCAAAATTTCTATACTCCAAAAAGAAAACATGCCACCATTTTAAGAAAATACTCTGAATCTGTTCCAACATTGCCACTATTCGTAGATATCCAATAACGAAAAAAATACTAAAACATGCACGTGATTGGATTTACCATGGAGCTTGCCAACTTGAAGCGAACCCCACTTACATCCATTGTAAATCGGTCAAACGCGCACTGCTAGTGGGAAAGGGGAAACCTTCTTAGAAGGGAACCAACCAGATGCCTGAAAAGAGAGGGGTATGCATTTCTGGTTGATAAATTACCAGTAGAACCATTAACTTCTCCATTTCAACAGGCTCATTGCTATGACCGATGGCATTCCCAAAACTCTTGATTTTAAACCATCCAAAAGATAACAACATGTGAATTTCAACCAAAAACGTTGCAAGCAAACATGGCTGCATGATCCCTATGTATAGATGACTTTCCCATTTAAATGCCAACTCATAGGTGATTTACCAGATAGCCATCTGTGACTAAGGGAAGGTATTGTGGCTGGTTACAGTATATCTCCCGTAAATATGCCATATCCCAATATCCCCGTGACCTCATACTCCAGTAAATATACGTAAATATCCTAACATTCCGGAAACACATTCCATTCAATTTCCCTCCACCAATGGGCCCCATGGGGTTTTCACCCAAGCGATGCCACGTTTCTGAGACGACTTTGCATCCCAACTTCTCTGCATGTCGCAGGAACACGCAGCGCGTGGACGCATCCACCGCCGCAACTAGCAGCTCGGCAGCACAGCGGCGGACAGCCACAGTGGCAGGGCGGATCTTCCTTTGAGGTGAGAAAAATGGCAGGAAAGATTGATAGAACCGACCTGGACCTTCAAAAGTACCAAACAAATTCCAAATGTACAAATATCATGGAACGTTTGAAGGTTCAGGAACATTAATTCGCCAATTGTTCATCAAGATTGATGTATATAATTCACCCATGTTCAGCATTTTGTTCCGGATATACACGTATACTTTATGGATATAGATGTGCATGATGGGGAATATAGCTTGGAACCAACTTGCGGGTGCAGTTCTTTTTTCTCTCCTGGGTATATATAACCAAAGTAATAAGCCCACGAAGTTGGGATATCAGATTATCAAATCCATATAACTATGGTTATATAATATTTTATAATAGTATTATCAAATAATACAATAGTTATATTTATATATATATATACATCCAGTTATATAGTATAATGTAATTATAATGTTATATATATATAACTACTTATACCTGAACCTACACCCAAATATGAGTTATGGGCAAACGTGTTCTTTCCCTGTTGCCTGCCATGGTAAGCTAGCTAGGATCTCACCTGGAAAATCGCCTCATGAAGTGCCAGTGGTTTGGAGACCTATATACTTAGTAAACCTCTGATTTTTTCAAGTTATCCCAGTCAATTCCATATATATATATATATATGTGTGGGTTTAAATCGTTGAACATTTACTTATTATGCCAGCTACTAAGTGGGATTATCCTCCAAATGAAGGTGAACAATGATTTTGTTTACTTTTGTTTGTTTCTTCGTGGGGTTTCTCAAAGACTTTGCCCAGGGCAGTGCTCGCAGAAAAGAGTTGGGAGCTGGTGGAGAATATGGGTTGGACCAACAAAGGGGAATTTAACCAACAAGATCTGCTGGTGCATCCTGAGGTGGGTTGACAAACGAATGAATTGAGATCTTACCGATCAATATTTTTTCGGGGGATGATGTATGGTGACCATGGTGCAATCATTGATAGGGTAATTGGTGAAAAGGCAGCCAAACATGTAGGATTTAAGCAGCAAAACAAGATTGCAGAATCCAAAGTAACTAGTGATCTTGCAAACCAAACATGAACATCAGTAAACGACAAACACATATGAGTTTCCCGGAATAAATTTGGGTTGGTTTATGGGAAAATACATGAAAATACACATGACACTATGCTTTTCAACATGGAATAAATCATGCTTGTTGGCCCAACATTTGCCTGTCAGCTCGGATCATCATCGAGTTCGAATTCATTAGCAGTTCAACGATCTCAATATTTAGGGTTTTGAGGGTTCAAGCATTTGTTTCTATACGAGGGGTTGTGTGAAAATACGGTGTCTCGAAATGTTTTGATGGTTTATCATCATATCTCCCATTCAAGTTGCGATTTTGGGGTGTACCAGGTTGTACCCAATCTCCGTATAGCCCTGACAAATGTATCGTTGGTTATATCCTTAAATCCCCAGATTGTTGATTTTATATCCCGTGAACATTCCACATTCCACTGATAGTTATATGGCAGTGTGTCAAAACCTTGTACCCCTGTAGTTCACATCAAAATAGCTGGGATTTATGGATGTTCATCCCACTAAAAATGGTATTTTCATAGGTATTGATCCATACCCATAGGACTGGTTGGTGGTTTTAACCTACCATTGTGGTTCATATATACTGTTAATAATGGTTAATATTAATGGTTCTTATATACCATTGTGGTTGTTTTATTATATATACTAAAATCCCCTCAAAGTCACCATCATTATCAATTCCAGCTTTCTGCAAGCCACGAGGGCGATGTTCTATCTCGACGCTTTCGCCTCGAGGGGGCCATCGCCCGCTGTTCCACCATGGCGCGAAACCGAGAAAGCAGCAGGCTGAGTGATGTTGAGACCACCCTCTCCCGCTGGAGCAACAAAGCCGAATGGTCAGGTGATGCCACACAAAGAGGTCAGGTGGGTGACATGCTCCCGCCAGCTATCTATCTATCTATCCATCTATCCATCTATCCATCTATCCATCTATCCATCTATCCATCTATCCATCTATCCATCTATCTATCTGTCTATCTGTCTATCTATCTGTCTATCTGTCTATCTATCTATCTGTCTATCTGTCTATCCATCTATCCACCTATCTATCTATCTGTCTATCTATCTGTCTATCCATCTATCTGTCTATCCATCTATCTATCTATCAATCTATCCATCTATCCATCTATCTATCTATCTATCTGTCTATCTATCTATCTGTCTATCCATCTATCCATCTATCCATCTATCTATCTATCCATCTATCTATCTATCTGTCTATCTATCCATCTATCCATCTATCCATCTATCCATCTATCCATCTATCCATCTATCCATCTATCGATCTATCCATCTATCCATCCATCCATCCATCGATCTATCGATCTATCGATCTATCGATCTATCGATCTATCGATCTATCTATCTATCTATCTATCTATCTGTCTATCTATCTATCTGTCTGTCTGTCTGTCTATCTATCTATCTATCTATCCATCTATCCATCTATCCATCTATCCATCTATCCATCTATCTATCTATCCATCTATCGATCTATCTGTCTATCTATCCATCTATCCATCTATCCATCTATCCATCTATCCATCTATCCATCCATCTATCCATCCATCCATCCATCCATCTATCTAATCTATCTTTACATGTATATATATATATACATACAAAAACATATTCATATACATATATATATATATATACATATATACTTATACATATATATATATATATATTTATATACTTATTCAACATATATATATATATACTTATTCACCATATATATATATATATATGTACACCTATATATATATACACATAATTGTATGTACATATACATACATATACATATGCGGTTTTCCACCGAGCATTGGCTTACGCGTTCGATTGGCCAGTGCAAATACATAGCAAGAACTGAATAAAACATCTTTATATTGCGCTCAACACATGCGTTTTTACACAAACAACTGGGATAAACTTAATATAATATAAATATACATAACACAAGTACAAAATTAAGTTTACAAAACATGGATAATATTATATAATATATTATATAATATATACCTGGAAAGCCATAATCTTATTTTTTTTGTTCAAACGACCTTGACCATTTTTCTTGGTCATTACGGCTTTGATCGTCTGGAGTCACTTATGTGAGAGTTGCTACGGCTTTTTACGGCCTTTTTTCAACAAAATGTCGAAAAAAAAGGGTTTTGCTACGGGTAGGCTTGTGTGAAAGCTGCTACGGTTTTTTACGGGTAACAACAATATTTTACCAACAAAATTGATCATTACGGTTTTTTCCCATCATGACCAGAAAAGTTTGTGTTTTTGGCTTTCCAGGTATATATATATATATACCCTCATTTATGGCTCAGTCTGCATCATTCACTCCCCGGCCCCAGCTCCGAGGCTCGCACCGAGTGCTGCCCAGCCCACCAAAGCCTGGTCATTTCAACGATACCTGTCAACTAAGAGTTTGCGAACTGGAACATGGCCCATTTATATATAGTTGGATTTCCTATTTTAAAGTGGTGATCTGCCATATATTACCCTCTGGTAATTTATCATGGGTATTGATAATATACCATTTATAGTTGATTTATCTATTAAACATATTTAAACATTGTGATTGTTTATTGATTTTGAATAACAAAGCAGCAAACTGTTAGTTGGCCAGAGGGTACGTTAGTTTACCAAAGGGTAACTCTGATTCATGGATTTTGAAAAGGATGGAACTGCCTCCGGCTCCATCGGCTCAAACGTTGCGCCTCAAGGAGTGCAACCAATCTAAAAAGTTGCGCTGCGCGAAGGGCGACGTTTGCTGGTGCGTTCTGAAACATTGGCATATTGAACCGTTAATTTAACAAAAAACATGAGATTTCATAGGATTTAGAGCTGATTCATGATAGCTAAGCTTTTTTTTTTGCTGCCCTACCCTGCTACGACGACATGTCAAAAGCGGAAGCAAGGCGTAGGCATAGCCAAACGTGCCTGCTTTGTTAAAAGTATCTAGCATTGGCTGCATTGAATATACGTGCATCCTCTTGAACGGTCTCTTCATAGTTAAACTGATGCAGTTTTTCTTCGTATATATACTTTTTGGTGTAATGCAACCAGTTTTGCCTCTTTTTTCCATATGGGACGCGGTTCACTGAATTTGGTTGAAAGGAGATTTGACGTAAAGGGTCTTGTTGAGTGGTTCTGGCAATATGTCCCAATAATTTGGCTCGCCTTGCATTATAACAATGGCTGAATAAAAGGTTGTTTTCATGATTTCCATGAGTGGACATGAGATCGGATGCTCTTCGCAAAACATATAACTCCAATAACTTGGTGTATAGCACATTTATATCTATCAATCTGATCGTGTACCAGCTAGATCTATTGGTTGAAACATCCCCAATGGAGTCAACAATTTATTAGGTCCAGGAAGGGATGAACTCTGGCAACTACTTAAAGCCAACCTCCTATCGGGGAAGGCATCCAGGTGAATGCTATTGGTACGACTCCAGAGTGACAGTAACATCTAGGGCCGCCACCCCTTGATGATTTGCATCAGCTGCCTCGGAACCAAAGGTGGCCGTGACCTTCACTAGCTCGTGGGCTCATAGAATGCTGATAGGGAGGGAGCCCCTTAGTAGTGGTGATGAATTACACTTTTACATGCTTTTACAATCTCTATTTCACCACTGGATGTACATGCTATGTATATATATATATAGTTCGGGTCAGTCGCTCATGTTTGCACAACCAACAAGGATGTTGCAACACAAAGCCACGGGACCACAGATTTCTCGGGAATTTCTAGTAGCATCCCATTGCAGTTTGGGCGTGCCCAATTTTGACCCATTCAAGGTGCTGCCCCCCAGTTCTTGTTGGTTTAATTTCACCCATCTAGCTATGGATACATCATAAACATAAACCCAACACTTCGTCATAAATCAGTTATATCGGGTATGAATAACATAGAAATCACCTGTTTTTTTGATGAAGTCGCCATTTTTTGTTGGTTGAATCCCCAACTTGGCTAGTGATTGGGAGCGACAGCTTGTACATATCTCAAGGCAAGATGCTGGGACAGGGCGGGGCAGCCGTATGCCGCTCAGGATGGAACAGGCCAGAACCTAGGACTTGGCCAACAAGAATGAACGGATTTAATGGGAACATCCTGAGGATACAATGAACATGTGATAGGAATATATCATAGTATCACTATTTCCTACCCCCAAAGTTCGTACCCCCAGATCAAAATGGAAAACCACGGGTTTTGTGCGCAAATATGTGTTGACCATGTTTGACTAAATAAGCACTATTAATGTTTGGAAAGCTTGGATAAGCATTGGTAAGGCTTAATAACCCTTGCTAAAAGAGGACAGGTTTTTTGAAAAAAGTGCAAAACGGATTGGTCCTTATTTTCCCCTTGGCAAGGCCTACATAAGGATCATTTCTTTTGTGCGCTTTTTTGTGGAGATGGAAATCTCTTATTAAGAGAGTTGTGGTCGTGTATGTGTTGCAACCACCCAAAGATGGAAAGTTGTGCCACGAGCGACTGAAGGCTGAAATTGTTGTAAAGGGTGTCAAATGCAGTGCTTAACGTGAGTAGTTTTTGAGCTTTGTGAATGCCCATGGGAAAAGATGTACAGATTCAGTAAAGAGAACCTGTGGTAAGTGCACTTTGGAGTAAGGGGTATTAAGCCATATCAAGCCTTATTAAGAACCAATCCGTTTGGCACTATGTTCAAAACAATTGTTCTGTTGTAGTAAAGGGTATTAAGCCTTATTAAGCCTTACCGATCCCTATCCAATGCCTATCATTTTTTGAATTTTGGGGCTTTAGCAAGCCCGTGAGGGGTGGATTTTCCCAACATCAACCCCTGGATTTTTATTAAGGCTTCCCAAGAGCAATGCCTTTTGCAGGTGATGAAGAACCCCATATCATTTGGGTTTGATCCATTTGAAGTCTTGCTGGCGCCCACAGGCTCATTAATGGAACCTTTATTAATAAGCCTTATTACACAAACATCCCTTTCCCAGAGTAAACCTTCTCAGTTTTGACAAGGTTGGAAAACATTGGGTCACTACAGGATCGGTTTTCCATTTAGATCCGGGGGTACGAACTTTGGAGGTAGGAAATAGTGATACTATGAATATAACGGAATATATTATGATGGGAATAGAATGAGAATATGATCTTCAAATTGGGTTCAAAGCCAATTTCGTAAATTCATCGGCGGTTAAAATGTTTCATAATCCAATTCTGGGAAACATGTGGCACTTCAGAATTCAGCATTGCCTCAACTTTGAAGATACTCGTTCAATCGGTTTCATGCACTTCTGTGGGGCCAGAACGTGGGGCTGGGCAGAAGCCTAGTTGTACAACTGGAGACAGGATGCTGGACGTCCTGGGGCTCAAAGATTGGACACCATAGCATTCGTCCCTCATCTTCATGCAACTACCCCCAGTTTTTGAAACAATTATAGTAAAATATGACCTTGACCAGCCTTGTAGTAGTTTGACCATTTGAGGTCCTCAGTTGACATCCTGAGATTTTTGTTCTTCTCCCAGTATCTGAGGTGCTCAGCAAATTCCGGAGGAGCTGATCCAGAAACCGCTACGGCCTGGCTCTCCCAATGGGTTGGTCATGTTTTTTCTTTTTAGCCCAGAATATTTGGGATTGCTATATATAGGGAAAACCTAAAGCCAATCCAGTGACTATCCCTGTATAGTTGGCACTGTTGGCACATACTAGATCCCACAAGCTATGGTCATTCATCATCTATCCAACCCAAGAAGTATAAGTCTTCATCACTACTAACCGCTGAGCATGGAAGTCCGTAG